TCGGATCGAATCGGCTCGAATCGACTCGAATCGGCTCGAATCGGCTCGAATCGACTCGAATCGACTCGAATCGGATCGAATCGACTCGAATAACCACCCAGAAGTAACTGTGAAGGCGAAAACCCCAATTTTTCATCGATTCGAATCGATTCGAATCGATTCGAATCGATTCGAATCGATTCGAATCGGCTCGAATCGATTCGAATCGGCTCGAATCGGCTCGAATCGACTCGAATCGACTCGAATCGGATCGAATCGACTCGAATAACCACCCAGAAGTAACTGTGAAGGCGAAAACCCCAATTTTTCATCGATTCGAATCGATTCGAATCGATTCGAATCGATTCGAATCGATTCGAATCGGCTCGAATCGGCTCGAATCGACTCGAATCGGCTCGAATCGGCTCGAATCGACTCGAATCGACTCGAATCGGATCGAATCGACTCGAATCGACTCGAATCGGCTCGAATCGACTCGAATCGACTCGAATCGGATCGAATCGACTCGAATAACCACCCAGAAGTAACTGTGAAGGCGAAAACCCCAATTTTTCATCGATTCGAATCGATTCGAATCGATTCGAATCGATTCGAATCGATTCGAATCGGCTCGAATCGGCTCGAATCGACTCGAATCGGCTCGAATCGGCTCGAATCGACTCGAATCGACTCGAATCGGATCGAATCGACTCGAATAACCACCCAGAAGTAACTGTGAAGGCGAAAACCCCAATTTCATCGATTCGAATCGATTCGAATCGATTCGAATCGATTCGAATCGATTCGAATCGATTCGAATCGACTCGAATCGACTCGAATCGGATCGAATCGGCTCGAATCGACTCGAATCGGCTCGAATCGGCTCGAATCGACTCGAATCGACTCGAATCGGATCGAATCGACTCGAATAACCACCCAGAAGTAACTGTGAAGGCGAAAACCCCAATTTTTCATCGATTCGAATCGATTCGAATCGATTCGAATCGATTCGAATCGATTCGAATCGATTCGAATCGGCTCGAATCGGCTCGAATCGACTCGAATCGGCTCGAATCGGCTCGAATCGACTCGAATCGACTCGAATCGGATCGAATCGACTCGAATAACCACCCAGAAGTAACTGTGAAGGCGAAAACCCCAATTTTTCATCGATTCGAATCGATTCGAATCGATTCGAATCGATTCGAATCGATTCGAATCGGCTCGAATCGGCTCGAATCGACTCGAATCGGCTCGAATCGGCTCGAATCGACTCGAATCGACTCGAATCGGATCGAATCGACTCGAATAACCACCCAGAAGTAACTGTGAAGGCGAAAACCCCAATTTTTCATCGATTCGAATCGATTCGAATCGATTCGAATCGGCTCGAATCGACTCGAATCGGCTCGAATCGGCTCGAATCGACTCGAATCGACTCGAATCGGATCGAATCGACTCGAATAACCACCCAGAAGTAACTGTGAAGGCGAAAACCCCAATTTTTCATCGATTCGAATCGATTCGAATCGATTCGAATCGATCGACTCGAATCGATTCGAATCGACTCGAATCGGATCGAATCGGCTCGAATCGACTCGAATCGGCTCGAATCGGCTCGAATCGACTCGAATCGACTCGAATCGGATCGAATCGACTCGAATAACCACCCAGAAGTAACTGTGAAGGCGAAAACCCCAATTTTTCATCGATTCGAATCGATTCGAATCGATTCGAATCGGCTCGAATCGACTCGAATCGACTCGAATCGACTCGAATCGGCTCGAATCGACTCGAATCGACTCGAATCGACTCGAATCGACTCGAATAACCACCCAGAAGTAACTGTGAAGGCGAAAACCCCAATTTTTCATCGATTCGAATCGATTCGAATCGGCTCGAATCGGCTCGAATCGACTCGAATCGGCTCGAATCGGCTCGAATCGACTCGAATCGACTCGAATCGGATCGAATCGACTCGAATAACCACCCAGAAGTAACTGTGAAGGCGAAAACCCCAATTTTTCATCGATTCGAATCGATTCGAATCGATTCGAATCGATTCGAATCGATTCGAATCGGCTCGAATCGGCTCGAATCGACTCGAATCGGCTCGAATCGGCTCGAATCGACTCGAATCGACTCGAATCGGATCGAATCGACTCGAATAACCACCCAGAAGTAACTGTGAAGGCGAAAACCCCAATTTTTCATCGATTCGAATCGATTCGAATCGATTCGAATCGATTCGAATCGATTCGAATCGGCTCGAATCGGCTCGAATCGACTCGAATCGGCTCGAATCGGCTCGAATCGACTCGAATCGACTCGAATCGGATCGAATCGACTCGAATAACCACCCAGAAGTAACTGTGAAGGCGAAAACCCCAATTTTTCATCGATTCGAATCGATTCGAATCGATTCGAATCGGCTCGAATCGACTCGAATCGGCTCGAATCGGCTCGAATCGACTCGAATCGACTCGAATCGGATCGAATCGACTCGAATAACCACCCAGAAGTAACTGTGAAGGCGAAAACCCCAATTTTTCATCGATTCGAATCGATTCGAATCGATTCGAATCGTCGAATCGACTCGAATCGATTCGAATCGACTCGAATCGGCTCGAATCGGCTCGAATCGACTCGAATCGGCTCGAATCGGCTCGAATCGACTCGAATCGACTCGAATCGGATCGAATCGACTCGAATAACCACCCAGAAGTAACTGTGAAGGCGAAAACCCCAATTTTTCATCGATTCGAATCGATTCGAATCGATTCGAATCGATTCGAATCGATTCGAATCGGCTCGAATCGGCTCGAATCGACTCGAATCGGCTCGAATCGGCTCGAATCGACTCGAATCGACTCGAATCGGATCGAATCGACTCGAATAACCACCCAGAAGTAACTGTGAAGGCGAAAACCCCAATTTTTCATCGATTCGAATCGATTCGAATCGATTCGAATCGATTCGAATCGATTCGAATCGGCTCGAATCGGCTCGAATCGACTCGAATCGGCTCGAATCGGCTCGAATCGACTCGAATCGACTCGAATCGGATCGAATCGACTCGAATAACCACCCAGAAGTAACTGTGAAGGCGAAAACCCCAATTTTTCATCGATTCGAATCGATTCGAATCGATTCGAATCGGCTCGAATCGACTCGAATCGGCTCGAATCGGCTCGAATCGACTCGAATCGACTCGAATCGGATCGAATCGACTCGAATAACCACCCAGAAGTAACTGTGAAGGCGAAAACCCCAATTTTTCATCGATTCGAATCGATTCGAATCGATTCGAATCGATTCGAATCGACTCGAATCGACTCGAATCGACTCGAATCGGATCGAATCGGCTCGAATCGACTCGAATCGGCTCGAATCGGCTCGAATCGACTCGAATCGACTCGAATCGGATCGAATCGACTCGAATAACCACCCAGAAGTAACTGTGAAGGCGAAAACCCCAATTTTTCATCGATTCGAATCGATTCGAATCGATTCGAATCGATTCGAATCGATTCGAATCGGCTCGAATCGGATCGAATCGGCTCGAATCGACTCGAATCGGCTCGAATCGGCTCGAATCGACTCGAATCGACTCGAATCGGATCGAATCGACTCGAATAACCACCCAGAAGTAACTGTGAAGGCGAAAACCCCAATTTTTCATCGATTCGAATCGATTCGAATCGATTCGAATCGATTCGAATCGATTCGAATCGGCTCGAATCGGCTCGAATCGACTCGAATCGGCTCGAATCGGCTCGAATCGACTCGAATCGACTCGAATCGGATCGAATCGACTCGAATAACCACCCAGAAGTAACTGTGAAGGCGAAAACCCCAATTTTTCATCGATTCGAATCGATTCGAATCGATTCGAATCGATTCGAATCGGCTCGAATCGGCTCGAATCGACTCGAATCGGCTCGAATCGGCTCGAATCGACTCGAATCGACTCGAATCGGATCGAATCGACTCGAATAACCACCCAGAAGTAACTGTGAAGGCGAAAACCCCAATTTTTCATCGATTCGAATCGATTCGAATCGATTCGAATCGGCTCGAATCGACTCGAATCGGCTCGAATCGGCTCGAATCGACTCGAATCGACTCGAATCGGATCGAATCGACTCGAATAACCACCCAGAAGTAACTGTGAAGGCGAAAACCCCAATTTTTCATCGATTCGAATCGATTCGAATCGATTCGAATCGGCTCGAATCGACTCGAATCGACTCGAATCGACTCGAATCGGATCGAATCGGCTCGAATCGACTCGAATCGGCTCGAATCGGCTCGAATCGACTCGAATCGACTCGAATCGGATCGAATCGACTCGAATAACCACCCAGAAGTAACTGTGAAGGCGAAAACCCCAATTTTTCATCGATTCGAATCGATTCGAATCGATTCGAATCGATTCGAATCGATTCGAATCGGCTCGAATCGGCTCGAATCGACTCGAATCGGCTCGAATCGGCTCGAATCGACTCGAATCGACTCGAATCGGATCGAATCGACTCGAATAACCACCCAGAAGTAACTGTGAAGGCGAAAACCCCAATTTTTCATCGATTCGAATCGATTCGAATCGATTCGAATCGATTCGAATCGATTCGAATCGGCTCGAATCGGCTCGAATCGACTCGAATCGGCTCGAATCGACTCGAATCGGCTCGAATCGGCTCGAATCGACTCGAATCGACTCGAATCGGATCGAATCGACTCGAATAACCACCCAGAAGTAACTGTGAAGGCGAAAACCCCAATTTTTCATCGATTCGAATCGATTCGAATCGATTCGAATCGGCTCGAATCGACTCGAATCGGCTCGAATCGGCTCGAATCGACTCGAATCGACTCGAATCGGATCGAATCGACTCGAATAACCACCCAGAAGTAACTGTGAAGGCGAAAACCCCAATTTTTCATCGATTCGAATCGATTCGAATCGATTCGAATCGAATCGATCGAATCGAATCGATTCGAATCGGCTCGAATCGGCTCGAATCGACTCGAATCGGCTCGAATCGGCTCGAATCGACTCGAATCGACTCGAATCGGATCGAATCGACTCGAATAACCACCCAGAAGTAACTGTGAAGGCGAAAACCCCAATTTTTCATCGATTCGAATCGATTCGAATCGATTCGAATCGATTCGAATCGATTCGAATCGGCTCGAATCGGCTCGAATCGACGAATCGGCTCGAATCGGCTCGAATCGGCTCGAATCGACTCGAATCGACTCGAATCGGATCGAATCGACTCGAATAACCACCCAGAAGTAACTGTGAAGGCGAAAACCCCAATTTTTCATCGATTCGAATCGATTCGAATCGATTCGAATCGATTCGAATCGATTCGAATCGGCTCGAATCGGCTCGAATCGACTCGAATCGGCTCGAATCGGCTCGAATCGACTCGAATCGACTCGAATCGGATCGAATCGACTCGAATAACCACCCAGAAGTAACTGTGAAGGCGAAAACCCCAATTTTTCATCGATTCGAATCGATTCGAATCGATTCGAATCGGCTCGAATCGACTCGAATCGGCTCGAATCGGCTCGAATCGACTCGAATCGACTCGAATCGGATCGAATCGACTCGAATAACCACCCAGAAGTAACTGTGAAGGCGAAAACCCCAATTTTTCATCGATTCGAATCGATTCGAATCGATTCGAATCGGCTCGAATCGACTCGAATCGACTCGAATCGACTCGAATCGGATCGAATCGGCTCGAATCGACTCGAATCGGCTCGAATCGGCTCGAATCGACTCGAATCGACTCGAATCGGATCGAATCGACTCGAATAACCACCCAGAAGTAACTGTGAAGGCGAAAACCCCAATTTTTCATCGATTCGAATCGATTCGAATCGATTCGAATCGATTCGAATCGATTCGAATCGGCTCGAATCGGCTCGAATCGACTCGAATCGGCTCGAATCGGCTCGAATCGACTCGAATCGACTCGAATCGGATCGAATCGACTCGAATAACCACCCAGAAGTAACTGTGAAGGCGAAAACCCCAATTTTTCATCGATTCGAATCGATTCGAATCGATTCGAATCACTCGAATCGACTCGAATCGGCTCGAATCGGCTCGAATCGACTCGAATCGACTCGAATCGGATCGAATCGACTCGAATAACCACCCAGAAGTAACTGTGAAGGCGAAAACCCCAATTTTTCATCGATTCGAATCGATTCGAATCGATTCGAATCGGCTCGAATCGACTCGAATCGGCTCGAATCGGCTCGAATCGACTCGAATCGACTCGAATCGGATCGAATCGACTCGAATAACCACCCAGAAGTAACTGTGAAGGCGAAAACCCCAATTTTTCATCGATTCGAATCGATTCGAATCGATTCGAATCGGCTCGAATCGGCTCGAATCGACTCGAATCGACTCGAATCGGATCGAATCGGCTCGAATCGACTCGAATCGGCTCGAATCGGCTCGAATCGACTCGAATCGACTCGAATCGGATCGAATCGACTCGAATAACCACCCAGAAGTAACTGTGAAGGCGAAAACCCCAATTTTTCATCGATTCGAATCGATTCGAATCGATTCGAATCGATTCGAATCGATTCGAATCGGCTCGAATCGGCTCGAATCGACTCGAATCGGCTCGAATCGGCTCGAATCGACTCGAATCGACTCGAATCGGATCGAATCGACTCGAATAACCACCCAGAAGTAACTGTGAAGGCGAAAACCCCAATTTTTCATCGATTCGAATCGATTCGAATCGATTCGAATCGGCTCGAATCGACTCGAATCGGCTCGAATCGGCTCGAATCGACTCGAATCGACTCGAATCGGATCGAATCGACTCGAATAACCACCCAGAAGTAACTGTGAAGGCGAAAACCCCAATTTTTCATCGATTCGAATCGATTCGAATCGATTCGAATCGGCTCGAATCGACTCGAATCGACTCGAATCGATTCGAATCGGCTCGAATCGGCTCGAATCGACTCGAATCGGCTCGAATCGGCTCGAATCGACTCGAATCGACTCGAATCGGATCGAATCGACTCGAATAACCACCCAGAAGTAACTGTGAAGGCGAAAACCCCAATTTTTCATCGATTCGAATCGATTCGAATCGATTCGAATCGATTCGAATCGATTCGAATCGGCTCGAATCGGCTCGAATCGACTCGAATCGGCTCGAATCGGCTCGAATCGACTCGAATCGACTCGAATCGGATCGAATCGACTCGAATAACCACCCAGAAGTAACTGTGAAGGCGAAAACCCCAATTTTTCATCGATTCGAATCGATTCGAATCGATTCGAATCGATTCGAATCGATTCGAATCGGCTCGAATCGGCTCGAATCGACTCGAATCGACTCGAATCGGCTCGAATCGACTCGAATCGACTCGAATCGGATCGAATCGACTCGAATAACCACCCAGAAGTAACTGTGAAGGCGAAAACCCCAATTTTTCATCGATTCGAATCGATTCGAATCGATTCGAATCGATTCGAATCGGCTCGAATCGACTCGAATCGGCTCGAATCGGCTCGAATCGACTCGAATCGACTCGAATCGGATCGAATCGACTCGAATAACCACCCAGAAGTAACTGTGAAGGCGAAAACCCCAATTTTTCATCGATTCGAATCGATTCGAATCGATTCGAATCGATTCGAATCGATTCGAATCGGCTCGAATCGGCTCGAATCGACTCGAATCGGCTCGAATCGGCTCGAATCGACTCGAATCGACTCGAATCGGATCGAATCGACTCGAATAACCACCCAGAAGTAACTGTGAAGGCGAAAACCCCAATTTTTCATCGATTCGAATCGATTCGAATCGATTCGAATCGATTCGAATCGATTCGAATCGGCTCGAATCGGCTCGAATCGACTCGAATCGGCTCGAATCGGCTCGAATCGACTCGAATCGACTCGAATCGGATCGAATCGACTCGAATAACCACCCAGAAGTAACTGTGAAGGCGAAAACCCCAATTTTTCATCGATTCGAATCGATTCGAATCGATTCGAATCGATTCGAATCGATTCGAATCGACTCGAATCGACTCGAATCGACTCGAATCGGATCGGATCGAATCGGCTCGAATCGACTCGAATCGGCTCGAATCGGCTCGAATCGACTCGAATCGACTCGAATCGGATCGAATCGACTCGAATAACCACCCAGAAGTAACTGTGAAGGCGAAAACCCCAATTTTTCATCGATTCGAATCGATTCGAATCGATTCGAATCGATTCGAATCGATTCGAATCGGCTCGAATCGGCTCGAATCGACTCGAATCGGCTCGAATCGGCTCGAATCGACTCGAATCGACTCGAATCGGATCGAATCGACTCGAATAACCACCCAGAAGTAACTGTGAAGGCGAAAACCCCAATTTTTCATCGATTCGAATCGATTCGAATCGATTCGAATCGATTCGAATCGATTCGAATCGGCTCGAATCGGCTCGAATCGACTCGAATCGGCTCGAATCGGCTCGAATCGACTCGAATCGACTCGAATCGGATCGAATCGACTCGAATAACCACCCAGAAGTAACTGTGAAGGCGAAAACCCCAATTTTTCATCGATTCGAATCGATTCGAATCGATTCGAATCGGCTCGAATCGATTCGAATCGAATCGGCTCGAATCGACTCGAATCGGCTCGAATCGGCTCGAATCGACTCGAATCGACTCGAATCGGATCGAATCGACTCGAATAACCACCCAGAAGTAACTGTGAAGGCGAAAACCCCAATTTTTCATCGATTCGAATCGATTCGAATCGATTCGAATCGATTCGAATCGATTCGATTCGAATCGGATCGAATCGGCTCGAATCGACTCGAATCGGCTCGAATCGGCTCGAATCGACTCGAATCGACTCGAATCGGATCGAATCGACTCGAATAACCACCCAGAAGTAACTGTGAAGGCGAAAACCCCAATTTTTCATCGATTCGAATCGATTCGAATCGATTCGAATCGATTCGAATCGATTCGAATCGGCTCGAATCGGCTCGAATCGACTCGAATCGGCTCGAATCGGCTCGAATCGACTCGAATCGACTCGAATCGGATCGAATCGACTCGAATAACCACCCAGAAGTAACTGTGAAGGCGAAAACCCCAATTTTTCATCGATTCGAATCGATTCGAATCGATTCGAATCGGCTCGAATCGACTCGAATCGGCTCGAATCGGCTCGAATCGACTCGAATCGACTCGAATCGGATCGAATCGACTCGAATAACCACCCAGAAGTAACTGTGAAGGCGAAAACCCCAATTTTTCATCGATTCGAATCGATTCGAATCGATTCGAATCGGCTCGAATCGACTCGAATCGACTCGAATCGACTCGAATCGGATCGAATCGGCTCGAATCGACTCGAATCGGCTCGAATCGGCTCGAATCGACTCGAATCGACTCGAATCGGATCGAATCGACTCGAATCGGATCGAATCGACTCGAATAACCACCCAGAAGTAACTGTGAAGGCGAAAACCCCAATTTTTCATCGATTCGAATCGATTCGAATCGATTCGAATCGGCTCGAATCGACTCGAATCGACTCGAATCGACTCGAATCGGCTCGAATCGACTCGAATCGACTCGAATCGGATCGAATCGACTCGAATAACCACCCAGAAGTAACTGTGAAGGCGAAAACCCCAATTTTTCATCGATTCGAATCGATTCGAATCGATTCGAATCGACTCGAATCGATTCGAATCGGATCGAATCGGCTCGAATCGACTCGAATCGGCTCGAATCGGCTCGAATCGACTCGAATCGACTCGAATCGGATCGAATCGACTCGAATAACCACCCAGAAGTAACTGTGAAGGCGAAAACCCCAATTTTTCATCGATTCGAATCGATTCGAATCGATTCGAATCGATTCGAATCGATTCGAATCGGCTCGAATCGGCTCGAATCGACTCGAATCGGCTCGAATCGGCTCGAATCGACTCGAATCGACTCGAATCGGATCGAATCGACTCGAATAACCACCCAGAAGTAACTGTGAAGGCGAAAACCCCAATTTTTCATCGATTCGAATCGATTCGAATCGATTCGAATCGATTCGAATCGATTCGAATCGGCTCGAATCGGCTCGAATCGACTCGAATCGGCTCGAATCGGCTCGAATCGACTCGAATCGACTCGAATCGGATCGAATCGACTCGAATAACCACCCAGAAGTAACTGTGAAGGCGAAAACCCCAATTTTTCATCGATTCGAATCGATTCGAATCGATTCGAATCGGCTCGAATCGACTCGAATCGGCTCGAATCGACTCGAATCGACTCGAATCGACTCGAATCGGATCGAATCGACTCGAATAACCACCCAGAAGTAACTGTGAAGGCGAAAACCCCAATTTTTCATCGATTCGAATCGATTCGAATCGATTCGAATCGATTCGAATCGATTCGAATCGGCTCGAATCGGCTCGAATCGACTCGAATCGGCTCGAATCGGCTCGAATCGACTCGAATCGACTCGAATCGGATCGAATCGACTCGAATAACCACCCAGAAGTAACTGTGAAGGCGAAAACCCCAATTTTTCATCGATTCGAATCGATTCGAATCGATTCGAATCGATTCGAATCGATTCGAATCGGCTCGAATCGGCTCGAATCGGCTCGAATCGACTCGAATCGGCTCGAATCGGCTCGAATCGACTCGAATCGACTCGAATCGGATCGAATCGACTCGAATAACCACCCAGAAGTAACTGTGAAGGCGAAAACCCCAATTTTTCATCGATTCGAATCGATTCGAATCGATTCGAATCGATTCGAATCGATTCGAATCGGCTCGAATCGGCTCGAATCGACTCGAATCGGCTCGAATCGGCTCGAATCGACTCGAATCGACTCGAATCGGATCGAATCGACTCGAATAACCACCCAGAAGTAACTGTGAAGGCGAAAACCCCAATTTTTCATCGATTCGAATCGATTCGAATCGATTCGAATCGGCTCGAATCGACTCGAATCGGCTCGAATCGGCTCGAATCGACTCGAATCGACTCGAATCGGATCGAATCGACTCGAATAACCACCCAGAAGTAACTGTGAAGGCGAAAACCCCAATTTTTCATCGATTCGAATCGATTCGAATCGATTCGAATTCGAATCGATTCGAATCGACTCGAATCGGCTCGAATCGGCTCGAATCGACTCGAATCGGCTCGAATCGGCTCGAATCGACTCGAATCGACTCGAATCGGATCGAATCGACTCGAATAACCACCCAGAAGTAACTGTGAAGGCGAAAACCCCAATTTTTCATCGATTCGAATCGATTCGAATCGATTCGAATCGATTCGAATCGATTCGAATCGGCTCGAATCGGCTCGAATCGACTCGAATCGGCTCGAATCGGCTCGAATCGACTCGAATCGACTCGAATCGGATCGAATCGACTCGAATAACCACCCAGAAGTAACTGTGAAGGCGAAAACCCCAATTTTTCATCGATTCGAATCGATTCGAATCGATTCGAATCGATTCGAATCGATTCGAATCGGCTCGAATCGGCTCGAATCGACTCGAATCGGCTCGAATCGACTCGAATCGGCTCGAATCGGCTCGAATCGACTCGAATCGACTCGAATCGGATCGAATCGACTCGAATAACCACCCAGAAGTAACTGTGAAGGCGAAAACCCCAATTTTTCATCGATTCGAATCGATTCGAATCGATTCGAATCGGCTCGAATCGACTCGAATCGGCTCGAATCGGCTCGAATCGACTCGAATCGACTCGAATCGGATCGAATCGACTCGAATAACCACCCAGAAGTAACTGTGAAGGCGAAAACCCCAATTTTTCATCGATTCGAATCGATTCGAATCGATTCGAATCGGCTCGAATCGACTCGAATCGACTCGAATCGACTCGAATCGGATCGAATCGGCTCGAATCGACTCGAATCGGCTCGAATCGGCTCGAATCGACTCGAATCGACTCGAATCGGATCGAATCGACTCGAATAACCACCCAGAAGTAACTGTGAAGGCGAAAACCCCAATTTTTCATCGATTCGAATCGATTCGAATCGATTCGAATCGATTCGAATCGATTCGAATCGGCTCGAATCGGCTCGAATCGACTCGAATCGGCTCGAATCGGCTCGAATCGACTCGAATCGACTCGAATCGGATCGAATCGACTCGAATAACCACCCAGAAGTAACTGTGAAGGCGAAAACCCCAATTTTTCATCGATTCGAATCGATTCGAATCGATTCGAATCGGCTCGAATCGACTCGAATCGGCTCGAATCGGCTCGAATCGACTCGAATCGACTCGAATCGGATCGAATCGACTCGAATAACCACCCAGAAGTAACTGTGAAGGCGAAAACCCCAATTTTTCATCGATTCGAATCGATTCGAATCGATTCGAATCGATTCGAATCGACTCGAATCGACTCGAATCGACTCGAATCGGATCGAATCGGCTCGAATCGACTCGAATCGGCTCGAATCGGCTCGAATCGACTCGAATCGACTCGAATCGGATCGAATCGACTCGAATAACCACCCAGAAGTAACTGTGAAGGCGAAAACCCCAATTTTTCATCGATTCGAATCGATTCGAATCGATTCGAATCGATTCGAATCGATTCGAATCGGCTCGAATCGGCTCGAATCGACTCGAATCGGCTCGAATCGGCTCGAATCGACTCGAATCGACTCGAATCGGATCGAATCGACTCGAATAACCACCCAGAAGTAACTGTGAAGGCGAAAACCCCAATTTTTCATCGATTCGAATCGATTCGAATCGATTCGAATCGGCTCGAATCGACTCGAATCGGCTCGAATCGGCTCGAATCGACTCGAATCGACTCGAATCGGATCGAATCGACTCGAATAACCACCCAGAAGTAACTGTGAAGGCGAAAACCCCAATTTTTCATCGATTCGAATCGATTCGAATCGATTCGAATCGGCTCGAATCGACTCGAATCGGCTCGAATCGGCTCGAATCGACTCGAATCGACTCGAATCGGATCGAATCGACTCGAATAACCACCCAGAAGTAACTGTGAAGGCGAAAACCCCAATTTTTCATCGATTCGAATCGATTCGAATCGATTCGAATCGATTCGAATCGACTCGAATCGACTCGAATCGACTCGAATCGGATCGAATCGGCTCGAATCGACTCGAATCGGCTCGAATCGGCTCGAATCGACTCGAATCGACTCGAATCGGATCGAATCGACTCGAATAACCACCCAGAAGTAACTGTGAAGGCGAAAACCCCAATTTTTCATCGATTCGAATCGATTCGAATCGATTCGAATCGATTCGAATCGATTCGAATCGGCTCGAATCGGCTCGAATCGACTCGAATCGGCTCGAATCGGCTCGAATCGACTCGAATCGACTCGAATCGGATCGAATCGACTCGAATAACCACCCAGAAGTAACTGTGAAGGCGAAAACCCCAATTTTTCATCGATTCGAATCGATTCGAATCGATTCGAATCGGCTCGAATCGACTCGAATCGGCTCGAATCGGCTCGAATCGACTCGAATCGACTCGAATCGGATCGAATCGACTCGAATCGACTCGAATCGGATCGAATCGACTCGAATAACCACCCAGAAGTAACTGTGAAGGCGAAAACCCCAATTTTTCATCGATTCGAATCGATTCGAATCGATTCGAATCGGCTCGAATCGACTCGAATCGACTCGAATCGACTCGAATCGGATCGAATCGGCTCGAATCGACTCGAATCGGCTCGAATCGGCTCGAATCGACTCGAATCGACTCGAATCGGATCGAATCGACTCGAATAACCACCCAGAAGTAACTGTGAAGGCGAAAACCCCAATTTTTCATCGATTCGAATCGATTCGAATCGATTCGAATCGATTCGAATCGATTCGAATCGGCTCGAATCGGCTCGAATCGACTCGAATCGGCTCGAATCGGCTCGAATCGACTCGAATCGACTCGAATCGGATCGAATCGACTCGAATAACCACCCAGAAGTAACTGTGAAGGCGAAAACCCCAATTTTTCATCGATTCGAATCGATTCGAATCGATTCGAATCGATTCGAATCGATTCGAATCGGCTCGAATCGGCTCGAATCGACTCGAATCGGCTCGAATCGGCTCGAATCGACTCGAATCGACTCGAATCGGATCGAATCGACTCGAATAACCACCCAGAAGTAACTGTGAAGGCGAAAACCCCAATTTTTCATCGATTCGAATCGATTCGAATCGATTCGAATCGATTCGAATCGACTCGAATCGACTCGAATCGGATCGAATCGGCTCGAATCGACTCGAATCGGCTCGAATCGGCTCGAATCGACTCGAATCGACTCGAATCGGATCGAATCGACTCGAATAACCACCCAGAAGTAACTGTGAAGGCGAAAACCCCAATTTTTCATCGATTCGAATCGATTCGAATCGATTCGAATCGATTCGAATCGATTCGAATCGGCTCGAATCGGCTCGAATCGACTCGAATCGGCTCGAATCGGCTCGAATCGACTCGAATCGACTCGAATCGGATCGAATCGACTCGAATAACCACCCAGAAGTAACTGTGAAGGCGAAAACCCCAATTTTTCATCGATTCGAATCGATTCGAATCGATTCGAATCGGCTCGAATCGACTCGAATCGGCTCGAATCGGCTCGAATCGACTCGAATCGACTCGAATCGGATCGAATCGACTCGAATAACCACCCAGAAGTAACTGTGAAGGCGAAAACCCCAATTTTTCATCGATTCGAATCGATTCGAATCGATTCGAATCGGCTCGAATCGACTCGAATCGACTCGAATCGACTCGAATCGGATCGAATCGGCTCGAATCGACTCGAATCGGCTCGAATCGGCTCGAATCGACTCGAATCGACTCGAATCGGATCGAATCGACTCGAATAACCACCCAGAAGTAACTGTGAAGGCGAAAACCCCAATTTTTCATCGATTCGAATCGATTCGAATCGATTCGAATCGATTCGAATCGATTCGAATCGGCTCGAATCGGCTCGAATCGACTCGAATCGGCTCGAATCGGCTCGAATCGACTCGAATCGACTCGAATCGGATCGAATCGACTCGAATAACCACCCAGAAGTAACTGTGAAGGCGAAAACCCCAATTTTTCATCGATTCGAATCGATTCGAATCGATTCGAATCGGCTCGAATCGACTCGAATCGGCTCGAATCGGCTCGAATCGACTCGAATCGACTCGAATCGGATCGAATCGACTCGAATAACCACCCAGAAGTAACTGTGAAGGCGAAAACCCCAATTTTTCATCGATTCGAATCGATTCGAATCGATTCGAATCGGCTCGAATCGACTCGAATCGACTCGAATCGACTCGAATCGGATCGAATCGGCTCGAATCGACTCGAATCGGCTCGAATCGGCTCGAATCGACTCGAATCGACTCGAATCGGATCGAATCGACTCGAATAACCACCCAGAAGTAACTGTGAAGGCGAAAACCCCAATTTTTCATCGATTCGAATCGATTCGAATCGATTCGAATCGATTCGAATCGATTCGAATCGGCTCGAATCGGCTCGAATCGACTCGAATCGGCTCGAATCGGCTCGAATCGACTCGAATCGACTCGAATCGGATCGAATCGACTCGAATAACCACCCAGAAGTAACTGTGAAGGCGAAAACCCCAATTTTTCATCGATTCGAATCGATTCGAATCGATTCGAATCGATTCGAATCGATTCGAATCGGCTCGAATCGGCTCGAATCGACTCGAATCGGCTCGAATCGGCTCGAATCGACTCGAATCGACTCGAATCGGATCGAATCGACTCGAATAACCACCCAGAAGTAACTGTGAAGGCGAAAACCCCAATTTTTCATCGATTCGAATCGATTCGAATCGATTCGAATCGGCTCGAATCGACTCGAATCGGCTCGAATCGGCTCGAATCGACTCGAATCGACTCGAATCGGATCGAATCGACTCGAATAACCACCCAGAAGTAACTGTGAAGGCGAAAACCCCAATTTTTCATCGATTCGAATCGATTCGAATCGATTCGAATCGGCTCGAATCGACTCGAATCGACTCGAATCGACTCGAATCGGATCGAATCGGCTCGAATCGACTCGAATCGGCTCGAATCGGCTCGAATCGACTCGAATCGACTCGAATCGGATCGAATCGACTCGAATAACCACCCAGAAGTAACTGTGAAGGCGAAAACCCCAATTTTTCATCGATTCGAATCGATTCGAATCGATTCGAATCGATTCGAATCGATTCGAATCGGCTCGAATCGGCTCGAATCGACTCGAATCGGCTCGAATCGGCTCGAATCGACTCGAATCGACTCGAATCGGATCGAATCGACTCGAATAACCACCCAGAAGTAACTGTGAAGGCGAAAACCCCAATTTTTCATTCCAGATTTTTATTAAAAATTAAAAAAAAATGCCTAAGTTTTGAAATCGAAATTCTGAGTATTGTACGTTGCTCAGAATCACCAGACGAACAACTTTCAAAAAAATTTTATAATTGGACAAATTTTTTTTTCATTGATTTTCGGATTTTTGAAAAATCGATTTTTTTGTGTTTAACTGCCCATAACTCGGTTCATTGAAACGATGGACCTAAACAATTTTTTTTTAAATTGTAGCGCTAAGCGAGCTCTATAAGCCTGATTAGGACTCGCAAGATGAAAATGAAAATTTTCATGAGTTATGGAGGTGGCAAGATTTTGGTACATCACATATCATGGTATGACCATGAAACCTATGCATGGGATATTGAGAAATTCTTCTGAAAGCTTGCAAATGTCCTTATAATGAAATTCCCGAAAGGAATTTTTCACAACTTGATAATTGGTCTTATAAATATTTGTTTCCCAGAACGCATTTTTGAAATTTCGCTTTTTCTACATTAAAAAGCTGTCAAAATCAATTGAAAATGATTTTTTCGTGCTTAAAATCGAAAAATACCCCTAGGTGAACATTTTCAGACAGTTTCAGTCACTGGGAACCTGAATTGGTACTTTTTTGTTTTTGCTCCATAACTCAAGAACCGTTCGTTTTTACGAGAATTAGATGCTTCCAGCGTGTTCAGCACACTAAATTACCCCTGGGGAGATATTTTTTACATCATTTAGACCTTTGGGAGCATTTTCGAAAAAAAATTCCACAAAAGATTACTGTAGTTGATCCATTTTTTCGGAAAAAGCAAAACACGGATAGAAAAATAGGATAAACTATTATTTTTTCTCTCAAAAATCGAGAGAAAAGGAGAGAAAACTATTAATAGTTTATCCTAAATTTCTGCAATTTTTTTCGATTTTTGAAAAATTTATCAAAAATTCTGAAATTTATGGGTGGGGGGTTTTCGGCTCCGTGGAGCATCGTGGTGATAATGATTTTACACGAAAATGAGCTTATCACCTCTTATCAGTGATTATCAAAAAATATCAAAATTATCCGAATAGGCTGGGAGTTGGAGGAAATGATGTTTGGTGATGGTAGATGACATTTTTGATAAGTTTAGAGCTCCAGCTTTATCCCAGAAGCTCTTATCAGTTCTTATCACTTAATTATCAATATGCTCAGATTGAGCTGAAACTTGGAAAAAATGATGTCCGGGGGTAGTAGAGACTATTTTTGAAAACCTTTTACATCAATCTTCATCTCAAAACTTCTTATCAGCTGTTATCACTAAATTATCAATGTCATCTGATAAGGCTGAAAATCGGGATTTTTTGGTTTTCGAGCATCGGGAATCGTGTGCAAAACAATGTGTTGTGTACGGTTTTTGGGAAGTTCAAAACAACAGCCGAAGAATGATAATACATTATCAAATTATTGTGGATGGTGAAATTGGGAGTTTAGAAAACTCCTTGATTTCATCTCTGAGCTTCGCAGTCTCACTTTCTTCTTGAATGCTAATTTTCACTGAAATTCTCTAAAAAAAAAATCCCAAATTTTCATCGAAGAACCTTTTATAATATGGTATTGGCTCGAAAATTGACTCGTAAATAAATACACAATAAAAACACTAAAAATAGTAAATACAAAAAATAAATAAAGAGCTTATTCTTCTAATAAGAGGGAAATTTGGGCGATTTTTATGGGGCAAAAAAATAGGGTTGTTAAATGTTCAATTAATTATTGTAGAACTTCTTTCCGCTCTTGGCATAATCTTGGAGCAATTGACATGGAGTAAACTGCAAAAAAAATAAGAAAAATTTGATATTTTCTCGTTGAAATTCTGTTTTTACAACAGAAAATCAGATTTTCCCACTGAAAATAAATTCAAAAAATAATCCAACCTGTTCTTGTTTATAGGCAGCCGCAAATTTATCCATCGATTTAACCAATTTATCAGCTCCATATAAATCAACAAATCTGAATGGTCCACCCCAGAATGGTGGGAAACCAATTCCGAATACACTTGCGATATCACCATCAGATGGTGATGCCAAAACACCTTCTTCCAAGCACAAAAGTGCCTCATTTACGAAACGGGAAACAATTCGAATTTGACGATCTTCAGGAGATGTGCTGCAAATATTCGTGTTTTTTTTCAATTTTGAAGCAATTAAAAAATCACTCACCAATTAGCTGGCGCCACAATTTTATATTTGTTCAACAATTTGACAGCTTCATCGTTAACCTTCTTACTTCCCTTCTTTCCTTCGCCATAAACAAAGATTCCTGGAATTTTGGAAAATTCAAATTTTCCCTATTTTGAACCGAAAAATACATAAAAATTTATCAAAACTCGAAAAATATAGGGATTGCTCATGTTAATTTAATTTTCGGTTTTGAAAAGTGAAAAATGCATGATTTGGGTTGAAAATTCGCAAAATGCATCAAGAAATTCTCATTTTTACCCAAAAATCTAAGGAAACCCGATTTTTCGGTCAAAATCAACTTTTATTTCAAAAATTTTTGAAAATTTAAATTTCTGCAAGTTTTCCAGCCCAAGATCAAGTTTTTATGAAAATTTTTCAATTTTTCACCCCCCCCCTCCAAATCCAACCTTTTCCAGTCTTTCTTCCCTTATGTCCAGCATTCACCAACTCGCTCAACAATTCCAAAGATCCTCCATGAACTCGTGGTCCAAGTGCTTTTCCCAAAAAGTGTGCGACATGTTCAGCGACATCCAAACCAACTTCATCGGCCAAAGTAGCGGCTCCGACTGGGAATCCGAATTTTGTTGTCAATTTGTCGACTTCGGCTGGATCGACACCTTCTTGAAGTAATCTGACAACTTCGGCTTGCATTGGTCCAAGGCATCGGACAACAAAGAATCCGGGGCAATCCTGGAAAAAAATATATTTGAGATTTTTAAAATTCGGTGGGGCGCAGTTGAACTTTTAAAGCAAATTTGAATTTTTTTCAAAAGAGAAAAAGAGTTCAATAGGGCACATTTGCATTTTTCTCCAATTTTGAGAGAAAACTCGAATTTTCCAAGGAAAAATCAATAGTCCAATAGAGCGCATTTGCATTTTCTCCAATTTTGAGAGAAAACTCGAATTTTCCAAAGGAAAAATCAATAGTTCAATAGAGCGCATTTGCATTTTTACTCGTTTTTCGTTGCATTTTCGACTGAGCTTAGAATCACTTTTTTTAATTTCAAATTTCGCCTTTTTCAAGTTCCCCGGGCTAAAAACATTCAAATTGCACGATTTTTGGCTCAAAATCCACCATTTTTCACCAATCAACTTGGAAAATCGATATTTCTTGTTCTAGAAGAGCTCACCTTGACAACAACCACCAATTTTCCCTGTTTCAATCCCAATTGTGCAGCAGTTGCCAATGTTTCTTTCGATGTTCCTTCATGCGTGATGATTTCCAACAATTGCATTTTTTCGACAGGCGAAAAATAGTGCATTCCAATGACTTTATCAGGTCGAGATGAAGCTGCGGCAATATCTTTGATTGGAAGAGCAGAAGTGTTGGAGGCGATAATGGTGTGCTGGAAAAACGAGACATTGAGTTAGGGTAAATTGGGGATGAGTCAGAGATAAGTTAGCCTAACTTCAGATAATTTTTTATATAAAATTCCCGGGTGACACTAGATTTCAATGATGAATAATGGTTTCATGGTTTTTATATGAAAATTCCCCAGAAATATCAGCTTCTGGATGAAAATTGCTGATTTAGCCTAACTTCAGATAATTTTTTAGCATTTTTCTTCAGTATGGGTGTTTAAAAAATCAATTTGTATCAATTTTGAACCTTTCCAACTTCATGAAAGTTAGTTAGGCTAACTTTTGATGAAATTTTGGCACAAAACCATATTCTCACCGTTTTTGGGATAATTTTGTTTTTGGTTTGAAAAAAAAATCATATTTTTGAGGTATTTTTTCAAAATTAGTCAAAAATTTCAGATTTTCAGTGAAAAACAGGATCCAAAACACTCACCGGTCCAACAACACTTTCAATTTGTTTAATAACACGATGTTTCAATGGCAAATCTTCAAAAACAGCTTCAATTACAACATCAGCATTTTTCAACGCCGAATAATCAACGGATGGTGTCAAATTATTGTAAATTCGTTCTTTTTCCAACTTATTGATGCGCTTTCTACGAACTTGTCCATTTAAGTGAGTCAAAATTTGATTTTGTCCTCGTTCGAGACCCTGGAAAAATAGAGAGGAGTTAGGATAAATTGAGGAGGGAATTTTGACCCAAAAATTCAATTTCAGCATAAAAAATATCTGAAAATGATGAATTTCCAGTCAAAAATTCAGATTTTCAGGATAAAAATATGAAAAATTCAATTTCGTAGTCAAAAATCCGAATTTTCACGTTCCCAGGTATAAAATTGTGCAAAATTCAATATTAGGGCTCAAAAATCATGAAATTTTCCAATTTCAGGGTCAAAAAACCCTCAGAAATCCCAATTTTCACAGTTCCTAATCAAAAAATAGCGAAAAATCCTATTTTTTGGTTAGAAGTCTAAATTCTCATAAGAATTAACAATCTTAGGTTGAAAATCATGAAATTCATCAAGCTTGGGGTCGAAAATCCGAATTTCATGAACATTTTCAATTTTGGGATAAAAAACAATGAACATTATCAATTTTGGGATGAAAAACAATGAACATTATCAATTTTGGGATGAAAAATATGAAAAATCATTTTTTCCAGTCAAAAATCCCCATATTAGGGTTAGAAATCATGAAATTCATCAATCTTGGTGTCAAAAATCCTCAGAAATCCCAATTTTCACAGTTCCCGATCAAAAAATAGCGAAAAATCCTATTTTTTGGGTTAGAAATCTAAATTTTCATGAAAATTAACAATCTTGGGAAGCAAAAGCTCTTAGTCAAAAAACCCCTAAAAATCAAAATTTTCCATCTAGAACTCCCCAAACCCTCAAACTCACCGCCTGATTTGCATCCAAAAGAACCGTCTTAACTCCCTTATCAATCGTAACATTAGCAACACCAGCTCCCATTAAACCAGCTCCAACTACACCAATTTCTTTGACCGGCAATCCATTTCCATATTTATTCTTTTTCGCATCAGTACTTCCATCAAACAATCCAATCAAAGCTTTTGATTGAAAACTTTGCGACAATTCTCCAAACGCTTTTCTCTCCGCCTCAAATCCATTCTTCGGATCAGTATATGCAGTTCTCACAACATCCAGGATTTTCAGCGGTGCTGGATAGTTTCCAGCAGTCATTTTCATCAATTTATCCTTCGCCATTTTCAGCACAACATTATCCAAAAACAGTCGATTTGTCATAATTGCATGTGTCGCTTTTTCAACAAATCCCTTTTCTCGATTGATTTTCAGCTTTCCACTTGATAAATCACGTGCCGTGTCAATTGCAACTTTTTCCAAATATTTATGGGTACTTTGAGCAGCCGGTTCTAATCCATCACCTAACGGTTGAATTACACGATCCACTATTCCAACTTTTTTCGCTTTATCAGCTTTGATTTTTTTGCCTGGAAAAAAACGTTTTTTTGTGTGGGAAATTCAAATTTTTTGCTGAAAGTTTGGCTTGAAGTTTTTCATTTTTAGGTCATCAGAATCGAGAAATCTCAAATTTTTACCGTAATTCACTGAAACCAGAAGAAAATGGTCCTGACTGCCTTGAGAACCAAATTTAAAATTTCCTAGGTCATCGTGATTTTCGTGGCCCAATTTTCAAATGTAAAAATTCAAAAAACCAATATTTATCTGAAATTTGGAGAAAATCGAAGAAAACTACAGGTTTTGATGTAAAACTTCAGATTTTCAGCTAATTTTTGATCAGCTGCCCTAGAAATCCAAATCTCCATCTTCTAGACTAAAAAACCAGATTTTTCAACTAAAAACCCAAGTTTCTGACTAAAAATTCAAAATTTGGGCATAGCTTCCGCATCCCAGCCATTTTCGCTCTGAAAATTTGTCTGGAAATCGCAAATTTCACCATTTCCAGGTCAAAAATGCGATTTTCAATCAAATTTTCAGCACGAAAATGACACGTCATAAGTAAATATGTCAGAATTGTTTTTCCATTCAAAACATGATCGGAAGTTAGGCTAAATAAAAGATTTGCATTTTTCAGAAACTGTGCCGGGGTGGCCGAGTGGTTAAGGCGTGAAGAGACCCGTCTTCATTGAGTAATCAACCGCGGGTTCAAATCCCGTCCCCGGCAAAACTTTTTTTTTCGTTTTTTTTTTTTTGAAAATCGTCGGCAGGAAAGGAAATGACAATTTCAAAGAATTTTTTTCCAAGGATTGCTCATGTTAAAAGTTAGCTTTTAATATGAGCAATGCTTCAATAAAAATTGACCATGTTTCATGATTTTTGGATCGAAAAATCGATCCGAAGCTAGAAAATTACGTTTTCCATCAAATTTCAGCTGAAAATCAAGTTTCCAGTTCAAACTCGACCATTTTTCATGCATTTTGCATTTTCTAGGTTTCTGGGTCAAAATCGGTCATTTTTAATGAATTTTAGGATAGAAAATCGCGTTGTCCATCATTTTTATCAAATTTAGACCCGAAATTCTCGATTTTGAAGGTTTACAGGTCAAAATTAGCCATATTTCAACAATTTTAAGCTAGAAAATCGAAATTTTCGCATCGCATCAAACTCCCATACCAGTCAATGCCAAATCCAACACATTCTGAACACTGGCCAACTTGGGCAATCGTTGAGTTCCTCCAGCTCCCGGCAACAATCCCAACATCACTTCAGGCAACGCCAATTGTGTCTTCTTATCATTGACAGCAATTCGATAATGACAAGCCAATGCCAATTCCAATCCTCCTCCCATACAACTTCCCATTATTGCGGCAACTATTGGTTTTTGCGATTTCTCAATTTTCAAGAATTGCTCTTGTCCATTTTTGGCGAGTTCTTCAACTGCTCCTGCTGATTTTTCAGCTTTGAGCATTTGAATATCTGCTCCGGCTACAAAACTATTTGGTTTTCCAGACATTACAACGATTGACTTGACTGAGTCATCAGATTGGAGCTGAAAATGGAACTTTGAGAATTTTCAGCTACTTTTCGACTCAAACTTTTTTAATTGCAGAATTTCGTATTCAAAATTTGGGCATAGCTTCCGCATCCCAGCCAAATCCAAATCTGAAAAATTGTCTGAAAATCACAAGATTCCGGAGGGATTCTAGTGATTTTCAGATTTTGCAATGTTTCAGTCAAGGAAATGACAATTTCAAGATTTTTACTTTGAAAATCAAATTTTCCATGGAATTATTAGATTTTTCAATAACTTTGAAATTTTTGGACTGAAAATACAGTTTTGATAAATTTCAGCTCAAATTTGACCAGAAAAATTAAAATTTTCAATGAAAAATACCAATTCCAGCAGATTTTCAGCTAAAAACGTCTGAAAGAGGTTTTGGGAGAAAATTCAATCATTTTTGGTCAATTTTTGAGTTGAGAAGGATGTTTTTATGGTAACTTTGATAAATTTCAGGATTTTCAGTGAATTTTTACGCTGAAAATCAGATCTTCTATCAAATTCTTTAATTTTTAAACAAAAAACTTCTTGACGGGGTTTTGGGAGGGAAGTTATTCATTTTTCAAGAATTTTTAAGTTGAAAATGATATTTTTTATGGAAAATTAGGTGAATTTCAGGATTTTCTGGAGAATCAATCATTTTTTCAAGATTTTAGGTCAATTTTGACCAAAAATCATCACATTTTAGCTAAAAACCCAAATTTTCAGTCATTTTCAGCCCAAAATCCCATTTCCCTACCTTCTCGAAAGTCGATTGCATATCAGCTGACAATGCCTTATTCAACACATTTTCTTTTGCATTTGGTAAATCGATTTTGATAACAGCAACATCTCCTTGTTTTTCGACACGAAGAGTGGCTGAAAATCATAACTTTCAGATGAAAATTGACAAGAGAACTGTTTCAACTCGAAATCGCGATTTTTGTGAATAAAATAGGTGGAAATCGTCTCCAATACCGATTTTTCTGGTTCCAAAAATGGAAAATTCGTTAGATTTCACAACGAGATTTGTAATGAAATATATGTTTTCTGATAGTTTTCGACCCGCTGATCACAATTCCGTTGTCATAAACTGCAAAGCTCAACATCTAACATGAGTTGTGAAGTAGGAAAGTTGGAAACTTCCCAAAAATTGCAACTTTAGGAGATTAGAACTAGCACAGGGTTGTTCAGGAGAGTGAATAACATAGGTAATTTTCAATGCTAGTTTTAACCTCCTAAAGTCCAAATTTTCCAACTATTGAAGTTTTTGACAACGGAATTGTGATCAGCGGATCGAAAACTATTAGAAAACATATTTTTCATCAAAAATTTCGAAACAGTTTCGTTGTGAATTTTTCATTTTTGGAACCAGAAAAAATCGGTATTGGAGACGATTTCCACCTTTTTTATTCACAAAAATCGCGATTTCAGGATGATTTTAGCCACGATTTCAAAAATCTTCCCCGCAAAAACTCACAAGTCATAGCCGGTTTTGTCATCGACACATTTCTGGCCGAAAATACAAGATTCGCTTTTCCGGACGTGTTTTGAACAAGTCGAGATAACATTTTTGTTGGTTCTGAAAATGATGCAAATTTTGAATAATTTTGCGAAAAACGTGTTGGCAAAGAAATGTCACGTATAAATATTAAAATCGTCTGACACGTTTAATTTCAGATTTCTCAGTCAAAAACTATACAAAACATTACTCGTTGTTTTTGTTATCAACAAAAAAAAACTTGTGTTCTTTTTTTCCATCAGTTGGCAAAAAAAACGAAGGGGGAAATAATGTGGGAGAATGAGAGAGATTAGAGAAAAGATGGGCGGTTAGACAAAAATTAAATACTTACTACTATTAAATAAATAGTTTACTAAAAATATGATTGAAAAATTCCGAATTTTTCAAAAATTCAAACTTTGGGCTTTCGCATCTCTGAAATTCTGCCTGATAATCGGAAATTTCACCAATTAATCAGAAACACGCGGAAATTCGATTTTCAGGCATAATTTCAGCTAGCTAAAAGTAAATTTAGTCCAGGTAATTTTGTTCAAAAATTCAAAATTCAACTCGTCCCAGCTGAAAATTTATCACGAAATCCAAAATTCGATTTTCAGACAAATTTTCAGAGCATGTCAAAAACCTCAAAACTTCCAAAATTTAAAAGTGCACCATGTACAAAGTCCAATCAGTAATCACATACAAAACGTGTCCAAAAAAAGAGGAGCGCAGATAAAATGCGAAAATTTTTTTTTGTCCTGACGGGAGGTCGATTAGAGCAAGAGATTGTGGGAAAATGAGAGAGTGCAGAGAGCGAGAGAATAGGCTACAAATAAGAAAAAAAGAACAGAGATAATAATAATAAACAAAATGAAGAGAGACAAGGTACAAAGTACAGAAAATTATTGGGAAATTTTGGAGGCTAGAAAATGATTCAAAATTTGGGCATAGCTTCCGCATCTCCGCTGAAATTCCAATAAAAATCTGAAAAATTCTGGAACTTCCATACAAATTATTTGTATGGAAGTTCCAGTTTTCAGATTTTTATCAGATATTTCAGAATAGGACTTGGAAGGGGTTTCAGGTTTTTGGGTAAAAAATCTTTACTTTCCTGAATTTCAGCAGCTTTTCCATTGAATTTTCAGTATAAATTCAATAAAGTATAGGAAAAATGGGATTTTTGGCAATGTCTGAAAATCCCAAATTTCACCACACCAATTTGTCTGAAAATCCCAAAAAAAAATCAGTTTTTTTCATTTTTCGAGCTGAAAATTTGTCTGAAAATCCCAAATTTCACCTTTCCATATGAAAAATGCAATTTTCAGCCAAATTTTGAGCTCGAAAATGACAAAAATCATTTTCGAAATGCCACGTCATGAGGTCACGTTTATTTTTGACAGTTTTTTTCATTTTCGAGCTGAAAATGTGTCTGAAAATCCCAAATTTCACCTTTCCATATGAAAAATGCAATTTTCAGCCAAATTTTGAGCTCGAAAATGACAAAAATCATTTTCGAAATGCCACGTCATGAGGTCACGTTTATTTTTGACAGTTTTTTTCATTTTCGAGCTGAAAATTTGTCTGAAAATCCCAAATTTCACCTTTCCATATGAAAAATGCAATTTTCAGCCAAATTTTCAGCTGGAAAATGGCAAAAATGAGTTTTAAAATGCCACGTCATGAGGTCACGTTTATTTTTCAAATTTTCGATAGTTTTTCCATTTTCAAGCTGAAAATATGTCTGAAATCGCAAATTTGACCTTTCCATATGAAAAATGCAATTTCCAACCAAATTTTCAACTCGAAAATGACCTAGAAATCTGAAAATTTTCAAAAAATATCAAAAGTCGGTCTTTCGAGACGACAAAAACACCAAAAATACACAGAAAATCAAGAAAAACCACTTTTTTCAATTAAAAAATAACAAAAAATGTACAAAAAACGACCTAAATCTACTAAAACTGGGATTTCTGACAATAAATTTATGCTCCAATAAATGTTCCAATATCCGATCGATTTCTATTCGCATATTTCTCATTGATTTTATCGCTAAGCTCTTTTTGTTGTTTGAGAGCTCGAGCCAATTCCAGATCTTCTTCAATTGATTTGAACATATCCGGAAATTCGTAGTCGAAATCTGCAGAAATTTCAAGTTTCTGAACAGAAATTCAAAATTTCGGCTGAAAATTTGATTGAAAATCGCATATTTCACCTTTTCCAGGTCAAAAATGCGATTTTCAGCCAGATTTCAAGTGCGAAAATGACGATTTTCAGCTATTTTCAGAGCTCTCACCTTTGGGCATAAAAACATATGCAAATTTCTTGTCCTCATCCTTCCACATCGCTTTTTTATATTGATAATCGGTTTTTGTGTTCCATAAAATATCGCCCATTTGCACTTCGGTTCGAACATCTCGAACTGGTAAATTGTAGATTTTTGTCAAATATTCTCGAATATCGTGTTTTGACATACGTGGATCAACCTGGAAAAACGATATTTCGCGTTTCAGTTAATTCCTAGCTGAAAAATGACTGAAAATCGCATTTTTAAACTGGAAAAGATCGAAAATATGATTTTCAGCCAAGTTTTCAGTTTAAATACTATTCAAATTTTGGGCATAGCTTCCGCATCCCAGCCATTTTCAATCTGAAAATTTGTCTGGAAATCCCAAATTTCACCATTTCCAGGTCAAAAATGCGATTTTCAGCCAAGTTTTCAGCTTGAAAATGACTATTCAAAATTTGGGCATAGCTTCCGCATCCCAGCCATTTTCGCTCTGAAAAATTGTCTAAAAATCCCAATTTTCACCCTTTCCAGGTCAAAAATGCAACTTCCAATCAAATTTTCAGCACGAAAATGACACCTCATGAGTAAAAATGTAAGAATTGTTTTTCCATTCAAAACATGATCGAAAGTTAGGCTAAATATGAGATTCGCATTTTTCAGAAACGGTGCCGGGGTGGCCGAGTGGTTAAGGCGTGAAGAGCCCCGTCTTCATTGAGTAATCAACCGCGGGTTCGAATCCCGTCCCCGGCAAAAGTTTTTTTTTGTTTTTTTTTTTGAAAATCGTCTGCAGGAAAAGGATTTTTAGCCAAGGAAATGACAATTTCAAAGATTTTTTTCAAGTCTTGCTCATGTTAAAAGTTAGCTTTTAATATGGGCAATGCTTCAATGAATTCCTAGCTGAAAAAATAACAGAGAATCACATTTTTAAACTGGAAGAGGTCAAAAATATGTTTTTCAGCCAAGTTTTCAGTTTAAATAGGACTATTCAAATTTTGGGCATAGCTTCCGCATCCCAGCCATTTTAAATCTGAAAATTTGTCTGGAAATCCCAAATTTCACCATTTCCAGGTCAAAAATGCGATTTTCAGCCAAGTTTTCAGCTTGAAAATAACAAAAAGCGAAATTCCACGTGTTAATTGGTCATTTAAAAATTTCTACAAAAGCTAATTGAAAACGTTTTAGCGAACGTAAGATTGTCAAGTTTTCTTAAAAGTTCTAGAAACTCGATGCCTATGACATGGAATTTGTTGAACTTTCAATTTTCCCAGAAAATTTCAAAATTTGGGTGCCATTTTCGATCTGAAAATCCCAAATTTCACTTTTACCATATGAAAAATACGATTTTCAGTCAAATTTTCATCGCGAAAACAGCAATTTTCTCAAAATTCACCTCAAATTTCACACAATTTCTCGGCAATTTCGCTCTTCCAAAATTTGGCGCCTTCACCACAGCCACCCAAAAATCAGGCAAAAATACACGTCTTTGCCCATTTCCCGGTTGCCACAATCGAGCCAATCGTGTTGTCATTATGTGCCTGCAAAAATTGGTTAAATTAGGGCTGAAATTAGAGCTCTTAAGGTAATAAATGGTTGAAAAACCTAGTAAAAATCAGTGAAAATGTGGCGAAAGATGGAAATTTATTAACCAATTCGCATATAAATAAAAAAACAATGAAAAACAACAAATAAGAAAACCGGGCGATAGAATAGAATAGAAGTTTTGGGTGGAAGAAAATCTGGAAAATCTTATTTTTCCAACCGACAAATCGGAGTGTTGTAGACAACTTCCAAATCGATTTTTGAGCCGAACAAATCTCGAATGTTATTGATTCCATATTTGATCATTGTTGGTCTGAAAATTGTGAATTTTTATGATTTCCAGGTAAAAACCAAACCAACCTTTCCAATGACAATCCATATCCAGCAACATTAACATCTTCAGGTAATCCCATAGGTAACAACATTTCTGGTCTGAACATTCCCGAATTTCCAATTTCGACCCATTTTGCTAATCCAGAATGATAGGCGAAGATTTCCATACTTGGTTCTGCAAAAATTAGGTTGTTTTGGACAATTTTCTGAAAAATTCGGGCATAGCTTCCGCATCTTCGCTGAAATTCCAATAAAAAATCTGAAAATGCTGGAATTTTCAGACAAACTATTTGTTTGAAAGTTCCAGTTTTCAGATTTTTATCAGATATTTCAGAATAGGTTTCATGATTTTCTAATAAAAAAGCCATTTTCTAGCTGAAAAATTTGTCTGAAAATCCCAAATTTCACTTTTACCATATGAAAAATGCGACTTCCAATCAAATTTTCAGCTTCAAAACGACACTTCATGAGTAAAAATGTCAGAATTGTTTTGTCATTCATTCAAAATATGATCGGAAGTTAGGCTAAATATGAGATTCGCATTTTTCAGAAACGGTGCCGGGGTGGCCGAGTGGTTAAGGCGTGAAGAGCCCCGTCTTCATTGAGTAATCAACCGCGGGTTCGAATCCCGTCCCCGGCAAACATTTTTTTTGTTTTTTTTCATCGCCACACTCGTTTTAGAAGTAAAAACCTGTGATTTTCAGGTTTTTTTATTAAAAAAATTCACCGGTATATGGATTATAAGTTGGTTTGAATCTCAGATTGGTGATTCCCAATTTCTTGAAAAATTCGGTGAAAATTCCAATCAAATGCGCCAAACTCAAATTCTTCTCCGCAATTACACCTTCAACTTGATGGAATTCGGCCAAATGTGTTGCGTCAAGTGTTTCATTTCGGAAAACGCGATCAATTGAGAAGAGTTTGGATGGTTTGAAACCGGTTTGAGCCAATTCGTAGAGTTGACGAGCTGAAACGGCTGTTGTATGGGTGCGGAGCACATTCTTTTGAGCTTCTTCGAGTTTCCAGTCGTAATTGTATCTGGAAAACATTTGTCTATGACGTGGCAATTCGGGAAATTCCTTACCCCGCTGATCCGAATCCACCCTTCGAATGCACAGTTTTCACCCGCTCCAAATAATCCTCCGGGAATTTGGTGCTTATCGCAGGATCAGAAACAAAGAAAGTATCATGTGCATCTCTTGCTGGATGTTGTTGTGGTTGGAAAAGTGCATCAAAATTCCAGAATGAGCTCTCAACATATCGATTTGTTGCCATTTCAGAGAAACCCATTGAGAAGAAGATTTGACGGAACTCGCTTCGAACTTTCATCAAAGGATGAAGATGTCCAGAAGATGGAACAACTCCGAGAGATTCGAAGTTGTATTTTTTGAAGGTTTTGTCCTTCCATGAGCCGCTGGAATAAAAATTAGGAGGTTTCCAGAGATATTTCTTGATTAGTAAATAACTTACGAAGCAATCATTTCCGGTGTCAAATCGGCTTCCTGTTTCGCCAAACTTGTGGTGAAACTTGCACCTTTGCTAACTTCCAATCCTTTTACATTCACTTCAGATATCAATTTTCGTTTTTTCAACTCATTCTTATCCTTATCTGCGACTCCTTCACCACCAATTCTCAAGGTTTCCAATTGCTTCCTAACAACATCTTCAACGTTTGTGACTCCTGGTTTTCGAACAACTTTTACAGCTCCGCTTGATTTATCCATAGCTACCCAACCAGCAGCCATAGCTTTGCTCACTCCAACTTTGCCGAATGGTTGTTTCTGAAAGAAATAGGGTGTTCTGTGATTAATTTATAACAAAAAAAGCTGGAAAAGTTACCCCAATATCAGCCTGAAGACATCCGTTTTCTCCAACAAATTCAAAAACTCTAAACTCATGCGATCCTTCATCGGCCATTTGAATTCCTTCATTCGTCAATTCCACACGTTTTTCTGTGACATCTTTGGTACTCAAAACTCCCTCATTTGTTAATAAACTTTTGATAGCACCAATCAATTTTTGATGATCAATATTCCATTGTTTAGCAAGAGAAATCGAATTGAAATTGCTTTCTCCGTTCAAATGATCCAAAATACGTTGTGGAAGATCTTCACTATTCAAAACTTCAGTCATATTTGTAGCTTGAATTTCAGTGTTGAAAGAATTCAAATGATTATACCAGCGCGAAAGATTTACTCGATTTTTCAAATCTTTTGGGTTGATCCTTGATTTTGTCTCAAAATCCGCGGATGATGGTACAAACCCGTTGATATATGCCTGATCTTGAAGTAATTGATCTAGTCTATCGACTTCGGTCATAAACCAAAACCTGAAACTTCGAAATTTGTCTGAAAACTTCTCTGAAAACTGCAAAAAAAAACGAAAAAATAAAAAATAAAAATGAGTTGTCGATTTACAATGTGTGTCTCTTCGTCGCGAGACCCAACGGCCTTCCAAAACACATGCGTCTTCTTTTCATTTCTATGTTTTTCGTTTCGCAAAATTCCCTCTTTTCCCGCGCCCTTTTTGATGTATCTCTTGAATTTTGTTGTTTTTTATTGTTCGAATATGTTGAATGCATTGAATAAATTGCTTTAATCTCAAATTTCTCCTAAAAAACCATCGAAATTCCAGTAAAAATGCTACCTTATCATTACAACGCAGGGCAACCGCCAAACCAGGTTCTAGTTTGAAAACAATTCCAGAAAAGAAACAACATCGACTTTGGGAAAACATGATAAAATACAAATAAATTTCCAGGTTCCATCAGGTCAACAGCAAATGAGCCAGTACCAACAGCAGGTTTATTGATTTTTTTTTTAAGTTTGACTTTTTCATCTAATTCAAAATAAAAAATGCAGGTTAATCAACAATATCCTGGTGCTGGAAATAATGCGGCTGACATGCAAAATCGTCTAGCTCATGCGCAACAAGCAATTCAACGTTTGAACGAAACCAAACAGTAAGCTCTGGAAAATATGGGGGGTTTTGCATGCGATTCTTAAATTTCGGGGTTTTGAACAAAATATGAAACTAGACTCCGTTTCTCGCATTTTCCTTCCTAAAATTACACTAATTCATCTTCGGAACTGCAGAAAGCAACAATTTCATCAACATCAACAACAACAACATCAGCATCAACAAAGCTACACCGAGGATCAAAAACGGCGTCGGGATTCACGATCACCAGAATGGGCGCGAGAGGCGCGAAGTTCAAGTCGTGATCGTGATAGAAATCGTCGTCGTAGCCGCTCAAGATCCAGAAGTCGTGATCGTTACAAGCAACGAAATAATAGACGAGGTCTCGCCTTGATTTCTCATCAGAAATCATTCTTCTTCTAGTAGTTTTCTTTCGATTCTCTAATTTTCGATGCGATTCTAGATCATCGAAGTCGTAGTCGATCACCAACATCGAGACATCGTGGCGGTGGTGGAGGTGGAAGAGGTTGGAGACGATCAAGAAGTATTAGCCCGGATAGGGTGAGTAGACACGTTTTTGACAGGAAAAATTTGCAGGAAATCATGAATTTAAGCCGAAAAACGCGAATTTTCGACTGTTTTGCTGAAAATTATGATTTTGTGACTAATATGAGCAATCTATAATTTTTTGAATCTCATTTTATTTTTATCATTCGGAGATCATTGAATTTTAACAAAAAGAAATTGATTGAAAAAACCAATCGCGTTTAAAATTTCATTAAAATTTTGAAACGTAAATTTTCGGGAATTTTCGCGAACTGAAAAATGTACGTTTCAGAATTTTCATGAAATTTGAAACGTACATTTTTTGGGAATTTTTATGAGCTGAAAAATGTACGTTTCAGAATTTTCATGAAATTTGAAACGCAGTTTGTTTTCTCAATATATTCAAATCGAGCTCTTCTATAAAATTGATTAAATATTGCTCATATTAGTCATATCCAACAAATTGCTTATGTTAAGGTTATAAAATTGATAATTTCTTTTATCAAAATACCTAGGCCTAATATGAGCAATGGGGTGATTTTTTACGCCAAAGTGCGAAATATTAGATATCACTCAGCTCCAAATTTTTGCGCGAAAATTTTGAGATTCAAATCAAGAATTTTCGGTGTCATTTATCTGAAAATTCAATTTCAGAACCCCGATCGAACCGAATGGGGAATTCCAAGTCACAAGCTAGTTATGCTAAACATTCCCAACGACGTGGACAACGCAAAAATCAGCTTTGCCTTCTCAAAAGTCGGCTATTTGCCACAAGATGTTCGAACCAACACAAAAATCGATAATCGCACAAATTTGGTCAAAACGTTTGCATTCGTCGAATTTTGCGACGTTCAAACCGCCACCAATTTCCTGCAAGAAAATCGAGGAGTTTTGACGCTGGAAGACGGGAGAAGAGTTATGGCCGAGTTTGCGAGACCTGATAATATGGATAGATTTAATAGAGATCGAGATGGAAATGGTGCAGCAGGTGGAAATGGTGGAAACTATGATAATGGTGGAGGAGCGAGAGGATTACACGAAAGTGACGATTGGATTTGTGCACATGTAAGGGGTTTTTGGGGCATTGCTCATATTATTTAGTTGTTTTTTTTTCAGTGCTCAATGAACAATTTCGTGAAACGAAAATCATGTTTCAAGTGCGATATCTCAAAAGAGCAATCAATGGAGCTGGAAAAACAAGGAGTTCATATGGTTGGAGTTTCACCGTGTGATAGTGCGTTTGGGGGGTTTTTCAGCAAAAATCTGGATTTCCAGAGGCTTTGGCGATAAAAATGAGACTAAATATTGTGGGGAAAATTTTGAATTTGGCGCCAAAAAATCATCATAAATTCTGGAGTCAAAAACTTAATGCCACGTGGCAACCTCCAGACCCTTATGAGATATCATTCTGATCCTCAAATCAAGCCCAAAGCAATTTTGCAGCTCTTCTCATTCGCGGTCTCCCAGATGGTTGCACAAACACCACAATTTTCGACAGCCTAGTCACCTTAGTTTGCCTAAATTCAATCTCAATGATCAAATTATCCGAATCGAAACGATTCGCATATCTACAAATGAAATCGTGCGATGAAGCTGTCATGTTATTGAATTTGACCTATAAAGCACCGCTGAAAATCAAGAATAAAGATGGTGAGGACTGAAAATTTCGTGCTGAAAATGAAAATCGTAAATTATTTTCAGTACAAGTCTCGTATTGTCGCGATTCAATGTCTCGCCTGATTCAACAACAAATGCAAATGTTGACACAATCTGCGGGACCAGAACAACAAAATGGTCCGTTGGCTGGAAATTGTGAGTTTTTTTTTGTCATCAAAAATTGAAGCAAACATGAGCAATACCTCTATTCAATAATTTTAAAAAATAAACCCAAAGAAACTGCCTATTGCTCATGTTAGAGTCCTAGAAAACGTGGCAAGTTCTAGTAAAGTCGCAAATGTTCCTCTCTTTCCAGTAACCGGTGCGGAAATCGCCGCAGCCGCAATGGCAAAAGCGCGAGCGGTCCGCAACGCCTCCAACAACGTTCAACAAATTATGTCGGCCACCAACACCAATTCCACCGGCGGCGGCCCACCACCAATTTTAGCCCAACCCAATTTCAGTATCCCACCACCAAATATGGGCGGACCACCCATAATGATAAATAATCAGCAAGGAGGAGGTCCCCAGCAACAAACACCACACAAAAATGGGATAATCGGAATTACACCAACACCACGTGGCGTGTTTCCCCGCTATTTGCCGCCAAATTCGATGCATTTTGTGGTGGACAATAATTCGGGATATTATTTGGACCCCGTCACGAACTTCTATTACGATCAGACCACCGGATATTATTTTAATAATGAGACGAAGAAATGGTGCCAATGGGATGCCACGTATCAGACGTATTTTGCGGTGGAAGAGACGCAGCGAGTTGCGGAGCCGGAACAGGTGAGAAATTTTTGAAAAATATTGAGTTTTGGGGGAAATAATATGATATGAGCGATGCTCTTTTTAATAGGGCTGATTAACGAACGAAAAAAAATGTTTGAAAATGTTTTTTAACATCGAAAGATCAATTTTTCGAGTTTTTCAGCCAAAAATGATGACAAATCAATATTTTTTAAGCTTCTGGAATAATTTCTGATGAAAATTGACCTTGGAATTCACTTTCCAGAAGGTTTTTCTGATTTTCGTAAAATGAATTTCGAAAAAAATTCATAAAATAAAGCAAAATTGGGTTCTCAAAGCTTATTTTCATCAGAAATTACTCCAGAAGCTTGAAAAATATCGATTTGTCATCATTTTTGGCTGAAAAACTCAATGTTTTTTCGACATTTTTTGACTTTTCTTGAATCAGCCCTATTAAAAAAAATTTATTTTCTGCTCAAAATTCAAATTTTTCATAATATTCAAAAATCAAATGAAAAATCCCGAAATCCCTCTTTCCAGCACCAATCAACAATTCAAGCAATTCCTCAACCAATTGTAGCCGCTGCCAGTCAAGATTTAGATGATATCGATGAGCAAAAAGAGCTGAATATATCAGAAATCGAGATGCCAAAAGGTCCAAAAAGTGCAGCAGAAATGGCAAAAGATATGGCGAAATGGGCGAAAAAACAGGAAAAAGACAAGAAAAAAGTACAAATTTCGCTGAAAACAATGGCTCCATCGAAACCGATCATTGAAAAAGGAAATGTATTTCAAAGTGGTGAGTTTCTTCGCATATTGCTCATGTTAATCTTCAAAATTCCAGAAAAGAAAAAGCTCTCGGCTCCATCAAGCAGTTCAGCCATCAATTTCGAAGATGACGAAGAAGATGACACAACTTTGGCAGCAAATATCGATCCACATACTGGAAAAATTCGAGGATTTTCAGTTCAAAATGAGAGAGAAGAGACGAGTTCCGCCAAATCTGGCGCGACACGTGGAAATCGTGGAACAACAGCGATGGAAATGAGAGAAATTATGGAAAGAGCACTGATTGATGAAGCCAAGAAAATGTGCCTTTTGTGCAAAAGAGCATTTCCGTCGGTGGATGTTTTGAGAAAACATGTGGATAAAAGTGAATTGCATAGGGTGAGTTGGAGCTAGAAAATTGATTTTTGATCAATTTTGAGCTGAAAATCCTGAATTTTAATGAATTTTAAGCTACAAATCAATATTTTACCACAATTTTTTGAGCTGAAAAAGCTTTTTTTTGAACGTGGCAAATTGAAATTTTGAATTTTTCGGAAAATTTGAATTTTGGTACTAAAAATCCCGTTTTTCTCACTGAAAATTCCGAATTTTTCGAATTTTCTGAAAATTTATTCGATACTCAGCCAACAATTCATGTACGCAGCCAAATATCACATTTAATACTCAGCCAAAAAGTCCCCGCAAAATTCTTGTAGGTCCCTTTAGCAAAATGTTGAAAATTTATATTTTCAGACTAATCTAGATCTGAAAATTTCAGATTTTTTTACTCAAAAATCCCAATTTTCCAAATTTTCAGACAAATCTCGAACAAAAACGAATCGAATGGGGAAAAGAGCTCAGCGAATCCATCGACGAAGAGGAAATGCAAGAAAAATCAGCGGAAATCGAAATGCCAAAAATAGTATACCGTGATCGAGCCAAGGAACGAAGAAAACAGTTTGGATATAGTTTTGAAGTTGGCGGCGCAAGTTCTGCTGGAACGTCGGGAAGATCTGAAGATTCAATTCGAAGAGAAAGTGAACATTTTGCATCGAAACCTTTGGATGATAATAATATTGGAAATCGATTGTTGAAAAATATGGGATGGAAAGAAGGAGAAGGAATGGGAAAAAATGGGCAAGGTATGACGAGTTTTGGGGTGGAAATTCGAAAAATCTAGAAATTTAAAGATTTTTTTGAAAATTCAACTTTAAAAAAATTCATCCACGTGGAAGAATTTTCAAATTTCTCACTTGACAATCCTATTTTGAAAATTTGAATTTTCGAATTTCGCGCTTGAAAATCATATTTTGACAATTTAAATTTTCAAATTTCGCGCTTGAAAATCATATTTTGAAAATTTAAATTTTCAAATTTCGCGCTTGAAAATAAAATCTTGAAAATTTAAATTTTCAAATTTCGCGCTTGAAAATCATATTTTGAAAATTTGAATTTTCAAAATTCGCGCTTGAAAATCATATTTTGAAAATTTAAATTTTCAAATTACGCGCTTGAAAATCCACATGGCAAAATTTTAACTTTCAGAGTCTCGTTGAAATTTTCAGAATAATAAAACAAGTCCGAATTTCTACGCCACGTGGAATTTTTGGTCCGAAAAACCTCACTGAATTTCCAATTTCAGGAATAACCGCACCAATTCAAGCCGAGCGATTTGTTCAAGGTGCCGGTCTAGGCTCATCGGGCTCGAAAATTCGTGGCGGAGTCGAATCGAGTCATAAGGAAAAAACTCGACAAGCGCTTTTCAGTCGATATAATGATCAATAGATTTTTTCGTTTTGTCTGAATATTTATTTCAGTTCAAATTGAGAAAATATGTATTACGTGTTGTTTTTTTTGTCCGCTTTTTTGGTTATAAATTTCTATTATTTTACTGATTTTTCAAGGATCCCCTGATTTAGGCTAACAGTAAATAAATAAATATATAAATTACATTGCGCAATTCCTCTCATCTATTTCCGATCTTTTGTTGTTTTTTGATTGTTTTATTACTATAATATTATTCCAACTCAATAAAAACAAATTGCGCAATTTTGTATCAAGAGTCATCACTTATATAAATACAGTAGTTTCGATTACTGTGCCGCTTTTGAAGTTTTTTGATGGGTTACGCAATGTGAATTGGAAAATGACAGCAAAATTATCTCAACAATTTCGCATTGCTTCTCTCAACGCGTTCGTGGTGTAATGGTCAGCATGGATGCCTTCCAAGCATTCGACGGGGGTTCGATTCCCCCCGAACGCAGATTTTGTTGTTTTTTTTTTTTTTGCATAAAGAGTCCCCTAATTTTAGTTAGCATTCCCTATTTTCACACCTGTCATCAACAAATTTATGAGATGTTTTGTTTCAACTGATACGATCTTTTCACCTGCCAACATCTGTGACCTTAAGATCCCTAAAGTTTTTATATGTATTTTATGTGTTAACATTGGTGTAATAATCCAATGTGTCAACATATAGATTAACACATTTTTTTTGGAAAAATATAAAGTTTTGTTTACATTTGATACTCAGTACGCAATCAAATTCCCTATAGATCCCTAAAAATTCAAAAAACACGGTGTAATTTCCAAATGTTCCACACAAAAGATCGTATCCATTGATAAGGAGCAGTTGCTCGACGAGAGAGCATGGGAAATCGAGAGGGTGCAGAGAGAAACACATTTAGGTAATTTGGAAAGATGTAAACATGTGGCTGATTGATGATAATTAGCGGTTTTTTGCTTCTGGAGGATGTTTGGGGGTACTGTAGCGATTTATTACAGGATTTTTTGTTGAAAAAAAATTCTAGAGTACTGTAGATCCCTCAATTTTTTTCCCAAAAACATTGTCGGTATCAATGTATTTAATGTGTTAACGGGTCACTTAACTCATAATATAAATTGCGAAAGAAAAAATATATGTATAATACACCTTGTGTGTCGGCACAAAATCATACATTAATAATTACACCGGCTTTTATTTTGGTGGTGAGCTCTCAATACATCTGTTGACAGCCATAATTAACCTTTTGAACAATAAAAGGTGTTATTTTTGGACGAGTTTGGTTTAGGTTACTGTATGTTCCTTAAAGGATCATACAGTAATCTTGCAAAATTTGAACTTATGAGCAATGTTGACCTGTATTTTTATCGGAAAAAACAAAAACTAGCCTATTTCGAGATGCTGCTGGAAAAGAAGGATTTCCATGAGCCGCGAAGTTTTCCACGACGCATAGTTTCAGCATTTTCAGCATTCGAATTTTCAGCAGACGATTTGGAAATAGTTGCGTCAGGTGTTGAAGCTGGGCGAGATTTCAGCGAAGAATTCTGGAGGAGGATTGGTGAAGTTTCAGCCAATGAGTTGGCTTTTGGGCGAAGCAAGTTTTGTGCTGGAAAAATTTTGAGTTAGGCTATCTAGATCCCCAATTTTTGTCCCCCTACAAACAGTATCAACAAATCATACACACTAATAAAACAAATTTTTGCCAACAAACATTTTTTTGACAGATTTTCTGACACTTTTCTGTGTACTTTGCTACGAGTTTTGACAAGTTTTTGACGTTTTCCCTTATTTTTGTGGGCGAACTGATGTGAGTTACTGTACCTTTGGAAAATAGATCCGCCGAATCGCGATCTTCTCTCGGCCAAACATCTTCGTCATAATCATTGATTGTAAAACCGTCGGGATCTCGAATATCCATACTTGCGCCTGGAAAAAAACATTTTTCTGACCCCCAAGAAAAACCAAATTCTCAAACAAAAATTTCCATAAAAACAGAGTTGGTGTCATGTTTGCTGAGGTCGTATGTTTAAACAAACTGCACAGCATAAAATTAGCATTTTTGTTTGAAAATATGCTAACACATTTCCGGTATTTTGGGCTTGGATGGCCTGAAAATAGCTAGAAAAAGAAAAAAATCTAAAAATCTCTCAGACAGTGCCACGTGTATTTTCAAGAGACTTGTGTGTCTCCCTTCGTATGATCCTGAATTACTGTAGACCCCTCTAACAACCTCTACCGTACTCCGAGCGCCCTTGGCGCTAGTGTAGATCAAAATTCCGCGAACGCGGCTCGAGCGCCTTTGGCGCGAGTGTATGTCCCTTTGAACGATCCTGGGATACTGTAGGTCCCTTTAACAACCTCTACCGTACCCATAAGATCATTTAGCGCTTTCAGTCAATCAGTCCCCTTTTTCCTTATTGTTCACACCATGCTGTTAATGGCGTCAAAAAAAACGCATAAAAATGATGGATTGGGTGTCATTATTATTGTTTTTTATACCATGTTGCAATCTTGGCCCCCAACCAAAAAAAAAAGACAGATGATCAACACAAAAATCTATAATGTTGTGTTTTATGGGATAAATAAATAAAAATCAAAAATTGATGAGTGGATTAGGATTTTTGTGGTGCAAAAACAGATGGTGTCAGTTAGAAAAAATTGTCTCTGGGGTACTGTAGTAATCTACAGTACCCCCTCATGTCCCTTTAAACTCCCAACTTTTTCCCAACAAAAATTCTCATTAATTCTCCCAACCCATATGTATTTTCTTTTGCGGATTTCGCGTAAGTAATTTATAACTTTTCTCTTTTCTAAAGGTGTGAAAATTGGTATTCGAAGCCGATTTTTCATTGTAAATTGGCATCCGAGCGTATTCGGCAAAAAGCCAAGCCGCGAAAAACAGTCATTTATTATATTAAAAGTAACTGGTCGAATTAGAAGAAAAGGAAGAAGAAAAGAGGAAAGAGGAAAGAAAAGGTGCGAAAATTTATTATTATTATTAAATTACACCAAAAAGTGTGAGAGATTTTTGTTTTTTTTTAAATTTTCTTTTTTGAGAGAAAAAATTATGTGATCCTTTAAATCTAGGCAGTTTTGCAGTTCAGGTTACTGTAGGGGAAATTAAGTTTTGTTGAAATGATCCTTTAACCATAAAGTACTGTGGACCCGCAGAAAATTTCGGAAAAAGTTTGAATTTTTGAAAAAAATAGAGTATGATCCTTTAAATTCAGAGGTACTGTAGAGATAAGTTTTTTGCAGTTCAGGTTACTGTATGTGTTTTCAGCATAAAAATATTTAATTTTTTGTTGAGAAAAAATCGCAATGATCCTTTAACTTCGAGTTACTGTAGAATTCTTTCTTTAAAGGAGTCTACAGTATCCCAATGTTCCCTAAAAGTAATCTACAGTACTCCGAGAGCTACTAGCGCAATTTCAACTCGAACACCATTCTATGCTAATCTATCTACAGTACCCCAATGTTCCTTTAAATCTCCCTGAACAAAATTGTAGATCCCTCATTTCCGCCATCTCAAACACAAGCTACCGTAATTCCCATCTCATTTTTCGTGCCGACAAATACTTAACATTCGCTCAAGTGTGTCCAAACACCTTTTTGCTCATTTTTCGCGCGTTCTCATCACTCTACAGTATCACTTTAGTTGTGTGAAGAGCAAAAAGAAGCGGCGTTAATCTGTGTAATGAGAAGCTTCTAACACTCTTCACGGTTGCCTCACCCGATTTCCGCGCTAAGTGCTCGCACAAACACAAATTAATAATATATCATCATTAAAAATGTTGTGTTGACATTACGAGAGAAGATCGAGTACAGTAGTCACACCTTGTGATATCAACAAAAATGATTGTTTGGTTCGATGTCCCTTTAATTTTATTACCCTACAGTACTTACCTTGTGAAATCAAAAAATGAGCCAATGAAACATTTTCGAAAAAGAGCAGCGATTTTTGGAGACATGTGTAGCCGGCCTGTAAATTTTTTGGGTTACTGTAGATAATGGGCGGTGTAGATCAAAAAAAATCTACAGTAACCTACCGTATCCTTCAAATTAATATCCGCTCCTTTGGCCAAAAGCAGCAAAATTATCGATCGATCCGATTTGGCGACCGCCAAATGAAGAGAATTCGGCCCGTGAAGTGGAGTGTACTGCGCCAAATCGGGCTGAAATTTTAAAGGATTCTGAAGGCTTCTAAAAGCCCCTAAAGGTCCCCAAAGGCCCCTTAGACCCCCTAAAAGCCCCCTAGACTTACCTTATCTTCCAGCATCTCCTTAACCACTCCAACTTCACCACTCCGAATCACTTTCATCCATTTCATCCCGCAAGATTTCCAACAAATATCCTGAAAATCTACAGTACTCCTCTCTACAGTACCCATCTCCCAATTCCCCGCCAAAATTTGTTATAATTGTTGTTCAACATTCCATTTTCATGTCATTTTTTTTGTTGTGAGTGGAAAAGTGAAAAGTGACGAAATAATTGACACCCTTTTTGCCCCTCGTCGGGTTACTGTAGCCATAATTTATGGATTTTTTTTGGTGGCTGGCTGAGAAGAGGAGGTGCTTTTAGGATTATTGAAAGTTTTTTGAAGGTTGAAATAGTAAATTGTTGGGTTCCTTTAGAAAATCGCACCTTTTTTGATCTACACTTTTTTTTGGAAAACTTTTTGAAATCTACAGTACCTTTCTCTAGAAAAATCTGAAAATTGCAATTTTTCCAGGATAACTGTATGATCCTTTAAAGCTACCTACAATAATTTTGATCTACAGTAATCCTAGGCCAATTTTCTGATCTACAATTTCTCAAAATACCATTTGTCCCTTTAAAATCTACAGTACTCATAGCACACGTGTATGTCCCTTTAAATGTGCATAAATTACTCATAGCGCTTCTCTATGTTCCTTTAAAATTCTCCAGATTACTGTATGATCCTTTAAAGCTACCTACAGTAATTTTGATCTACAGTAATCCTAGGCCTAGTTTTTTGATCTTATGATGAAATTTCAAAAGTGTTCATCTGTGATGTCTAGATTACTGTACGATCCTTTAAAAGCGCACAAAAGATCCTCTAGCTCAACTGTATGCGCCTTTAAATCCAGTTTTCCACCTCAAAAACCCTCATGTCCCTTTAAATTCAAATCTCCAGTCAATTTTTTTTGCCATCCCCACTAATCTGCCCGTGTCTGCCTAATCCTTCCCCATATATCCTCCCATCCATCTGTCGGTATGTTTGACAACAATCAATCTCTTGTCTCTACAGTACCTTATAATAAATCATCCGAGAAAAAGCAAAGGTACCTCCTCAAATATTTGTCAATCTTCGATTTTGAGCCCCAAAATCACAAGAGCCGGTGTAAATTGATCACTTTAGCACTGTGTGTGTACTGTGCGAGCGAGGCGCTTGTTTGATTTGATTCGATTCGATTCGGTAGACTTAATAATAATCATAATAAATATTAAAAGATAGTAGTGTTTGAGAGAACAAGAGAGAGCGCAGAGTGAAAAAGAGCACAAGATTTTCACCTCGTGTTCAAGTGGTTGTAGATAACGTGATGATACAGTACTTGAGAGATTACTGTAGCTGCTAGATTTACAGGGCTTGCGGAGCACACCCTGTGAGATCAGGCTTTGTCCTCCTGGGGCTTAAGCCTAAGTCTAGTCCAGGTGAAGCCGGAGCTTTCATATAAGCCTAGATTTTCAGAAAGAAGTCCTAATTTTTCATAGAAGCCCAGATCTTTTATAGAACCCTGGATTTTCAGGAATAAGCCTAGATCTTTCATAAAAGCTTAGATTTTCAGAAAGAAGCCTAGATCTTTTACAGAAGCCTAGATATTCAGGAAGAAGCCTAGATCTTTCATAGAAGCCCAGATTTTCTTAGAAGCCTAATCTATAATTATTTTTGAGCCCGTAGCTTGAAATCTAGACTGTAGATTTCATTCCCGCCTTCTATGCTTAAAAAATGAGCTCCAAAATAGCTTTTCAAGTTTCAGACCTCAAAAATCCAATCTAGAATTATTTCTGAGCCCGTAGATTGAAGTCTAGACTAAATGTAGGGCCTATTTTCAACCAAAAAAGGTCCCCATTTTCCATATTTTCTAATTCTATCATCTCCTCCTCCTCTTCCCGTGTGTGTGTATAAACACAATTATAATTGTTGTCAATGAGAGGAGGCAGCAGCTTATAAAACAATTATTATTCTCTCCTCAATTCTCTTTAGTGTGAAGTAGATGATGATGATGATCCTGTCTGCGTCTCTCACAACCCTCCGTACTATTTCGCCACCCCATCAAATAACAGTAAACATTCCTCCTGCTGCACAAATCCGATTACCGTTTCCTATATCGTTTTGCGGCTCTGTGAGCAGAGGAGAAGAGCAGGAGAAGAGTAATTTGATGTGACACACATATGTTTTGGGGTTTCGGTGCAAAAAAGGAAGAGGAGGAAATCAAATAGAATGGTGTTATGTAATAATAATATTGTGGTGGTGGGCTTTTTGGAGCACCGACATGCCATTTCAAGGCTACAGTAACCTTGTAAGAAACTCTTGAGTTAGGCTTAGAAGTTATGAAACTTTGTAATTATTTGGAAAAGTTTGATCTACGACAATAACGTTTTTGCAATTTATTTTTTGGTGAATTTTTGATCTACCAAACATTTAGAAAATTGTGATCTACCAAAAATTTGGAATAATTTGATATACTGGAAACTTGAAAAAGTTTGATCTACCAAAAATTTAGAAAATTTTGAGCTATAAAAACTTTGGAAAAGGGCTGATTCACGAACGAAAAAAATGTTGAAAAATGTTTTTTTAACATTGAAAGATCAATTCACGAAAAGTCGAAAAATGTCGAAAAAACATTGTAGGTCAAAATTAGTTTTTCGAGTTTTTCAGCCAAAAATGATGACAAATCGATATTTTTGAAGCTTCTGAAGTGATTTCTGATGAAAATTGACCTCGGAATCCATTTTTCAGAAGTTTTTGCTGATTTTTCGTAAAATAAAAAAATTTCAAATTTTGATGAATTTCGAAAAAAATAATAAAATGAGGTAAATTAGGTTTTTCGAAGCTTATTTTCATCAGAAATCACATCAGAAGCCTCAAAAATATCGATTTGTCATCATTTTTGGCTGAAAAACTTGAAAAGCTAATTTTGACCTACAATGTTTTTTCGACATTTTTTGACTTTTCGTGAATTGATCTTTCAATGTTAAAAAAACATTTTTTAACATTTTTTTCGTTCGTGAATCAGCCCTAAACATTTTTGATAAAAACTTGAAAAAGTTTGAGCTACCAAAAATTTAGAAAAATTTGAGCTACAAAAAATCAGAAAATTTTTGATCTACAAAAAATTTAGAAAAGTTCTTGATCTACCAAAAATTTAGAAAACTTTAGGCTATAAAAAATTTCCAAAAGTTTGATTTTCCAAAACTTTTTTTTGGAAAAAAATTGTTATAAATTTTGCAATTTCAGAATTTTTCCTGAAATTTAATTTTTCGAAATTTCAAATCCCTCTTCTCAATTTCCCCTCAAAAACTCTTGCTTTTCTCCTAATTCCCATACTACTTTCCAAATCTCTTTCATTCATTTTATAGAGTATTTGAAATAAAGAAGACGACTTCTTGAAAAACTTGGGGGGATCGTGGGAAGATTTGCATATTTTATTTCGATTCTTTTTTATTCGGCTGCCAAAACAAAAGAATATCCAGAAGCTATTCTCAAGAATTCATTGAGATAGGTTAGAGACGCAGAGAAAAGCTAGACTACTAGAAAAATCTCAACTTTTCTCTGCGTCTCTCTCTCTCACCAAACCTACAGTAATATTTCACTGTCACCAATTTATTCGCGGCGCTTTTTTTAACAAAAAAAACTACTGTAGGTCACTTTTGTTGTCCTTTTCCTCTTATTCAAATCCGAATTAAATGTGTACATTTAAAAAATATATGACTAATTGAGGAAGAAGAATCAAATTATTATTGTTCTTTTTTTTTCTTTGACGAGATAATAATGAGGCGAATCGAATGGATTTATGTGAAAAAAAAACGAAAACGAGATTACTGTAGTTACAGTACTCCTATTTGTTTTTGACATGTGGTTATATGAGCAAAAAAAAGAGTCATCACCTTTGAATAATATTGGATTTTTATTGCTTGATTTATTTTTATCGACTACAGGTGTCTTTTTTGACACATCATAGGCAGGATTTTTGTTTTTGAAGAGTAGGGCTACTGTATGCAATTTTGCGGCGTGGGTTTTTGTCAATTTTTGTAGATCAAAATTCCTAGGATCAGAAAAATTAGGGCAAATTTTTTGTAGATCAAACATTTTCTGCAATTTCGACCCCTCCTTCTCAATTCCTCCCTGTTTACAAATTCCCCCCAACCTGACCTCTCACTAAAAAAATCAAATTGCGTAACTTGTTGATTTCCTCGCACCAGAAGCCCAAAAAGTGTCCAATTTTCTCCTCTCCGAAAAATCAGAGAAAATCGATTAAAAAGAGCAACATGTGGTTTGGGTCTAGAAAAAAACGAGAAAAATCCACACTTTGTGGATAATAGGATTATCTACCACAACAATATTATTATTATTTTATTTTTCGCCCGCTTAATGAGTTAATTACCATGTGTGTCATTTAAAATAATATCAATCATAATTTTGGCGAGAAAAAAGGTGTTGTGTGTAGTTCTTTTGGAGAAAATTGGGGGAGGGGGAAGATCATATCTCTGTTTATTTACCTCTGATCTTTTTCTGGATGATTTTGGAGGTCTCATTTTCCACGTGGAACTTTTTTTCGTGCTGAAAATCATTTGATTTTTTTTTCAAAAGAAACTGTGGAAAATTATGCCGAAAATTCCAAAAAATTGGATCAACCTATTTTCTAGACTAGAATTTTGTGCTAAAAATTATTTTCCTCCAAAAAATGTTCCTTTTCAAAAGTTCAACCCCCCCCCCCCCCTTCAAAGTTCCCCCCTACAGTAATCCTCCAAACCCCCCTCAGGCATTCAATAAATATATCGTTTAGAAAAATAAATATAATATCCATAATACTTCCATCCACTAAACACATGTCGCCTCTTCAAAATTGGAAAAAGGCTATTATTTTCCATAATACTCATGTTACTAAAAGTCCCTTGGGCTCTCTTTTTTTAATTAATTCAACACATATTAATTAACAATTCCAACAATTTTTCACACGCTTTTTTCATTGTCTACAGTAACCCAAAGATTCCAGTTTTTCCCGCGCAATTCATTACAGTAATCCCTCAAAATATCTTCTTTTCATAAGTATTATGTTTCTTTGGCTTCCTTTCTTCACACGATTAAGAGGAGAATATCCATTTTTTGGGATATTTGACGAGAAATTTGATCTATTTTTTTCTGGGTCCCGAGTGGAAATTTATCCACGGAAAATTGGGATTTTTTTGAAATAAAACACATGTTTTTGTGTCACAAAAAAACATTTGGTTTCGTGTAAAACCAGAAAAAATAAATAAATTTGTTGCCAGCCAGAGAAAATGAGGCAAAAAAAACGATTTTTTTTGGTAGATCAAAAATTTCGCTGCTAGAAATAGCCACGTGGCATTTTGTCAAGATTTTGGCACCAAAACCAGTGGGTTACTGTAGATCTCTAGGTACGAGGTTTCAAAGCGATTGTGAGGTTACTGCAGGAAAACAAAATTCGAAAAAGTTCCGAATTCATCCACGTGGCATTTTTCGAGAGCTACAGTAATCCTGTCACGTTTTTGATCTCCCGAAAATTATTGCCACATGGAAACTCTTCCTCTACAGTAACCACACGTATTTTCTTCTTGATCTACCTACAGTACTCCCGCAGCTTATCAAATTTGGCGCCAAAAATCTCCCCAGCTGGACATTTTCAAGGTCTTTTTTGTGTCTATGTGTGTATGATACCGTAATTTTTCCCAAACATAACAAAATTTCACACAATCATAAACATCTCGTTTTTCAATTTTGGACAATAAAAAATTCCGGATCACTGTAGATCCCTTTTGAGTACTGTACCAAAAAAAGCAAGGTAAACAAAAAGCATCTATAGTACATTAATATTATTATTATTATTATTATGACTATTATAATAATAAATAAAAGCGAGTTAGTCAGGTTTAAAAGGAATTGACCGCTAATTTATGCATGATCTACACATCCTTTTGAAAAAGAGAAGATTACTGTAGTTTTTTGGGGCCAAAAACGACCTTTTTTATTGGAATAAAAAGGTCATAAAATTATGAGAGCTCACAAAAATGTTTTTGCGGTTTCTTTGATTTTTGTTGGGCGCCAATTGAAAATAGTTCCGGTTTTTGGCAAAAGTAGGGTCTTGGAGCGAACAGGGTTACTGTAAATCCAGAAATTTTGTAGATCAAAAATTTGGTCGTCTTGAGACCAGCAGGATTACGGTGGCCAGCCAAAACCAGAAAAAAAGTCCAAACTTTTGGTAGATCAAAACTTTAGTTGTTTCGGCCAAAAAATTGAGGGTACTGTAGACCAGGGCCGAAAAATTTCAAATATTTTAGTAGATCAAAATTCTGGGATCCAAGGATTACGGTAGCTCTCCCCAGAAACTAGGATTACTGTAGTCTCTGTAGATCAAAATCTCCCTTTTCTCCCCAGGATTACTGTAGTGCCCAAATAACTGACCTTAGTAGATTCCGAATTGATCAAAATACTCGAATTGGCTCTTTTTGGCGCCAGAAACGACGGTTCCTCATCAAAATTCTGCAAAAATTCGAATCTCAAGGCGCCAGTTCGACCCCCCTACTGACCAATTTTGCTTCCGAATTTCGCAAAATCGCCGCGAGAACATTGTGACTCAATCCATCGCCAGGTTCCATTTTTTCCTGCAAAAAAAACTTGACATTTCCCCCTCGTTTTCTTTCTTTTCCCATAAAAATCATCATAATGCAAATCAAAATTTTATTTGTTTTAATGATTTTTATACAATTTTTGCCGCATTAAGAAACATTATTGTATCATAGTTTCCCCCTCAAAAAATTGTCCAGATATTTTTTACGAAAAATATTTTTCACAAGATTTTATTGTTGTTTTCGTTTTACATATTTTTTGCAGTAGAAACATTGCGTGCACTTGTTGTTTTTCTCAAAAAATTATTATTTTTCGCGGTTTTTTTTCTGTTTTTGTTTTTGATAAGAAAGTCTGGCGGTTTTTGAACTTCTGATTTTTTTTGGAAGAAACTGGGCTAGATCTTTAAGAAAATGCAAATTTTCGGGGTGAAAATGACAGAACTGCAGAAAATCTAGTAATTTTTCAGCTGAGGATACAGTACTTCAAACTGCACGAAATCCAAGATTTTTGGGAAAAATGGTTACAGTATCCCGGACTGCAAAAAATCGGGAGTTTTGCAGTCCGGAGTACTGTAACCTTAAAAAATTCTTAAGATTTTTTTCAAAGGATTTTTTGCAGTCCGGGGTACTGTAACCTTAAAAAATGCTTAGGATTTTTTCAAAGGATTTTTTGCAGTCCGGGGTACTGTAACCTTAACAAATTCTCAAGATTTTTTCAAAGGATTTTTTGCAGTCGGGGTACTGTAACTCTTTTCCCAAAAAGCTTTGATTCCTTGAAGTACTGTATAGCTTGAAGTACTGTATTCGCAGCTGAAAAATTACTAGGATTTTTTTTCTGAACTTGATCTACAGTACTTCAGACTGCAAAATTTTCTTAGATTTTTGAGCTTGCTCTACAATATCTTAGACTTCAAATATTTCAATCAACAGTAATCCAAACTGCAAAAAATCTAGAATTTTTGAGCTTTATCTACAGCACTTTGGACTCCAGAAACTTCAATTTACTTATCCTACAGTACTCCTAGCCATTTCCAAAGAGCCTCCAATAATAAATCAACACTTCTTTCTATTCTCCCCACTTTTCATCATCCGCCCCATTATTTTTTCAACCACAAAAAAATGTGTTAAACACATGTGTGCACATCGCTTTTTTAAAATAACACACACAAACTTTTTTCTAATTCAATTCATCTCATCAAAAAAGTTCTGCCGGAAATCAGCTGTTGGTGTAACTTTTTGGGAGGGTGAACAGAGGCCATCTCATCATTTCCAGGGTGTCAAATTAACACCCCCTGTCTCATTTTTCTAAAAAGTGTCACATATTGTGTGTGTGTATATGTGGTGTAAAATAAGCTGTAAATTGATCGTGCTATCAAATTACGGGTGCTTAATGGATTTCTTAGGAAGAAGGCTTACAGTAGTTTTGGGCCGCGCTCATTTTCCCACACATGTTAGATAAAATGTTTACACGAGTTTAGATATATACATGTAGATAGAGAGAAAAAGTTTGTAAGAGTACATTTTCAGGTGATTCAGGAAAAAAAATTGTGGGAAAATGTATGTATATGGATTAGATACTTTTTGTTTTGCGGTTTTTTTTGGAGCTGAATTTTTTTTTGAAAATTCAGCGACCTTTAAAAATTTTAAGACCAGGTTTTAAAGGTTCTCCCAATTTTCAAATTTCGAAATTCTGGCGGCAAAAAATGCGGGCCCAAATTTTGATCTACCCCTTCAGCCTAACTGGATTTGAAATTCCGAAATTCTAGCGCCAGTAAAAAATCTGGGCCCAATTTTTGATCTACCATCGGATCTTAAGTCTAGCCAATTTTCAAATCCGAAATCCTGGCGCCAGAAAACCTGGACCCAGTTTTTTGATCCACCATAAGACCTTCAGCCTAGCTTATTTTCAAATCCTAAATTCTGGCGGCAAGAAATTGCGGGCCCAATTTTTGATCTAGAAAATTTTCAAGCCCTCAAAACCCTTTCAAAAATCCCCCAGGTGCTCAAAATTCTCACCCATATGTTAATTATTCGTTTAGACATATAATAACTCGAGTCACTTACACATCTGACTCTTCCTTTCCTCTTTCCATATAATTCCAACCAAGTGTGTGTGTGTGTGTACATAATGAAGTGTGAGCTAAGTGCTCACAACAACAACAATAAAAACAATCCCCCCTCTTCCTACATTATATCCTTTTTGTGGATATAATCTGAGCAATCTCTACTAGGATAATGATTATTGCGTAACTCATTTGGTTATTATTATATTATCCATCCAAGGACTCTTATCAAAACTTGTGTTATTATTACAACATCATTTATGTAGATTAGGGATTATTATAATAGAGATGTTGTGTCTTCTCAATAAAAGTAAGTGTGTGCCCTTCAAATCTGGGTGAGATCATCAAAACTGATTAGAAATGGAAAATCGAGAAAAAAGGAGGAGGAGGTGGAGGAGGAGGCCAACAAGTGGTTCTTTTGATGGAACACATACTGATATGAGCAATGGCTAGATTAGATTTGGAGGTTTAATATGAGCAATGTTTTTAAAGCGGAGTTTTGACAGACTTTTGACACGAATTTTCTTAACATGAGCAACGAAGCCACGTGGAAAATGTCCTTATCATGAGCAATGAAGCCACGTGGAAAATAATTGTAATATGAGCAATGCTTCCACATCTAAAAAACTGCCACGTGTCAATTTCTGTTAGCTGTATTTTCAAACTTCGCCACGTTGAAAGTTTACCTAACATGAGCAACGCTTCAGTGGGGAAAATTTCCTTAATATGAGCAATGCTTCCACGTGGAAAATGTCCTTATTACGAGCAATGAAGCCACGTGGAAATGTCCTTAACATGAGCGATGATGGCATATAGAAATTTTGTTTAACATGAGCGATGATGGCATATAGAAATTTTGTTTAACATAAGCAATGCTTCCGCGGGGAAAACTTCCTTAACATGAGCAACGATGTCACGTCAAAAAAACTGCCACGTGTCTGCTAGTTCCATTTAGTCTCACATTTGTCTCCCTCATGTATCAATTGTCAATTTTCCTGTGTCCCGTCTCCAAAAACAACTAATGATGATCGAAATTCGATCCCACAACTTTTGTATATATCAAAAAAGCCACTCGCTCTCTCTTCCCGTTCCAATCGCCAAAAACTAAACACATGTTTAGATAAACAAATGACAATAGTTTAGTTAGCCTAACTCTCAATTCTCCTCGCCCCACAAATCCATAACTCAACGACGACACGTCTAAACGATGTGCAATTCATCAATTTGCGACTTTCTGTAGAAGTGGTGGAGCACGAACATTGTTAGTTAGGGAAAGACAAAATGAACAACAGGCGCGCTTGTCTCCACAAGCTGTCTAACAACATTTTGAGGCGAGAAATATCACATATCGCTACAGATATATATGCTTGCTCTACCTGGGCCGAAGATTTAGAGCCTTGTCACAATTATCGACACCTGACGTGTGAGAGGAGGGAAAAACGAAGGGAGGTGCGATTTTTGTCACAAACATCTCGATTATTATCAACTTCGATTATGAACAACAACACACGCACACTTTTTACTACATACTCATAATACGTTGTGTGTGTATGTGATATTTGATAGCGCCATTTTGTGACAGGAGGTCCGGGAGACAAGGTAGATTAGGAGGGAAGGATGGGAACGCCAGATAGGCTTAGGTAGAAGTTTTTGGGTTGGAAAACAGATGTTCTAGCTGGCTTTCTGAGAATATTTCAGATTTTTGAGATCGGGCTTGGAAGATTGGATAATTTAACCCAATTTCTGAGGGGACGACAAAATTTTAATGATTTTGGGAGCATTTTTGGTCATGTTTAAGCTTCTGATATTAAAAAAAAACCGATTTCCAGTTAATTTTTAAGCCTCTAAGCTCAAAAATCGGATTTTTAGGTCATTTTCAAGCTTCCAAGGTCAAAAATCCGATTTTTAGGTCATTTTCAAGCCCCTAAGCTCAGAATCCGATTTGTTGTCAATTTTAAGGCTTCTAAGCTTAAAAATTCGATTTTTTGGTCATTTTCAAGCTTCTACGGTCAAAAATCCTATTTTTTGTCAACTTTTAAGCCTCTAAGCTCAAAAATCCGAATCTTTGTCAATTTTTAAGTTTCTAAGCTCAAAATACCGTTTTTAGGTCATTTTCAAGTTTCTAAGGTCAAAAATATGATTTTTAGATAATTTTCAAGCTTCTAAGCTCAAAAATTCGATTTTAAGGCAGTTTTCAAGCTTCTAAGCTCAAAAATTCGATTAAGCCTAAGGTGAAACTTTTCAGAATCCCTGGGATCCATAATTTCCAAAAGTTTCAAGCTCCAAAATCTTTTCAGATCTAGTCTAAGGGCTTAGGTCAAATTTCAAACCGTTACAGTTAGGACCTAATTACCTCCACCAACACCTAATTTGCCCTCCAAATCCCACCCAAAACCAATAAATAATCCAAAAAAAACAAGGCTTATCGTAGTTCGAAATCTTCTCAGGTGTGTTCGTCGTCGTTAAAAACAACACACCATATGAACATTTTTGTGGGGTGCACACGATCATAAATCACTTTGACAACATTGTTGGGTCTGACTTTTTGCACACTTTTTTTATGTGTGCTCAGATGATTTATATAATTATGCTACTCGCTCCAAAAACCCATCAACACCTTTTTTCCCAAAGGAAATCAGCTCACGCATAATTGAGCCAGTGTGTCAAGAATGAGGAGGACCCTTTAATTATCCACCCGGTTTGACACCCCCACCCAAGTGTTTAGACTAACTCGGCAGATTTTGAGCAATGATATAGGCTTGTTCACGGCCCTGCTCAGAGCTCTTTACACATGTCAAATGCGCGCGCGCGAGTAGATCAACAAAATTGATATAAAAAAGAGCCAGGGCGCGGCGGCTTTGCTTTTGGCGCAATGATTGATTTTGATTTGTTAGATTGAATGTGTGTGTGTGTGTTTGTGTATAAGTGAAAAAATGTGTAATAATCAAATAAAATTTGTGGCGATGTGTGTGCAATGTGCCACATTATTTTATTATTATTATGATGATGATGATTATTGTTATGTGGTTTTTATTTTTGTGGAAGGTGTTTTTAATTATACTGTAAATGTGCCACGTGGCAGAAGAAGCCTCAGGAGTTACAGACTCTCTTGAAAGCCTAGAGCTTGGATTCCGGCCCTGGAGGGCTTTCAGGAAACTCCAAAAAATCCTACAGTCTTCCAGAATTTAGCCTAGGCTTCGAGGCCTTTCATTTGGACTGCCAGGTCCTCAAAAGTTACCCAAAGTCCAGTTCTAGACTTCAGACTTGTTGTAAACTCTACGGCTTAGGTTTCAAGCCAAAAATTATGAATTTTGGATCATTTTGAGCCTAGAATCAAGTTTTGAGCCAAAAATCGAAAAATTCGGATCATTTTGAGCCTAGTCACTTGAATTTAGGCAAAAATTGAGGATTTTGAGCCTGGAAACCTGGATTCGAGCCAAAAATTGAGAATTTTGAATCTGAGCCAGAAGATAGACTAAGTGAAAATCTAGGCTCCCCCAAAACTCCCCCGTGACCTCCCACTTCCCATAATCCTTCTCCTCCTTCTGATCCTGGAAAAAAACCAGGATCTGGATCTGTCAAGGTCTTCCTCGATTTCTAATCCCTCTCAAGAACCCGATTTTTTGCGCATATAACTTGTAAATCTACATAATCCAATAATAATAACTTGTATGAGACCTCCCAAGATGGGGATAATAATAATATAAACAGCTGATAAAATAGAAGGCCGACAGAACTGTATTAACACTTGACTTGACACTTTATTTGGATATTTATTTGTAAACAGTATCATAGTTGGACAGGTGTTTGACCTGGTGTTTGAAAAACAAGGGTGTGCCTTTAACTATTGGTAAGGCCTAAAGATTCTAAACCTCATGGGAGCCTAGAGCCTAGAAAATTCAACCCCAAAGCAATTTCCTTTTGACAACAAGGGCATATGTTTTTCCACATCCTCCTCATCATCTCCGTTTTCATTTCATTTCACGCAAATTAATGTTTCTCATTTGCATTTTGCTCGGAAAAAATGCGAAATTTTTTTGGGGGTGCGCGAGACCTCTACATTATTTACATAAGAAAATGTTGTGTTGAAATGGGCAGGAAAATTTTAATGAGAAAATTTTTTGGGACCTGAAAAATTTTGAAAATTAAAAATCTAGAGATCAAGAAACTTGCGGAATCTGGGAGCATCTCAGATTTTCCAGAAAAAATCTTGAAATTCCAAAAATTGTGCTCCAATTTTTCGGTTCAAAAAACCACCCAATTAAAAACATTTTTGCAACCCAAAAACCTATGTTCGTCACATTTTTAATACATTTCCGCCTCGGAAATCCCAAAAAAATCTCATGTAGTCCTCTCGCAAAAAATGCTGTGTACTTCTCTCGGACAATAAATCTTCCTCTTCCTGATAAAATCAGAGAACTTGTCAAAAATTGTTAACGAAGACATAAAAACTCGGATTTATGTGTAAAAGACCTTGATATATTTATTTTGTACACACACAAAAAAATTTGTGAGAAAAACTGTGTTCAAACACTTGACAATCCGTGTTAACGATATGTTTATCATCTCACAGGCAAGAAAAAATTTGTGCACAATTTTTTTTTCACGGCTCAAGTACCCCCACCTATTGCCATTGTGATGTTTGAGAGCCCGTGTGCAACTAAATTGTGTTTTGTTTTGTTTTGTACATTTTTCGGCCCAAAAACATCTGTGCCACCAAATTATCAGCTAGGTGTTAAACACAATTACACCATGGTGAAGGGGGCCGGAAAACATTGTTTTTTTTTGACACCTTGGTGACAAACATGTGAATTTCCGGATTGATAGCGGTACATCTATTTTATCTCCGCGCGCCTTTGGGAAACAGAATAATTTGATTTTTTGGTGGGAAAAATTCCAGGTGGCTCTCTAGTTTGATGTGAAAATCCACGTGGAACAATTTTGAAATTTGAAAAACAAATTCTTAAGATAGAAAAATCCACGTGGCATGATTTTCATAAAAAATCAAGTGGTCAAACTGAATTTCTGTGCAAAAAATTGCGAGCGAGCAAAATTTGCCTTGAAAAATCCACGTGGCATAATTTTGAACTTGGACCAATTTTTTCTGGTTCAAAAAGTCTCAGTGATAAGATCCACGTGGAAATTAAAAATTCCAGTTTCTGCAATGCCACGTGGCATGATTTTCATAAAAAATCAGGTGCTCGAACCGTTTTTGTGCAAAAATTATGAGCGACCAAAATTTGCCTTGAAAAATCCACGTGGCATAATTTTGAACTTGGACCAATTTTTTTTCTGGTTCAAAAAGTCTCAGTGACAAGATTCACGTGGAAATTAAAAATTCCAGTTTCTAAAATGCCACGTGGAACAATTTCGAACTTGATCAATTTTTTTTCTGGTTTAAAAAAGTCTCAGTGACAAGATCCAGTTTCTAAAGTGCCACGTGGCATAATTTCCAACTGTAGAAATTGTTCCTAACTAAATTTCGGTGCAAAAATATCAGCTACAAAATCCACGTGGCAAGAAAAATTCCAAAGTGCCACGTGGAATATTTCAACAGTCAAAAATCCTAGTGACAAAATTTTAATTTTCAAAAAGTTTTTGCCACGTGGTTTTCAAATCTGAAATCTCTGCTTCTAGCGTATTCCCACGTACAAAATCCACGTTGAACCCTCCACCTTTCCCCGCCAAAACATCGCCTAAGTCCCGCCTTCCTCATAAGTATACATTTCGATTACAGTATCCATTCATTTTCGGCTGCCCCTCCTCCCTCTCCCAACACACACATTTAGTCAAAAACCCATGTCAAACAATTCTATATACATTGCGCTTTTCTCCTCGCGACTCCGCCCACTTTTTTCTCCGCGGCCTCCTCTTCTTCTTTTCTCATTTACCTACCTCTACCAAATAAATGGCTCCCTTTCATTTTCAAAATCATAATTTTTAAAAACATGTCCATTTTACTACAACTTGTAATAAGTATTGTCTTTTTGTTGTAACTTACTTACTTACTAAAAAAAGACAATCTTTTTCTTCTCCTTCTTTCATAATAATGTCTCTTGTCGAACATTTTTATTGTAATATGTTTTATTTTTTGGTCATTTTTACACTTTTCTCCTTCAAATCGCGCCTTCGCTTCCCTTTTGTTTCGGTCGAGAAAAAGAAACAGTTTTTTCGATTTGATTTGATTTGTGTTTTTTGTTTGTGTTTGGGTAGGTAAAATGACCGCTGATGGTTTGAGATGTTCTTGTGAAACACCTTTCGGTTTCAGTTTTCTTCTTGATTTTTGTGTAAGTTTTTAGGTTTCTAACAGTTTCTTACATAATTTTTTGAAATTCTCTCTGTTTCCTTATTTTTCTGGGCTCGAAATCTTTTTTGTATAATTTTTGAGCTTCCAAAGAGCCACTAATTTTTGTAAAACTTCATTATTTTGCTCAAAAATGTTTGGAGCAATTGAAAAAGTTCGAAATTCCTAATGAGCTCCAGAATTGAAACTTCAGAAAAAATTCTCAAGCTTCTAGAATTTTTTTAAATCTTACAGATCACTAATTTTCAAAATTCTAGAAGTCTAGAACATTTTTAATCATCCGAAACTTCTCTCAAAAATCCCAAGTTGTCTAAAAATATTCACAGAATCCCCACAAGCCTTCTAGAAATTTTCCAAACTTCTCTGAACCACCCAAAAGCTTTCTGAATCCTCTAGAACCTCTGAAATTCTCTGGAACCACCCAGAAGCTTTCTGAATCCTCTAGAAGCTCTCAGAATCTTTAGAATTCCTCAAAAAGAATACCGAAATCTTCCCAAACCCCTTACATGTTCCAAACTTCCCACGGGCACCTTTCCAAAATACCACCTAATCCCATTAATCACACCGTAGTGTTTTTCGTTCATGTCATACATATTTTCTCGTCTCGACCACGCCCCCTTTTTCTCGTCCCGCTTCCAATTGGCCAATGGGCGGAGCATGTCTCGCTCACTCCGGTTTACTTTTCACAATTTTGTTGTGTTTTTGCCGGCTGCTCTCACTTTGCTTACACATGTTTTTCGCTTTTCTCTTCGCCTTTCGCCTTTTTTCATTTCTTATCATTTATCCAAGAACCATGTTCCATTATTATTTTTTCCAATTCTTTATCATTGTGTGTTGTGTTATCTATTTATTTTTTTTGCTCAACAATGATTTATCGCTCTACTTTTTTGTTGTTATAATAATAACCATGTAATTTTTACAGATTCTTCTAGTTCATATTAATTAATTTTCAATCACATCTAATTATTTCAAATCATAGTCAAATGATGGCTTTCAATCCAGCGATTGCTTTTAATCCGGTAAGTTTTGGGCAAGGGGGCACTGTATTTTGGCACATTTTTTTGAGGGGATTTTTGTTGTTGAAAAAAATAGAACCTAGATTTCTAGAAAAAAAATTCGTAGCTAATTTTGTGTACTGTACTTTTCAAGTCCAAAATTTAATTTAGCTCAAAAAATGTTTGAGCCCTAGACTTAACCCAAAATATTTTAGACCATATTTTTAAAGCTTGAAAAATTCCCTTAAATTTGTTAAACCTCAGATTTATCCTAACATTTTTTGCCTAAAACTTGGTCTTAAAATTTTTGAGCATTAGATATAGATCCTAAACTGAGACCTATAATTTGGCCTTCTGAAAATTTTTAGACCAAATTTTTTGAAGCTCTAAATTTACCCTAATTGAATAATATTGGCTTAAAATTTGGCCAGCTATAAATATTATTTGAACTTTAATTTGACCATCTAATTTTTTGTGAACAAAAATTTTTGATCTACCGAAAATTCTCGAAAAACTGATCTACCTGATTCTAAATTTCTACTTTCCAAAAAAAACATGTCTCCAATTTTTTCCACCTCAAAACCCATTCTCAAAATTCCAGCTGCTCACCCCAACCACCGCCAAATCGGAAAACTCCTCTCCACCCGCCTCCAACCTGCTCTCCGCCACAACAACTCCAACAACCGGCGCCACACCAGCTCCACCAACTCCACAAGAGCAACAAATGCGATTCCTCGCCGCTGCTGCCGCCGCCGCTTCGAATCCGCTTCTCCAACAATTCCAAATCCCACCACCGCAAGCAATGATGGCGCAAGCGTTGGCAGCGCAAGCACAAGGCGGTCTCGGTTTTCCAGTGGTTTTTCCGCCAGGTTTAGGACAGGTTAGTGACTTCTTATCTCAAAAAAAACGACGGGAGCCCCCAGCAGCGCAATAATCCTCCCTTTTTTGTTCACCACCGACAAATAATAACAACAGCAGAGAAAAAAGGTATACGGTAGGAGGCAATGTTGATTTAACGTCGTCAAAATTAAATAACACGATTTTGATGTGTTGTATCCTATCTATCTTTTCAAATACATATATTTATTTGATTCTTCTCCCCAATTTTTTTTGTGTTGTTGTATCGTACATGGATAGATTGATATAACAAACATAATAAAACACTAAAAACAATTATGATGATGATATAATAAAAATGTGTGGGGCGAGAACATTGGGGCAGATGATAGGGGGGAAATATTTCGAAATTTGGGCATAGCTTCCGCGTCCCACCTGAAATGCCCAGAAAATCATAGAAATCTCGGATTTTTCTGAAATTTCAGCTTGAAATTCCAGGAAAATGCGAAAATCTATGATTTTTTGCGCAATTTCAGAATTTTATTCAAAATTTGGGCATAGCTTCCGCGTTCCACCTGAAATGCCCAAAAAATCATAGAAACTTCAAATTTTCCTGGAATTTCAGCTTGAAGTTCCAGGAAAATTCGAAAAACTATAATTTTTTGCGCGATTTCAAAAAAAAACTATTGAAATTTGAGTTTTTCTAGGTTTTAGAAGAAAAAAAATCAAATTTTTATTCAAAATTTGGGCATAGCTTCCGCGTCCTACCTGAAATGCCCAAAAAATCATAGAAACTTCAAATTTTCCTGGAATTTCAACTAGAAATTCCAGGAAAATTCGAAAATCTAGGATTTTTTGCGCGATTTCAGAAAAGACTTTTAAATTTTTTAATTTTTGAATTCAAAATTCATAACCTAACCCCCTCTAAATTTCCAGGACTTCAAGCCCGAAATGATGATGCAACACGGACCAATGGGCCCAGTTCTCATGGACCAAGCCCACTTCTATCATCCCTACTCGCTCGAAGGAATGAAGAAGCGAAATGCGACAAAAGAAGCCACCGAGCCGCTGAAAATCTGGCTCCGCGCTCATCAGAAAAATCCCTATCCAACGAAGGGTGACAAGGTTTTGCTGGCCATGCAAACACGTATGACATTAACACAGGTTGGTTATTTTTGTTTGGGCCAAGTGTACTTAGCACTAATTCGTGTTTTCTTTACATGTCCCGCAGTTTTATTACGGGGGTACTAAAAAACAATTAGTCTAGTAATTTATCTGAGCTTCTATATATTCTTTTTCGCTAATTCAAAATTTGGCGCCAAGCCGCACCCTCTAGAAAAAACGACCTTTCTGAGTAACCAAAAAGAAAAACATCGACAGTAATCTATTTAATCGTATCATTTCTCTCCTAATGTTTATGTTTGACCATCAAAATAACTAGGTATTCATTCAGTGGCAAAAAATGGAGAGAAAGAGAAACAAAAGATGGTTGGACGAGATAAACACACACACACAAAGTGTTAATTAATGTGTTTCATTTCAATTGTGACAAGTTTAGTTTAGTGTTTTCGAGAGAGAGAGAGAGAAAAAAGACATTGAAAACGAAAACATTTGATTTCGAAACCAAGAAATGTGGCGCGAAAAAAAAACTTAATTAGAAAAATCTCGGGGTTGGGCACCAAGAAATTTTCGAAATTTGGGCATAGCTTCCGCATCCCAGCTGAAATGTCCAAAAATCATAGAAAGCTCGGATTTCCCTGCAATTCCAGCTAGAAATCCCAGGAAAATCCAATTTTCTATGATTTTTTGCGCTATTTCAGAAAAAATGTTCGAAATTTGGGCAAAGCTTCCGCGTCCCAGCTGAAATGCTCAAAAAATCATAGAAACATTGGAGATTTCTTGAATTCCAGCTAGAAATCCCAGGAAAATCCAATTTTTTAAGATTTTTTGCGCAATTTCAGAAAAATGTTCAAAATTTGAGCATAGCTTCCGCATCCCAGCTGAAATGCTCAAAAATTCATAGAGCAATCGGAGATTTCTGGAATTTCAGCTAGAAATCCCAGGAAAATCCAATTTTCTATGATTTTTTGCGCTATTTCAGAGAAAACTATTGAAATTTGATTTTTTCTAGGTTTTAGAAAAGAAAAATCAAATTTTTATTCAAAATTTGGGCATAGCTTACGCATCCCAGCTGAAATGCTCAAAAAATCAGAGATTTCTGAAATTTCAGCTATAAATCCCAGAAAAATCCAATTTTCTATGATTTTTTGCGCGATTTCAGAATGTGCTAGGTTTTATTCCATTAAAATTCGAGTAGAGCTTTCGCGCTCTACCGAAGTCAGCCCACAAAAATCCAATTTTCGCGCAATTTTCACACAAAATTCCCCCAACAACCCAAAAAACATTTCAGGTTTCCACCTGGTTCGCCAATGCTCGCCGTCGCCTAAAGAAAGAGAACAAAATGACGTGGTCGCCTCAAAACCGCCGCGGTGATTGCGACGACGACGATTTCGACAACGACGACGACGATCTCAACCGCCCATCCAGCTCAAATTCAATCGTCTCAACGCTCGACCTCAAAATCGGCGCAAAACGCTCAAGTCCCTGTCCATCCGGTGGAAGTTCCGATGATCTACTATTAACCACAACACCCAAAAAAGCAAAGATCTGGAGTATTGCAGATGTTGCATCAGAGGAAAGTGACAAAAAGGTGAGAAAATATGTTTATTTTCAATACATTATTACACCGTGTCTGTAGCTGGCACAGAATAAACAAATTATAAATATGTATAAAGTATATAAATATACATATACATATATACTTTTATCGCTTGTCAAACACTTTTTAAACATACATTTGACAAAAAAAGGGATGACAAATAACTCAAACATACTTATGTTTTCAGGATTCTTCCCCATCTTCCGACGAAAATACCGCATCAAATTTGCTTAGTGAAGCAATGAGATCGCAAAAATCCTTCCAAGAAAATCTAATGGCAATCGCTCGACACAATCCACATCTCATGGCTTCAATGCGAATGATGAACCCGGCCGCTGGATTCATGTTCAATCCAATGCAAATGTTCGCATTGAACATGCAACAACAAGCGGCGCAAGCTGCGGCTGCTGCGGCGGCTGCTGCGCAAAATGCGGGTAGTGGAAATGGATTGAATTTGACTACTTCTACAACACAAAATGCTTCATCACAAGGTAAATTTTGAGGGTTTTGGATGGATTTTATGAGAAATTTGGGCATAGCTCACCTGAAATGCCCAAAAAATCATAGAAATCTCGGATTTCCCTGCAATTTCAGCAAGAAATTCCAAGAAAATTCAATTTTTTATGATTTTTTGCGCAATTTCAGAGAAAACTATTGAAATTTGATTTTTTCTAGGTTTTAGAAGAGTTAGAATTCAAAATTTGGGCATAGCTTCCGCATCTCACCTGAAATGCGCGAAAAATCATAGAAATCTCGGATTTCCCTGCAATTTCAGCTAGAAATTCCAGAAAAATCCGAAAATCTATGATTTTTTGCGCTATTTCAGAAATTCATTCAAAATTTGGGCATAGCTTCCACATCTCACCTGAAATGCCCAAAAAATCATAGAAATCTCGGATTTCCCTGCAATTTCAGCCAGAAATTCCAGTAAAATCCGAAAATCTGTGATTTTTTGCGCTATTCCAGAGTTTGAATTCAAAATTTGGGCATAGCTTCCGCGTCCCACCTGAAATGCCCAAAAAATCATAGAAACTTCGAATTTTGCTGCAATTTCAGCTAGAAATCCCAAGAAAATCCGAAAATCTATGATTTTTTGCGCTATTTCAGAATTTCAACTCAAAATTTGGGCATAGCTTCCGCGTCCCACCTGAAATGCCCAAAAAATCATAGAAAAATTGGATTTCCCTGCAATTTCAGCCAGAAATTCCAAGAAAATCCAATTTTCTATGATTTTTTGCGCTATTTCAGAAACTCCAAAAATCGAGCAAAGTTTATACACAAAAAGTTTCCACCCCAATTTCAACGAATCCCGCTTATCATCAAAACGTTCACCAAATCAAGAGCAACTTATTTCAATAAGTCGACAAGTTAAGCCGATTTGTCTCGATTCAACACAAAAAACTGATAGTATAGTACATAGATAGGTGTTCATTGACATGTCAAACATAAATTGACAGCATTTCGCTTTTATCTATCTACACAAAAAACGACAAGTTTATGATTTACGACGGGGGAAAAGTACGAAAAAGGGTTCCCAAAAGTGACCTAACGGGGATTAGTTTTAATGCACCGGGGTTCCTGGTGTTCTTAAAAATGATTTATGAGCTTCTACATTTTTTGTTAGTTTAAAAATATATATAATATTTTTATAGGTTTGCAATCTGAAGAATCTGGAACAACACCAACTTCTGAAGCATCGCCAGCGGCTTCGCCAAAATCTGCACCAATAATTTCGCCAGCTCCTCCAAGGACAGCCACCCCAGCCTATTAAATCCTTCCTGGGTTTTTCTCTTGCTCTCATCAAATTAATATTCAATTAGGACTTTATATATCTCTAGCCGGGTCATTTTTCTTCTCTTTATAAAACACAAATTTGGTCTCTGTTTTTCTTCTCCTTCAATTTTTTCCCCCAATTTCCCTAAACCCTCATGTACAATATTCCCTCTCTCAATTAATTCGCATAACATGACTTTTTTGAGCTTTTCTCGTTTTCATTTGATATATTCTCGGTTTGACAATTTTTTTTTGCAAATTTTTATCAATTTTTTCTTTGTTAGTGAGTATATTTTATATATTTTGATCGATTTTTGAAAATTTTAATAAAGAATTTGAAAATAACTAACCTTTTTGCCTGTGTGGATGGAAGTTGTGGGGATTTTCAGAGACGATGATTTTCAGCAGCCGGTGAGCAATGTGCAATTTTCTGAAATAAAATTTCACTGAAAAATTATCTGGCATTTCTAAATTGCCACGTCATATATCTATTTCACGTGGAAAATAGGTTTTTTAGAATGTTTTTCGAAAAAATCACAAAAAACTCAAATTTCGGTCTAGAAATCGAAACCAAGGCCGAAATGGCCTAGAAATCCAAAAAAAAACAACTGAGTTAGGCTGGATATCTAATTCATGGCCTAGAAATCCAAGTGGTGGCCTAGAAATCTGTAAAAAGGGGTAAAATGACTTGAAAACCTGCATTTTCAATAGAAAATCCAAGTGGTGGCCTAGAAACCCAAATTATTCTTGGAAAATCCTAAATTTCACTGGTAAATTCTATTTGTGGTCTAGAAATCCAAATGGTGGACTAAAAAACCAAATTATTCTCGAAAAATCAAAAACTTCACTAGTAAATTCAATATTTGGACTAGAAACTCAAATGGTGGCCTAGAAATCTGTAAAAAGGGATAAAATGGCCTGAAAACCTGAATTTTTAATAGGAAATCCAAGTGGTGGCCTAGAAACCCAAATTGTGGCCTGGAAATGCAATTTTTGGCCTAGAAATCCAAATGGTGGCCTAGAAAACCAACTTACTCTCGAAAAACCATAAATTTCACCAGTAAATTCAACAACAAACATAACGTGGCCTAGAAGTCGAAGTGGTGGCCTAGAAATCCAAATTCTCAACAGAAAATCCAATTTTTAGCCTAGAAACTAGAAACTAGTCGCTTCCAAAACCAAAAAAAAAAAAGTAAAAGTAAAACAACGATACTCGGCTTGTTTGAGCGGAGTGTCGTTATTTTATTTTTGCGCGTAAGTTTTGGTGTTTGCGGGCAGTCGGTGTTGACACACTTTTTCGAAAAATCGATTTTTTGCCCAGAAACCCGAATTTCCTTCAAATACTCACTTTTCCGATCACTTTCAAAATTCAAATTTTCAAAAAATAACCGGATTTTCAAAAATTAGAGCGTCAAAAAAAAATTAGGTCACGTTTTTTCTTAAAATTTTGCAAAAAAAAACATTACAACACAGAAAAATCACATTGCGCAACTTGAAATGATGCTTCCTTCCTGTTGAATAACTCAAAATTGATGAGTTAGCAGAAGTTAGGAGAAGAAATATATATGGCTGGTTGTAAATTGCGTAGCTTATAATAATATCTGTCACTTTTTGAGATAGCAAAAACAGTTGTTTTCTAATTGCTCAAACTATTTATTTATTTTTATTTATTTATATTTTCCCGGGGGTCGTCTAGGGTTGGCCTAGAAATCGGGCCTAGGCCACCCGATTTTTCTAGGCCATGTTTTCGACCTAGAAAAACATGTTGCGAAAAGTTTACAACACCCTATTTAGAAGATGTAAATAGTAGTTTACGACCATCTAATGACTCCTAACTACTTTTTTTTGGAAGAAATATGTTTCGGAAAAAATAAATCCGATATTTGAGAGGGTAAAATTCGAAAATTACAAAAATTCATTAAAAAAATTCAGAAAATATTCACAAGATTAATTATTTACATGAGTTTTCTGGCGAGGATGCGAATCGATAGGCGATTGTAATAATCTGTGACCTGAAATTATACAACATTTGAGGAAAAGCTCGGGGAAAATTTCTTACCGGCAGCTCTTCGATCATTTTTGTCAATTTTCGACGACTTCCAGTTTTCGACTTTGTTGCATGCTGAAATAGAACATCATTTAGGGAAAATTTTGAGAAATCATTTGATTTTTCGGAAATTTTCTTACCTTCGCCGCTTTTCCACTTTTTTTCAATAACTTCTTTCGATTCCCCTTCTTCACTGGTTTCTGATTGCAAATCGCCGTGTTTTCTCGACTTGGTCGAGGTGTTGAATATGATGTTGGGTTGAATGAGGATAACCTCGGCAAAACATTTGGTCGACGAGCAACGTGATTCTAGAAACGCAATATTTTCAGGGAATTTTTACTCAACACTTCAAACCTTGATGAAATTTTGTCCATAGACAGCTTTTGGGGTCATAAGAACACCCTAAAAATTTTAGGACCTCTGAGCCAAGTTCTGGGCTCTCAAAAGTTCAAAAATTGCCAAAATTAGCTCATAAAAGTCATCATAGCCCCATTTCAAAATAATTTTTGTAAGAAGTAAAGTAAAATTAATCAGCATAGTCGATTTACTGAAAGGACATTGATAAAACACATTTTTTCAAAAAATTGTGAAGTTTTTCATTTTTCGGCTGAAAATTCATGTGCCCCTGCTCATTCTTTTTTCCAAAATCTAAATTTTTTCTGAAAATTTGATTTATCGATGTTTTTGGGTAAATCGACAACGCTGATCATTATCCGCTACTCAGTTTTTTCATAAAATTGATCAAAAATTGAGTTATGACGTGTTTTATGAGCCAATTTCGGCAATTTTTGAACTTTTGAGAGCCCAGACCTTGGCTCAGAGGTTCATTGGGTAACTAAGATTTTTAGGGTGTTCTTATGACCCCAAAAGCTGTCCACGGACAAAATTTCATCAAGATTTGAAGTGTTGGGTAATAAAGGTTCCCTTGTAAGATTTGTGAAAAAAATTACCTGCTCCAAAAACTCAAAATCGTCTCCATCTTCACTCCAATCTACCAATTCCTCATAATCCTTCATATTTTGCAAACCATTCGACGCGAAAAAAAAAATTGAAAAAAAATAAAAATAAATTTGACTACGGTACGCTATTTGTGCAATTGTGCGTCGCCGTGTTTACACACTAAATTGTATTTCAGCGCATTTTCAGCATTTCAGAGGCATTTTCAGGTAAAACTGAATATACCATCTGATTCGCCTTGTCGAGATGAATCAGAAGCACTATTTAATTTTTTCTGAAACATCTTCTCAAAAAAAGTTAGCGATTATCAAAGTTTTATTCAAGTTTTCACAGATTCCTCACTAATCAAACTAGGACTTGCAGAAATTGGAAGTGTTAGAACACTACTGTCATTTGTTTGGCATTTTTCCAGAATTACCGACATCTGAAAAACTAATTTTGAAGTTTGAACCTGAAAATTTCTCTGAAAATTGAATTGTGGTGAATTTCAGAACAAAAACTCCAACTTTATTGAAATCCTATCGATTTTCGAGCAAAAATTGGAATAATTAACGAAATTTTCATGAAAAGTCCAATTTTCAGCTTAAATTTCATGAAAATCACATTTTATCATGAAATTTTCAGATTTTGCATTGAAAAACTTGAAATTTCATCAATTCTTCTGAAATTTTAGATTTTTCATTGAAAAACTGTTCTAAATCTTGAAAATTTTGGTAAATCTCAAACTTTATTGAAATCCTATCGATTTTCGAGCAAAAATTTGAATAATTAGCGAAATTTTCATGAAAAGTCCAAGTTTAAGGTGAAATTTCACGAAAAGTCCAACTTTCAGCTGAAATTTCATGAAAAATCCAATTTTTAGGTGAAATTTCATGAAAATCACATTTTATCATGGAATTTCATAATTTTTCAGCAAAAAACTTGAAATTTCCCCAGCCTTTCCTAAAAATGCACCTTTGTATACAATCTTTCAAGCGGCCATTCAGTCATTGATTTTTTCCAAATCCACTTCGAAACCGCCACAATATCAACTCGATTATCCGGTTGAATACACGTCGGAATTCTCAAATTCTCAATCGCAATTTTCAATTGTTTTCCAGCATAATCATTGATTCCCAGCGGCCAATCATCACAAGGCAATAAATATAATTTGAAAGTGTGTTTTTCGCCGGCTTTCAGAATTCCATGACTATCCGAACCAAGTCGAAATATCTTTTGTCTCGCTTTAATCGCAAAAATCACCGGAAACTTGTCGCGATTTTCAATGAAAAATTTGACGTAGCACGGCTTCTTGTAGCCGTTTTCCGAATAGAATATCAAAAATTTCGGGTATACAATGAGTTCATGATTTGGAGTATCGCATTTGAGATCCGTATTCAAATTCACCAAATCACCCACACTTTTGATTGCCATCTTATTTTAGAAATACCTTATTTTGTTATTTTTTGGGGGGTTCGGTTTATTCAGGTCACGTTTCATGTACATTAAAAATTCAATGCTTAGAAAGGGGGAGATTTCAGAATTATACAAAAAAATAAAATAGTTGTGTTGGAAGTGGTAAAATGATGAGTTTGGAGGGAAAAGAAAGAAACAATAAAATAGTTGTTGTTTTTGGATTTTTAAATTATTTTTTAATTAACAGTTACCCAATGTGGGAGTTGATGAAGATTTCGCATTTAGTCCTCGCACCAGGCGTTTTCTTTGCGGATTTGTTCCTCTTCTTCTGGGGTGAAGTCGTTCTTGATGTTGAAGGTGCGACGGATTTCTTCTGGGGATTTTCCCTGCAAAAAAATTGATGTAATTTTTGATTGAACTATTTGTCACTTCGAAATTTTTTGCCATAGGCTTTTAAAAGTACAAAATTATCGACAAACTTTGCTAGTTTATAATCGATATCAGCATTTTCTAACAGTGATCTAAGATGAGCAACATTTCTCAATTCTCATGATTATACTTGAGAAAAATGATTGCTCTTAATTTTTATGATAAAATTACAATTTTCAGAGGTTCTTGAAGCTTTCTGCCAAGTTTTTAGTGAGCAGGAAAAGACATCTTCGAAAAATGTATGGCTGAAGCAGATAACTAATCCCTTGCTCGAGCCGGATTGCTCGATAAAATCTCATTTGATTATACATCACCTAGGTTACCGAAAGGTCTTAACAAATGTTTCTGACCGCAGCGCGCATGTAACGCATGACATGTAGGTCCGCGTTTTCTCTTCAAAAAAAAACAAAAATTACCTTGATCATGTTGGCAACAGTCTTGCAACTGACATCAAGGAGTCCTTTAATGTCCAAATAATTGGCAGCCAAAATCAATTCGAAAAGAGTTCCTTGGTCGACTTTCAAGAATTCGACATCCCAGCTGGAAATGTCATCAGTGCGTTTCTCACGACTGTCCGAATCATCAGCAGCGACTGGATCTTCGTGGTGATGTTGGCACCAAGCGATAACCTTTTTCAAGATTGTCGAAGTGACATTTTGCACTGGGATTGCATCTCCAGCATCTTCTTCATCATCCAAACCCAAATCTTGGAGCAAAGTGTTGATTGTGTTAGAAAGACGAATGACGTTTCTTGGAACCTGCAAAATTTCTACATTTTTCTCCAATTCCAGGCACTTATGCATAAATATATACTTTTTCCACCAAAAAGTATATTTTCAGCAAAAAAATACTCACCTGGAAGGTTTCGTTGTCCGAAGAAAGAAGTTTGATTGAACGTTCTTGTGCTGCGTCAGTCATGATTTCTGCAAAACAAAAAAATCAATAAATTATACCGAATTTTTCAAAACAAGTGTAAGACAAATAATATATGAAAAGATAGCGCGTGATACTTTAAAAAATCGATTTTCTTAGAAATATTTCGAAATTTCTCATCATGTAGAATAAGAAAACTATTCTTACACACTGAAATAAAAAGTAAAACATGCTGTGCTCATCTCTCTAACCCGATATTCAATCGCAGGACACCAAGAGTGAGATGACAAAAAATATAGAATGAAAAGAAGTGAACAAGAAAGTCGATAGAATGCAGAAAGGGGAGGGGCAAGTGAGAGACGCAGAGGTTTTGAGCGTTGTTTGGCGAGAGAAAATGTGTTTGACATGCCAACGGTCTAATAACGCTGATTTTGGTGGGAAAATGTTAAGATGCAGGTGCAGCAATTATTATTTATAACACTTTTTATGAAGAATGGGAAGACAATAGTGAACATAATGTTAGAACATTTCGCAACATATTTGAAAAAAGAACAGTTTACACCGAAATTTCTGGATGGTTGGAAATGATAAGGAACGATTTCTAAGTTTATCGTTTTAAAAAATGTGTTGGTCACTGTTCGTTCTATCGTTCGCAAAAAGAGACAATTGAAAACTTCTGCCGTGCAAATGTTTCGTAACACAAAACAATCGTTTCAAAATTTGCTTGCAAAAACAATGTCATAGTTTAAAATCTAACAAATTAGTAATTTTTGGAGGTAGTCAAGCAAAAGCTGATAATCTGAAACACAAGTTTGCAAGAAAAATCTCAAAATTTGTCGACAAATTGTTTTACAAACATCGGAAAAATCGTATGTTTTCCGAACACCGGCTTTATGTCAGTAAAAATTGCTGATTCAAAATCAGGTGTTGGAGCATGATGTATATCTGAGTTTTCTAAAAAAAAATTGCAGAAAACTTCCAAGAAACAGTGGAAAATTCAAAAATCCCACAAAATCATAATTTTCACCAAAAACTAACAACGAATTTGTGAATTCCACATATCAGAATGATCAGCAGAACATCGCAAATTTCGCTGAAACTGACAACATTCAAAAACCCGACAGCAATTCGCCAAAAACTCGCGCAAACCCCCAAAAAGCGAAAAAAAAGAAAATAAAATTTTGGGACCCGCCGTTCCGCAAACACCGCAAATAACAGGGTGTTTGCACAAACATTTGAATGCTACAGTAACCCCAGATGACAATTTTTTATATTTTTTCAATTTTCGTTATCAAAACTAGTCAAACGTGTCAACTGTGATAACTTATATTGCCAAAAATGGACGGGAAATCGCAAATCATCTGAAAATCCGGCTGAAAATGGAAATTTTGACGAAAATGAAAGTGTTTCAGGTGGGATTTACAAAATTTATGAAGAAATTATTTATTTATCGACGCAAAAAATGATAATATAAAAATAATTCGAGAAATTTCGAGAGCCCAGAAATATCGATTTCATTGATCATATCGACAAAGATAGTCAGATGAGTTTGGATTTCTGATCAGAATAAAAATCATAATAAAAAAACAAAAAACAAAACTTACACCACGCCATGTGGAAGATAGCATTCCCCCCTTCCCCGACAAATTTTCTTCCGACATTTATCCAAATCCTGATTAATATATTGAACATGCGGACCAAGATAATCATTAACATAAGTTGTAATATTATCACATCTTTGTTTCATATTTTTACTTGTGCTCCAAATCACTGCACCATCCAAATTATGACGCATTATATATTCAAGACTTATACGAAGACTTGCTTTTGTATACATATATGATGCATTTTTATACGGATCGTATTCGAAACCAGTGAACATGTGTATTTCACATTCGGGGCAGTAGACTTTTTTGACTCTTTGCGTTTCGGAAATCAGAGCCTGGAATGGAATTCGAAATTTGGCAATTTCAAATTTAAAAAAAACCCACCGCAAAGTTTAGTTTATCAATATCATGTCTTTCTTCACCCTTTTTGCTCAAATAATACGATGGGAAAAGAGCTTGACTTTCTTTCCATAACCAATCCATATTATCGTTGTACACTTTCATTTTATCACTGCACTTGTTATTGGTTTTATCCACATTGAAATTGCATTTAGGGAACAAATAGTATCCCCATTTTGCTTTTGGTCGAAGTCGTTTTCCAAGTCGAATTGTTTCGAGGAAATATTTTCTAAACATTTTTCGTTGGAAAATATTCATGTTATTATCGAAAATCTCACGCGCTCCACCGAAATAAACACGCAACGCAAACCGCGCCGCGCTACAACACAAGGGAACGATTCAAATTCCCTCCCTTTTTGTGTGTGTTGTGGCGCGACGCGGTCTGCGTTGCGTGTTTATTTCGGTGGAGCGCGGAATACCGTACTTTGCTGCAGAATCGTATTCTTCACGAGCTATCAAGGTAATTTCTTCTTTTGAAGCTGTTGGATTATTCTGTCTCGCGCGTTTCAACGATTCCGTTTTATATATATTAAAGCTGCTCCAACTCTGTTCCCAATTTGGTCTGAAATTTTCCAAATCAATCACCGCTAATCCATCAAAATCTTTTGAGGGTATATATTTCACAATATCCTCCTCAGCAACTCGTAAATGTTCGGAGAAATTGCCGTTTTGCGGCAAACCGCCGTTGATCGGTTCTTCGAAATCTTCAAAGTAGGGAATTTTTCCGAATTTTTCCATGTAGAAGATTGCAAATTTTGAGCCTCCTTTGTAATAGTGTTGATTCTCGTTTTGAATTATGCCATATTTTTCAACTGGAATTGAATGATTTCCAGTACAACTCCATGATGGAACCATCCATATAACCTTGCAAAAATTAATGTTTAAAAATATTTTTTTTTAAATCACCGCACAAATAATTAAATAAAAAACTAACTTCCGTCTTTTTCCCCGTTGTCACCCTGAAATTTAGTAGTCATAAAAAAAATTAATGCGGTCCGAAGCTAGAAAAAACCCAAAAAACTGGATATTTTCCGAACTTACACATTATTCAAACAAAAAAATAATATCGAAATCAGCATCGAAATTTTTTGGAACCAAAATATTCCAATTCCTTTTCAAATTTATATCAAATTTTTGATTCAATCAATTATTGAATCATAAATTCCAAGAATTTTTCGCAAAAGTTCAAAGTGCAATATTTTTCCAGAAATTTTTCAGAACTTTTTAGTATGCCGCAGTTTTACAAAAGCTAAAAAAATCAAATTTATTCAAAAGGACATTGTGGATTGATTTGAAACGTAAAAATTTCGGGAGGCATTGGAACATCGCATTCTTCTGGTGGAGTTGTTCGACGAATTGATTGACGAGTTAGAAGAAGTTCCCAGATTATGAGTACAGTAGTTAGAACCAAACCAACAACCTGCAAAGAATATAGTACCCTTTTCGCTACAGTAACCCACCAGAATGATAAAAATCCCGCCAATCGATTCTCCATCATCCTGATCATCCTTCCTCTTCGCCTGCTCACACACAATACTTTTATCTTTCCACCATTTCTCTTTGAGTTCCGTCAACTCGGTTTTCTCCTGCAATCTCAAAATAGCAGTGGATATCAATTCTCGATACGGTGATCCTTTCGGCAATCCGATACCGTAACCTTTTTGATCTAAAAGCCCGCCAATTTGCATCAGTTCGCAATCGCGCTCTACTGCATACTCCAACATTGAGGATTCCATTAGATAGGCGTAATCGGAGCTCTGAAAATAGAAGGGTACTGTAGGAGTACTGTAGCTACAGTAATCTAGGTACCTTGACCCTCGCAATTCCCTCTTTCGAACTAGACACGAATAATGCTGGTTGACTTGACATCAATTGCCACATCCTCTCGTAGGTCTCAATCTTGGATTCCTGAAGGAAAAATTGAGTACTGTAGGAGTACTGTATGTGTCTTTAAAAATCGCGCTAGAAATGTTAAAAGGTGCATACAGTACCCAACTTTTTGTTTGTCAAAAACTCCACGTGTCAAAATATTCATATTTAATTTCCACGTGGCAAAAAAAAACGAAAAATTTCAGCCAATTTTTTTTAGATTCTGAGAATTTTGGTTCAGATCAAGGGTATGTCCCTTTAAAAAGGCTCTGGATATTTTTTATAGGTACATACAGTATTCGACCTGCCACGTGGAAATTTGAAATCTCTGCCCATTTGTTTTTTCAATCTATAGAAATTCCAGCTCAGTTTTGCTTTCTTGAGAAATCATTAAGATACGGTATGGCCCTTTAAAAAGTCTCTGGATATTTTTAAAGGTACATAGAGTACCCCCCCCCCCCAAACCAACATTAAAAAACGACATCGTCGATCCTCTTCCCAAAGTTCCATATTTGATTTTCGTCTGCGCCGCCAAATCATCCGCATTCTCAATCGGTGTTTCCATTCTTCGAGTCGTCATAACCGCCGCCAAATTTGCGGTATAAGATGAGATCAAAATCAGCGCAAAGAACCACCAGATGGCCGTCAAAAATCGCGTCGAAACAGCTCGCGGACACAATTCCGAACCTTGTTGCATCAAAGAGCACACGGTGAACCAGAATGAGTTGCGAAGTGAGAATTGATTGGGGACGGGGCCGTATTGACCGGTGGATTCGTCGAGACGAAATTGTTCGTAGGGACTGATTCTGAGTGATTGAAAATCAAAAAAAAAGTTTTGCGCGCACCGGGATTCGAACCCGAGGTGCAAAACGTGTGTGATTGTGAGGCGCGTGTGTTAGCCACTTGTACACGCGTGATTGAAGAAATGGGGAGCGAATTTTATATTTGAAAAGCGTTTAAAAATCAGAAACCTTTCTACAGTACCCTCTACAGTAACCCACTTGGAAATAATCCACAACGCAATCGACACAATACAGTAAGATCCGAAAGTTAGCAGCCAGACTTCGTAGCTCAGCGGATCCATGAACTTGAACCAATCCGAATCGGTCATTCTTGGCTTCTAGAAAAATATTTGGAGTACAGTACTGTAGGAGTACTGTACTGTGTACCTTGAAAAGAATCGATATTCCCAAATGCATGTAGGGTACGGTGAAATCAATAACCTCACTTCGACTATAGGAAATTGTCAGCGATGCGACAGCCAGATCTGCATCCTGGAAAGGGTACGGTAGAGGTACTGTACCTACAGTAATCCCGTCTTACCCCTCTTTGTAGTTCTCCAACCATTCCATTCCATTTTCCATTCGGCTCTTTTGAGCCATAAGCATTGTCACGAACTTTTCTGATGGTAAAAGTGAATTTGAGGATTTTTGAGATTTTGTGCAGAAGATCGATACAGTAACCATCGTAGGTTCCATTTGGGGTTAGCATAACAAATGGGGCTTCCTGAAAGAATACTGTAGGGATACTGTAGGTCTACAGTACTCACCAAATACACCGTAACCTTCAAATGTTTTCCCTCCAACGTCAATTTTTGACTCTGATTTGCCACGTGGGTTGTGGCTTCAGCTGATGTGATTTCGCGGGTTCGACTATTCCATTCGGCAAATTTTCGAAGCGCTGAAAAGGTACTGTAGGATACTGTAGATCAAAAAATTGCGCGCAGAATTTTTTCAGAAACAAGATTCTGAAAATGTTTTTTGAAAATCCCGTTAGAAATGTTTAAAGGTACATACAGTATTCAATTCAGCAGGACACGTGGAAATTACAAAATTTAGAAATTTTCAAACTCCAAATTCCGGCTTAATTTTGTGCCTTTTAGATTCTATCAGGTTACGGTATGTCCCTTTGAAATCCAGCCTAGACTATCCAGAGTTAAAGGTGCATACAGTACTTAATGCCACGTGGCTTCACTATTTTTTTAATGCTCACGTTTTTGATAATTTTGTTCTAGAAAATAGCCCCCGAAAATGTACGTTTCAATCATTTTTCAACAGAAATTTGAAAAAATTGGAAAACGTTAATATGTTTATCAAAAAGGTTTTCTGAAAAAAAATTTGAAAATTTTACCTACAATAATTTTTTTTTTGAATACTGTACATCAAATTTTGGCGCCAAAAACTCACAATTCTTCCTCCTATAAATATGCAGTGAATAATTGGCTCTCTCCCCCGAATTCGACCAAAAAACCGGTCCCGAAAATCCATCCAACCGCGTCTCAAAAAACGCGCGTCGCACCGCATCGCCACCGCGCCACGACATATCGCAACGTCGCGGCGACTCATCGCGTAAATCCTTCGTCGCCGCCACAACGAGTCGCAACGTGTCCAACCAGATTGCGGTTTGCGTCAAGAGTCCGCGAGGCGGAAGCGGAAACGCGGCGGAGAGTTCAGCGCGGATTCGCGCAATTTTTGCCGCATCCACGTCATTCAGCGCGATTGCGGTGATGTTGCAGTCTTCGATTCGATGATATTTCGGATTTTCGAGATCTACCGTAACCAGATCGGAATGCATTACTGTATAATGATACAGTACTCCACACATTGACATGTTTGCGGCTTGTTCGAGGAAGTTGAGGGATTTTTGAAGGGGCAAGTTGATGACGATACGGTAGCGGTCTGGAAAAAAGTTGGGGGTACTGTAGGTACAGTAGTCGGGAAGAAACTTTTTGAATTTTTTGAAAATTTTCCGGGTACTCTAGGTACTGTAATCAATTTTTTCGAATTTTGAATATATTTTTCACGTGGCCACAGATTTTTTTCAAATTTCAGAATTTTGAAATTTAAAATATTGCCTCCAAAACCGCGACGCCGACACGCAACGCAACCAATGACCTAATAAGAAAAATTGACTAATTATAGGTGTAACACCTGCTCTTGCCACCTGCTTCCTAATAGACAACTTCTGCTCATTTCTGTATTTTTGCAATTTTTACTATATAAAAAAGAAACATTTTTTCAGTAAATTTTTCACTTCAAAATGACGACTTGGACTTTCGAGAAATTCGTGTATTTGTTGGAATACGAAACCGGCTTCAAGGTGAGGAAAACAGATAGTTATGACGTGGCAAATGTGCCTCAAAATAAAAAAAAAAAAAAAGTTTCGCGGGCAACCGGATTCGAACCCTGGTCTCATGCACGGTAGTCAAAAACGATAACCACTTGAACGTATCTCTCTTTTCTCCCGCAGCGCAAATGTTGGTGGAAAGATAGCTGACTGCATTGCAACGTCATAACTATTTTCCAGATCTATGAATCGACCCAAAGACATTTGTCAAAAGCGGAGTATCTAATTATTCCTAGAACAGTAATAAGCAATGATGAACAGGCAATTGAACAACTTAGAGTTTTGTACGAAAAATATAAGGAGAAAATGCTAATTTATGGGAGTGCTGAAGAAATGTTGGAATATTTGAAACGGATCGATCGAATTGAATACCTAGTGCAGAAGTATATGACATCAACGACTTGGAATCGGTAAGTCGCAAGATCGTGATCTCTAGATTGACATAGCTGAAAAATCAATAGCCATGCTAGTAAATACATGAAAACCTATGACGTTTGTGCTTACAATCAGAATATAGCTGTCCAAACTATCTAAAAAAAAAAGAAGAAAAATGGGCACCTGGTGGGGCTCGAACCCTGCTTTCTCAAACGGTCGGCAGCCGTGCAAACCACTCGACCAAGCTGCATTTATTTTTGTTGTCAAAAATATCATATATTTTTGCAGTCTTCCCTCCAGCTGTCCAAAATACAAGGATATCACTGGCAAAATCACTTGTGTTACAAATGCTGAGGCTTTCGGATACATGAGAACAGAATTGACAGCGAAAATCGATGAATTCGCGATATTTTTCGCTGGATCTTGTAAAGCGAGTTTCACTGAATATATTTGGAACATAACTTGTCTATCAAAATGGGGTGAATATAAAAAAAGAATGATAACTGATGAATCGTGGAAAAGTGTGTATGAAAAATTGTGTGAAGTTTGCGATTTTGAGAAATTCAAATTCAAATATGTGGAAGAACATCGAGAAAGAGAGGAATTGGACAAATTGATGGAGGATTTCAAGGAACATAGAGATCGGTATTATTCTGACGATTTTCTTCGATATCTGCAAAATCCGAATATCAACAAAATCTATGCGGTTGTTGCATATTTACATGATGCAATCAGGCCACTTCAAAAGGAACTCAAGAGCCTTGTAACAACCAAAAAGGTTTGATTTTTAATTTTGTTTTTTATTTTTTCAAACCAAGAAAATAGTTATTTCCATGCTAATTTCTATTTTCCTCAAAAAAATGCAAAAAAATTGCAAAAAATAAAAAGAAAACAACAAAACTCCGCTTGCCCGTTGTTTAGCGCAAAAGAAGAGGAAATTTGATTTCGAGTTTCTTTTTGTAAATTGTTTTACTTTTTTCTATGCAAATTGTCATTTTCCTCAAAAAAATGAAAAAAATTTGCGAATAAATAAAAAGTAAACAACGAGACTCCGCGTTGACGGCAGCGCGCGCGGTTTGAATTTATTTTTTTTTCAATGAACTTCCATATTTCAGCGAAAATTTATCCAAACGATCTGAATTTTTCTGACGATCTAGAAAACTGTAAAACTAAGCAAAATCTCAAATCTTTCAGGCTTCACCAGATTTCCAACCAATAATTCGTCGATTCAAAGGAGCAAACTACGAATTTTATCTAGCACAAGAAGTTAGCCAAGCGTTCCCAGAAGAAGATGTTATGCCAGAAAAGGAAAGTATTTCACAATGTTTCATCGTGGATTCCCCAACTTTCGATGAGATTCTCGCAAAATACGGTGCAAACAGTATTATAATCGTCGAAATTCCACTCGAAACTAATTCTCGAAACAACGTTTATCCGATTTGTAATTCAAGAGGAATTCATAAGCGTCTAGTTTGGGAAGAAATCGAAGATGATTTGTATAAACAAATTGTGATTGCAAAATATTGTGAAACTGGGAATATTTATGAATATGCTGAAAGACACTCACAGAGAGCCCTGAAACCAATAATGTATTTAACGGTTTGTGAAAATGGAGGGCTTTAGAGATATTGGAGGGCTTTAGAAAAACAAGTTTCAAGACGCGGCGCCTTTATATAATCTATGTCAAGGAGCAGCGCCTTGAGACGACCTATCTCAAGGATCCGAGCCTTGAGACAACCTATCTCAAGGATCCCAGCCTTGAGATAATCCATGTCAAGGAGCGGAGCCTTGAAATAATCCATGTCAAGGAGCAGCGCCTTGGAATAATCTATGTCAAGGAGCGAAGCCTTGGGATAATCTATGTCAAGGAGAAGAGCCTTGAGATACTTTATGTCAAGGAGCAGCGCTTTGAGATACGTTATGTCAAGGAGCAGCGCCTTGGGATAATCTATGTCAAGGAGCGTAGCCTTGAGATGATATATCTCAAGCAGCGGCGCCTTGAGATAATCCATGTCAAGGATCCGAACCTTGACAAGGGAACCTTTTTTACTCAACACTTAAAATCATGATGAAATTTGGTCCATGGACAGCTTTTGGGACCATAAGAACACCTTAAAAATTTAAGTCTCCCAATGGACCTCTGAGCCAAGTTCTGGGCTCTCAAAAGTTCAAAAAAGGCCTAAAAATGGTCATAAAAGTCATCATAGCACCATTTCAAATTTTTTTTCGGGAGAAATGAAGTTTCAGATATTGATCAGCATAGTCGATTACCTAAAAGTACATCAATAAAAATCTTTATTTCGAAAAATTTTGAAGTTTTTTATTTTTCGGCTGAAAATTCATGAAAATTCATATGTGCCCCTGCTCATTCTTTTTTTCAAAATCAAAATTTTTTCTAAAAATTTGATTTATTGATGCTTTTTGGGTAAATCGACCACGCTGATCATCATCTGCTACTCAGTTTTTGATAAAAATTATCAAAAATTGAGTTATGACGTGTTTTATGAGCCAATTTTGGCAATTTTCGAACTTTTGAGAGCCCAGAACTTGGCTCAGAGGTCCATTGGGAGACTAAAATTTTTAGGGTGTTCTTATGACCCCAAAAGCTATCTATGGACAAAATTTCATCAAGATTTGAAGTGTTGAGTAAAAAAGGTTTCCTTGTGAGATACATTATGTCAAGGAGTGGAGCCTTGAAATGATTTTTGCCAAGCAACGGCGCCTTGAGAAAATCAATAATTTTTTCAGTGGTTCAGAAAATCGTTGTGTTTTCATCCGGAAACTTCGGAAACTCCCCTAATATCATTCAAAGAACAATATACGAAACCAGAAGTGCTAGAAATAATCAAAAAATTGGTGGAAGATCATTTAATCGAAGATCAAGAGATCAATGGAATCATCGATCAAGTTTTCGAACTTCTTCCATCTCTCAATTATAAGCAAATGCATGATTTATATTATCAAATAATTTTGAGGAATATTTTAAAATTTTGCCCAAATTTTGCGAAATTGAAGGAGAATCAGGGAAAATACAAGAAAAATCAGGAATTGGATTTGATTTATAAAGCTGTGGAGCAATTCTATGAATTGAATGGATCTTGTGCTGATTGTGAGACTAGAACTGCAGCTTTAAAAGATGAACTTATTGCGTTGAGAAGGTAGGGGCTAAAAAGAAAAAAAAATTGTGCGCCGGGTGGGGATCGAACCCTGGTTTTGCAAATATTTGGCAGAAATGCAAACCGTTCGGCCGCGCTTGAAATGAATTGAAAAAAATTGTTTGCAGAAGTCAAAAAAAACAACTGGAGGAGATCAGGAAATTGAAAAAAGATCGGAAAATATGTGAAAAGCAAAAAAATGATGTGCTGAATGTGGTTTGTGGGCTCAAAAATCATTTGAATGAGAGCCAAAATGAGTTGATTGATGGGATCATTTCGAAAATGAATGAAGAAATTGTGCAAGATTACGATCATGATGACTTTGATTATGAGATGATAGCTTTGAAATATGAGCAATAAAATAACTAATTATGTATAATTAATCTCTTAATATCATTGTTGTCAATTATTTCTCAAACTCTTAAATAAATTTTTCCTTTTGATTTTCTGACATTTCCCCACATAAAATTCCAAACCTATTATTAAACCCTTTTTGGTGCTTAAATTTTCAAATTGTCTATTCTGAATTTGAATTTCTAGATCAAACAATGACTTCTAATGGAAAGGTAAGAATGATATTTGAAACGACACCAGACCTGTGCCGGAAAATCAAAACCCGGAAAACGGAAAGTCGGAAAATTTCTTAAATTTTGATTTTCAGCCTTAAGTTGGCATTAAAACTTATTTTAACTACAATTCTTCTATTCACATGTAATTTAGTAACTATTTGAGACGTTTTACGTTCAAAAAATAGTAAAATTTGGAAAATTGAAAAAAAAATCCAAAAGATTCATTTTTTTTTAAAATCATAAACTGAGAAATTTTCCCAAAATTTAGGCAAAATTAAAGATATTCCTATTAAAATTCATTTTCCGAGCACATTTTCCGGAAAACTGGAAAATTGATTTTTCCTTGAAAAAACCGGAAAATCCGGAAAATTTCCGGCACAGGCCTGAACGACACGGTAGAAATAAAACCATTTTCAAGAAGATTTCTTCCTCCCAAACAATGCTGAACTACGAATTCTCCGACAATCCGATGTTCTATTTATTAGATTGGAGTTTAAGAATTGTATGGATACCCTACACATATTTATTCCTCAAAACACCAGAAGAAGATAAAAAAATGATAATCTACCGTATTTATAAATGGATTTTTGTCAATTTTCTCTACAAAAAAATTATGTTATTCACCACTATGTTGGTGATATTTTATATAGAAATTAATGGATCAAGTAATCTTCTAATAGGTATTCTATTCATGGTTGTCTATTCTCTAACTCCAATCTCTACATCAGAACCAGGATTTCTATTATTGATTGCTTTGCAAAGATTTATCATAATAGCTGATATTCGATATTTTGTTAAACTCGTACAGGATAAAGGTTTAATTCTTCTCCTGATTTTGCATTATATAACCGTATTTTCATATTATATTATCATGAAATGGTTTAAATGTGAACCTAGAGCATGCACTCTTTATTCTCTAGTCAACAATAATTCAGATTGTATTGATGTGCAATTTTTGTTATACATCAGATTATTTTCCGAATCAATATGTTATATCATCTCGATAATCTTATTTATCCTAACATTCATCTGTATTCATCAGAATCGTCATATTTTATCAGAAACTAAAAGAAGAGCCGAATTATCGATAATCTATCAAAATTTTCCCATCGTTTTTCTAACATTGCTTCAATATTTTGTAGCTTTGATTATTTATATGAATCAAGGAATGTATGATAAGCGAAATATTCTGATTAAAAAATACATGTGCAGTGGATTTGCTAGTGTTGATTGTATTTTCCCGATCACTTATACAATTGCTAACTTTTCGAGGTTTCGCACATCATTTTCAAAGTGTTTTTGTTGCTTCAAATGCTGTTTCAAGAAAAATAATCGAATCAGTGATCGATCTTCACAATTTATGAGTACTAAAAGACACGGTGTTCCAGCTTGATTTTCAATGTTGAAAAAGAGCTTTCGTTTTCTATGTTTCCCGAAAATTCGAAAAATTCGTAGAAAAAAATAAATTTAAATTTTTTTTAAATAATTTTTTTTTGTAACTTTTTAAAAGTCATACAGTAATCTTCAGAAGAACCTACACACTCACCCAACTTATTCTTAATATGCTTCAACTCGACTCCAAAATCTTCACGATGTTTCAAGCGGACTAATTGCGACGAGAAAGAATATGGATCGAAATGTCCGGCTGTAATCATATCCGTGACTTCCAGCAACTCATCCGGTTCCTCAAAAACCACAACAACATCTCGCCATTTTTCGCGCTTTATGAATGCGGCAATTGCCATGGCTTTTGCATTGAGATGCGGATGGAGATGGGTGAAAGGACGTGTTGGTGGCGAGAGGTGGAGAGAGAAGCACGGGATGTTGGTGGCATTGGATATACTCTGCAAATTTTAAAGGGACATACAGTATATTGTTGCAAGGCTCATGGGTTACTGTGACTAATTTAAAGGGACATCGCGCTAGAGGCGCTCGAGCCGCATTCGCGGAATTTTGATCTACACTCGCGCCAGAGGCGCTCCAACCCAATTTCAAAGGGACATACAGTACCCATCAAGAATTTAGGGTACTTTAGAAGATCTATAGGCTACAGTAACTAATTTTAAAGGGACATAAACCTACGCATGCAGTATCTATGAAAATGTTTGGGTTTAAAGGGACAACTACAGTAATTCGGAAAAATGTGAGAAAGAGGAAGTCAAAGGGACATACAGTAACCTGGACATACAGTAGTCCTAACATATTTGAAGAGACATACAGTAACCCTAAAAATTTTAAAGGGACATACGAGCCGCATTTGCGGAATTTTGATCTACACTCGCGCCAGAGGCGCTCGAAACCAATTTCAAAGGGACATACAGTACACAGCAAGAAATTACTGTACTTTAGAAGATCTATAGGTTACTGTGTATACATAATTTAAAGGTGCAAGCCTTACAGTAGAAAATACAGTAACCCCGGAAATTTTAAAGGAACATACTCTTGCGCTAGAGGTTCATACAGTAACCTAGAGAACTTTAAAGGCGCATACCGTACACCTAGTGGGTTTTTGAAGGGACAACATACCTGAACTATGGCCGCAGCTGCCACGTGTCCCTCAAATTGTTCAGGCAAAATAATTGAAGAGACGCCGAGAGCCAGACAATTACAAACTGTAGAAAATTTGAATTTCGCGCGCCAAATTCAAATTTTTGACCTACTCACTTTCCTGCTTGATTCTCCAAAGCGGCTTCGTCTCATAGGGTAGAAGTTCAGCGGCAGGATCGATGAATTTCAGAATTGGCAGAATTTCAGGCAGGAGTTCAGATGGAGCCGCTGGAAATTTTCTGACTTGCTGGAAGTTTTTGGCAGGAATTTTCAGACCTATTTTTAGGTTTGTGGAAAATCTAGGGAATACTATAAGAAAAACTAGAAAAGGGGAAAGATTTTGGAGCATTTTGTGAGCAAAATGAGTAATTAGTGAGAAAAAGGGAAAGATGGGGAGGTGTCAAAAGCAATTAGTGAGATTTTTATCCCAGCCAAAAATAAAGCGGGAAAATAAAAAATTCAAAATTTTAAAACGTGTCCTAAATCTTACCCTAACTCATTTATAGTTATAAAAAAAAGTTGAATTTCAAAACCTTCAAAAATCAATTTCCCAACGTGAAGATAAACATCTTCGACCCAATTCCCCGGGCATAAAAGCTTTAAATTCACCGCAGTTTAGTTCAGTTTTCAATCAGAAAAATTCTTGTTCGCAAGCAGAAGGGAAAATGTGCAACAAAGTCGATAACAGTGTTCAGATTTTCGGATGTATCAAGGCTGTGGTAAGTGGGGGATAATATGAGCAATACGGGGGTATTGTAGCTAGGTTAGGAGCTACAGTAGGCTCGAGTGCCTCCGGCGCGAGTGTAGGTCAAAACTCCGCGAATGCGGCTCGAGCGGAGCGAGTGTATGTCTCTTTAAGGGTTACTGTTCATTTTAAAGGTACATACAGTAAGATTACACTCGATTTAGATTACGGTAGATGCACCTTAAAGGAACATACAGTACCCCGAGCGCCTTCGGCGCGAGTGTAGATCAAAATTCCGCGAATGCGGCTCGAGCGGAGCGAGTGTGTGTCCCTTTAAGGGTTACTGTTCATTGTAAAGGAACATACAGTACCCCGAGCGCCTGTGGCGCGAGTGTAGGTCAAAATTCCGCGGATGCGGCTCGAGCGGAGCGAGTGTATGTCCCTTTAGGATTACTGTGCATTTTATAGGTACATACAGTAACTTAGGTACCAAATATATAGTATAAGCAAAACCCGATGTTCCTTTGAAAATATTTTATTTTTTCAGAAAGCACTTATTGCAATCGCTATAGCTTGGGCTATTCTCGGAATTATTATCGTCGTTGTCTGTATTCTGGCTGCCAATAAAGCCAGTGACGAATTTCTTGCAGAAGCCGAGAAGGCAAAAGATCCAAAAGAGAAAAAAAGGCTTGAAGCAGCGGCTGAAATTGCAAAAAAATTAGGAATTTCTCTCGGTTCCACCATTGCCTCAATTCCATTTTCAAATGCAATTTGCCTGGGTATTCTGATTTGTGCCGAATGCGCATTTCTTTATATTATCGTTGGACTTATTGGTTGCCTCTCACTTATGGGAAATATTGGTTATTTGGTCCATGTGTGCCTCAAAGCTGGCGAAAAGGGAAAACCAGCTGGCGAAGCTATTTTGGATAATTTGGGATTGTTGATTGGAGCTGTCCTTGGTGTATTTCTCACTTTCACCACCGTTTATGCGATGTTTGCGTTGGCTTGTTGTGGAGATCAAAGACAGGCTGGAAGTGGTGAGACTAGTGAGGATGAATATGAAATTGAGGAAGATGGAACTACTACTACTACTGGTACTACTATTACTCTTATGGAATGATTGAATAAAAGAGTTGAGATGATTTTTGTATTTTTTACTCTCCCTCGACGAGAATTTCTTACTGTGAAAAAAGTGTTTATCGGATTCATACAATTTGGGATTTTTGAGAATTAATGCAACTTTTGGCATTTTTTTCAAAATAAAAATTAAGCATTAATTATTTGAAATACAGTTCTCCATTTATTGAAACTTCTGTTCATCTTCAGCTTCACCTGAAGTTCGTGTAACTTAGATATCAAAGAATCTCACTAAATCTTCTATGAAGCATGAGATTCAGTTTGCAATCACTGCACAATAAATGCGCCAACCCTCACGGGATTGACGAGTTTGTGTGAAGTGGTGATGCGTTTCGAGTTTTATTTTTGAAATTCGTTTTTCGTGTTTTTTAAAGAAGAACTGCGATTCTTGTGTTTTTTCGATGTTTATATTTTGTTTCTTTGAATTTTTACCATTTTTTGAAATCTTGTTTGACAGGATTTTGTGCTGAACTTTCGATTTTTTGCGCCCAAAAACTTTTTTTCAGGAAAAAATGAACGGAGAAGAAACACCGCCCATTCTAACTCTCCCAATTGAAATACACCAGATGATTTTCGACAATATGAAGCAAAATGATAAGTGAGTTTTTGAAAGAATCATTTTTTTTGTTGAAAATTGTCTTCTTTCACTTTTTCAGAGTAAATTTCGGGAGATGCTCCAAAAAATGTCATGAAATTTGGAAGGAAACCAGAAGGTTCTACGAGGCGATGCAATGGAGACATGATTTTGAACACATCACGCTTTCTTTGAACGATTCGCATCCATTTTCGGGATATTCGCATTTTATCAATTTCAGTTCCGAACATTGTGAATCTGTAAAAATGTGAGTTTTTTTCTTGCCAAAATGTTCATATCCATTTGTTTTTCAGAGGTCAAACTGGTGCTGAAACTGAAATTCAAGCAATTCGCGGATCAAAACTTTATTTTGAAGTGGCTCGAGATTTGTTCAAGAAAAAATTGGAGAAAAATCAAAATAGAATTCGAAGCTTGACATTTCATGGAGAATGCCCAATGAATTTTCGAAAAATCAAACATTTTCGAAAACTTCAATATTTCACTGCGTATGTGTATGATACAGCATTTATTCGAGAATTATTACCAAGAACTGGAAATATGTTGAAATATTTGAAACTCCATGAAAGGGCACTTGATTCAAACGTTCATTTAAATTTGGCCGACTTCCCAGAAATTTATCGAGTACGCGAATATTTATCGATCAATTTTGAATTAACAGCTGAGCAGATGATGAATTTGTCAGCGAAAAGAATTGAAATGCCAGCTGGAAAATTGAAACCACAAGATATTTATAATTTCATTCAAACTTGGCAAATTGGAGAGAGGAATTTGGAAAATTGTGTGTGGACGAATGTAGACTTTAGTTTATTTCGCCCTTTTTTTCAATTCTATGGAGTGCGATTTTTTTTTAATTGGCATATAGAAGAGTAAGGTTCCTAAGAATATTTTATTATTTAAAAAAAACAATATTTTTAAGCATTCAAGTTTGTATTCGAGGAATTGGTGACAAATCGGCAAAAATTACAATGCCCAAGTGGACTTGTATGAAGTTTGAGGTGTTTGATGACGAAGATTTGGCCGATGAAAATGGAGCTTGAATGGAATATTCATTTTTTTGGTTTCCATGTTTCCCCTTTAAAGCTGTTTTTTTTTTTGTTAAATGAATAAACATAGATTGTTGAAAAACTCTTGATTTTTCCTGTGAATTTGTTTTCCGAAAAAGAATAGCAATTTTTGAAAAACCTCCAGAAAAAATTCCGCAAGTGTGCGTGGCGGTGTTTGCACACGATTGTGCATCGTCACCCGGAGTATCGTTGTTTTACTTTTCTTTTTTCGTGTTTCCTTGTTTTCAATCGTTTTTCCTCGAATAAAAGCGTTTTTTGCAGGTTTCATCGATCAAAAATGGAAATAAAGTCAAATCCAAGAAAGGTCAACCAGCAAATCTATGATTTCCGATTCGGAAGATGATGAAGGTCACATTTCATCAAAAATGGTGAAAATTGCAAATTCCGGAGGTGGCGATGAGAAATCGACGGAAGATAAAGATAAGGGAAAAATCACTAGAGAAGATATGATTTCGAATTTGATTGCAAAGACAAAAATGACCAGGAATGAGAAAAAATGATGATTTTGATAAATTGGTGAGATTTTGTAGGGTTTATGAGAAAATTTGAGGAAAATAGGTGTTTTTCCTGCTCAAAACATATAGAAAACTCTAAATTTCGCTCTACTATCATTTTTTCTGTGTAAAAAGTGGAACTTAACTTCTATTTGAGCTAAAGCAGCTGAAAATCATGAAATTTGAAGGCTCCGAGAGCATAAAAATCACTTCTAATTCGAAAATCTTCAAAATTTTGTCAAAACTATGTGTGATGGCTCAAAATGCTCCAAAAATCCCCAATTTTTCCAGAAAACGAACATCGAACAGTGTGAAATCCCGTGATCTTCAACGCAAAAATGCCACAAACCGACAATTTTCATTGATTTTTTTCCAATTTCCGTCGAATTTGAAGTTGTTAATAAATGTTTTTATTGAAAAATGCGTGAAATTTGAAGATTTAGACTGTTTTTAGCAGAAAATTTGAATATTTTTGAAGCTCCGCCCACTTTTCTGTGCCAGGCTTGCATTTTTGATGTTCCCAAATATAAAATCCATCAAATTTTTGATATGAATATAAATTATTCATTAATTTCCTTCCTCAAAACCTGGTTACCAAGGTGATTTAGCCTAACTCCGCCCACTTTTTCGGCTCATCCGTTTTATGATTATTTTTGGCTCAAACACGCGATTTTGTGAGCATATTAAATTTTTGTTTTTATACTTTAGTTTTCGAAAATATTTACGATTTTTTAAAGTTTCTAGAGCGGAATTTCGAGATTTTCAAGCTTTTAGACCTAAAAATCATGAAAATTTCAGATTTTCATGATCTGGACCGAAAAATATTGAAATTTAGTCATTTTTTTTGGCTTCCAGGCTCAAAAATCTCGAAATTCAGCTGTAAATCTTGAACTTCTGGTGTCTGAGCCGAAATTTCATGAATTTTTGATCCTGAAGCTTGAAAATTAGAAAAATTGCTCAAAATCTTGGGATTTTCAAGATTTCCATCTCCAAGACCTAAAAAATCATGAAAATTACAATTTTTTGGGTCCTGGAACTGAAAAATCTGCAATTTTCATGATTTTCTGCTACTGAAACTTGAAAAAAAAACTTTTTTTGCTCAAATTTTGGTCAAATTCCAAGTTTCTGTACCAAAAAATCACCAAAAATTCAAAAATTTCACTCAAAATTCTTCATTTCCTGTTGCAATCATTCAGCATTAGTGGTATTATTATCAGTCTTCTCAAAAGTCGGAGTTCCCGAACTTTTTGGCTCGACAACTCTCTCAACACCCTTCATAAATTCCTCCAATTTTTCTCGCAATTTTTCGGCATTTGGTCGTTTTTCGGGCTTATGATTCCAAGCTTCCGACATTATTTCAGCCATTTCTGAAGGCATTGATGAATGTGGAGGCATACGGTATCCGCCGCGAACTTTTTGCTGAAAATTTGAGAGGTTTTTGGTCTAGAGATCGTAATTTTGCGATTTTCAAGCTCCAGGACCCAAAAAATTGTAATTTTCATGATTTTCGTGGTCTTGGAGATGGGAATCTTGAAAATCCCAAGATTTTAAGCACTTTTTCTGAATTTCAAGCTTCAGGATCAAAAATTCATGAAATTTCGGCTCAGACACCAGAAGTTCAATATTTACTGCTGAATTTCTAGATTTTCAAGCCTGGGGGTCAAAAAATGACGAAAATTTTGAATTTTTTGAGCTCGAGGCTTGAAAATCTGTGATAAATTATTTCTAGCTGAAAATTACAGATTTTCAAGTTTCAGGACGCAAAAAATTGTAGATGTCATGATTTTTGTGATGGAAATCTCAAAAAATCTGAATTTTGAGCCAATTTTTCACATTTTCAAGCTCCAGACCTTAAAAATTGTCAAAATTCGGAAATTTCTAATCCTGAAACTTGAAAATTTAAAAATTTTGCCGAATCTGCACATTTTGAGCCTTGGAACCAGAAAATGACGAAAATTTTGAATTTTCTGAGCTCGAGGCTTGAAAATCTGTAATTTTCAGCTATAAATCATTTCCGTACCTTAACAGTATAAGCCTTCCATTCAGAATACGGTGATTTATAGGGATTCTCAAACATTTCCCAAATCATGACACCAAACGCATAGATATCAGTATTGAATCGAGTTTCTCCAATTTCCCAAACTTCGGGTGCCAACCAACGAACATTCAGCGGTTTCGATAAGTCGACTTTGTAGACTGAAGTTGCGCGGCACATTCCGAAATCCGCCATTTTTACGATTCCGCGGTGGATTAGACAATTACGCGTGGCAATGTCACGATGGATACATCTGTAGAAAAAAATCGGATTTTTCCTGATTTTTTGGATTGGGGAGCTCAAAATTAGGATTTTTCATGATTTTTTGGAGCTCGAGGGATCGAAATTTGGATTTTTCATGATTTTTCGAGCTCGAGGGCTAAAAATTAGGGTTTTTCATGATTTTTTAGGTTTGGAGCTTGAAAATCGTGAAATTCTAGCTAAAAATGTCGAATTTTCATAATTTTAAGCTCTAGAAACTTGAAAATCTGTAACCATAAATTTCAGAGGTTTTGGAAGGTGTAAACCCGTAAAAAAATTCTGCTACTCACTGCTTCTTGTGTAAATATTCCATTCCACACGCCGCTTGATAGACCATTTTCGATCTCGATTTCACATTCGTCTTATCACCCTTCTCTCTCAAACGATCCTCCACACTTCCGCCATTACAGTATTCCAAGACTGGAAGGGGAAAATGACTTAGCTCAACTCCTATGCCGTGGCAAAACTTCTAAACTTTGCCACGTCATTACTCATGTTAGGACTTGAGTTAAGTCATTTTTAAGCTCAGGATCATGATCAGTGGGTCAAAATCTACTAGATTATCTCAATTTTCGTCCAAAAATCATGAAAAAATGACTTAGCTTAACTCTAAAGCTTCCGAGTGAGGCTAACTAATTTTTGAATACAAGATCGTGTTCAGCTTGTCAAAATCTACTAGATTCGTCCAAAAATCATAAGTTAGGTGACTTTCCGAGGCTATAACTAGCTTCAGAGTTGAGCTAACTCATTTCTGAGACCAGCATCGTATTCAGTTTGTCAAAATCCACCAACTAACCCAAAAGATACGGAATATCATCCAAAATGAAACCATAAAACTTGACAATATTCTCATGATCATACAATTGCATAACCCTCGCCTCTTTCATCATATCAGCCAATCCTTCTTCATCTGTTCCCTCTTCAGTGTCCAACTTTTTGACGGCGATAATTGTGTTGGTTTTGACCAATCGGCCACGATAAACTGTTCCGTAGGCGCCGGAGCCGATTTTCTTCTTGAAATTCACGTCGCGATGCATTAGTTGGAATTTTCCTTTTGGGATTGCTCGCTGGAATTTTCGAAATCTCGTGTTTTTTTTTGATTTTCCGGTTCAAACTTCCAATTTTCAAGTTTCTAGACTCTCAAATTGTGAAAATTTGAGAATTTTTCGGTTCTTTTGAATTTTTTGGTTCAAACTTCAGATTTTCGAGGGCTCAGACTTAAAAATTGTGAAAAATTGAAAATTTCCGGTCCTCCACACTTGAAATTTCGAATATTCGAGGTTTTTCAGCCATGAGACTTCGAATCTTCAGATTTCCTTTTTCTAGACTCGAAAATCATGAAAATGTGAGATTTTTCGGTCCTGAACCTTAGAAATTGGAAAAAAAATCATGGAAATTGATAATTTAGACAAAAAATTCCTAAAAACCATGATTTTTGGTTCAAAAATCTGGATTTCCGATGGATTTTCATTGAAAAACTTTGATCTATATGAGCAATGTGAATTTAGGCTCAAAATTCATCAAATTTTCGATTTTTGGCTTGTTTCTCACTGAAAACCGATTAACATGAGCAATGGCTCGAAAAACTCTGATTCTAGGCATATTTTTCATGAAAATTCTCGAATTTCGGCTCACCTTGAGGACCAATTTTTCGCCTTTGACCTGAATCGGCTCCGCAATCAGTCCATCCACAAGTTTTCCAATATTCGGTGCACTTTTCGTCATAATTCTCGCCGCGGTCGCCGATCTTTTAATCTCATATCTTCGCACGCCCTTTTTCGTCCGAATCGCCAAATAATACACATTTTTATTCATTTCCGATAACAATTTCGTCACAATCATATAATCTCCCTCGTTTACTAGTAATTGATCCGAATCTTGATCCATTAGTGCACCGTGGAAATATGGAAGTAAAAGATCTTCTTCGGGTACTCTGGAAATTTGGAAATTTTGTGGTTTTTTGGTGGAAAAAACCGTGAAATTTCATCGATTTTGAGCCTAGATGCGTGATTTTTGATGGATTGCTCAGGTTAATCGTTTTTCGGTGGAAAAAATCGTGAAATCCCATGCATTTTGAGCCTAGATTCAAGGTTTTTGGGATATTGCTCAGGTTAATCGATTTCTCGTGAAAAAGTACGATACTCCGCGTTTACGCCATCGAAAACAACCAACTTTGAGAGGTTCCAACGATACTCCGCGTTTACACCACCCTAGAAATTGATGAAAATCTGAGTTTTGAAGGTGTAAATGTGGAACTTCGTTTGAAAATGGATTTTCGATTAACATGAGCAATGGTCCTAAAAACTTGAAATTTAGCTCAAAATGTGTCAAATTTCTCAATTTTTGGCTTGTTTTCTTCCAAAACCTCTTCAAAATCGATTAACATGAGCAATACCTGAAAATCCTCTCGATTTTCAGCCGAAAAACTCACTTTTCTGCAGGTGCCATCTTCTACAAATCTTCTTCTTCTTCGCAGTCTTGATTTCACTTTTTTGTTATAAAAATTTTTTGAAAACTGACTGATTTTCGAGTTGTACACATTTTTTTGGAGTTTTTTTTTCTTGTCCCACTTTTTTCTGGGTCACGTGGAAATTTTTTCTGAAATTTTGAGATTTTTATCAGTTAAAAATATCATTTTTGCATTTTTTTGCTCATGTTAATCGATTTTGATGGGGGTGAGATAAATAAGAGCTTATTTTCTTTCTGAAAACTGATTAACCTGAGCAATGGGTCCAAAATTAACACGAATTTAGCCTGAAATTCGTAATTTTCAGCTTATTTTTAGCTGAGAATTGCTTAACCTGAGCAATTGGCTCAATAATTTGATTTTCTGGCTAATTTTCAACCAAAAATTGGTTAACCTGAGCAATATGTCCAAAATTCATGAAATATTTGAATTTTTGACTAACTTTTCACTAAAAATTGATTTTCATCTCAAATTCAGCCAAAAATTCGTATTTTTAGCTTATTTTGATCTAAGAATTTTGATTTTTTCCAGAAAAAAATGTCCGAAAACTTGCCAAAATCTCCACTTTTCGAAGCCATCGATAAAAATCAGACTGAAATCGCACTTTCCATGCTGAAAACGGCTGAAAATGCGGCTGAGCGAGATCAAAATGGGATGAATGTGTTGGCGGCGGCTGCGTATCGAGGAAATGTCGAGATTGGAAAACGGGCGGTGGAATTGGGCAATGATGTGAATGACAAAACGCATGACTCAGGTTATACTCCGCTGATGTTTGCCGCATTGTCTGGTGAGTTTTTTCGGGGTGCAAAAAGCTGAATTTTGAGCAAAATTGGATGAAAATGAGCCATTGCTCATATTAATCACATTTTTCCGAAATTTCACTTTTTTTTTCTGAAGATTTTGAGGCAGACTTTGATTTTCCTGAATCTTTAGCTAAAAAATCAGAATTTTCAAGAAGTTTTGAATTTATAAGTGTTGCTCATGTTAACCTCATCTTTTGGCTGCAATTCTTGAAATCTAAAAATGTTTACGAATTTTTATGGATTGCTCATGCTAGCCTAAATCTGATATTGTTTAAAAATTCCAGAAAATTTGACTAACATGAGCAACTGCTCAAAAATCATCCAAAACTTGGAAATCAGCTCATTTTGAACTAGATTTCGTCCAAAATCGATTAACATGAGTAATCCTTTTCCCGCCAAAAATTATCGATTTTTTCTCCGCAGGAAAACCCGAAATGTGTCGACTTCTAATGGATAGCGGTGCAAAATGTTACCTGACCAACGGAATCGGAAAAACCGCTTCCGAATTAGCCGCCTTTGTTGGACATCACAATTGCACGGCAATCATCAATAATCATATTTCGGTTGATTTGATTGAGACATTTTTGAGGCCGAAAATCAATGGAGAAATTAGTCAGGAGGATGAAATTTATCCCGGTGAGCAAAATCAATATTTTTATCGTTTCCAGCTCGAAAAATAACCCTAGAACCAAGTTTTTCACTTAAAAACCGTGAAAAATTAAACAAAATAACAACGACACTCCGCAATGACGCACCCGTGTAGTTCTCCCGGACAAGTTTCGGAATTTTTCGAATATCGCTTCTTTTCGGGTTTTCTTGAATTCTAGGGTTATTTTTCGAGATTTAGAATTTGGGAATGGTTAAAATTGATGGAATTCAATAGGGGATTCAGGATTTTCAGCGAAAATCTGGAAATATTAATTCTACCGGATTTTGCTCGCAAAAAACGATTTTTCTTGAGTTCTAGGGTTTCTTTTTGAGATTTTGAAGCTGGAATAGGCTAGAATCCATGAAAATTTCAGATGAGCTCGTCAAATTCATCCATAGCTTATGTGCGTCTCACGAAGTTCACCCAGTCAAGATTATTTTCCGATTTAGTCAATATCCAGATTCGATGAAGTATAAGAAGAAGGTGAGAGGATTTTAATATGAGCAATAGCTCAAAAATTAGGAAAATTATGCATTTTTCGACTAAAAATCAATTTTTCTTCAGATTCTCTATGTTATTGATCGAATTTTCGAGCGTCAACTTCGATGCAAAGAAGGAAACGAAGTAATGTCGCTCAAACTCTGGATAATCCTATTTTTCATGCGAGAAACATCGAAATTTGTCGAAAACTCGGAAAATTCCGAAGATGCGCCTTTAAAATACGCGAAATTGATTTCGAAATGGGAAGAAAATGAGGAAACGAGGAAAACTTTGGATATTTTGTTGAGAAATTCGGTGGCCGCTTTTCCCTATAAGCAAAGTTTGTTGTATTCGACGTTGGATAAGGTGAGGGGCTCAAAAATTGAGCCTGGAGACTCAAAATTTCAGAAAATGCGGTCGAAATTGATCTAGAGCATTTTCAGCCAAAAATCAATAAAAATGACTGAAAATTGATCTGAAAATGATTTTGAGGCGGAATTTTTGAATTTCTAACAAAATTTGAGCCTTGGAGCTGAAAATTCGAGATATTCATGTCAAAATTGATCCAGAGAACTATTTTCAGCCAAAAATTGTATTTTTTGACTGAAAATCAACCCAGAGAGCTGAAAGTTCAAGATTTTTAGGGTTTAATTCATCTGAAGCATTATTTTCAGCCAAAAATCAATAAAAAATGTTTCAACAGCGGAATTTTTGAATTTCTGAAATTTGAGCCTTGGTGCTGATTTTCAGATCAAAAATAAGTCAATTGACCGAAAATTTAGGTTTTTAGCTGAAATTTCCAGATTTCTGACCTAAAACTCTCAAAATTTCGAGTTTTCAGGCGCTCATCAAAGCTCCAATTGGCCAACGCCCAACAGCTTTCGAATTCATCGTCCAATCACTTTTCGGTCAACGAATTTTGGCAGTTTGCCAATTTTGCTCGGTTTGTGGAGCTGTTGATGCCAAAAAACGATGTCCGAGTTGTAAGGTGAGCATTTTGAGTGGAAAATAGGGTTTAGGACCACCCAAGAAGAATTTTGAGCCGAAAATTTTGATTTTTCACGAAAAATTGGGTTCAGAAGCTCTCAGAAAGCTTTTTACATCAAAATATAGAAGTAGGACCACCCACGAAGAATTTTGAGCCGAAAATTTGGATTTTTCATGAAAAATTGGGCTCAGAAAGCTTTTTACATCAAAAATTTGAATTCGGACCGCCTACGAAGCATTTTAATATCAAAACTCAAGTTCAAGACCACCCACGAAGTTTTTCATTGAATTTTATCGGTTTGTTTAAAGCAAAAAATACCACCCACGAAGTTATATTAGATGAATTTTGCATTTTTACTTTTAAAAAATCAGCTCCAGCACCACCCACGAAGTTTTTCATTGAAATTTCTCGATTTTCACCAAAAAGACCACCCATATTATTTTCCAGCTGCCCTATTGCTCTCAATATTGCCAAAAATTCGACTGGACAATTCACAAAAAGGTTTGCGCGAAAATTGGCGGCGTTTTGGAAGGCGAAAAAGCGCAGACCACCCACGACGACGGATTATCGATTGATGAAATTCAAGCGAAAATTGGAGAAATTGATGTATAAATTATCAAATTGCCATAATTTAATTGAAATAAAGTAATTTATGACCAGAGACCACCCACGAAGAAAAAAATAATGCTTGAAATTCCTCCTTTCGAGGGCTACAGTACGCCTCAAATCGCTGCGGGACTCGAGGACCACCCACGAAGAAAAATGGAAATGAATTTGGATACAGTACGACGGATTTCGTGGCGTGACCCGAAGACCACCCACGATGTTTTTTGTTTTTCATTTTCTTTTTTCTTTTTTGGGCCACCCACAAAGTTTTTCTTGTTTTCAGACCACCCAAGTTGAAAATGTATGTGGAAGTTCGCGAATTGGTCAACTTTTTGAGCAGATATCTTTTTGGCAAGCAGCCAAGACGTCCAGTAAGTTGGAAAATTTCAGATTTTTTGTCTGAAAATTAAAAATCGATAAATTTTTGCAGACTGGAATCTTCTCTGCGGAGCTCGGCAACTTTTTGGTGGCTCATTATGCGGGCAGCGGATGGAATATCATGGAGCCGAAAGTTGGTGAGTTTTGGAGGAGAAATGGACCACCCACGATGACAAATGGTGAAATTCGAGTTAGGATACTCTGGAAACCGATTTTTGCAAAAAAGACCACCCACGAAGCATTTTGAACTGAAAATTAGGATTTCTGTTGGAAAAATGAGTTTGAGACCACCCACGAAGCTCTAGGAGCTGAAATTTGAGATTTTCATCAAAAATCTTGTTTTGGACCATTCACGAAGCTCTTGGACCTGAAATTTGTGATTTTCATGGAAAATCTTGTTTAGGACCACCCACGAAGCATTTTGAACCGAAATTTAGGATTTTTGTTGTAAAAGTGAGGTTGGGACCACCCACGACGAAAGCTAGAATAATTTATTTAGACCACTCACGATGAAAAATACAAAATAGTAATTTTGCAGGCGAAAAAGAGCGTTGCATTCTGATCAAATGCAAAACTGGCACAACGAATTTCATCGAAATCGCAATTCGCGAATCCGGTTTGGATTATCGCGAGGTTATGGATCTTTTTCCAGGTGAGACCCATTTTTGGCGGCGGGAAAAAGGACCACCCACGATGCAAAAACCCAATTTTTTGCAGACAATTTCCGAATTTACGCAAATCCCGGACAAGTTTTCGCACGGTTGAATGATAATGGAATCGATATTCCGATTTGGATTGGAGATGTGAATTCGGATGAAAAGTTGGTGTTTTGGGTGAAAAATTGTGCATTTTGAACCCGGATTCGTGATTTTCAAACAATTTCGAGGCAAAAACCTGCTTTTTTGAAGAAAAAAACCTAGTCATTGCTCATTTCAATACTAATATGAGCAATGGTTCGAATTTGGCGTAAAATCACTGTTAAATTCCAGAAATATCAGAATTTTCAAGAAATTCAAGTAAAATTTTGGAGCATTGCTCATGTCAGCCTAAATTAATTGTACTAAAAATTCCAATTCAATACTAATATGAGCAATGTTATTTTTTGCAGCTATCAACCAATTCCTGAATATATTGTCAGCGCTGCCAGCACTCAAGCTGATAATTATTCGAATTTTGGAGCTGCTGGAAAACCGATTTTGATCGGAAGAAAACCGTTGCCAATTTCAGATAGAGGTCAGACAGAATTCCAGCCTTTTTTCTGAAAAAAATGCAATATTCTGAAATTTTCAGCGGTTCAAGAGCTCATCAATGGATTCTATGTTCCTCTGGCTCTTGAAGAATCAGATCTTCAAGATGCGAATTCGAATCTTCATCCGATTCAAGTTTATCGTCATCGATATGTTTTCAAACCGCCTTCGAGTCAAACTTTTACTGGGTTGGAATTCAGTCAGACAAGATTTGGAAGTAGCAAGTTAGTTTGGCTTTAAATTTGGGTTTTCATGAGTTTTGAGCTGAAAATCAAGTTTCTAGGCTCATTTTTCATGAAAAATTCAAATTTTCACCCAAAATTCCTCAATTTCTAGATTTTGGCAAGGAGTTAGGCTAAATTCAAGATAGAGGCTTAAGATAAGCTCCAGAGACCAAAAATCAAGCTCAATTTTAAAAACGAAAAATTCAAATTTGTTGAGCAAAATTCACAAAAACCCTCAAAAATCATGTTTCTAGACTCATTTTTCATGAAAAATCCAAATTTCCCCACTATTTTCACACAAAATTCCAGATTTTGAGAAGGAGTTAGGCTAAGTTCAAGGTAAATAGTGGCTTGAGATGAGCCCCAGAGGCTGAAAATCAAGCGCAATTTTAAACCCGAAAAATTCAAATTTTATTTAGCGAAATCCTCAAAAACCCCAGTTTCTAGGCTCAATTTTGACGAAAAATCCAAATTTCTCCTTTATTTTCACCCAAAATCCCTCAATTCACAGATTTCGGCTAGGAGTTAGGCTAAGTTCAACATAAATGAGCTCCAGAGACCGAAAATCATGTTTCTAGACTCATTTTTCATTAAAAATCCAAAATTTCCCACTATTTTCACACAAAATTCCTCAATTTCCAGATTTTGGAAAAGAGTTAGGCTAAGTATAATATAGAGGCTTAAGATTAGCTCCAGAGACCAAAAATCAAGAAAAATTCAACTTTGTTGAGCAAAATCCACAAAAACCCCTGTTTCCAAGCTCATTTTTTCATGAAAAATCCAAAATTCCTCAATTTCCAGACCGCGCCCCGATCTTCAAACAATGTTAAACATCAAACAAGTGACTGCAGCTGCCGCATGCTCATCTTCACCACCAAATGAGTCAACAAATGGAGTTACGGCAACTGGAGCAACAACCATCAAAAAGGCGGATATAGTTAGCTCATCTGCTTCGTCAAATGTTGATACAACTATTTCAACATCCTCAAATGAGCAATTTTATAGCATTTTTTAGAGCAAAAATCAGAGAAAAATCTCATTTTTTCCTTAAAATCCTCAACTAGACTATAGTTTTGATCTTTGAAAAAGGTAGATCAAAAATAACTCTAGTTTCTCTTGTAATTTTATTTTATCTGTGTAATTTGGATTTCGCCCACGTTTTTATTGATTTTTTTATTTTTCCTCTGTTTTGGATGAACTTTTTTAAAGTTTCATATTTTTTCTCCCCGAAATCCTATATTTTTTCAAATTCTCATCGAAAAAAACTAGTAAAGTGCATATATAGTAAATGGATAACTATATGATGAAAATAATTAGTACCTGACACCTATTTTTGACATGATTACGTCATTTTTTGTGTGATTGGGTGGAAAGTTTCGGATTTTTGAAGGTCATCATGGGTAAATTTTGGAATTTTTCACTTTTTGTAGTTCTGAAATTAAAATATTTGTGAGATATCACTTCTTGATCGATTAATATGAGCAATGTTCAAATTTTGGGAGAAAATCAGAGTCTAGGCTCTTTTTTCTTCGAAAAATCTGTCATTTTTAGTAGATTTGAAGGGAAAGCACGAATTTAGGCTTAATTTTCATGATTTTCAGCGTATTCTTCATATAAAATTGATTAATATGAGAAATGGCTCAAAATTTTGTAATTTTCAATCAAAAATCCATAAAATTTCACAATATTTCATTCAAAATAGCTAATTTTCAAATTTCCAACAAAAATTCACCAATTCGGACACAACCACTTCAAATGTTGTCGTTTTCCTCGACATTTTCGGCATTTTTGCCGATTCTCCGCACATTTTCGGCGGCCAACTTCATGCACCAAACAACATTTTTTGCATGCTCCGCGAGCCTCCAAAATTCGAATTCGCGACTGACGCGTCGCAAAGATTCGGCAACTTTGCGACGGATGACCGTGGTTTTGACAAAATTCACAAAATCTGTCGATTTTTGGTGTATTGATTTGGGAGATTGTGGCAGATTGCGAAATTGTGAGCGTGGAAATTGCAGTTGAGAGCTGAAAATTGCACATTTTTGGCTGAAAATGCACAAATTAACCAACCTGTTCCACATTTTCCTGCGGCAAATCGGTTTCTCGAATTGCTTGCGCAATTCCTTCCGCCAAACCCATTCCTGTACTTAGTTATTGCTCAGATTAGCCACAAAGTTGCTGATATGTTAGAAGACCCTTTTGATATTTGGGGATTTTTAATCAAGATAGATAGGAGAAAATTTTGAAAAAAAGGTATTTAACAAGTGAAATTTTTATTTTTGAAAAAAATGAAATAAAATTTCAATAACAACAAAAAGTAGAGAAGACTCTAGACAACAAGAAAAAGTGGGCAGTTATATTTGGCGCGGATCCCCCGCGCGCCCCTTCTGAGAGACGCCGGGGAGCCGCGCCAAACACAAGTGCCTACTCCTCATTGTTGCGAAGGGTCTCCTCGTGTTGAATCTCCGGCGGCTCCTCGGGCGCAACTCCAGCCGCAGCAACTTCATTGTTGCTGTTGTTTCGGTCGCTCTGCGCGCACTGAAAATTCAGATTTTTCAACTTTTCCGCAAAAACATTGTTAAACATCGACTAAATGACATTTTCAGGTTTTTTAAGCAAGTGAGTTGAATTATTGGGTTTTAATCGTATTCATAGGATAGAATGGTCTAAGATGAACAAAATGATATAAATTTTGATGAGTTTACGTTATCCATAAGTGATTTAGCGATGTTTAGTCAATATTTAGTCGATAAGCCGCTAAATCACTTATGGATAACGTAAAGTCATCAAAATTTATATCATTTTGTTCGTCTTAGATCTTTCTATCCTATGAATACGATTAAAACCCAATATTTTAACTCATTTGCTTCAAAAAAAAATTTAGTCGATGTCCAACTATACTCACCGCTCTCAAAAAACGCCACGCCACTCGAGCAACTCCAATGATTGCTCCGGCAACCAGGAGGGCCACATTTGCCAACGCGTAAACCTAAAATGATTCAAAGAAATCAAGTGAATATCTATTTAACAAATTGAAGATTTATTCATGAACAACAAAAAAATCATACCCCAGAGGGCTTTCGGCGATTTGGGCAAAGCCAATCGATGTGTGGTGGGCGGCACGTTCCGCACATTCGGCGGGTCTCGGGGCAACCTCGCCCAGGAATGTTGTGGGGGTGGACGAGGCAGCATTGGGTGCAGGCGCCACGGGAGCGCAGGATGTTCGCGCGCTGCTCGGCTGTTGGGTATGTCGGGCACTCCAGCGGACCGTGGGATTGCATGCGGCAGAAGAGGCAGGCGCGGTGGTTGAGGGGTGTTTGACGGCCGCGCTCGTCGGTTCGAGGCTGAAAATTTGCGAAATTTATGATAGATTTGAAGTTTTTTGAGCTGAAACTCATAAACTTTTGACCAAAAGTCGTCAATTTTTTTTCTTTTTCGGTGTTTTTTGATAAAATGTATGATTGCGTTGAGAAAATGGTCAACATCGATTCAATTTATTTTCAAATATAAAAATGCTCACCTCATTGCGCCTTGCTCGAACCGGGCTCCGGCGAACTCGATGAAGATCTTCATATGATGGTGGATGCTCGGACGGTGGCGGAGCCACCATTGGCTGTGGCACCTTGCGCTCCGCTTCCGTTTGCGTTCCCACCGAATAGACGACGTGGAGGTTGACCGGCGATGGGCGCAACCATTGAACTATTTTGTCGATCTGAAATTTTGAGATTTTCTCATTTTTTCAACGAATGTTTTATATTTAAACTCACGATGAGGACTGCAACCAGGCAGCTAAATCCTATTTCCAGTAGAATTCGGTCCATTTTCACGACTGCGCACGTAAAATGCACGCGAAAAGTTGAAAAGAAAAATTTTCCGTGGAAAAAATCAAGATGAAAATGCGGCGCGGCGAGACCCTTGTGTGTTTTTATTCTGTGTGCCTTTGAACGTTGTCGTATTTTTTTCACTGATTTCTCCTATTTTGAAGCTTTATAGTTTTGAAACCTCGAAAAACTTTTCAAATTTCATCGCTCGCCAGATGGTTGTATTTTTGGCGGTTTTCGGGTGGTTTGTCCTTTTTCCGCGAGATATCTAGATAATAATAATTATGTGTCGGATTAGTCGTCGTTTCCTCTCTTTTGAATCGTTCCGAACACCGACTATTTGTCCAACAGACCATAAATTGATGAGCATAAAAATGGAGAGGGTGCGCGAGATTTTGGAGGAGAGAAATCTAGGTCTTCTGGTCCAGAATCTGGATGTTTGTTGGGTGGACAATCTTAGAAATGCTTTTCTAGGTTTTGAAAAGCGGTTAGGGTTGAATACGATTTTTTTCTGTCACGATTTTTGAAAAAATTCAAAATTTGAGCATAGCTTCCGCAAGTCATTTTCGAGTTGAAAATTTGGTTGAAAATCACATTTTTACACACCGTTCATAGGAATTTCAGTCAAATTTTGCAGAACGAAAACAATTTTCGAATTCAACGCATATATTTTCCGGTTTCTCCACTTCCTGTTGACCCCTTTCACCTAACTTTTCAACAATATAAATTACTCATTTTCCCTCATTTTTTGCATTGTCCCCCTTTTCCCAATAATATATCCGTTACACAGTGTTTCGCAATACTCATCCCCCATTCTTCCATTCTTTTCTCATCCATCCGCGCATAATTATTTTTTGGTGGGCTGGTAGCCAAAGAGGAGGTCACCACTACTTTTTGGTGGTGTAGATAAATGAAGAGACGGCAGACATACTTACATATGGTGCAGGCAGGATATGATGACCTCCTAGAGAAGACGAAATATATACATTAGATATACACACTTTGTGTGGTAGGAAGAGGAGACATGACACACTAACCAACAAAAAAGTTAATTAGAATGTGAAGGGGAGGAACAACCGATGCTTTTTGGCTGACTGCTGAATGCGCATGCATGCACGTTTTTTGTTATTGTTATTCGTCGCCGGCTTCTTTTTCTTCTTAGGTCGACGAACTTTTGAAATTTGATTAGTTTTTTATGGCAGCTTGGATATTGTTTGTTTTTTCTAGAGGATTGGGATTGGGTTGATCTTACGATCTTGGGCTAAGCTTTGTTGCAAACTTGGTTTTAATTAGAGCTTCAGATAATTACAAGATTCTTTAAAAGTTTTCAAAAATTGGACCTAGCTTTTGCATCTTTGCCAATTTCGTTCGGCTGAAAACCGCGATTTCCAGCCAGATTTTCCAAAAACTGCAAATTCTGGCATTTTTCTATCACGTCTTGGTCATAGACAAATATTTAGAAATGAGCATTTTTTGGAGCACGTTTCATTTTTTGGAGCACGTGACCCAAAAATTTCTATCCGAAACAATCTCATTTCTGAATATTTTTCAATGAGCAAAACGTGGAGTTATTTTGAAAAATGCCAGGAAAAGTGAGTTTTAGGGGGGGATTTCGAAATGTTGGCTGAAAATCGCAAATTTCATCTTGTCTAGGTCAAAAACGCGAGTGTCAGTCAAATTTCTAGCACGAAAATTACAAATCTCATCGAAATTCAAAATTTTGGCATAGCTTCCGCATGAAAATCACATTTTCAACCAAAATTTCATAACGAAATCGACAAAGTCAACCCCTCTCCTCGCAAAAAACCAAAGTTTGCTACCTTTTTTCCGCAAAATGAATCATGCACTTTTTGTTTTCCCTTTCCCTATTATTCTTTTATCCTTCCCAATTCTGTTGACTTTTTTGTCTTGCGCAAATTTCGCAACGAAACTAAGTATCTAAAATTTCGAAATCTGAAAGTCATGCAAAATTATAGCCTTTTGAAATTCATAATCAGTTTCTATTTATTGCACGTCACAGCGTGGGTTTCTAGGTAACGAACACTTTTTTTCCAAAAATAAAAAATAAGTTATACTAACTCTGACTCATTAGTATTCTATAGAAGAATGGAAAAAGTTATGAGAACCATCTTTTAGTCACACTTTGGTGCACATTTTTGATCGTCTGGTGACAATTTGGGGATGACTCATACACCCATTTATATGTATTTATTAGTTGTACTCTCTCTCTCCCCCACTACCGTATTTATTTATTTCGTCATGTTATTTATTATCGTTTTTGCTAATGTATTATTTGGAACACGGCCAAAACGGCTCATTGTTTGCGCTACAGGCACAAATTTGAAGAACACCGCCGCCGCAAAATGTGTATTCGATTACATCTCTTTCGGTCCGCTATCTTTTCAATTTGTCCCGGCTAGCTACTGTGTAAATTTTCGCCGAATGACTCATTGTGTTTCGAAATATTTCTGAACGTATTTGTTTCGCTCCAACAGCAAAAAACAGTTGTGTGATTCATTCATTTGATTGATTTCCGGATTAGAAATTTTTTGTCGATTGAGAATTTTGAAATTTGGGCATAGCTTCCGCGCCCCAGCCATTTTCGAGCTGAAAATTTGTCTAGAAATCGCAAATTCCACCGGATTCAGGTGAAAAATGCGATTTTCAGCCAAATTTTCAGAGCGAAAACGGCAGGAATGAGTTATAAAATGCCACGTCATAGGTAGGACGCGTTATTTTTTTATTGACTATAGTCCAAGCTGAGAATTCATCTGAAAATCGCAAATTTCACGTTTCCATATGAAAAATGCAATTTTCAGCTAAATTTTCGGCTGGAAAATGAGAAAAATCCGAATTTCAGTCAAAAACCCTACCATTCTCATTTCAAGCATTTTCGAGCTGAGAATTTGGCTGAAAATCGCAAATTCCACCCGTTCCAGGTGAAAAGTGCGAGTTTCAGCCAAATTTCAAGAGCGAAAATGACGATACATATTCAAAATGCCCGAAAATCGAAAGTTTAGGCCAGGGTTCCGAACCGGTTCAAGATTTTTGGGTTTGGTCCAGGTTGGGCCAAAAAAAACTGCCCAAAACCGACCAAAAAAACCCAGTTTTAAATTGAACCGGCCCGAACCAGTAACCAAAAGTATCTTTCGGTTAAAGCCCAACCCGAACCCGAACCCAACCCAACCCAAATTCATGGGCCAAACCCGGGCTCAACCCAAGCCCAACCCAAAACCATGGGCCAAACTCGGTTCAAGCCCAAACCCAACCCGAAACCATGGTTCACCGGTTAACTGAACCAACCATGGTTAATTTTGGGTTGGTTCAAATTAGTGCAAGCAATCTTTTCGTGGTGAATGGAGGTTATTGTAATATGGTTGTGGTGTTGATTTGATAATGAATTCTGGATGGTGTGATTGGTGGACATGGTGACATTGCACCAAATGCACCAATCGCGCCAACGGATCAGAAAAGTGAAATTATCACCATTGGTGCAATTGGTGCACTTTTCAGCATTGGTAAAAAATTGTACCAATCATATAAATTGCACTAATTACAACAATCACACCAATGCATCAGAAAAATATAATTGGCGCAATTGGTGTGACTGGTGCAATTTTCGAAATCGGTGCATTTGGTGCAATGTCACCATGTCCACCAATCACACCATCCAGAATTCATTATCAAATCAACACCACAACCATATTACAATAACCTCCATTCACCACGAAAAGATTGCTTGCACTAATTTGAACCAACCCAAAATTAACCATGGTTGGTTCAGTTAACCGGTGAACCATGGTTTCGGGTTGGGTTTGGGCTTGAACCGAGTTTGGCCCATGGTTTTGGGTTGGGCTTGGGTTGAGCCCGGGTTTGGCCCATGAAATTGGGTTGGGTTGGGTTCGGGTTCGGGTTGGGCTCGAACCAAAATATGTTTTTGGTTTCGGGTTGGGTTCCAGAACTGTATTTTTGGGCTTCAAACCAAACCGAACCGACACATGTTCAACCCAACCTGGCCCAAAAACCGGCCCAGTTCGGAACCCTGGTTTAGGCTTAAATGACCTTTCTCCGCAATTTCTTTACCACCCAAGAACACATTGTAGATAAAATCTGTCTTCTTCTTCTCCCTTAACATATGGTTGAATTTCAAATTTCAAACTTCGTTGGTTCACGACAGATGGACTTATTTATATATTCTTCTTCTTATTTTTGCTCAAAGATGTTCCCAGATCATATAACCATAAAGAAAACAAATATTCATATCATTATTATTGATAAACACCTGATAGGGGTTTCCTTTGATGATTCATAACTAGCTACAGAAAACTAAGGACGAAAAAGTAGTATGTTTTGATTTCCTGCTCGCATTTCATCGTTCAAAAACTTTTTTTTGTCTCAAAAAAGCGCAATTAAAATTGTACACTTTTTCTCGAAAAATCGTCTCGTTTGTTTGTTTTGATTCTGTTGTAACAGTAATAATTGGAAAAGGCTTTTGCTTACCAAAAAAAAAGCTTCTAGAAGGAAAAGAAAAAAAATAATTGACCTGGGATACTGTAGCATTTAAAAAAGTGTGCAATGTGTGCATACACCACCGCGCGCGCCGAAAAAATATTTTTGTTTTCGTCGTTTCGAATTCTTGCCCATAAATTGTGTTCTTCGAGCGCTCGCTAGCCATAAATGACCTTTCAACGGTCGTTTTGTCTGTTTTATGAAATTTCGCCGATCGTAAATATGATTTGAACCTCATTTACACCACCACACGCTTTTTTGAAGGTTGTTTTGGTTTTCAAAATGAATATTCGCTATTCTTGGCCTAATTTCGCTCATAAATTTGTTGAAATGGTCTTTTTTCTTCGATTTTTCAAGTGTTGTGAGGGATTTTTGCTGTAAATTGACTTATCTTATCAAATTCTGATAACATTTTTGTTTTCCATTCTGAAATGCACTTTAGAGCGGCTTTTTGAAGCGTGGGAGGATTTAGAGTTTTGTGGAAGTCTGAAACTTGTCGGCAACTAGGAAAGTGCTGAAAATCCAAAGTTTAGAGGAATTTCTTGTTTGGTGACTCATATTTTCATGTGAAATTCACATTTTTGACCAATAAGTGTGTTATTTTTCATATTGTAACTTCAAACGTGAATTTGCTATGACGTGGCGGTTTGAAAATTATTTTCCAAGCAAAAAATCTAGCTAATAGTCATTTTCGCTCTGAAAATTTGGCTGAAAATCACATTTTTCACCTAGTACACGTGGAATTCATGATTTTCAACCAAATTTTCAGAGCAAAAATGACTTAGACGCGGAGGCTATGCCCAAATTTTGAATTTCGATGAAGTCTGTCATTTTCGCTCTGGAAATTTGGCTGAAAATCACATTTTTCACCTAGGACAGGTAAAATTTGCGAGTTTCAACCAAATTTTCAGAGCAAAAATGACTTGAACGCGGAAGCTATGCCCAAATCTTGAATTTCGATGGAATCTGTCATTTTCGCTCTGGAAATTTGGCTGAAAATCACATTTTTCACCTAGGACAGGTAAAATTTGTGATTTTCAACCAAATTTTCAGAGCAAAAATGTCTTGGACGCGGAAGCTATGCCCAAATCTTGAATTTCGATAAAGTCTGTCATTTTCGCTCTGAAAATTTGGCTGAAAATCACATTTTCGACCTATTTCAGGTTAAATCCGTGATTTTCAACCAAATTTTCCTTTCGAAAATGGCCAATGTGGATTTTTCTCCTAATATTCCGCTAGAAGATCCAGATTTTCCCAAAAATCTGATCTTTTGTCCTTTTGTGCTATAAGTTCTTCCCAAAAAACAAACAATCCCCAATCTATTACGGGTTAATGTACTTTTTGAAGTCATGTCAATTATTCTCTCCCCTTCGTTCTATTATATAAACATTATTATAAGTGTAAGTGTCAATTCATTCATTCATTCACCCAATTCCTTCCCAAAAATCCCCTTTTCCTACACGTCTGCGTCTCTCTTCTTCCCAAACGAGACTCCGCCCCACATTTTTGTGGTGGCTTGCCTGCTTGTTAGTGTTGTTGTGTCCCGCCCATTTTCTCTCCCCACCACCACATTTTTAATGATGCCTTTTTGCCCCCCGACTCGCCCTTTTTTTGTTTTTTGGGTGAAAGGACGCTGCACCCTTTCTATTTTTGATTATTTCAAATTTGTATGCCAAGTAGAATTTTTTGTTTTCGTCATTTCGTCGGATTAGTCATCATCTATGTTATTTTTCACGATTTTTTCGATACATTGAACATTTTCCCCTCGCATTGTAATTGTAATTTATCTTTCGAGTCAATTTGTCACCGCCATTCTCCTCAATGACCACTTTTCTTCTGAGAAATTGGGATTTGATGAAGAGAAATTGCGGTTTTTTCTGGTCTTGGCTAGACAAAGAACGCAATTTTTGAGGGTTTTCGTCAGAAATAGAGGTTTATAGAGCTTGATTTCGTTTTGAGACTCAAATTCCTGAGATTTTCAGTAGAATTCGTGATTTCTGTCATTTCTCAACTTTCCTATGGTGAATTTCGTTACGAGATTCGAAATCCCAGATTTTTGGCTGATTTTCGTCCGCGAACATCTAGAAATCTCTTCAAGACCCCAGAATCCACGTTTTGAATCTAAACTATGGCTGGACTTCGCTTCGAGAACCAAAATTAAAGATTTTAATCAGAGTCTACAAGATTTCTGAGCTTTCCTATCGTAAATTTCGTTACGAGACCAAAAATCTCAGTTTTTTCGCTAGTTTTTCCCGCCTAGACCCCAGAATCCAGACTTTTGATCTGAAAATAGCTAGATTTAGCTCCAAGGCCCTGGATTTTCGCAGTTTTTCTTGATTTTTTGACTTCGAGCTTGTAGAAATCCTCTAATTCTCTCCGGTTTCCTGATTTTCCGAAGCTTTAACTCTAAAAATCCCTTCAAGACCCCAGAATCTGGGCTTTTTATCTGAAAATCGGCTAATTTTCGTTGCAAGAGCCAATTTCTTGATTTTTCGCCCCCAAGCTTCTAGAAATCCCCTCCTTAACGAAACTTTCCAGTTTTTTCGCATCTTCGGGCTGAAATTGCTGGAAATGTCTTCAAAGCCCAAAATTTGTTGGATTTTCGATCCCAGGACATCAAAAAATACAAATAGCATTCGATTTTTGATTTTCCCTTCTTGAACCATCGAAAACTTCGATTTTTGATTTTCCAAAATTCCCCGATAGAATAAGTTTCAAAATATTTTTCGGTTTCTGAAAATTTTGATTGGATTCTACAAAAATCCATACATATCTCAGGCTTTTTTCTTTTTTTTTTATTTTTGCTTTCAAAATCTCATCACATAAAAATAATTCCAGATCTTCTCAACACAACCAAAAACTAACCGAAACCCCCCTAATAATTATTATTAAACTCGATAATAATAGAATATCAACACTATTATAAGCACAAACTCGAAAATGTCTGCTGAAAATCAACAAGCCGCTGAAACTGTTGCCGCTGTCGTCGAAGAAGTCGTCGCCGCTCCAGAATTGCCAAAATCTGATCCACCAGCTGAGAATGTTGCACCGGCCGCTGAAAATGCTGAAGCTGCTCCAGTTGCTGCAGAGGTAGGGTGTGATTTTTTTTCAGCTAGAAAATTTCGAGATTTTTGAGCCTGGAGCTTGGTTTTAAGGCAAAAATTTGAATTTCTCCTTTTCCCGCGCGAATAATTTGTGTACTTCTCTCGGACAAGATAAAAATTAATAAATTTTGCCTTTGGCTCTCAAAAATATTTGAAAATTCACAAAAGTTTGGATTTTTCATAATTAGCGCCTAAAAATGTTCACAAAATTTGAAAATTTCAATTTCCCGCACAAATTCTCGTTTTGTTTTTTCGAACAATTCAAAAATTGAATTCTCTTCTTTTCCCGCTTGAATAGTTTGTGTAGTTCTCTTGGACAATTCAAAATTTTTGCGAAATTTTAATTTTTCATAATTAGCGCCTCAAAATGTTGATAAAATTCGACAATTTCAATTTCCCATACAAAAGCACGTGTAGTTCTTTTGGACAATAGAAGATTAACTAAAAATTCAAATTTTCCTCATTTCCCGCTCCAATATTGTGTACTTCTCTCGGACAAGCCGAAAAATGTGCATTTTTCAAGCTTCTCCCTTTCTCATTTTTGCCAACACCAAAACCCGAAACCCGAATTTTATTATCTCGATTTTCCATTAAAACGAGACGAGCCCTGTGCTGTGTTTTCTCGTCCATTTAATTGGTTTATCTTGGTCAGCAAGCAAAAAAAGGGGAAGAAAAATGGCTTTTTTGGGAGGGGAATGAAGCAGGAAAATGGTCATTTTTCAAATGAAAAATGGGGGATTTTTTAGCCAAAATTGGTAGAAAAATGAGATTTTTGAGCCAAAATTGAGCTGAAACCTAAAATCTGTAATTTTCAGCCAGCCGCTGAGGGAGAAGCTGCCGCCCCAGCTGAAGAGACCAAAGAAAAGAAGTCGGGAGGAATTGCACGTCGTTTCACATTCAACAAACGATGGGGAAAACATCGTGACGAGGCTGCTGCACCAAAAGAGCCAGAAGCACCAAAAGATCCAAAGGAAGATGTGTTGGGATGGATTGCTCAACAAATTCCACAAGCTGTTCATAAGGTGAGGATTTGAGCGGAAATTTGGGAAAATTAGAGTTGTTGAGCTAGAAATCTTGATTTTTTGTGCTCAAAAAGTTGGCCTAGAGCTCAAATTTTCACTAAAAAAATTCAATTTTCCTCCATTTCCCACTCAAAAACATGTTTGGCTTAGGCAGATGTATTTAGAGAGCGTAATTTAAACGATTTCCCTTTTTTTGAACAATGTGCCAAAAAGGCAGATGTTTTGTGAAAAATCTGGTGTAATTGAGGAAATTGGGTAATTTTCGATGAAAAATTGAGGTTTTTTGAAGATTTTTGACCAAAAAAAGATTGAGAAAATCTAATTTTTATTGAAAGTTTGCGAATTTTCAAAGAATTCAGCTGAATTTGATAATTTTCAGTTTCAGAGGCTGAAATTCACATTTTCCAGTGGAGTTTTAGAATGTTCTATTGCTTGTGACCTTCAGAACTCAAAAAATGAGCCTGAATCTAGAAAATTGGTGATTTTGGAGGTTATAAGCAAAAGAATGGTCTAGAATTCCACTAGAAAATGTGAATTTTAGCTTCTGAAATTGAAAATTCACAAATTTTGAAATTCCCGCCAAATTCTTTGAAAATTTCTGTCCAAATCACATACTCTATTCAAAAATTCGTGAAAATCTCGAATTTCACAGTGTTTTATTTGATTAAAGGTGTTTTATTGACACATTTTCTCTCTTCTATGAGTAGTACTTTACGATTGTGAAAAAGAACACCCACCCGAAACTACTACATTTTACACCTGTCTTCTACCTTGTCTGTCAACACAATTATTTATTATTCATGAGAAAAATTTGCGGGCTTCATGAATACGAAATTAATTTGTTCGTTCGGATTTTTGTTGGCGCCCTGGCGAAATTATGGGATTTTTTGATTGGGTGGGAAGGCGCCAAGCAAAAAAACTGGTTTTCTCTTCGAATTCGAAGATTTTGGGATTAGTAACACATTTTCCCTTGTTTTTCAGGGATTATGGGGGATTTTGAGGGGTTTTGTGAAAGTACAGGATTTGCAGAGGAAGTAGGGGCTGAAAATTTGAAAAATTGGGGATTTTTGGAGGTCTGGAAGTTATATATGGAAAATTCTAGAATTGGGCTAGAAAATGCGAACCGCAGCTTCTGGGGCTTGAAATTACAGAAAATTTGGATTTTGAGCTTCAGAAGCTGAAAAATTACAAAATGTTGTTCAATTTGTGCAATTTCAGCCGAAATTTACTGAAAATGGGATTTTTGAGGCGTTCAACTGAAAAGTTACGATTTTTCATGTATTTGAACTTACTGGAGTTCTAAATTTGACTGAAAATTTGGATTTCTAAAGTTCCGAAGTTGGAAAAAATGCTGAATTTCAAGGAAAATTGGATTTTCTGATAGAAACACTAGTTTTCATCGAAATTAGGAAAATTCTAAGCTTCTAGATTAAATTCTAGAATTACCGCATTCTCCCCAGAATTTTCTAGAGATCTGCAGATTCTCTGGAAAATTCTAGACAGTTTCTTCTCGGCGCTCTCTCCGATTTTGGTTGAAAATCCAGGTTTCTCGAAATTTCTAGAATTCTCTACAGAAAATCTCGATTCTTCTAGAAAATTCCAGAATTTTCTAGACAGTTTTCTCTTTCTCTCTGCACCCTCTTCGAATCCTATACTCTCTAACCGCCCGTCCCAAAGATCTCATGAATAATTGTGTGCCCTTTTTGCAATTTGTCGTGTTGTTCTTTCTTATTCTTCTTCTTCTTTTTGGAGATCATAAAAATGCAATGCATGACTTATTAGAGAGAACTAGGAAAGAAGGGGCCATGGTCATTTTTTGGTTGACTTTTTTTTGTTTTGTTTTGATGTACCTGGTATTAGTCATGGTATAGAAACAGTTATTATCTATTTTTCCTCTTCTTCTTCTTTGTCGGCAGCTTTTTTGTGTAGTTCTCGAGGACAAGTCGAGGGTTGCGCAATAATGGGTGGAATGACAAATGAAAAGAGGGCGAATTCTCTTGGGACGCTGCCGCAAAAATTGCCGTTCTCTTCGACTATTTTTGGACGAGTGCACTTTTTTGTTTTTGCAAAATGAGAGAAGGGGTTTTATGGGTTGAGAGAATGATGAAATATTGAGATGGCGATGGGAAATGTACGATTTTTTGGAGGAAATTTTGGAATTTGCGCACGAAATTTATGAGTCTAACATGAAGATTTTGGGATTTTGAAGCTGAAAATCTAAAAAATTCACCAAAAATTAGGTCATCGACCGGAAATTCACGATATTTAGGTTGAAAACTAGAAAATTATGCATTTTGATCTCAAAAATCATTAAATTGGGCCAAAGTTACGATTTTCTCGCTCGAACTTGTGATATAGTCTTCAAAATTAGAAATTTTCAGCTGAAAATTATGAAATTCAGGATTTTCTCGCTGAAATTTGTCGCATAGCCTTGAAAAATCGAAATTTTCAGCCAAATTTCGATTTTTCAGCTGAAAATCTCGAATTGTCACCCAAAATTATGATTTCTTGATAGTTTTGAAGTTAGAGCTAGAAAATCTTGGAATTAAAAATTTGAAAAACCGAAATATTTTCTCAAATATCAATCCAATTTTAATTGCAGGCCAACTACCAAGTGCTCGACTGGATCCAAAACACAGCCGTCGAAAACGAGGCCGATCGCAAAGCGATTCCGGGCAAAGATCAATCCACCACCCGCAATCAATTCTTGGGATTCTTGAGAGACGGTGATTTGCTCGTCAAATTGGCCAACACTCTTCAGGTATGTGGTTTTTGGGGGAGGTTTTGGGCTTAAAATTGGTCAAATTTTGGTTCAAAATGGGTATTTTTGATGAATTTTGCACCAGAAATCTTCATTTTGGACCTTTTTATCCAAAAAATCGGTTTTTTATGGCTTTTAACCCCAAATTTGCCAGATTTTGCTCAAAAAGGTCATTTTCCCTCACATTTTCCGACCTCTAATTACCTCCCATGGAACCCTGAAATTAATTTGTATATTAATTACCCTAATTAATTACTGTAGAGGAATTTGTTGACCTTTTTCTCTTCTCTTCCCCTTGTTTTTCCTGGTCAAAACAAATAATAATAATTCATATCATCGCCCCCCGAAAATGATGATATGATTAGGATGATTTTTATTGTTGTTGACATTTGGTTTTCGGAATTTTGAAGGAGAAATGAGGGATTTGGTGGATTTTTGGGCCTGGAAATGGGGAAATTTGACCTGAAATTGGGGCTGAGCGCGAAATTTCAGTTCTAGACTATTTTTGAGCTGAAAAGCTGAAATTTTTAATCGAATCTAGTCTAAAAATGCGATTTTTCAGTCAGAAACTCGGAATTTCAGTTCGAGACTATCTTTGAGCTGAAAATCTGGAATTTTTTAATCAGAAAGAGTTTTGATAGGATTTTTCAGCTTAAACCCCTAAAATTTAGCTTTGGACTATTTTCACCTAGAAATTTTCATCAAAAATCAATTCCAGGACCTAAATTTAACCCAGAAAATCTAGTTTAAAAAATTGATTTTGGGAATTTTTATACTACCTAAAAAGCAGATTTCTACCCAAAAAATAATACCGGACTTTGCCTAACTCCATATAACTCTGAAAATTAGGTTTTTAGCTGAAAAAGCTTTCCAAAAAATCAATTTTCATCCCCGACTTCCCCTAACTCAAATTTTTCATTGCAGGCTGGAGCCATCGAACCAGCAGTCGCTGAAGAAAACGCTGACGCCGCCGCCCAAAAAGAGGTTCAAAAGAAGAATATCGAATCATTCGCCACATGGGCCGGACAAACTTTGGGAGCTGAAAATGTGTTGAAAGCCGAAGATTTGTTGGAAAAAGGAAAAGCTGGATATTCGGCAGTCTTTTCGACTTTGTGGCAATTGGGAGTTCAAGCCAAAGAAAAATTCGAAAAGGATGGATTTGATGTTGAGACAATTGTCAATATTGCGAGCCAAGTTGTGAAGAGCGGATTGTTGACCACGATTTTGGGATTCTTTAGAGTGAGTGCGACATTTTTGGGTGATTTTGAGCTGAATTTTATGAAAATTGACCTATTTTGAAGAATTTCGCTTAGAAAATTAGTAAAAATAGTGGATTTTGATGATTTTCAATCGGAAATTTGAATTTTTGACCAACATCGAGTTTTAGGGTCATTTCAAAGTGAAAACCATGAAAATCGACCCAAAATTTGAGTTTTGAGCAAATTTGGAGCATTTCGTGATAAATTGGATTTTTGGCTGGAAATTTAGATTTTTTAAAATGATTTTTAATGAATCTTATATCTTCTTACTAAAAATTGAGGAGTTCTGCTCAGAAATTTGAGTTTTCAGCTGAAAATTTGAATTTTTGAGTGAATTTGGAGCATTTTGATATGAAAAAATGCTCAATATTCTGAATTTCACTGAAAAATCTGAAATTTTCATCTGAAAATCTCCCAACCTCAATTTTTTTCAGAGAAACCGTCAACCAGTCACCGAAGAGGCGAAAGAAGGCGAAAATGCCGCTGCTCCAGCTGAAGGCGAAGCCGCCAAAGACGGAGAAGCCGCTGCGGAACCAGCTGCGGAAAGTGTCGAGGAACCGGTTGCGGTCAAGGTGAATTTTTGAAATTTGGCTCTTTATGAGCTGAAATTTGTGAAATTTGGCTCTTTTTGAGCTGAAAATCATGAAAAATGCTCTTTTCTAACCCAAAATTAATTTCAGGTCGAAACCAGTGCTCCAGCCGCTGTTGCTGCCAATTAGAGGCCACCACATTTTTTCAACCCCCAAATTTTTTTTCCGGAAAATCTCACCTGAAAAATTGTCCATTCCAATAGTCTCTTCTTTTTTTTCTCGCTTTTTTTTCAAAAAAAATTTCAAAAATCCCCCCAAAAAATTTCGATTTTCCGGTATCTCAAACCGATTTTTTATCCCATTTTTTTTCACAAAAACTTGAAAAATGGTGTTGAGTTGGTGGCCAGAAGCTGGTGGATTTGCGCGATTTTTCGACGAGGATTCAATTTTTTTTTTTGGTTAGTTTTGATTTATGGCGGGGTTTTGAGATTCGTAATCTTAAAAATTGGCTTTTTGGGGAAATTTGGAGCATTTTTATGGGAAATTTCTAAAATTTGGCTCAAAAATACGTTTTCTTGAAATTTTCTGCAAGAAAAATTGAAATTTTCTGCAAGAAATCCACGTGGCAATAATTTTTGAGGCCAAATTTTGGTTTTTTTTTTTTTTTTTTTTGATTTTTGGCCGCCAAAAATCAAAAAAAAAAGTTCAAAAAGTATTTTTACCCGCGAAAAATACGTTTCAAAATTTTGATATATTTTGAAGATTTTTTTGTCGAATTGATTCTAATTTCGAATATTTACCGGAAAATTGTTTTACAAAATGTAACTAATTTAGGCTTAGTCCAGACTTGGCCTAACTTAAAATGAATTTTGGCCTTTAAAATTGAAAGTAGAGGATTTTTTCGGTCTGGAAGTTGAGAATCTAAAATTTTCAGTATTTTGAGTCTAGAACTTGAAAACTAGAATTTATCTAACTTAGTTGAGTTAGGCTAAGTCCAGAGCCAGCCGCCCTAAACAAATATTCTTTTTTTCATTCAAAGTACAATAATAACAGTATTTTATAATAATAATAATAATAATAGTACTGTGTGTTAGTCATGCTCAATTGAGCATTTACTAGTATTTATTTGCTCATCGGATATTTTCTCTACTAACAGACACAGAAAAGAGCAGACTTTTTATTATTTATATTGTAGTAGTAATAACAATTTTTGTTAGGGGTGGTATTTATTTGAAAAATAATAATAAAGTGGCCACTGGCGGCTAAAGTGTTTTTGCATTTGACTGAAAACTGGATCGGGATGAGTAAATAGTGGGGAATTTGGGGGTTTTTGAGGGGAAATAGTGAAATTTGAGCTGAAAATCTGGAATTTTTGGCTCAAAGAGAGTTTTCACACGATCTTTGAACTTGAAATTTGAAAATTTCGGTCCTAGAGCATTTTTGAGCTGAAAAATAGGAATTTGTGGGTCAGAAATGTTCCTGAAACAATTTTTCAGCTGGAAATTGAAAATTTTCGGTCGTAGAACATTTTTAGCTCGAAATCACCCAGGAAAAAAGCTTTTTTACAGTCATAAACTCAAAATTTGGGCTTTGGACCGTTGTTAGTCGAAAATTTTGTAATTTTTGTGCTAAATTCCGCCGGGCACTAAATTTTGATTATTTTCAGACCTTAAAACTGCAATTTTCAGATTTTTCAACTAGAAAAGTATAATTTTGAAGTCCAGAAGCTATGAAACCATAAAAATCGAGATTTCTATCAAAATCTGAAGTTTTGAGCCACACTTTAAGCTTCAGAGCTCTAGGACCATGAGAAATCTGAAAATTCCAAAATTTCAGCCCAAAAATTCAAATTTCCATAGTTTTACAGTAATCCAAAACCCATCCTTTTGTTTTTTATTTATGCCATATCCAAAAAGAGCATCTGGTGCTCTTTTATTACCCAGCCAGCAAAAAATTACGTTTTTTTTTTCTGCCCAAAAAAAACAAGTTGACCTAACTCTTCTCTTTTACTATAAACAACGAAAATGCTCTTTTTTTGAGCCCAAAAAAAATGGATGCGAAAATGGTAATTGGCGGATAATTGAAGGCCTTTTTCCCCTTTTTTGCTCCTCTTTTTAATTATATGAATTTTGATGTGAAAAGCGAAAAAAAGAGGGGAAAATGAGAGGAAAATAGGCGAATTTAATGGGTTTTTTGTTGTTGTTGGCGCTGGGAAAATTGGAAATATATGGATGAAAGTTTTTTGGTGTTCGCATGGAAATTTTGAGGGATCTCTAAAGAAAATTGAATTTTTCGGACCTAGGACTAGAAAAACTGGGAATTTGGCATATTTCATGCTCAGGAGAAGAAAAATTGAATATTTTCAGTGAATTTTGATCCGGGGAGCTGAAAAATAGGATTTTCTGGGTCTAGGATAAGAAAAATTGGAATTTTTATGATTTTTGAGCTCAGAAACCTAGAAATCCTGAATTTTCAGCTCAAAATTCAGAATATTCCACGTTTTTCACGCCGGTAACTTTAGAAATCGAATTTTTCTATTTCAAAATTTTGAAACGTATTTTTCCGGGGACTTTTTTTTGGAAAATTTTGAAAATTTCAGCCAAAATTAGCCCAATTTTAAATTTCAGATCTTCTCTCAAATCCCATCTCCACTTCTCACCTGGTTCAACATCGCTACGAGACCTTATGTCTCACCATGTCCCTTTAATCTACAGTAGCCGGGCCTCTTTGCAATTAATCTGGCTTCTTATTTTTTCGATTTTCCCGCCCCCATTTTGAGCTGTTTTTCTTTTGATTTTGTGTGTGTATTTTGTTATTTTGCGCTTTTTTTCTGTTCTTTTTTCTTTTCGAGACCAATTTTTCCTACTGTAGTTCATCTGATGAGCTTCTTCTCTCCCACTATTATTATTTTTATCCGAATAAATATTTTAACCACAAAAATTGTGATTTTTTGAGCCCCACCAAGTTTCATCCACCTTTTTGAGCATATTTTTTCAGATTAGAAATTTCAGATTTTGGGATTTTTTCAGCTGGAAAAATGTCGGAAGATGGAGAGTTTTCGGGAGATGAGCTGGAATTTGAGGTGAGTTGTTTTTGGGCGGGAAAAATTTGAAATTTAAAAAAAAATTAAAATTTGAAAAATACAGTAGGCTAGGGTTTTCGGCCCGAAAGTTGTGCTAAAATCATTTAAAAATTCAATTTGAGCTACAGTATTCTAGAACAGCCTAAAATACAGTACCCCGCGATTTTGGCGGCAAAAATTCAAGGTCAATTTTTTCTGCTACAAAAAATTTACAGTTTCAAATTTTTTCCAGATTTTTGACTGTAAATATTGAAAATTTCATGAAAAAATCGAATTTGAAGTCAATTTTCCCAAAAAACTTCATTTTCCCACCCAAAAAATCGCAAAATTCAAATTTTTCTCTTCAAATATCCATTCGCTCAGCTCGAACAATTATATCCTTTCCATTCTCGCCCAATTTTTCCTCAAAATTTCCAGATTTTCTCTCGATTTTCTGATTTTTCTCCGAATTTTGAGCTTCGAGCTCAAATTTTGGCTCAGGTTTCACGCGAATCGCAAAACCTTCCGACCTGAAATCTTTAAAAATTTTGAACAAATTTTTGGAATTTTAACTCACTCTTGGCCAAAAATTTGGAGAACAATTGAAAATAATATGAAAATCAGGAGAAATTTCATGGTTTTGATGAAAATTGAGAAATTTCGAGGATTTTATGGGGGAAATTAGAATAATTTAATTATTTTTATCAATTTTGTGAGTCATTCCTGTGAATTTTCCCTGAAAAATAAGGAAAAATAATTTTCAAACTTTTAAAAATTAATTTTATTATTAGCAAAAAAATTTTTTTGCGTTTTCGTTTTTTTCTGAAAAATTTGAATTTTGGAGCAGTTTTGAGCCAAAAATTTTCCGTTCAATTTTTGAAATTGATATAGAAGTTCCAGAATATAGATCCGGTATTCATTGATTTGAAAATTCTGAACAAAAAACAATTTTTGAAGGATTTTTTGATGGGAAAACTTACATTGTGACCCTGTTTAATTGCCATGATCTGTGAATTTTCCGAACTTTTTTTTTGGTCCTGAAAATTTAAAATTAGGAAAATTCCGATTTTTCAGAGAAAAATTGTATAAAAATTTCAATTTTTGATTTATAAACTCACTATTTCTCATCATTGAGCGTGGTGTTTTGAAGATTTTATCTGAAAATTCAAGATTTTCAATTGGAAATGAACGAAAATTGGATTTTTCAGTCAAAAATTGATGAAAAATCTGACTTTTTTGGCTCAGAAACTCACATTTTTCATTTAATTTTCGATTATAAAATAGTTCCAGAATATAGATCCAGTAATTATTGATTTGTAAATTCTGAGCAAAAATTAATTTTTGAAAGATTTTTTTATCGATAGCACATCTCCTGATACGATTGCTAAAAATTCCAATTTTCCACGTATCTGGAATTTTTAGAAATTAAATTAAATTTTTTTCATTTAAAAAAATTAGGAAAAAATCTTTAAAAGCTCACCTGGTTGATAGATTGAGTATGATTTCCATCCGCAATTTTTTTTGTGAAATTGATATAGAAGTTCCAGAATATAGATCCGGTATTGATTTTTGAAATCTAAACAAAAATTAATTTTTGAAGGATTTTTTTAATTGGAAAACATACATTTTTTGGGTACTAATTTGTTCAGGACAAAGCTCCTCAAAATTCCTTTCATATTTTTGACCTGGTTATCTCCCTGTGCATAGAGAATCTGAAATTTTCAGATTTTTGATGAAAAATTAAAGAAAAATCCAATTTTTTGGCTCAGAAACTCACTAAATTTAATTTTTGAAATTTGATAAAGAAGTTCCAGAATATAGATCCGGTATCTGAAAATTTCCAGATTTTTTTAAATCGAAATTAAAAAAAAAACTTACTTTATTTTTTTCTACATAATTTATGATCTCAGTCCGCAGAACAGTTTGGGTTTTGACATTTTTCTACAATTTCTTTTCGATATTTATTTTTTTGGCCTGAAAAAATGGGATTTTTGCGCGATTTTTTAAAGAAAAAAAGGAACTTACATTTGAGAATGTGAAATTTTAGCACTTTTTGGCGCTCCTGAAAACTTTCAGATTTTTTCAGTGGAAATTTTGAATTTGGCTCCAAAAATAGGTCTAGAAGTGGGGTTTTTGGGGCCAAACTTTGAAAATTGAAAAAAAATTAATTTTTTCATAGAATTTGGCTGAAAATTCAGATTTTCACATGAAAATTGACTGAAATCTGCTAAAAATGCGATTTTTCAAGTAAAAAATGAGGTTTTTTCTCAGATTTTCGATGCAAAATCGAATTTTCCACTCAAAATTTCGTGATTTTTCCCATTTTTCCCCAAAACCCAGAGATTTGTAGATTTCTATCAGAAAATTTTGACCTTGAAATACTTTTCCACTCACCTCATTTTTATCCTTCAAAAAATGTTTTTTTCGAATTTTCATTTGACAAAAATCGATATTTGCATTGTTTAGAAATGCAATTCGGCTGAAAATTTCAAATTTTTCAATAAAAATTGAGCTAAAAATCGAATTTCTTATGAAATTTTGGTTAGAAATGCTCCAAAATTCAAAATTTCATCAAAAAATTCCGAATATTCACGGTGTTTCACCCAGCAAGGCCCAAAATCGTGGAAAAATGTGACTTGTTCGGTGGAGCGCGCTTGCTCGCTCCACCAATTTTTTTTCCTACTTTGCCACATTTTTTTCCCGATTTTCGGCAAGTTTCTTCAACTTTCAGCCTAGGAATGGTATATTTTTTGAATTTCAAAATTTTCGCGCTAAAATTGACTGTAGTAGGCGCCAAATTCAAATTTTTTTTCGGATTTTTCATTAAAAAACTTCATTTTTATCCGATTTCAGTCATTTTTTCACCAAAATCTCCAATTTTTCCCGCCAAAATTCAAAAAATCTGAAATTTTCAGCCACTCCGCCCACCACCAGTCGAGCCAATTCTACAACCGCCGAAAAATGCGTCGGTGCCTTTGGATTATGGAAGATTGCGAAGAAGTGCCGAAATTTTGATGCATAAAGGATGTGTGAGTGGTTTTGGTGGGATTTGGGTGCGAAATTTGAATTTGCCGCCGAAAATTGAGCCTGGGGAAGGTTTTTGCGCGAAAAAATGCTCAAAAATCATTTTTTGAACCAAAAATTCTGAATCTAGGCCAAAATCAGCTGAAAATCTCAAAATTCCAGAATCTTCAAATGAATGACCGTGAACTTCGCGCCGCCATCAAAACAGCCATGGAATTCGAGAAATCCTTCATCGCTCTACTTGAATCCAAAAAACAACAATTCAAAATATTGGAAGAATGTTTCGAGATTGAAAGCCAACAATGTCGCGCACTTTTGGATGAATGCAAGGAGGTTTTGAAGGAGAAACACGGGATTGAGGGTGAGGATTTGAGAAATTTGGTGATTTTGAGGCAAAATTCATTGAAAACCCTGGATTTTGACCTAAAAACCGTTATTTTCCGTCAAAATTGACCTGGAATTGATGAAAATCCGAAGATTGCCTTCTGAATCACAGAAAATCCATAATTCCATCGTTCCTACCTCGAAAAATGACCCTAAAACCAAAAAAACCTTCTAAAAAAAAAGTAAAGCAACGACACTCCGCAATGACGCCTCCGTGTAGTTCTCCCGGACAAGTTTGAAAATTTTTCAAAAATTGTCATTTTTCCGGTTTTCTTGGGTTCTAGGGTTATTTTTTGTGATTTTGGAGGTAGGAGTGGTTAGAATTGATGAGAAATAGTAGGGAAATTAGGATTTTCAGGAAAAAACCTTAATTTTGACCTATTTATGGTTGAAAATGGGAAAATCGCGTTTTAGGGTGATTTTTCGGTTAAAATTGATGAAATTTACACATAGAAAAAAATGAGAAAAATTTGCTTTAGACGCGAAATTACGACCAAAACCCTCTGACCGCACGCTGACCCTCGACTCCGCCCTCTTTTTCTCTCTCAAAACTGCAATTTTGCGGCGCACTTTTTTTTTCCTTTGAAAAATGTTCGCATTCTAGAACATTCTTCTGCGTCTCTCACCCCTTTTCCGCCTGCGTATTTGAATCTGCAAACACTGCACAGCAGCAAAAAATGTTTTATTTTTTTCCATGTGAATTTATAAGCTAACCTAGGTTTTGACTAAAATTTTACTAAAAATTGTGTACTAGACAAAATTTCACGATCTGTCACTCTATCCCATTCGATTTTCAGGTTCAGAATTCGAAAATCTACTATCTCCCGATGAACTCAAAGCCAAAATCACCGCCACATTCTCGGACCAACCGGATACTTCAAAACCGCCGCCCAATTTCCGCGCACCACCGCCACATTTGATCGGAATACCGTCGGTGAGTGATTTTTGGGCGAAAAAATTGTCAAAAAAGCATTTCTTTGTACCTAGGAACCCTAGTTTCTTTGTTCCCTTATCTAAATGCGGAAATTTGATAAAAAATTTTCAAAATTGCTGAGATCAAAGAAAAATTGTCCAGAAAAATAAGAGAAAATCGAAAATCTGATTTTTTAAAACCAGTTTTTGATCAAAATTTGGAACTGGTGCCTAGAAAACATGATTTTCGACCGAAAAAACACAAATTTTAGGTTAAAAATCATATTTCCCACAGGAAAAACAGGTTTTTGAATGTAGTTGTGAGAACTTTGATCACTTTTTGAACTAAATATGTGACAAAATTTCTTCCACGTCATTTTCAGCTAAAAATTATAAATTTTAAACTTCCTACGCCCAATATCACAAAAACAAAACATTTTGAGCAACAAAATATTTGTAGAATTTTTGAAACGTATTTTTTCGGGTCCCAAATTTTTGTCAGAAAAAAACCAGCTCAAAGTGTCAAAATTTGTCCAATTTTTATGAATTTTTCAATAAAAATGGCTAGAAATCCGGATTTTCATTGAAATTCAGAAACAAATGCTTATAATTTCCAATTTTCATGATTTTCGGCTCAAAATTGTCCAATTTTCATGAATTTTTCATTAAAAAATCTCTCGCTCAAAATTTAGTCAAAAAATGCTTGAAACTTGCGATTTTCATGATTTCCTGCTCAAAATTGTCCAATTTTCATGAATTTTTCATTTAAAATGCCTGAAAAGCAACTTTTTCAGTTCTAAAATCTCCAGATTCTCTAACATCTATGAATTCAGATCTAAAACATCGATTCCAACGAAATTCATTCAAAAATCAATCAAATATACCTAATTTCATGATTTTCGGCTCAAAATTGTCCAAATTTATTGATTTTTCCACCCAAAAAATCCCGAATTTCCAGCAATTCTCCACTCCACCACCTTCTCTTCCACATTCTCATTCCTCTCCTCAAATTCGCCATCACAATCTTCACCCACAACATCGCATCTCACCTTTTGGTGTTCCTCAAAGAGATCCAAGAAGAATTCCGCCATTCATCACACCACCTCCATTTTTGGCGATGGAAAGACGGTGGGAAATGGGAAAAATTTGAAATTTCTATTGAAAATCCAGTTTTCCCCGTGAAAATTGCGAAATTTTGAGATGGAAAGTTCAAAAATTGATGAAACTTGTGAAATTTTCAGATTTTCTGGCTGAAAAATGCTGAAAATCGTGAAATTTTCGATATAGAAAATGTAAAATTTATTGTGAACTGAATTTCGATGAAATTATTGATTTTCAGCCATTTTTTAATGTTAAATTCATGAAAATTGAACAATTTTGAGCTAAAAATCATGAAATTCGTGATTTTTGGGTCAAAAAATGCTGAAAATCACGATTTTCTAGCTGAAAATGCTGAAAATCGATAGTTTTTATCTGAACTTCCTGATTTTTTCATCAAAAAATCACATTTTCTAGCCTACAAACTAGAAATCATCAGAAAATCCAATTTTCTGATCAAAAAATGATTGAAAATCACATTTTCTAGGCTACAAATCTTTCCGAAATCTCATATAAAATCTGGTTTTTTTTCTCGGCAAAATCCATTTTTTGCCTAAAATTTGACCAAAAATCGATTTTTTTTCGATCAAAAAAACATTTTTTTGTCAAAAAACAATATTTTTGTTTTGAGATTGATAATAAAAATTACGATTTTCTATTGATTTTTCGATTTTCCAATCTGAAATTAATTTCAGATTTGAACGTGGCTGCTGGAAATCGAGAAGTCCGCCGCCGACTAGACGATTTTGAGGTAATTTTATGCTTTCAAAAAAGTTTTGACTGAAAATTCGGGAAATTTTGAGCTGTGACGTGGCGAAATGTGATTTTTTGGTCCAGACGCCTAGATTTGGGCCTAAAATGGCCCGGAAGTCTATATTTGAGGTCTAGAAGCCTGTGACTAAATTCTCAAAATGAAAATAATCCTGAAATTTGACCTATGACGTGGCAATTTTTGCGATTTTCCGGAAAATTGATAAAATTTGTGATTTTTTATAAAAATTCGAAGATAAATCGATAATTTTTTGAGTCTAGAAGCCCAGAAGCCTAATTTTTCAAACCTGAAATAGGCTGGTTTTAGGGCCTGTTAAGAGTGAATCTAGGCTTTGATCTATATTTCTCCTTGAGCCTAAATTTAGTCCCAAAAGCCCGGAAAAGCCTTGAAATCACAAAAAAATCAACCCAAAGATCAATTTCACCAAAAAAAAATGTTTTTTTATCAACAAAAAAAAATAATGCGAAAATCACCTGAGAAGTTCCAAATTGTGATTTTTATCATCCAAAAAACCACCAAAGAACTGTGTGCATTTTCTGCAAGCCTGGCACGCTTTTTTGGGCGGGAAAACTATCAAAAAAGGGGCGTGGCTTAGATTTCTGCAAGCCTGGCACAGTTTTTATCCCATAGAAAATTGGAATTACAAGAAAAGAGGCGGAGCTTATGCAAGCCTGGCACACTTTTTCTAGCTCATATTCAGTTCTCTAGCTATCTAGTTCCTCTGCGTCTCTAACCCCTCTAGCTTCTCTAACACCCTTCACATTTCTAGTAGTATCTATTATTTCTCTAACTGTCTAGCCACTCTCTCAAAATCCAGTGATCTCTAACAACAGTTGAAAAGGGGCGGAGCTTAGATTTCTGCAAGCCTGGCACGCTTTTTTTGAGCTGAAATTTTGGTCTGGAAAATGAGCGGAGCCTAGATTTTCTTATGCAAGCCTGGCACACTTTCTGGAGGTCAATTTTGCAATCCTGGCACAGTTTTTCTTTCATTTTTCCCCAAAAACCAAAGAACACCCCATAAAAACTAACTAAACAACACAAAAAAAAATTGCAAACACCCCAAAATTTTGTCTTATCTCAAAATCACTCACAATTTTTCTGGCTGGCCTATATAAAAAGGTGCATTTTTTATTCACATGCACAATTTGCTCAATTTTTTTTGTTAAGAAAATATTTTTATCATCGCCTGATCGGCCCATTTTTGCTTTGCTCTATTAAAATGTTTGTTTTCTGTGTTTTTGTCATTTTCACAATTTTGTTTGAAGCGTTTTTTGCTTGGAAAAAGTGTGCCAGACTTGCATTTTCAAATATTTAAGCTCCGCCCATTTTTTTTTCTGAAGTTCTAGTGATTTTTTCGACCAAATATGAGCTTAAAAAAGTGTGCCAGACTTGCAGAATTCATTTGGAAAAAGTGTGCCAGACTTGCATATTTTATGCTCCGCCCATTTTTTTTCTGAAGTTCTAGTGATTTTTTCGACCAAATATGAGCTGAAAAAAGTGTGCCAGACTTGCATTTTCAAATATCGAAACTCCGCCCACTTTTTGTCTGAAGTTCTAGTGATTTTATTGTTGAACCAAAAATAAACACTAGAAAAAAAGTGTGCCAGACTTGCATATTTTAGGCTCCGCCCATTTTTTTCTAGAGAATGTTAGATATCACTAGAAATGTGGAGGGTGTTAGAGAAGCTAGCTAAAAGGTTAGAGATGGAGAGGAATTAGACAGCTAGAAAAAGTGTGCCAGACTTGCATTTCTAAGCTCCGCCCTCTTTAAACCTAAAAGTAGAAATAGGTGAAAATCTGAGCTCCGCCCCCTTTTTTTTAAACAAAAAAATTTCAAATTCAATAAAAAATGTGCCAGACTTGCAAAACCTAAGCTCCGCCCATTTTTTCCTCATTTTTTCTTCCAAAAAAATCCTAAAACCTCGAAGTTCTTATCAAAAATCAAACTTCTAAGATCACACATTTTCGCAATTTATTTTTTCGCGCCCAAAAAAAATAAAAGTACACACGGTGTGTACTTTTTGACCGGTTTTGCAACCCGCCTTAAAAATTCCCGAATTTTCAGTCAAAAATCAAAAATCTCTGAAAAATTCTGCAATTTCAGCGCCCCCCGAAAATCCACGTGGCAACATCTGAAATTTTTTGGTTAAAATCTGTTATTTTTGTTGTTCTTATTATAAACATGTTCCTTTAAACCTACCGTACTTCTTTTTCTCTTATTTTTCTCAAATAGTTACCGTACTATTTTGCAAAATATCTCCAAATTTTTCAAGTTTTTTCTCCGTTTTCTGAAATGGGTCACACAACGACAAGCACTACAGTACCCCGGCGATTTTTGCGGCGCCGCCCGAAAAAAGAGAAGGTCCCGGCTGGAATATTCAAGGTACGGTAGCCCGCGAAAATTTGAAAAATTTGAAAAATAATTTGTTTCCAGACTTTTTCGTCGAGCGACGAGGAGAACAACAAAGTTATGGATGAATTGTTGTTGTCATCGAAGCTGAAGTGAGTTGGCCTAAGTTTTTTGGGCCTGAAATTTGGGGCTTAGGCTTAGGAATCTGATAAAATCATTAGTTTTATTGTTCCCAGCTCGAAAAATTAGCCTAGAACCAAGTTTGCCCTTTAAAACTTTTGAAAATCTAAAAAAAAAACAACGATACTCCGCAATGACGCCTCCGTGTAGTTCTCCCGGACAAGTTTGAAAATTTTTCAAACATTGTCATTTTTTGTTTTTTCTTGGGTTCTAGGGTTATTTTTTGTGATTTTGAAGTTGGAAATGGTTAGAATTTATGAAAATTAGTAGGGGATTCAAGATTTTCAAAGAAAATCTGGAAGTTTGCGCTAATTATCATGAGAAATCGGTTTTTTCGAACTTAGGCTTATTTTTCGTGATTTTTTCACTGGAAGCCTTCAAAAAACCCCAAAAAAATTTTCAGACGGGTCGATTCGGCGACTGGAAGTGTCTCAAACTCGCCTCGCGCTCTCCAACCGATTCAAATTGAAAAAGTCCAAAAAACACCCTACGTGGTTTTGCCGGCCAATGAGAAATTCTCGAAATTCAGGACGAGAAGTCGAGTTGCAGTTGATATTGGTGAGATTTCTGAATTTTTCGTCAAAATTTGATCTATTAAAATTTTCGCGCCAAAAAAACTACTGTATGTTTCGTTCCAGGCGGGACCCTCATCAAAGTTGTATATTCATCAGTTTGTGAAGATGAAGATCTACCCGAAGACGCAACTACACGAATATTCAAATATGATGATGGAAAAAAGATTTTGGTGAATTTCAAGAAATTCACACAAATGGACGAATTTATTGAGTTTTTGCAAAATGTGGGTGGTTTTTCACATTTTTCAGCAGCGAAATTTGAACTTAGACTTGAAAACTGTGAAAAATCAATATTCGCATCGTTCTCAGCTCGAAAAATTAGCCTAGAACAAAGTTTTCCCTTGAAAAACTAGTGAAAATAAAAAAAAACAACGACACTCCGCCATGACACACCCGTGTAGTTCTCCCGGACAAGTTTCGAAATTGTTCGAAAATTGCTTTTTCTTGAGTTCTAGGGTTATTTTTCGAGATTTAGAAGCTGGAAGTGCTTAGAATTGATGAAAATTAGAAGGGGATTCAGGATTTTCAGCAAAAATCTGAAAATTTTGCAGAATTGGCTTGATCGAACACCAGAAGATGTGATTCATTGCACAGGAGGTGGATCCTATAAATTTGCAGAAATTATACGAAAAGAATTGGGAGTCAAGTAGGGTTTCTATTGATTTTTCATGAAAATCGCCGAATTTTGATTCAAAATTCTTGGATTTTCACAAAATCACAGAAATTTAGCTGAAAATTTGAAATTTTATTTGCAGAATTCAAAGAACTGATGAAATGCGATCGCTGATTTATGGAAGCAATTTTTTGTTGAATAACAATGTTGATGAATCGTTCACCTATCATCATGATGCGATTGGAATTAATAAGTGAGGATTTATTGATTGTTGACTGGGAAATCTGAAAATTTGAGGGAAAAATGAGCTAGAATTCGAGTTTTTTGAGAAAAAATGGGTTTTGGCTTGAAATTTGATCTGAAAATCTGAAAATTTCAGAAAAATTGAGTTTTAGACTGAGAATATGTTAAAAATTGACCTCATGTGAATTACAGGCTGAAAATTCAGAAAAATTGATCTGAAATTAAAGTTTTCGCTGAAAATCTGGTGAAAAATGACCTGCAATTAAATACACGCTGAAATATTCAACAAAATTACTCAAAAATCGATTTTTCTGAAATTACGCTCAAAATTTAAGCTAAAAAACAATTTTTAATGAAAAAATTGAAAATTTGAGGGAAAATGATCTGAAAAATCCGAATTCCCAGCTGAAAATTGATTTTCAGAAACAATTTTGACTAAATTAACCTAAAATTGAATCCAGGATGAAATTTTGGGAAAATTGAGCTAAAAATCAATTTTTACACGGAAAATCAGAAAATTTCTGAAAAATTGAGCTGAAATTGAAATTTTCACTGAAAATCTGCTGAAAAATGACCTGAAATCAATTACAGGCTGAAATATTGAACAAATTTACTCAAAAATCGATTTTTTTGAATTTGGGCTCAAAATTTAAGCTAAAATTAATTTTTAATGAAAAATCTGAAAATTTCAGCTAAAAATCTCTCAAAATCCCAAATTTTCAGATTCCAATATCGCCCCATCGCACAAGATTTGATCTACCCATTTTTGTTGGTCAATATCGGAACCGGTATCAGTATTTTGAAGGTAAATCCCAGATTTTCAGCCAAAATATCTGAAAATCCCGAAAATCTTGCAGGTTGATTCACCTGATAGTTATGAACGAGTTGGTGGAAGTTCGATGGGTGGCGGAACATTTATGGGATTGGGAAGTATGCTAACACCGGCTAAAAGTTAGTTTTATCTGAAAATTTTGCTGAAAATCACAATCAGCTCGAAATTTGACGCATTTTGACACCAAAGATGTCCGATTATGCTCAAAAACATCAGAAATCAATCTGAAATTCAATTTCAGACTTCCAAACCACGTGGATTGTCTTAGTTAGCCTAAATCATGATTTTAGACACCCATATTGCTCAGGTTATATTGGATTTTTGAAAAATCTGAAAATTTCAGATTTTTCAAAAATTTGAGATAACCTGAGCAATATGGGTGTCTAAAATCGGGATTTGAGTTAACTAATAAGATCCACGTGGTTTCAGAGCCTGGAATTGAATTTTGAGCAAAATCTGAAAATTTCAGATTTTTCAAAAGTTCAAGATAACCTGAGCAATATGGGTGTCTAAATTCGGGATTTGAGCTAACTAAGAAGATCCACGTGGTTTCGGAGCCTGGAATTGAATGTTCAGCCTAGATCTGAAATTTTCAGCTTTTTCAAAAATTTGAGATACCCTGAGCAATATGGGTGTCAAAATTCGGGATTTATGCTAACTAAGAAGATCCATGTGGTTTCGGAGCTTGAAATTGAATTTTCAGCCAAGATCTGAAAATTTTCTGAAAATTTCAGATTTTTTGAAAATTCAAGATAACCTGAGCAATATGGGTGTCTAAATTCGGGATTTGAGCTAACTAAGAAGTTCCACGTGGTTTGGAAGCCTAGAAATTTCTCCAAATCTAGATCTGAAGTTTTGAGCCCTCAAAAATCTGAATCTACCGAAATTTACATTCAAAAAGCTCCAAATCCCCTCAAAAATTCAAATTTTCCAGCTTTCGACGAGTTACTCGAACTCGCCAATCGCGGAGACCATCGAAACGTCGACAAATTGGTGTGCGATATTTATGGTGGAGCCTATGATGAATTGAACCTGAAAGCCGATTTGATTGCCGGTTCATTGGCTAAAGTTAGTCCAACTCTTGAAATTTGCTCTATTTATACTGAAAATCGATAATTTTCAGTGTAGCACATATGGCGGAGCCACGTCGAAAAATCATAAAGCCGAGGATATTGCGAAAAGTCTTCTTTTGATGATTAGTAATAATATTGGACAGGTAAGCGGGTTTTGGGCTCATTTTCGGGCCTGGAAACCACGTGGATTCTGAAAATAATGAAATTTGGAGCATTTTGATATCCTGGAAGCCTGGAGTTAGACTAAGCCCTGAAATTAGGCCTAGAGACAATTTTCGGGCCTGGAAACCACGTGGATTCTGAAAATCATGAAATTTGGAGCATTTTGATACCCCGAAAGCCTATTTTTGAAGAATTACGGAAATTAGCTCTTCATCTACAGTACCCTGGCCCTACCGTAATCCTACAGTACCCTAAACCCTGTTTTTCATTATCAGCTTGAAAAATGACGATTTTAGACACCCATATTGCCCTAGTTTACTTGAAAATTCAATTTTCTACAGTACCCTGGGCCTACCGTAATCCTACACTACCCTAAACCCTGTTTTTCATTATCAGCTTGTAAAATGATGAATTTAGACACCCATATTTCCTTGGTTTCCTGAAAAATTTGAAAATTTCACCTAAGCTCCGCCCCCCCGCCCCCCTACAGTACCCCCTACCGTAATCTTCCAGATGGCCATGCTATACGGTACCCGCTACAATCTACGGCGAATATATTTCGGCGGCTACTTCATCCGCCAAGATCCCATCACCATGCGAACCCTAACCTTTGCCATCAATTTCTGGAGCAAGGTACAGTACTCAAATCTACAGTAATCCCAAAAACTATTGATTTTTAAAGGGACAAACCGACGCGCTATTCCTGAAACACGAAGGATATTTGGGCGCGATGGGCTCGTTTTTGGATGAGGACGGAAAATTGGAGGAGTAGAGCATAATTTTCGCGCCAAAAATTCATAATAATATATTTTTGTGTAATCTCGCGTCGAGACCATTTCACTTTGCACCTTTAAATTTAAATATATATATAAAATAATTTTATTAAGAGGAAAAAACCCGTAAATTTCGAAAAAGACTGGAGGTTTGGGAAGGAAAATTAAAGAAATTCGAAAAAAAACAGAACACGGAGCAATAGAAAATACATGAACCCGAAGCGAAAAGCACCAATGAAAAAAAAATGGGGGCGTGGCCTAAACATCGGACAAATTCCAGGACCAGGCTAGTCGTAGCTCATTGAGCCTTTGTGTGATATTTCGGCCAGTGTCACGGCATGCTGTTAGGTATTTGTTGTTTTTCGACCAATTGTTGTTGAATAGTTTGTTGACGAGTTTTTCGCAGAAAACCTGGAAATTTTGGAGCATTTTGAGATCAAATATGACTGGTTTTAGGAAAATTCTTTTCTTCAAAGCCTATCTGAAGCTCTAGAATTTTCAGATCTTGGCTGAAGGGGATTTTCTAGGCTTCAAGATCATCTGGATCTTTTTAGTTAGCTCAAATCACGATTTTAGACACCCATATTGCTTGGGAAATTTTGACTTTTGAAAAAAACTTCAGAGTTCGTCTAACTCAAATTCACTCCCACAAACCTCCAAATTTCCATTCGATCTTTGTGAACATGTCAAATTTGCAGTACATCTTGATGTACAATCGCCAATTCGACAATCTTCATCATTTTGACATGGTCGACCTTCGAGAAGTGAATTCAATTTGGAGCGAGTATAAACCATATCGCCGTCCATCAGAACAAATCTGCAAAAATTGTCGAAATTCACGAAAAGCCCAAAATTTTGATAAAATTTGAGAAAATTTTTGGAATTTTCGATAAATTTTCAATCAGAAGGTCACGGGTTCAAATCACACCTGACGAGAGAGTGTCCCAAATTTTTTGTGCAGTGTGAAAATTTTTTTCAAAAAAAAAAATGTGCAGCGTGAAATTTTCAAGTTTTTGAAAAAAAAAAGTCCGCGGGCAAGAGGATTCGAACCCTGGTCTCATGCTCGCCAGTCTAAAATGCTATCCTCTCGGCCACATCTCTTTTTTCTCCCGAGGGGAAAATGTTGGTGGAAAGGAAACTGTTTTCAAACGAATGCGTTGCAACGTTGCTCAAAATTTGAAGTTAGGATAACTAAGCTTAGGCTTAACGGATATAGTTGATTTTTTTCCAATAGATTGCTAAGGTCATAGGCAGTGTGGAACACCATGAGTGCAGTGTGGAAATGCCCTATTTCGCTGTTATTTTGAAGTGTCCATTTTGATGGTAAATATGGACATTACAAAGAATCGGACGGCATTTTTTTTCGAGCACATATCAAGGGTTGGTATATTCAGAAAGTTGGTGTATTTTTAAGCGTAGTTTTTGAATTTACCCATGTGCAGTGTGGAATTTGAAGTTTTTTCATAGAAAGTCAATTTTTTTGAAATTTCAGTGACACTATGGTTTGCTAAGCAGTCACGTAAATTCCACACTGCACATTATGTTACCACACTAAAACAAAGTCTGCTGAGTTGATTTTCACCGAGAAACTTCGAAAAATTCGCAATCTGAAGTTGATTTTGAAGTTGGGAAAAAATAAAAAAAAAGTTAGCTCGAATGAAGATTCGAACCTGGGCCTTCTGAACACTAGCAAAATGGCCTACCACTGAACTAAATTTGCATTTATTTCCCCAAGTTAAATGTTGATGAAAAGGAAACAAAGTTTTTTTTCGAAAAAAATGCAGTGTGACTTTTGAAAAAAATGTACAGTGTCCATTTTGGACACGTCTCGTCAGGTGTGGTTCAAATCCCGATGCCTGCTGATTTTTTTTCATGAAAAATTGGATTTTGGGGTAAAAAATCAGAGAAAAAATGAGATTTTATTTAAAATTCAAAAATCCACGCTTCTATTATCAATTTTGACCAAATTTTAGGTTTTCAAGCTAAAAATGCTCATTACGAGCATTTTTGAGAACAAAACCTAACTTAGTCTAATTCAGAATCATTTTGGGGTAAATCACTAATTTTCGAGTTTTTTTCAAAAAATTCAAGCTTCTACTCTTAATTTTGATCATTTTTCAAGTTTTCGAGCTCAAATTGCATAAAAATGCTCTTTTCAAGCTTCTAGGTCTTAATTTTGACCAATTTTCGAGTTTTCGAGCTCAAATTTCATGAAAAACAGCATAAAATGGTCATTTCGAGCATTTTTTTGAGCACAAAACCTAACTTAGTCTAATTCAGAATCATTTTGGGGTAAATCACTAATTTTCGAGTTTTTTTCAAAAAATTCAAGCTTCTACTCTTAATTTTGATCATTTTTCAAGTTTTCGAGCTCAAATTGCATAAAAATGCTCTTTTCAAGCTTCTAGGTCTTAATTTTGACCAATTTTCGAGTTTTCGAGCTCAAATTTCATGAAAAACAGCATAAAATGGTCATTTCGAGCAATTTTTTGAGCAGAACATAATTTAGCCTAATTCAGAATCATTTAGGAGTGGTAAATCAACAATTTTCGAGTTTTTGAGCTCAATTTGCATAAAAATGCTCTTTTCAAGCTTCTAGGTCTTAATTTTGACCAATTTTCGAGTTTTTGAGCTCAAATTTCATGAAAAAACTCTCACCTTTTCGGATAATCCGCCGACAATCCCAAATTATCAAATCGAACATCACACCATTGCAGCGGTTCGTCCAAAAACTCATACAACAATTTGAGTGTTCCCATTAAATGCACCAATATTTTCGCCTTCAAATTCGTATAATATCCTTTCATTCGGAAGGCGACCAAACTTTCAGTTTGATATAAATGTCCACAAGTTCCAATGATTTTTGGAGTGACTCTGGTTAGTGGCAAAACTCGGAATAATATGAATTCGGGTTGAGAAATTAGGGAATATAAGGAATGACGATCGGCTCGAGACATTTCTTCGCCTTTTGTTCTGAAAATTGAGATTTTGGTGAAAAATTGAAGAATTTTTTGGGAATTTACGCTCAAAATTTAAGCTAAAAATCAATTTTTGACTGGAAAATATGAAATTTTGAGAAAAATTGAGCTAGAATTCGAGTTTTTTGGAAAAAATGGGTTTTAGCTTGAAATTTGAGCTGAAAATTGAAGTTTTGACTGAAAAATCTGAAAATTTCAGAAAAATTGAGCTGAAATTAACTACAGGCTGAAATATTGAACAAAATTAGTGAAAAATCGATTTTTCTGAATTTACGCTCAAATTTTAATATTAATCTCACAAGGGAACCTCTTCAGCTCGCGGTCGAGTTTTGAGCTGAAAAATTTTTTGGAGGTATTTTGAGATGTTCTAATGACCATATAAAAAATTCAGCTGCTGAACTCCACTCTGAGCACAAGAAAGTGAGCTCCGAAGTTTGAGCATTTTCAAGGGCGCACGCGCCAGTTTTATTCTCTTTGAAATTTCAACTGCAGAAAAAATAACTAGCAAAGCGCAGCAGGTTAGCGGATAGCCCCTTGAGGCAACGCTGTGGGGTTCGACTCCTGCTCCTTTCAACATTTTTTAATTTTTTTTTCTTTTTCAAGAAAATGACTTTGGAGTACTGTAACTTGTTTAAAAATCGATTTTTTGAAAATCTGATCATAAGGGGTTGTTCTAGAGGGTCAATTATATGGAAAAATGAGTTCATATAATTTTTCGGAAAAATGCATTTTTCTTCAAAATTCATGGTCATCTGGATGGATGAAAATTTTCGAAAAAAAATTTTTTTTGAAATAAGTTCAGTTTTTATAAAATTGATCATCCTGAACAACTCTGTGAAATCCGATTTCCATAAAAACCGTTTCTACGAAAAGTTAATGGTCGAAGAGAAGAATTATGTTGCCATTCTCTAGAATTTCGTCCTTTTCATCCAATTTCTCAAAAGTTAATGAGAACAAGCCCTATTGGAAACTTTAAATGTTAAATTATACCAACAGCTCTCAAAACTTATGATAAATTTGAATTCATATTCCCAAATTATAAGGTTCACTTGTCGGGCAATTGCAATTGAAATCGTGGGAGAAAAGATAATGATTTACCAACATTTCTAATTTAGAAAATCATTTTTTGATAGAAACTTCAAAATATTCAATTTACAACATTCCAAACCAGTCAAATTCGAGAAAAACTCCCGATTATCCTATCTTCGTTCTGGAGAAAAAAACTTCGCAAGCGATAACTTTCGTAGAAACCGTTTTTATAGAAATCGGATTTCACAGAGTTGTTCAGGATGATCAATTTTATAAAAACTGAACTTATTTCAAAAAAAATTTTTTTTCGAAAATTTTCATCCATCCAGATGACCATGAATTTTAAGAAAAATGCATTTTTCCGAAAAATTATATGAACTCATTTTTCCATATAATTGACCCTCTAGAACAACCCCTTATGATCAGATTTTCAAAAAATCGATTTTTAAACAAGTTACAGTACTCCAAAGTCATTTTCTTGAAAAAGAAAAAAAAAATTAAAAAATGTTGAAAGGAGCAGGAGTCGAACCCCACAGCGTTGCCTCAAGGGGCTATCCGCTAACCTGCTGCGCTTTGCTAGTTATTTTTTCTGCAGTTGAAATTTCAAAGAGAATAAAACTGGCGCGTGCGCCCTTGAAAATGCTCAAACTTCGGAGCTCACTTTCTTGTGCTCAGAGTGGAGTTCAGCAGCTGAATTTTTTATATGGCCATTAGAACATCTCAAAGTACCCCCAAAAAAATTTTCAGCTCAAAACTCGACCGCGAGCTGAAGAGGTTCCCTTGTCAAACCTAAAGATGAACTTAGGATAAGTTCTGAAAATTTCAGCCCCCCCCCCTAATGAAAGCTGAAATTCAAAATTCCCGATGACCTGAGCAATATGGGAGTCAAAAATCATGATTTAGCCTAACTTAGAAAATCCAGGTGGTCTTGAAATCTAAAAATTAATTCAAGATGAGATCTGAAAATTTCAGCTAAGCTAAAATTCAAAATTCCCGATGACCTGAGCAATATGAGTGTCAAAAATCGTGATTTAGGCTAACTAAGAAAATCCAGGTGATCTAGAAACCTGAACATTAAATCAGAATGACCTGAAAATCAATTCAGGATGAGATCTGAAAATTTCAGCATAGATAATTTTCAAAATCAAAAATTCCCCAAGCGGTATGGATGTCAAAAATCGTGATTTAGGCTAACTTAGAAAATCCAGGTCGTCTTGAAATCTAAAAATGAACTTAGGATGAGATCTGAAATTTTCAGCATAAATAATTTTCAAAATCAAAAATTTCCTAAGCAATATGGGTGTCCAAAATCATGATTTAGGCTAACTAAGCAGATCCAGATGGTCTGGAAACCTAATATTCAGCCGAAATTTCAAAATCATCCAAAATTTGTCATATTCGGGCTCAAAATGCTCCTCCCTGGCTGAATTTCAGCTCAAAATGCTCCAAATTCACTCACCTCAACAATGTCGGCCACAATGTTTCCATCAAATGTCTTCTATAATGTTTCGGCCATCCCAATCGCAATTCATCATTAATCAAATCGACAACTTTATTGGAAAAATCGTCGTTCGACATTGAGAAATCGGGTTGGGGAAATTGTGAGAAGAATGGCTTGGATGATTTGTACACGGCGTTTTGGCCACCATCTTTTATTATCACGGCGATCTGAAAGAAGAGGGGTAATTTTGGGTCAAAAATTCTGATTTTCAGCTCAAAATGCTCCAAAAATCATGAATTTTCAGCCATTTTCACCTTATTTCCCTCATAATAATCAGTAATTGTCCATTTTCTTGAAAAACACAATCGATTACACGAATCACCCGATACTTTTCCTTGATCATATGCATCGCAGAGGGATTCGAGCACTTCTTGAGCTCTTGTCAAATTGATACCCTGTCTCACTTCTGGCTCGCCGCCTAATTTTGCCGGTTCGGAAAATTGCAGGGCTGTAAAATTTCGGATTTTTTGGCTGGAATTAGGTATAAGAACAGGGCCCTGTACAGTTTTTGGGGCTGAAAATTGACTGAAATTATCGGAAAAATTTCAAAATTTGTAAAAAAAAAGATTTTCGGAGCTTGAAAACCCAAAAAAAAATTAAACCTTTTTGAGCCAATTATTTTCAGAAACAGAATTCTAGATTTTTTGGGCTGATTTTTATAGTTTTCAGGCTCGAAATGTGAAAGCCAAAAAGCTTTTTTGGGGCTGAAAATTGATTGAAATTATCGGAAAAATTTCAAAATTTGTAAAAAAAAAAGTTTTTTTTCACGAAAAGTCAAAAAATGTCGAAAAAACATTGCAGGTCAAAATTAGTTTTTCGAGTTTTTCAGCCAAAAATGATGGAAAATCAATATTTTTTAAGCTTCTGGAGTAATTTCTGATGAAAATGAGCTTCGAGAACCCTATTTTGCTTTTTTCGAGATTCATCAAAATTTAAAAATTTTTTATTTTACGAAAAATCAGCAAAACCTTTTGGAAAATGCTGTAAAATTTCAGATTTTTTGGCTGGAATTAGGTATATTAACAGGGCTTGCGAAGCACGCCCTGTACAGTTTTTCGGGCTGAAAATTGACTGAAATAATATGAAAATTTCAAAATTTTTTCAGGCTTGAAATGTAAACCAAAATTTATTATAAAAATATCTTGGATTACTTTGAAAAGCTTGGAAATTCTGTCTAGTTTTATATTTTTCTCATAACGATGCAACTTTCGCTTCAGGACCTAGAAAAACATGAAAATGATGATTTTCTGGGTCTTGAAGGCTGATTATTGAATCTCCAGGTTTTCAGGTCCAAAATCGACAAGAAAAATCTCAAAATTCATCAAATTTGGTCCCAAATTCTGATTTCTAGGTTTCGAGTCCCAAAAAATCCCGATTTTTCACCCAAAAACCCTTACCTGATAGCAATAAATACATAAATATCACAAAAATCGTCATTATACAAATTCGTCCAACACGTGAACAACACGCAATTCGCCACGCCTCCGAACCACACTCTTCTTCACACCTGAAAAAAAAGGAGTTAGGGTAAATTCGGAAGGAAAATAAAGGGGTTTAGAGTAATTTTGAGTAGAAAATTGAGAAATTTGATGAATTTAGGTAAAAACCGATTTTTAAAGCAATTTTGAGTGAAAAATTGGTGTTTTCGGTGAATTTTAAATAAGTTCATGATTTTTTGAGAAGGAAATGAGAAAATTTGATAAATCACGGGTTTTTCAAAGAATTTTGGCAAAAAATTCAGAAAGTTTTTAATGAAATTTAAAAAAAATGAAAATTTGGGCATAGCTTCCGCATATCCGCTGAAATTCCAATAAAAATCTGAAAAATGCTGGGAATTTTCAGACAAACGATTTGTTTGGAAATTCCAGTTTTCAGATTTTTATCAGATATTTCAGAATAGGACTTGAAAGAGGTTCAAGGCTTTTGATCCAGAAATCTCGAATTTTACACAATTTTCAGATTTTTCTAGTCAAAATTTCATGATTTTTCGATAAAAATTCAAAATTTGGGCATAGCTTCCGCATCTCTGCCAATTTCGCGTCAAAAATCCGCGAGAATCTCCCAAAAATGCGATTTCCCACACAATTTTTGGCGCAAAAATCGGCAAAACCCATATTTCTCACACCTCATCAAATTTTATGCGTTTTTTGAGGTTTTTTTCCGCATTTTTTCTATTTTTCAAATAGAAAAAACCGGAAAAAATTGACAACAGCAAAAAAAAATAGAAAGTGATGTTTTTTTTAAGTACAACAATACATTATTATTCTTCTTATGTAATAGAGTGAGAAAAATGAAGAAGAGGAAGAAGGGATTCCGGTTTATTTTTAAAGAGGAATTTCAAAAATTCCAGAATTTCTGAGGAAAATTGGCTGAAATTAGAGGAGGAAATGTGAAAAATGAGATTAGGCTTATAAAATAGACTTAGCCGAAGTCCAAGCATACAAAAATATTGTTAAGCCTAACCCAGTCCATAAGCCTAAACCTAGCCCGTCTCAAACCCTGGACCTTTAAATTCAAAATTTGGGCATAGCTTCCGCATCTCCGCCAATTTCGCGTCAAAATCCGCGAGAATCTCCCAAATTTCACCAAATCGGTCAAAAATGCGATATTCCGCGGATTTTCACGCGAAAATCGGCGATTTTTCAGCTTTAAAGTCTAGCCTAAATAAAATAACTAAGCCTAAGGCTATCTTATATATATAAAACTAATTTCCAGCCTCTCATAAAAGCCTGAAAACAATGCAAAATTAATCTAATAATACAATATGAGATAGAGACTTAGAGAAAGAGAAAAAACATGAAAAATTTATATATATTTCTTTTTTTACACACTTTTTTCTTCTTTCATTCATTCTTCTACTAAATAAGGAGAGAGTGTGGAAAATTGAGAGACGCAGAGAAAATTAGAAATGATACACCTAATTAGGAGGAAGTAAGGGGCAGAGAGATAGTATAGGAAATTTGAGAGACGCAGGAATTTTAAGGGGGTTTTGGTATTGTGGCAAAATGAGGGATTTTCAGAGAGAAAATCGAAATTTGGGCATAGCTTCCGCATCTCTGCCATTTTCGATCTGAAAATTTGCTTGAAAATCCCAAATTTCACCAATTTATGAAACAATTGGTCAAAAATGCGATTTCCAGCCAAATTTTCAGAGCGAAAATGACAATTGTTATCGAAAAAACGAAAAATTGCCACGTGGCAAGATCCCGACACCATTAGAAGGTTAGAATCGCGAATTTTCATAGCAAAATTTTACCAGTTGAAAAACGAAAATTGTATTGTTCTACGTTATCTAACTTCAAAATCTCATCTCTCACATTTCATTTCATTAATTAATTTAACCTTCAGACATTGAGAGAGAAAAGGTTCAAAAATCTACAAGTTGATAGTTTAGGCTTTGAAAATTGGATCACAAATCAGTCTAGAACTTCGAAAATTCAATTTGAGCTCAAAAACTTGAATTTTCAGTTTTTAAAGAAAACATTTCCCTTGCGAAAACTCCCCCAAAAAAAATTGCAAAAAATATCGGTGCCTTATGCTGGAATCGAACCAGCGACCTTCTGTTTACTAGACAGACGCTCTGCCACTGAGCCAATAAGGCAGGCGAAAGGGCGAGGGAGAAAATGTATTGACATTTTCGATTTTTTTCTTCTATCTTCTTTTTTTATGTGTTTGGTTGGGGAAGAGAGAAAAATTGATCTTTTGATCTTTTTTGTTGAGAGAAAAAAATGGTATAGAATTTGGCTGCGTACTTGCCTGAGTATCTAACTATCAATTTTTGAGGCAAAAACTCACTTTTCAATAAAAAACCGTTTTCTTTTTGAAAAAAAAATTCAAAATGACAAAAAATCATTTTTTGTGTACGTGTCACGTAAAGGTCACGTGAAAATAATATTTTTTCGAATTTATTTTTTTTGCAAAATTTTTGGGGAAAAAATTTATTGCAGTAATTTTGGAGAGAAAACGGAATTGGGTAATTTTTGGCGGCAATTTTTGGAAATTCAAAATTTGGGCATAGCTTCCGCATCTTCGCTGAAATTCCAATAAAAATCTGAAAAATTCTGGAATTTTCAGACAAACTATTTGTATGGAAATTCCAGTTTTCAGATTTTTATCAAATATTTCAGAATAGGCTTTTTACAAAATTTCCCGATTTTTTCCCAAATTTTCGTCGCAAAACCAGCGATTTTCGGAAAAAAAGTTTGTCAAAAAAGAAAACAAAACGAAAAAGCGGATCGAATTTCTTCCAATTTTTCGGCAAAAAATCCCCTCGAGACCCACAAAAATTAAAAATTCGTGAAATGCAATGAAAATTGAAAAAAAAAGAGGAGGAGGAGAATGGGGAAATTGGAACAATTTGCATACAAATATTATTATTTTCGTCTTCTCCTCAAAAACCCAGCAGGGAAGCGGTTCGGGATTAGAAAAAGCATAATAAATCTCGTATGTTTGACAAAAATTTGGCTGCGTATCTTGATTGACTGAGTATCAAATGTTGGTCAAAAATTCAAAATTTGGGCATAGCTTCCGCATCTCAGCCATTTTCGAGCTGAAAATTTGGCTGAAAATCCCAAATTCCACCAATTCATTGAGAAATCGGTCAAAAATGCGATTTTCACACAAATTTTCAGCTCGAAAATGACAAGTGATTTTTTGTTTTGAAGAATGTGAATAGGTAGATCACAATAATTTTGGCACATTTGATACTCAGCCAAAGATACGCAGCTAAATTCCTCATTTTCGCGGCGAAAATAGCAAATTTTCCACGAAAAACCATGAAATTGGCTGGTTTTCAAAAAGAAATAAATCGAAGTTGCGTTGGAATTTTTTACGATTTTTCACCATGGGAACTAAAAATATATGTGTTGTTTTGACGATTTTTGGTGCTGAAATTCGAGATTTTCAGCGCGAAAATCGTGTTTTCCAACGAAAACAAGAAGAAAATTCGATTTATTTACTTTAACCCGTTTTTTCAGCAAAAAAAACTGAAAAAACAGAGAAAAAGGCAACATTTTGTGGTGTTGTTTGAAAGTGAAAAATAGAGAATTTTTTGTTTATAATAAAAAAAATAAAATAAAAATCGAGGGGTCAAAGAAGGGCGGCGAGAGAGTGTGGCGAAATGAGAGGGGCAGAGAAAATGTGGGGGGAAAAAAAGGTCTGGCGACGACTTTTTTATTATTACAACAACTTGGAGATGAACGAACTATTGGGACTGGCACAAAAATAGACTTTTGTGTACTTCTTTTGGAGGAAAATTTTAAATTTTTTGAATTTTGGCGCGAAAAATAAAATTTTGAAAAAAAAACCGAAATATTCGTGTACTTCTTTTGGAGGAGATAGGGGTTTGGCACGAAAAATAAAAATTTAAATTATTAAATTTTGGAAAAAACCGATATTTTCGTGTAGTTCTTTTGGAGGAAAATTTTAAATTTTTAAATTTTGGCACCAAAAATAAAATTTCAAATTTTTGAATTTTGCAAAAACCGAAATTTTCGTGTACTTCTTTTGGAGGAAAATTTTAAATTTTGACACCAAAAATAAAAATTTAAATTTTGAAAAAACCGAATTTTTCGTGTAGTTCTTTTGGAGGAAAAATTTAAATTTTTAAACTGTGGAAAAACCCGAAATTTTCGTGTACTTCTTTTGGAGGAAGATTTCGAATTTTTTCAAATTTTGGCTTCAAAAATAAAAATTTAAATTTTTATTTTTTGCAAAAACTGAAATTTTCGTGTACTTCTTTTGGAGAAAAATTTTGAATTTTTAAATTTTGGAATCAATAATAAAAATTTTAATTTTAATTTTCCAAAAAACCGAAATTTTCGTGTAGTTCTTTTGGAGGAAAATTTTAAATTTTTAAATTTTGGCACCAAAAATAAAAATTTAAACTTTGCAAAAAACCGAAATTTTTGTATACTTCTTTTTGAGGAAAATTTTAAATTTTGCCACCAAAAGAAATTAATTTTTTGTGTAATTCTTTTGGAGGAGCGAAAATTTGAAATTTCAAAATTTTTCAGAGCAAACTTAATCAAAATTTCAGCTAAAACATCTGGTTCACAAAAAAACTTTTGCTCATAAAAAATTCCAGCAAAAATCCAATATTCTAGCTAAAAATATGTCAAATTTTCAGAATTTTCAGACAAAATTTTGAAAATTCCAGATTTTTAAAAATCTCACCGATCTATACAATCATCACCGCTCGAATCATCCATCGTCATCGCCATTTTTCCATTTGCCTGAAAAAATCAAATTTATTTTTGAAAATCTGAAATTTTCAGAAATTTCCCCTGACCAATTTGAGTGGAACAAGCCTGTGGAACGGTCGATTTGACATTCGAGAATACATTTTTGTCTGAAAATTCGGGAAATTTTCAGCGAAAACGAGCGATTTTACAATAAATTCGGGTGAAAATTCAAAATTTGGGCATAGCTTCCGCGTTCCAGCCATATTCAAGCTGAAAATTTGTCTGGAAATCCCAAATTTCACCAATTCATCAGAGATTGGTCAAAAATGCGATTTACAGACAAATTTTCAGCTTGAAAATGACAAAAATGATATTTTAAATGCCACGTCAAAGGCTAGAATATATTAGATACTATATTAGATACTACAAGAATGAAACGACCGGCTAACGCCGGTCTTCATTCTTGTTGCTACGCAGCCTTCGGCTGCGTGCTGAAGTTTGTATCCTACAGTGAAATCTCATAGTCTCATAAAATTAGTATAGTGAAATCGAGGGTTATTTCTTGAAAAATGAACTCTGTCCGTTCATGAAACTTTTCCAAAATGAAAAATTAAAAATTTTATGTGAACAAAATAATCAATCGCGTCGAAAGTAACTATGGAACATCAAAAAAAAACTATCCTGGACACAACTCATTCAGAAATCTCTTACTTCGAAATCCCTCACTTTTGGCAATTTTTTGCGCGGAAAACTAGCTTGCCTATACAATTTCATTATGTAGTTTTAGGATCTGAATGTAGCATGTTCATTAAATTTTGTGTTATCACACACACATCGCTTGTCAGCAACCACTTCAATTTTGCTATAAAAATCATTCCTGATCATACAGCCTTCGGTCTCCTATTTACAAAAGTTTTATAACCCTTTTTGTATTTAACTTTTCAAAAAAAGCATATTGCAGTGTTTTTTCATGGGCTATCAAATTTAATTTTCTAATTTCAATCTAATTTTATCACATTTTCTTTGGCAATTCACTTTTCAAAAACTCAGATAATGAAACTTCAGATCTTCTGCATCTTTAGTATTTTTATTTACAATTATTCTCTAATAAAGCTCGTTTGGTCTAACGAACCTCCGCCAGTAAACTTTCCTTCGGCAAAATTGTTCATAGAAACTAATTTTCCGAGCCAAAAATTCGAAAAATTCATATTTATTTGTCTTTTTTACAAATTTCAGAGCGGAATTTTTATGAAACACGTTTCATAACGGAGAATGTTTTGAACTGTAAAAATACAAAAGAATTTGGCTCTAAACGGAAAAAGAGGGTTTTAGGAAAAAAGAGGGGTTTAGAAAAGAAAGAGGGGTTTTCAGTAATAAGAGGGGTTTTCAAAAGAAAAAGGGGTTTTGACGAAAAAGACGGGTTTTGAGAACTTCATGCTCTCAAATGTTGGAATATTCTCACTTTTCATGAAATTTGAGCGCAAGGATCAGATTAAGCTCAAAATTCTGAACAAAAGCTACTTCTGTAACCAACTTTTGAATATGGTTTCAAGCTTTTTAAAAACCAAGTTTTTGAAAACCCCTCCTTTTTTGAAAACCCCTCTTTTTTTCCTAAACCCCTCTTTTTCCGCGCAGAGCCAAGAATTTTTCTTGAAAGTAGTAAAAATAATCTATAATTTTTATAACTACATTGAAAACCATTTTATTCGAAATTCGAATTTTTGGGAAAAACTTGCCAATCTCCACCCTCTGTTTTTTCACACTCAGAGATTCGCTGGCCAGCTCGCCACCAGGTGGGGAGGCTGACTGACCTGGGAACCACATGGAAACCATGTCGCCCGGTTTTTTTCGCTGGCAAGGTGGCCAGGCTCTGGCTAGGTCACGGCCACATGGCTACCATGTGGTGGCCACTTCGCCGCGTCAAAATGAATTTTCATAAAAATGTCTGAAAAACTTGTGAATTAAGGCATTTTCGAAAAATTTGGCTCATTTTCTGTTTTTTCGCAGCACTTGAAACCTTAGGAAGTGAAAAAACAGTAGAAAATGCAGTGTTTTGAGTACAAATCACTGTCTTGCCAGCTTTCCAGAATTTCAAACACACAGGCCACGTCGCCGGAAAACTCGAGGCGACCATGCGGTTTCCAGGTGGCCGCAGCGATCTGGTGGCGAGCTGGCCAGCGAATCTCTGAGCAATCCCTCTTTTTTCAAAATCCAATTTTTCTGGAACCCTTAATCTTTTTTCTAAAACCCTTTTTTACCTAGCACCTATTTTTCCGTAATCCTCTGGATTAACGTATCTTCAGATCCTCGTAGGATCTTAATTTTAAAATTCCCCGAAATCCTTTGATAACAAAAGTGTTCATTTTTGAAGTTTTTTGAATCCTCTCGGGAAAAATCCCGCAAGTTTTGCCGAAAAAAAGGCAATGGTTGCGGGTATTTCGCCAGCTACCATTGCTCCGCTTTTGAGGGGGAAGCGGCTTCCGCAAACGCCTTGCGGCATTAATTTTGAAATTGCGGGGCCTTTGCGGGGGTATTCCTTTGCCGCAACGTTTGCGGGCCTCTCGAAAATTTTTGGGGATTTTTGACTATTTTCGGCAGCAAAACTTGCGGCCAGCCGGCAACCCTTGCCGACCACTTGCGGGATTTTTCCCGAGTTCCTAGGTCTATCACATTCGGAGCTTTCCAATAATCTAATGTGTGAATTGAACAAAAAAAATACATTTGATTATTATTTCTTTAGCTTCTAACTTCAAGAGTTTGTCTTACTCTTACGAATGCGAACCCTCTTTCAATAAACTCACATGCTTTGCTACATTTCAAAAAATAGTGTGGAAAACAAATACGGCAATCCGAACGTTTTGAAAAATCAGAAATGAGCAAAACGATTCACGTCAAATTATTTAAATTAAATCTAGGGCACAAAAGTAGGTCAAACGGGACAGACACACCGTTTAATATATAAGAAAGATATTAGGTACGCAGCCAATTTTCGTCTTTCTAGTATGAAAAAAACCAGAAATTTTCAGCTGACTTCATTTTTCGCGCCAAAATCTTTTTAAAAAATTCAGAAAATGTACGATTTTCTTATCAGAACAACAACAAAAAATGGGATGAATCAGTTTCCTTGGTTACCAAAAAAAAAGTTCTTTTTTTTGCAGAATTTTTTTGACAAACAGGAAAAAATTGTTTAGTCAGCTGAAAAATGTCGGATTTTGCTCAGATTTTTGCAAAAACCTTGAAATTTCGACCTTGGAACTCGAAAAAACGAAATTTTAACCAGCTGGAGGTCCTGCACTGGCAAGAAATTAAGAAATATAATGGCATCCAACGGGAAGAGGATAAATAACTACACAAAGACGGAAAAAAGAGAGGGAAAATGGACAACTGACAGATGGATCAGGTAACCTCCCATAAAACCTCATTTTTCATTTTTGATGAGTAGAAATGTGCCATTTTGTGCGGAAAATGAAGATTTTTCGAAAAATTTGGGCATAGCTTCCGCATCTTCGCTGAAATTCCAAAAAAAATATAAAAAATGCTGGAATTTTCAGTGTATGGAAATTCCAGTTTTCAGATTTTTATCAGATATTTCAGAATGGGACTTGGAAGGGCTTTTGGGCTGGAAATCTCGAATTTTAGATAACTTTCTGAATTTCAGCAGCGTTTTCAGTGAATTTTTGATATAAATTTGATAAAATAAAGGATTTTGGAAAAATTGGGCATAACTTCCGCATCTTAGCCATTTTCAAGCTGAAAATTTGTCTGAAAATCCCAAATTTCACCTTTTCAGGTTAAAAATGCGAATTCCATTCAAATTTTCATTTTTTTTTCAACTAACTAAAAAAAAACAAAAATATTTACGGAAATTCGTAACAAAATAAAAAAAATTTGGCCAATTTTTCTATCTCAAAATAAAAATAACAAAAATCTGTTCTTTTTTTCATTTATTAAAAAATGAGAAGATAAATTGCAACACTTGAAAATTTTTGTGTCTATGTTTATTTAAGTGCAAAAAAACACTGTGTACTTTTTCAGGGTCAGATTCAGCAAAAAAATGTTGGCAGAGTGAAAAAAATTCAAAATTTGGGCATAGCTTCCGCATCCCAGCCATTTTCGATCTGAAAACTTGGCTGAAAACCGTAAATTTCACCTATTTATCAAAAAATTGGTAAAAAACGCGAGTTCCAGCCGAATTTTCAGAGCGAATATGACAAAACGAATTTTTTAAATGCCACGTCATAATTATGTTGAATTTGGCACCAAAAAAACCAGGAAAACTCGACTACGAACAGGAAAAATGAGGAAATTAATGAAATTTCGCGCAATTCGCACTCGAACGGCTATTTTTCCATGGTTTTTGTTTACTTTTCTTCGTCAGAAGGAGACAAAAAAGGAGTTTTTAGTTCTATTTTTTCGTGTTGTTTGTTGGGTTGAATAATACATTGAAAATTCATTTTTTCTCGGTTTCGTGGGAAACAAATTGAGGAAAATGGAAAATAAGAGCGAAGAAATGAAATGTGTTTTCAATTATTCGGGGGATTATTTCCGCAAATGAGAATGGGAAGATTTCAGATTTTTTTTTGAAGAATTCTAGCCATTTTCCAGCTGAAAATTTATCTGAAAATCGCAAATTTCACGTTTTCATATGAAAAATGCAATTTTCAGCCAAATTTTCAGCTGGAAAATGACAAAAATGGTTTTTCAAATTTCGGGTTAAGCTTTTGTCATTTTCAAGCTGAAAATTTATCTGAAAATCGCAAATTTCACGTTTTCATATGAAAAATGCAATTTTCAGCCAAATTTTCAGCTGGAAAATGACAAAAATGGTTTTTCAAATTTCGGGTTAAGCTTTTGTCATTTTCAAGCTGAAAATTTATCTGAAAATCGCAAATTTCACGTTTCCATATGAAAAATGCAATTTTCAGCCAAATTTTCAGCTGGAAAATGACAAAACTTCGAATTTTAGCTAAAAAATCCTACCATTTTCATTTCAAACATCCAATTTTTCGCCATTATTCAACTAGAAAATTACGAAATTTTCCACGAAAGAATAGAATCAGATAAAGCTACAAATTGTTTGTTTCAAAAAATGGAATCAAAAAATCTCGTTGCAGATTCTAATCTACACAGTTTTTTGTGCTTTGATTTTATTCAATCAGGAAATTTACGAACAGAAATAGAATAATCACGAAAAATTGGAGAAAATGTATTTTTATGTACAAAATACCGCCAGACAGGCGAAAACCGGTTTTTTGTCGGAATTACTTGTAATTTCCACATACTATTACTTTATATATTATTTTATCAAAAGAAAGTAAATGACCTGGTTTCGTTTCCCCTGGATAAATAAGAAAAACAAAACTAAACACTTTTTAAAAGAAAAAAAATTGGCCTCTTGTTCTTTAGGCTCGTTCCACTCAAAAATTCGTCAGCTTACCGGAGAATTGTGAATTTTTAAAAGCGAAAAATCAAAGAAACAGCCATTTTTAAAAAGCAATCTTTTACCTCTTCTTCATCTTCGGTGTCCATTTCATGATAATCTAATTGCGCTCCAAGATGGATTGGAAGAATCTCCATATTATGCTTCAAACTGAAAGTTTTGAATGTGAAAATATTATCTGGAAATCGAGGAATGATGTGAACTCACTTTTTAAATTATGCAAAATAGGAAAATTGAGAGAAAATCCGATGACTGAGCGATAAAACTGAACGGAAAAAAAGAAAAGTAAAAAAATTGTCTGCAGATGCGCGTCATGGTGTTTGCACAGATTGCATTTTACCCGACGCGCACGTATTTTTATTTTTCGCCTCGCATTTTTTATTTTCCCCCGCTAAATACGAGTAAAAACCCATGGATTCAAATGGTTTTTCAAATGTCATGGATTACGAAGCGTTTCTAAAAGCCAGTGCGCATATTCAGGAATATGGAAGAAGGAAGATTTCGCAGAATTTCGTTGGAAATCAACCAAACCCCACAGAAATCTCGAATTTGATGCTGCAAGTGCGAAATTTCATGGATCAACAAAATTTGTTGGCGACGAAAATCGAGCAATTCATTGAGCGACAAAATGCAATAAACAATTTTGTTCTGGAAAAATTGGGCAACTGCAAGTGCGCTCCAGGGAAATTTGAGACATTTCTAGCCGCTCAGGCGCCAAATTCGAATTTTGAATCGACTTCTTCGGCAAATAATCAACAGCTAGATTTTATAGTGGATGAGGTAGGCTTAAATCCAGTTTTAGCTCTGAAAACATGCGATTTTTGCAGAAATTCTCGATTGATCCGGATGGAGCTCACTGGAAACCTCATAAAGTGAGTTTTAGTGAGATTTTTGCGAGAAAAAAGTGTGTGTTTCAGTGCTCTGAATGTGGAAAATGTTTTCGTCAAAAACACGGACTTCAACAACATATGATAACTCACGAATCGGTGGGCGCATTTTTTTGCGATGTTTGTGGGAAACGATATACGCGACAGGAAAGTGTGAATCGACATAAAAGAGTGAGATTTTTGGAGTTTTTCATGGGAAAATGTCTTAGAAAAGGTTTTCTGGCAAAAAATTACGAATTTTGAGCCAAATTTTCACCAAGATTTTTTGCAGTCAACTCCACAATGCAACAAATCCCTTCTACCTCAACAAATGCTCAAATTTCAACGATTCTAAAATCAAAAAAAGTTCACTAAATATACGGGTACAACAAAATAATATATGTAATTTATGTATAAATTTGAATTTGAATTACAAATGCAATTTTTTGCAAGTTCAAATATCAGAAATTCAGAGCAAATGTCATTTTCGAGCTGAAATATTGGCTGAAAATTGCATTTTTCATATGGAAACGTGAAATTTGCGATTTCAGACATATTTTCAGCTTGAAAATGGAAAAACTATCGAAAATTTGAAAAATAAACGTGACCTCATGACGTGGCATTTTAAAACTCATTTTTGCCATTTTCCAGCTTAAAATTTGGCTGAAAATTGCATTTTTCATATGGAAACGTGGAATTTGCGATTTTCAGATAAATTTTCAGCTCGAAAGTGACTGAGATGCGAAAGCTATGCCCAAATTTTCCAAAAACAACAAGTATTTATTCATTTTTCAAAAATCAAATTGTAGTTCCACTAACTGTATTCGTCTCAAGATCTTTCTTATTCGGATTTTCATTTTCATTTTGAATTTGATTTCTTTGACAACAAGTAACCGCAAACATCGAATAAATCGTAATTCCATTCAAAACCAAGCCAAATAACACGGAAATCGCAAAAATCACCGTCCACCAATCGAAAGAAACCATAAAGAAAGTAGCGATAAATGGAATATCTTCTATGATATTAAGAATCGACAAAATTGCTGCAAATATGTATAAACATCCGCATTTCGTGAAATTTCCGATGAAAATCAAAATCGCAATTGTGAATGGTTCAGAAGCAGCGAGGAATGCGAAAATATATGCAATTTGTTTGAATGCCGCACGACCTTTTTCACGTTTTTTTGGGTCGATAGCTTCGTGATAACCGATGCGATATTCACCATCATAGAAATGTTTGTAGAAAAATTTTTGCGACGCGTATTCTCCCTGTTTTTCATATTCTTCTTCTTCGACGTCGAGAATTTTGTGAGTGAGGAAAATGATGGAAGCAAGGATGGCGATGGAGATTAGGAGCCAGATGATTGCGATCGCGTAGAGGACTTTCTGCGAAAATTACATTAAAGGAACAAAGTAGGAGGATGCTGTACAGCATCTTGAAGGGACATACACTCGCTTCGCTCGAACCGCTTGCGCGGAAGATTGCTCAGGTTACATTCGCGCCAGAGGCGCTCGAGGAGGGTCGCAAGGTTAAGAATGGTTTAGTGTGCTGTACAGCACCTTAAAGGGACATACACTCGCTCCGCTCGTGCCGCTACGCGGAAGATTGCTCAGGTTACACTCGCGCTTCCGCGCTCGGCCGCATTCGCGGAATTTTGATCTACACTCGGCCGCTGCGCGGAAGATTGCACGCTTACCAAAGCCTTGATGCATCTAAAAATCGTCACATTGTTATCAATCTTGTTGCACATTTTTCCAGTAAAATTCAGGCAAGAATTGATGGTTCTCTCTTATTGGGACCCCTGAAAATCGCAGGGGTCAACAAAAATCAAGGTCGAGGTTACGTAGAGGTCGTGTAATCCTACAAAAATGCAGAAAATCCCGATTTTTGCACGTGTAGTTCTCCCGGACTATCTGCAGATTGTTCGAGTTCGTCTAAAAGACTGTGTACTTCTTTTGGACTAGGAAAATTCGAATTTCCTATTTTCCCCGGACCTTTTTTTGGATAATGAAGAGTTGCACAATGTAAGATGAAAAAAATAAAAAAAAAAATTTGCGGGCACCGGGAGTCGAACCAAAACGTTTCCAATTCATGCGCGCGCCTTAGACCACTTGTACACGCGTGCCTTTTTTCGAGATGGCAAAATTTGTCAAAAAGTCCTTGATATTCAGTTTATTCAAAATTTGGCTATTTTTTTAAACTTTCCTGAAATAAATCACAAAAATGTTCACATTATAAAAATGATTTATTTTCATCTTTCGAACTATCTATTCATTCTGCTCTACAAGTTGTCCTTCTTCTTCTTCAATGTTTATATCTTCATTCACATGTCTCCACCATTCTCTCTTTGCTTTTTCATCATCATCTTCAACCACAAAAAATAGCCTCAAATCGGTTTTCTCAGCGATTTTGAGGAATAATTTGGGATTAACCCGTGATTGAATGCGTCTTTCTGATAACAAAAATCCAAATTCGTCACGCTGATTGTGATAAAAATCATCCAAGTTAACTTCGAGTTTTCGAGTCATCACTGACTTTCTATAAGCCGCGCAAATTGTGAGATATTCCAAACGTGCGTTGATTTTTCCATCTATCCATAACTTCACAAAATTTCTCACATCATTTTCGTTCAAAGAATCTTTATAATAGATTTTGATGGATCTTGCGCGAAGTTGAATAAGTTGATCGAAAGTTAGGCTTGTGTAGGGTATTTTAAGCCAACCTTTGATATTTTTAATTGTTTCGAAGTTGATGAATCCAGATTCGATCAGGTCAATTTGACGCATTGTGTTGGAGATGTGGAGAGTTTCGAGATTTTGGCAATTTTGTAAATTGAGATTCAAAACAAGCAATGATCTGACACGACTGTTCTGAAATTCGTTAAAAAAATATTGATTTTTTTAATCTGGCTGATCTCTTACCTTTGTTCGAATTTCAAATCGTCTCAATCGTTTCCCAATTCTCCCCAAATAATCTTTCATGATTTCAAGACATATTTGGTTGACAGGTTCGTCGCGTTCTTCTGTCCACAGCACCCTTTTCTGCCCCTCCAAATCCTTCTTTTCCTCACCGAAAATCTTGGTGTGATTTTCATCGATTTTCTCAACAACAATGCAAAAAAATCCATCGATATCGATTGAATATTTGAAACGCTGCAGACCGCCATAATCAGTGAAGCTTAATCTATCGAAATATTGGGTGGCTTGTCGAATTTCGCTTTGGGTTTTTGTGCAAGTTCCGCCAAATTGCACCAACTCTTTTGTGCTCATTTCATTCATAATCATCTCTCGAATTTCGAGAGGAATATCGAACCATTGAATCGATTGTTTTGTTAGCATTTTGCAAAAATATAAATGAGGAGTTATTGCTGGATAATTCCACGTCAACAATTTTTTGACCTAGTTTTTTTATTTGTCACGTTTTTCGAATTAATTTTCAAATTAAATTTTTTGGAAAATAGTTCGTGTGATCCTGCAAAAATTCAGAAAATCCCCCGATTTTTGCACGTGTAGTTCTCTCGGACTATCTGCAGATTGTTTGAGTCATCTAAAAGACTGTGTACTTCTATGAATTTCCTCATTTTTCCCGATAGAAATGTGTAGTTCTTCCGGACAATGAAGAGTGACGCAAAAATGCACAAATACTGCCGAGCGAGAGAGTGAAATGGAAAATTAAAAAAAAAATCTCGCGGGCACCGGGAGTCGAACCAAAACACTTCGATTTCATGCGCGCGCCTTAGACCACTTGTACACGCGCGCCTTTGATTCAACCAGTTGAAATTGTCAGGAAATCCTCGCAGAAAAAAATTCAAATTTTAACAAAATCATTTTATTACTTCAATCATTCCATACAAGTAGTAGTAGCAGTAGTAGTAACAATAGTTTCCTCCTCATCAATTTCATATTCATCCTCACCACTTCCAGCTGATCGTTTTTCTCCACAACACGCCAACGCAAACATCGCATAAACGGTGGTGAAAGTGAGAAATACACCAATGACAGCTCCAATCAACATTCCCAAATTATCGCCAACAGCGTCGCCAGTCTCTTTTCCCTGCTCACCAGCATCGGTGCAAACCTTGATCAAATAACCAATATTTCCGAGAAGTGAGAGGATACCAATAAGTCCAACGATAATATAAAGAAATGCGCATTCGGCACAAATCAGGATACCCAGGCAAATTGCATTTGAAAATGGAATTGAGGCAATGGTGGAACCGAGAGAAATTCCTAATTTTTTTGCAAATTCAGCCGTTTTTTCAAGATCTTCCTTATTCTTTGGATTTGTTTCCTTCTCCGCTTTTGCAAGAATTTCGTCACTGGCTTTATTGGCAGCCAAAATACAGACAACGGCGATAATAATTCCGAGAATAGCCCAAGCTATAGCGATAGCAATAAGTGCTTTCTAGAAAAAGAGAAGATTTTTAAAGGGAGGCTCAGAAAAGCTTACCACAGCCTTGATACATCCGAAAATCTGAACACTATTATCGACTTTGTGGCACATTTTTCTTGTAAAAATCGAGCAAGAACTGACGATTTCATTTCCCAGGACCCCCCTGAAAATCACAGGGGGGTCAACAAGAATCTAGGTCAGGGTCACGTTGAGGTCGTGTTTTTTTTTCGAAATTTCTGGAAAATCCGCCGAACAGGTTGGAAATTTGACCACTTTTTTTCTTGGACTTTCTCAAGCTGAAATTTCAGATTTTATAGCTTCCTGACCTCTCATTTCCCCTTCAACTGCTGGAATTCACCTTAAAAACGAGTCGTGTGCAAACACGGCGACAAGCAATTGCACAATTTCATTTGAAAAATAGGAAAGCAAGCAAGTGCGCTCCAACGCACTTCATTTTATTTTTTCTTTTTTTGAACTGTGGAACTGTGTTTTTGCGTGTTTCTTTGATTTTTGGGCGGTAAAAAGAGCTGGAAATTTTTGAAATGATTCAAACTTAGATTTAGAACACCACGTTTTCATTCGTATTTTTAATTATCGTTTCTCATTTCGACAAAAAATCGATTTTTGTTTCAGAATGGGAGTTCAGAGCAAAATGGGTTGGAATGACTTGCCATTCGAGATGAAATGCGAAGTTTTCAAATATTTAAACCAAAATGAGAGGTAAATAGAAAAAATAGCTGGAAGTATTTTACATTGATTATTTTCAGATTCAAATTCGCAAAATGCTCTTTTAGCTGCTTGAACGAAGTTATTCACGAGGAAAAGGAGATTTGGCTCGTGGAATTCAAGGGAATCAAAAGGGCTGATGGCAAACTTTTAATTTTGAAAATTGCTTATATAGAACTGGAATTCATGCAAGTCGGAAAGTTATGCGAAATTAAATGGAATTATGAGATTATTTGGAAAATTGTTGGAAATGGCAAAACTATGGCTTATAAATTTTGCGAAAACGTTTTGGCGAGACATAAAAATAACATCCGCAGTTTGAATTTGTCCAAAGTGAGTGGAATTTCACGGTTATTTCAGCGATATGTTTTCCATTTCCAGGTCGATTTTATGATCCGCGATAAATCAATCGATAATTTTCCGAAACTCGAAGTCTTAACAATCACTACCAATAACGAAAAGCAATTATATTCATGGCTTTCGAAAGCTGAGAATCTGGAAGATTTGACTGTGAATTTCAGAGATTTCGGAAACACGGAAAAGATAAGATTTCCGGGGAATTCTAAATTATCAAAAATTGATAATTTCAATTTGGTTTCGAACAATGCAAATGTTGCACTGAAGATTATTGATAAAATGAATAAGCCAAAAGACAAGTATTTTGAGAAAGTCAACGTTTCGATAATTGATGGAAAATATGCAGTTGTAAATGAGAAATTCATAAACTTCTTCAAAAAGTGTGAAAATCTGACAACGAATTTGATTCTGACAGATGATCAATTTTCACAATTAATGTTATCATGTAGATATTTGAAACTGAATGCAGAAAAAGTCAATTATTCTACAATTTCGAGATTGATCGAGAATTGCATTAAAAATGGAATTAGCAAAGAACTGCAGTTGACAAATGTTCATGGACTTGAGAAACAATTGCGCGATTTTAAGTGGTTACGTGAGAGAAAGAAAGAAGAATGGATTCATGAAGCTGTGCCAAATAAATAGTAGGTTTTAGCTGTTTTAATATTGATTAATCAAATTCGAATATCTTGGAAAATCGGAAACTGAATTTTCGGTTCGGACACCACATCAATTATTTCAATTTTTTCAGTTTCATATACTCATTTATTAGTTGTGTTCGTGGTTCATATAATAGTTCGACTGGTCGCTTGATTTTCCATTCATTTTGAGTGATTGATTTTTGTTAAATATTGTTATTGTGTTTTGTTTTGATGTTTAATAAAACTTTGTTGATTTAAAGAAAAAACATTGGAAGCCTTTCCTTCCAAAGAAACGGTTGTCAATATACCTTTAAATTCCTGCGTATTTTTTATTTTTTGAGAATTAGTTATGTTGAAGTTCTGATTTTTCTTGCAGTACTTACTCATTTCTAATCAAGAAAAATTGCCTGAAAATTATATTTTCAATTTCCGCGCATTTATCGATTTATTGAAATCGACGCTTTTCATTTCACCACAAAAAAAATTTATTTTTTGAAGGGGGTTTCAAAAATTTGAAAATTTATTCAAAATGAAATGAAAAATCAGGCATCAAGAATAACGTTTCCTTGAAATGAAGCAAAACGATCAAAAATCGATACACTTCCCAGAAAAATATGAGAATTCACGGCGTTTCCGAATCTTGCGCAACTATGAGTAACTCTCATATAAATCTCGTAATGAAAATCCAACGGACCATCACCATCATAAACATCGAATATTGAATTGAGATCTTTGCTAGGCTGGCCTTCGATGATTTGTGTTTCGGTGTACAATAATCTGTCCCAAGGTCTGGAAAATTCAAAATTTTCAAATTTTCACTTGAAAAATTTTTTCTTACGATGATGTGTCATGTTCATAAAACATGATAGCAAATCTCCAATTTGACTGCGAGTTGCAGAAAAATCTCAAATTCGTTGTGATTTGAGTTGCTGCGGAAATTGTGAGCAAAATGGCGAGAGTTAGGACAACTCGCAGCATTTTTGTTGTTTTTCTTGAGGCAGAGAGAATCGATTTGTTTTTATTCGTGGATTTTTGATTTGATTATGTGGAGGAGGACACGTGGAAGAGAATTTTTTTCTTGATTTTCTAGGCCATTTCTAATGAAAATTTGGATTTCTAGGTCATTTCTAAAATTAAATTTGGTTTCCTAGGCCATTTACAATCAAAATTTGGTTTCCAACGCCATTTCTGATAAAAATTTGGTTTTCTAGGCCATTTCTAATGAAAATTTGGTTTCCTAGGCCATTTCTGATGAAAATTTGGTTTTCTAGGCCGCTTCCAACCAAAATTTGGATTTCTAGGCCATTTCTAAAATAAAATTTGGTTTCCTAGGCCATTTCTAATAAAAATGTGGTTTTCTAGGCCATTTTCAGTGAAAATTTGGTTTCCTAGGCCATTTCTGATGAAAATTTGGTTTTCTAGGCCATTTCTAATGAAAATTTCGGTTTTCTAGGTCATTTCTAATAAAAAAATTTCAAATTTATTCAAATTCCCCCCCCCCCCAAAAATCAATATTTATTATCAAGATTATATCGTTGTGTCCAAGCCTCAAACAATTTCTCCTTGTTATGAATTCCAACGTGTCCCAAGAAATATTGTTTCGAAACATGAGCCCCATTTGATGTGCAATTATGATAGACTGTCATGAAGATCTCGTAACTCAAATCCATTTTTCCATCGCCTTCATCGTAATTGAAAATTGACACCAAATTATATACCATTATATTTTGAACGTTTATTGTTCCCGATTGATGCAGGATTTCGTTGGGGCTGCAAATTTTCAGATTTTTTGAGTTTATCCACGTGGCAAAATATTTTTTATTTGAAAATGTCTTAATTTTGGGGTTCAAAATCCACGTGGCATTATAATTTTTATTAAATTTTTTTAAAATTTTGGGCTGAAAATCTACGTGGCAAAATAATTTGTTGATTGAAAATTTCCTAATTTTAGGGCTGAAAATCCACGTGGCAAAATATTTCTCGATTGAAAATTTTAGGGCTGAAAATCCACGTGGCAATTAGGTTTTTTTTTGTAAATTTCCTTATTTTGGGACTTAAAATCCACGTGGCAATCAGGTTTTTTTTGTAAATTTCCTTATTTTGGGACTTAAAATCCACGTGGCAATCAGGTTTTTTTGTAAATTTCCTTATTTTGGGGCTTAAAATCCACGTGGCAAAAACTCACGTCCACGAATCTTCCTCCCAGAAAACCAAACTAAATTGCCAATTTTTCTGAATTGTGCATGAGAATGCTTGCTCGGCTGTGAATCTTGTGGAATTTACAGCGGATAGTGCAAGGCAGCAGAGAGTTAGCACAAGTCGGAACATTGTTTTTTTGATAATGAAAACACTTTTTGCAGAGCACCCTTTTTGTATTGATATTTTTGATATTGATTAATTCGATTATGATTTGCAGGATTTGCAGGATTTGCAGATTTTTTGTTTAAAAAAATCAGAAATCAAAAATAAAAAAAAGTTTCGCGGGCAACCGGATTCGAACCCTGGTCTCATGCACGCTAGTCAAAAATGTTACCCTCTCGGCCGTATCTCTCTTTCATCACGCAGTGAAAATGTTGGTGGAGAGGAAAGTGTTTTTGCAATTATAATAATTGAATTTTGAAACAGCTGAAAAATTTTCACCTGGAAAAAAAGCTTTCCAATTTTTTGTTCTCGAGAAAAAACTCAATTATAATAATTGAATTTTTTTTCCATCCAAATCCGTCGTATAATCTACTTTTCAAATAAAAAAAGATTAAATAGCTAACAAAGTATTTCGTCATTCAAAACTATGGAATTCCCATCCAAAATCTATCTAATTTTGCCACTTCCAGAATTATTAACCTCAAGGGAAGACGATTACGAACCGGTAAGAAATTTAAATTTTTTGAATTTCCCGCCAAAAATTTCTGGATTATAAAATTGAGGTGCGAGTTGTGAAAATTTAAATTTTTTAAATTTCCCGCCAAAATTTCTGGATTGTTCAAATTAGGCGCGAGTTATGAAAATTCAAAAATTTTTTGAATTTCCCGCCAAAATTTTCTGGATTATAAAATTGAGGCGCGAGTTGTGAAAATTTAAATTTTTTAAATTTCCCGCCAAAATTTCTGGATTGTTCAAATTAGGCGCGAGTTTTGAAAATTTAATTATTTTTTTGAATTTCAGGACAAACTCGGATGGCTGGATTTACCTTGGGATATTCGAGAAAAGATCTACAAAATTCTAGATGACAAAGGCCTCGGAAAAATGATAAATTCCTCCAAAACTTGTCAAGAAGAAGTCATCAAATTCGTCAAAAATTATATAACTTCAATAAGATTTATCCAAAAATCTGAAGCGAAATTCGAGCTACGAGTTGGATTATTTGGCGCAGATTGTGAGAAGAATGTGGACATATGCGATTTATCAGCGGAAATTCCGAAGAGTGAGCACCCGGTTTCAGAAGAGACTACCGAATTCTTCGAATTCTCCAAGCATGTTTCAGCGATATTCAAAAATCATCAAGATGGCATAACTTCAGCTTGTTATAGAAGAAGCTTCAGAGAAGGAGCATATAAATTTTATCCAGGAATGAATGTGAAATCTCTCGCAATATCGAATTTCTTCCGATGGTTTGATCAATCAAAGGAAACTTTAAAAAGTCTTCGCATCGAACTTCTCAATGAATTTTCTATCAATTTTTTGGAGCACACGAAACTTGAGAAAATTCGAATTGCTGGATCTTTTGATATTTCGTCCATTTCTATTTCTACAGAGCAAATGAGAAATCAGTTCAAAGAATTCCACATTGTTAACCCAAAATCGGGTATTAGAGAATTGTTAGAATATGATTTCGATGTTCTGATCTTTGATTTAAATCACTGGAAAATCGAGGATTATCAAAGATTAGTCAAAGCTTGGATAAAATCAGAAATTGATCAAAATTTCAATGAGCGACGATGTGATTTATCAAAAGAGAACATGCAATATTTCTACATCAATCGATATGTGATCTTTGAAAATGTGGATGTTGATATTTATGGAGAATCGGAATATGATAAAGTATATCGTGTAGATGATCCATATGGTTGGAGTTGGCTTGAATTTCGAATGGAAGTTGATGAAGATCTTGATGAATCTATAATCTGGATTTCTACAAGGAAAACCATGTACTGAATGATGAATATAAATAAAACTTTATAGAATTTCCAAAATTTTTTCAATTTTTAACACATTCTCGATAAACATAAACACCCACAAAAACTTCGATGCATTTTTGACCTTTTGGACAATCGGCTGAAGTATAACAGCATCTAGCGAATGCTGGAAATCCGAGGAGTAATATGAGCAATTTGGGGAAGATTTGCATTTTTTTGATCCAATTGGTGCATGAATTCTTTTGGGCGGTTTTTAAAGCAAAATTTTTTGATCCAATTTGTGGTGCTCTTTGTACTATTTGTGTATTCTTTGAACGATTTGTTGAGTTTTTGAACTTTTTTCTTCAAAAATTCTGGATTACTATGCAATTTTCCATGAAAATTTGGATTTCTAGGCCAAGGGAAAAATCTATTTTTTTTCCAAAGAAAAACCCACCAAAACCAAAATTTCAATTTTTGTGGGTTTTTTTTTATTAGAAACCCACCAAAACCAAAATTTACGAATTTGGAATTCTTGAACAATGCCAATAGCACCTAGTCTACGTATTTTTAAATCCAGGATAATGTATAAATTTTGTGACATTTTTTTCTTTTGGTTTTTACTAGAAGAAGAGGTGACTCAGCCTTCTGAAAAATACTTTTTCCACGTCAAAACAACAAAATACTCTTTCAATGCACGCTAAACGCGCACAAGCACACCAAACGCGCCAGCTCTCTTCCGAATGGCGCGTTTCGCGACGTTTGAATTTCGAAATATTTCTAACGTCTTCTACTTTTTTTTCTTTCTTTTGATTTTTTCTAGAAGAAGAGTCAGGTTTGCCTTCTGAAAAATACATCATTTTTTTTCCAAAAAAAATTTCAGTTTGTTGAAGAATGGAGAAAACTGGATGGGACGATTTACCAATCGAAATGAAAATTGAAGTGCTGGATTATCTGGACACCACGGAAAAAATGGAATTTTCGAAACTTTCGCCAGGATTTCTGGAAGATGTTCGGAAAACGAAGGATTTTGTCAAAGGAATCAAGTTATTTTGGGGAGAAAAGGCTTCGAGTGTTGATGTCAAATATTTGGATGATTCTTTGATGAGTGTTGAATTCGAGATGTTATCCGATGATTCGACAAGGATTATTTATAAAGAGTAAGGATTTTTGGATGAAAAATGTGAAACTTTTCATCTAATTTTTTTGCAGCGCCACTGATATTTATCACGAAAAACCGTTGGTTGAAAGAAGAATGGCAGATGTTGCTCTGAGATGTTTCAAAAGTTTTATGTCGCGCTCTGAAAATATCGAAGAGTTTGAGCTCGACATGATTATTGATTCGTTTCCAATCGACAGATTTTGTATCGAAAATTGGAAAATGCTGAAGAGTTTTGAGATTAGGAGTGATTCTGATTCTCGAAATTTTAGTTTGGATAGATTATTCGAGATTGGATTTATCAGCCAGGAGAAGGTATATTTTTGAAAAATAACATTTTTCAAAATGTCATTTTTCAGTTGTTATCGATGGAAAAACTCAGTTTTGATAATATTTCGATGCGTGGAGAGCAATTATTGAGAATCAAGTCGAAAAAAATGCGATTGACAAATATTGATCCGAAAGTTTTGCAAACGTTTATGAAAGCTTGGAAAACTTGTCCACGGCGTAGAAAGCGTTCAGAAATCGATGAAAATTTCGAGAAATTGGAATTTGTTATAAAAGAAGATGAAGAAGTTAGAGAAAATGTTTGGAATATTGCTTTTAATGAAGCTCAAGTTATTGGAAATCACAAAAGATTTTCGAATCTTTCTGCTGGTCTCAAATTTGATGAATACTTTATTGGAAATATTTGGATGGCTGACAATTTGTTGACAATTCAAAAAGAACGAACGAATAGCATCGTAGAAGTTCCGAATTGATCGATTGAAACCGAAAAAACCCACAGAAACTGAAACCTGTGTTTTGAAACTCGCAACTCTGATAGACATGCTTAAAAATGTTTTTTTGTTTATTTTTAAGGTATTTTTCAAGTCTAGATTTTACTATTCAAATTCTTTTTCAAATCAAATCAATCAATAACAATCTCCTCACATCCCTACCATAATCAAGTATATGTATATATATATTTTTTTTTAATATCAATTATTCTTCAAATCTTTAATTTCATGCATATTTTTGTTGTTTTCATGTAAAAAAAGAAGAAAATAAAGAATGAGATTTGGTATTGAGGAAAAAATAGCATTGCAATTTTCTCATTTTTGACGATGTCTAGCCATACTTGACTTCGCCTAACTCTTGTTCTTGTTCACAATATATTTTGAATTCTATGATTTATCTAGTACTTCTCCTAACTTATTTACCCAACCCCACAACATCCCAAAATCTGCCAGATGAATTATACCAACATTTTGTCATTGATCATTCGGAGAACATTGATGCATATTTTGATGCCAAAGGATTCAATGGTGCTCGAAAATTCCTTTTGAACAATGTGTTTGTTAAAAATCACAAGAAATTTTTGAGAATTCCTAATCAACCTAATCGCTTTACACATATTCATAGTGGACAATTCGCAAAACACAATTATGAAAATATTTCGTTTAATGAGACTTTCAGAAGTTTAGATTTCCATGGCTGCAGGGCTAATATCACATTTAGTCTTAACAAATATCCCGGATTTAAACAACCATATTATTTGGATGTGGATTTTGAGCGAGGGGAAAATAGAAATAAATTTGCCTGGTGTGATGGGAATGAAAAAATTACCTATGTTATGAGAAATGGTGGGAAATTGCTAGAAGAGAGGTTGCTGTTCAAAGGAGTTAGTGCAAAAAGTGTTTATCGGATTCATACAATTTTGGATTTTTTGGAATTAATACAACTTTTGGCGTTTTTTTCAAAATAAAAATTGAGCATAATTATTTGAAACTTCGTGGAACTTCTGTTCATCTTCAGCTTCACCTGAAGTTCGTGTAACTCTAAATTTGAATCATTTCAAACATCTCCAGCTCTTTTTACCGCCCAAAACAGTTCCCCAGTTCAAAAAAAGAAAAAATAAAATGAAGTGCGTTGGAGCGCACTTGCTTGCTTTCTTATTTTTCAAATGAAATTGTGCAATTGCTCGTCGCCGTGTTTGCACACGGCTTGTTTTTGAGGTGAATTCCAGCTATAAAATCTGTAATTTCAGCTTGGGAAAGTCCAAAAATTCCAATTTTTTTGAAAATTTCAATAATTTGCTATCAAAAACAGAAAAAAACACATCAAATCCCAACATCAAGCAAAAACTCCGGCAAATTAAATTGAAAAGTCGGTGCAGCAACAGGAACACTTCCAATTTGTCCATCAAATTCGGTTGCAATTCCAGAATTTGTGCAAGTATGCATCACCTTCGCATGAATCTCATAGTGTGTATCACCGGGACCATCTCCACCAACAGCATTGAAAACATCAACATTCACTTTGCTTGCGCCCCAAACATCGCGGAATCCGGTGGAATGCAAAGGGTCGTGTGGGCTAAGATTTTAATTAATTAATTAATTAATTAACTTATTAATTAATTAAGGTTTTTTCACTTACGGCATATAATCATGCTCATAATAATCAATCTTATATCGCCAATCTTTTCGCAAATTACATTTGAAAGTTTGACGAACTGTGATTTGTGTGGTTTTTTGTGAATCGACGAGAATTGTCGCAAAAATGCACAGAGTTAGCAGAAGTCGAAGCATTTTTGTTGCGTGTGGAAGTTTGCAGCCTGGTTTTTATGTGTGGGCAAACATTGATTTGATTATGCAAATTTGCAAGCTCGATTTTTGCAAGAGGAAAATGATTGCAGAAAAATTCAAAAAATTAAAATTCACAATTAAAAAACTTTAAAAAAAATTAAAAATTTTCAATCAAGAATGATTTTGCCATGTGGATTTTGAGACCTAAGGCGATGATGCAGGTTAGTTTATCATGCAAATTGAAAAACCGCGACGCATACGCGACGCGTCGCAATATATTTGCAAAAAACCGCGACGCACACGCAACGCCTCTCACAATCCTATTTTTTCCTGCAAAAAAATTCCTTGCAAAATAATCAAATCACATCACAGATTCCCATAAAACCCGAATCATTCCCACATTTTCCTTCAAATCAAAAATGATTTTCACATTTTTCCTGATCGTCTTCTTGATTATCATTGCTGTATACATCTGTCGAAGTTATCGAAGGCCTAATAATCGGGATTATGGAAAAAGTGCAGTTTGAAGTGGAATCGAATAATTAATTGATTAATTAATTAATTAGTTTGAGATAGAATAAAGATTTTCTCACACGCATCGCGTGACCGCAACGCGTTCAACGAATCAAAATAATGTGCAAAAGTGCAATAAAATTGCCCGCGCGTTGCGTATGCGTCGCGGTTTTTCTTCAAATTGCATGATAAAAACTTTATTGATTAAAGATTACGACAATCGATCATCCATGACATAACGACCTTCAAAAGTCATAGTAGATTCTTGACCTTTTGGCACATTTCCCAAATGAATCTGAGCTCTGATGAATTTACCATTTGATGTGCAATTGTGCACAACATCCATGTAAATCTCGTAGAAGTTATTCAAAAGTAGATTACCGGCTGACAATTCGAATTCATCCACGTAATCGGAGGTTGTTGGACGACGGTACACATTCCAAAGAGTCATTATTGGCCCGTCGCCAAGTTCGATGTTTGGGCTGGAAATGGGATGTTGAAGGTGATCAGGAGCTGGTCGGAAGGTTCGGATATCTGATCAGGGTCAGGGTTTTCAGGGTTTCTGCCTTCAGGGTTTCTGCCTTCAGGGTTTCTGCCTTCTGAATAAACACTAACCTCAAATAATAGCGCTCGTAGTAGTAGTTTCGGAAACTCCATTTTATTCTCGGCATACGACACTCGAATTCATGATCCACTTTGATTTTCGTCGAATCCACGAAAATCGCGGCGAAAATGCTGAGAGTTACAATAAGTCGCAGCATTTTTTTCATTTTTATGGAAAATTCTGGGGGGTTTTATAGGACTTTTTCCACATTATTTTGATTAATTTAACGAGTTTTTCGATAATTTTTTGTGTGGGTGTTGGAAACATGAAACCGCGACGCACACGCAACGCGCGGAAAAGTAGCCTGCGCACGCGGCGCGTTCAAATCCTCTTTGAATTTCAAAGAATCTCTCCATTAATTAAACCATTACGATCAATTTATTTGCAGATTTGCAAAAAAACCGCGACGCACACGCAACGCCTCTCAATTTTCTTCCTGCAAAACTTCATCGAATCACATTAGCCTCTTATAAAACTCAAATCATCTTCCTGTTTTTCCCCAAATCAAAAATGTTATTCAACATTTTCTCGATCTTCTTCTTCTTCTTCATGGCTACTTCGATGTGTCAAGCTTATCGTCGTCCGATGAGATGTACTATTGATTTGGATTGTGGATTTGAAACGCAATGCGTGTTTGTAAAAGGAGCCAAGGTTGGATATTGTCGATATTATTTTTGATTTATTTGAAGTCGGAATGAAAAATTGTGTTCATTTTCATACATTTTTCGAAATCTTTGAAAACCAGGCGCGTTGCGTGCGCGTCGCGGTTTCTAAAAACAAAACAACGAGTGTGTGTGGCGAGCTAACAGAGTGCAGACATATTAAATTAAAAATGAGTTATGACGTGGCAAAAACACCCTACAGAACTGTAAAAATGAAAAATTCCCGAAGAGACTGCGAACGAAACGAGAGTGTGTGTGGCGAGTGGAGAGAGTGCAGACATACAAAGTAAATCACAAAACAACGACGCTCCGCTTGCCCGTTGTTTATCGTAAATAATTTTTTTTCGTTTTTTTTGTTTCTGGAACTGCAAGAGACAGACAGTTAGCACTATAGGGTTAGAGACGCAGAGGAATCTCACAAATAATTCAACAGACAACGACACTCCGCTTGCCCGTTGTTTATCGTAAATGCATATTGTTAGAGACACAGAGAAGCGAGCACAATAGGGTTAGAGACGCAGAGTTTTTTTCTACGTGTACAAAACTAAAACTTCCAAAAAGGAAATAAAATAAAATAAAATTATGATAATCAAATCAAAAACTTGCAATATTTAAAAGCGCTCCTCAATCCTCCCAAAAAATCATTTCAAAAATGTTTCGAGTTGTCGTAACTCTTCTGATTCTCACTGTCGCCGTGGATGCCACAAGAAACCCGCAAATCACCGAAATCACAGCCGATTTGCGCTTCGAATGTCGATTGGACAATCGTTTCATGTGGAAATATCAAGTGGTATTTTTGGAGTATGATTTTGGCAGGTGAGTTAGGGTAACTTAAGATAACTTCTCTAAGATTACCCCCTAAAAATTTCCAGAGCTCACGACGTTTTACACCGCTCCAAAGTGCACCGCGCATTCTCCTCCAACCCACGAAACCGCTTCGTCTTCAATGCTTCCGGAGGTGATGGAATTTTCGATTCGAGCTACGAGATTTATGCGCATGTTGTTCATAATTGCACACCGAGTGGCAAAAAAATCGTGGCCAAATTCTTTTTGGGAGATGTTGGAACTTTCAGAACATCAGAATATTTACGCAAAACTTTGACGCTTTATTGAATAAATGATTTGAGCATTGAGTGTTATGACGTGGCTAAAATTAAAAAATATTCGAAATCCTACTACAACACTCCGCTTGCCCGTTGTTTATCGTAAATTATTTTTGAAAATTAGATTTTTAAAATATTTGAATTTCAGGTAATTTTGAGTCATGACGTGGCGAATTCACATTCAGCAAAATTAAATTAAAAATGAGTTATGACGTGGCAAAAAATCGTACACTACAAGACTCCGCTTGCCTGTTGTTTAGCGTATATATTTTCATGAAAGACTTTTTATGTGACGTGGCGAAACACGCAACGCGCAACCGCAACGCGTCTAACAACATGAGCGTGACTATGACGTGGCAGAGAATTTGTGCATCATAAACATCCGAGTTACCAGAACTCTCTTGTTGCAGAAAAATTCGAGTTCAAAATTCAATCATCTCGATTTCTGCAACGTGTCCAACGCATAATCAAATCAAAGCTTCCCAATAAAACCCCTCTCAGCTTCCCCCAAACATCAAAACATGTTCCGACTTTTCGTAACTCTCCTGATTCTCGCCGCCGCCGTGGATGCCACAAAACACCCAAAAGTTACAAAAATCACCGCCGATTTGGGTTTCAAATGTCGTTTGGCTCCTAAAATCCGCATTTTTGCCGTCTCATTTGTAGAAAAGCATAGAAATGGGTAAGATTCTATGAATTTTTCCAAAATCACCACATTTTCTAGGCTCTCCCACACTTTGCTTCGCAACAAACCCGACAGCATGTACAGTGCTACCCAAAGAAAGAAGTTCGAGATCGAATTCGCTGGAAACATCGGACGATCGAAAATTTATGTGCATGTTAAGCACAATTGCACACCAAGTGGACGATTCATCACTTCCAGATATCCATTTGTAGATCTTCCGATTCGTGAAGCACACAAAACTATTCGCGCAACTTTGATTCTTCAACAATAATGAGTGTTTGAATAAAGTTATCATTTTGCCACGTCACAAGTATGTTGTTAGACGCGTTGCGGTCATGCGACGCGTGTTTCTAGGAAAAATAATCACAAAATTATTCCAAAAAATCCATACGTCATGATAATAATTGAAAGTCGTTACAGAAATTCATCAAAAACAATTCGGAAAATGTAAAATTTTGTGAAAAAAAAAGTTTTTTTTTTGAAAATTAAAAAAAAATTTGAAAAAAAAAAGAAAAAAATAAATTAATAAAAAAAAAAAAAAATTTCCAGAAAATTTGTTCTAGCAAGATCCTTAGTTAACTATTGGCCACAAAATACATCAAAAACATCAGAAATTGCAATTTTCTTGCAAAAAAATCGAGTTCAAAGTTCAAACATCTCTGCAAGGTGTCCAGCGCATAATCGAATCAAAGATGCCCCCAATAAAAACCCCTCTCAGCTCCCCCCAAACATCAAAACATGTTCCGACTTTTCGTAACTCTCCTGATTCTCGCCGCCGCTGTGGATGCCAACACAAGACTCACAAGAATCACGGCCGATTTGGGTTTCAAATGTAAATTGCCTCACTTGCGCGTCATCGATTCCGTCTCGTTTGTAGGAACAACTAGATATGGGTGAGTTCGAAGAACAACAACACTCCGCTTGCCTGTTGTTTAGCGTGAATATGTACTTCCAGAACCAACAAAACTTTGCTTCGTGACACACACGACATCTTGTTCACCGGTAATCCAAAACGAAAAACATTCAAGCTTCTATTCATAAGAAATTCCCTACAATCGAAAATATATGTGGATGTTAAGCACAATTGTACTCCAAGTGGACGACTCACCACATCCAGATATTCATTGGTAGATCTTCCGATTGTTGAACCACACAGAACCGTTCGCAAAACTTTGATTCTTCAAAAATAACGGGGCTGGGTTTTTGAATAAAGTTATCATGCATTATTTTGCCACGTCACAAGTATGTTGTTAGACGCGTTGCGGTCATGCGACGCGTGTTTCTAGAAAAAAAATCACAAAATTATTCCAAAAAATCCATACGTCATGATACTAATTGAAAATCGTTACAAAAATTCATCAAAAATAATTCGGAAAATGAAAAATTTTGTGAAAAAAAAATTTAAAAAAAAATTTAAGAAAATTTGTTCTAGCAAGATTCTTAGTTAACTATTGACCACAAAATGCATCAAAAACATCAGAAAATGCTCCGAGGTATCATAACTCTCTAGTTACGATATAAATAGAGTTCAAAGTTCAAACTTCTCTGCAACGTTTTTGCCACATCATAATTTTTTTCGGATGCATCGCGGTTAGGCGACGCGTGTTTCTAGGAAAAACAATCACAAAATTATTCAAAAAAATCCATACGTCATGATAATAATTGAAAGTCGTTACAAAAAATCATCAAAAATAATTCGGCGTGGGAAGAAACTAGTATAAATATGCACATTCTTTTCGTTAGCTCCAAGAGTATGATTCAATTCATTGTCACTTTTTGTCTTTTCTCAATTCTTGTCGACGCCACAAATGTAGTTGTTGAAGAACAAATGAGATGTGAGATGCTGAATGAATGGAACTATCGAGTTACATATGTGGAATACGATCATATAACGTAAGTTGATTGACAAAACCATCAAATATTAATACAAGAACTACAGCGCCAATGAAGTTCTGCTTGAAACCGAATTGGTAACTGTAAAGGGTCATTGGGGTCCAAAATTCACTCGAAGGTATGGTGTTCATGATGGTGATGGTACGGTGAGAAGGAAAAGATCCGATCTTTATTACGAACTTAAAATGTACATTACGCATACTTGTAAATACGATGCCCAATATGTTGGGTTTTATGAGGATTTGGGTGTTGTCGAAGTTCGTGAAAAGTTAGTTTTAAAAAAAAAAGTTGGACTTGTAAAAAACCATATTTTCAGCGATGCAAGATTCCAGAAGTTGGGCTTGAAACTGGATACAGAATGCAACTTTTTCACGTGCTGGCGGGTTTGAGAACTAGACAAAAACATGGTTTTTCGGTTTGGGTTTTTTTTAGTAATAAAAAAATTTTTCTGTGAAAATATGATTTTTGTCTTTTACACATTTCGTTGGACGCGTTGCGGTCACGCGCTGCGTGTCGGTTTTTAGCGCCGAATTTTGATATTCAAAATATGTTCGGGGGAAATTTAAAAATTAAAAAGAAATTTGAAAAAAAAAATTTTTAATTTTAAAAATTGAAAAATTAAAATTCTGGTGCAAAAAAATTCAAATATTCATATATTTATGGGATGCGTCGCGGTCATGCGCTGCGTGTTTCTAGAAACAATTCCGAATGCGTTGCGGTCACGCGCTGCGTGTCGGTTTTCAGCGCCGAATTTCGAAAAAAAAAATTAAAATTTAAAAATTAAAAAAATTAAAATTAAAAAAAAATTCAAATATTTATTTTCGCGCCAAATTTGCAATCTTCAGCAAAAATATTCCAACGATTACAGTAAACCGATTTGATTTAAAAATTTAAAAATTGAAATTTTTTTTTAATTTAAAAAAAATTTAAAAAATTTTAAAATAAAAATTTTAAAAAAATTTTAAAATTTTAAAAAATATTTTTAAAAAAATTCAAAATTCTTGTGCAAAAAAAAATCAAATATTCATTTTCGCGCCAAATTTGATCATCAAATTCTATACAGTAACCGATTAACAAATAATTCGATTCGGCCAAAAAATCGTACAAAATCAATTCCTTGTTTTGCTGGGCTCACATTATACAAATGTTTTTTCGTTTCACAGTGGCCCTCTGTATTTTATCGATTTTTGTCAATTCCACAGAAATCACGGTAAACGAGCAAATGATATGCGAAATGCAAAAAGATTGGAAATACCGTGTAGAATATGTGGAGCTTGATGAGTTGAAGTGAGTTACAAAAAAAAAATTTTGAATTTCAAAATTTAAAAAAAAAATTACAGAAACCACAAAATTCTACTAAAAACTGAAGCGGTAACCGTCCAGGCTAACTCAACTGGCCCAAGTTTTACCCGGAAATTTGAAGGATCCTCGACAGATTCTTACGATCTGTACATGTATATCACAAATACTTGCACAAGACTTGGAAACGAGGAAACTTTGGTGGAGTTTTTGGGAAATGTTAAGATTGGTACCGAGTTAGTTTAACTTCAAGGTTTTGCGGGGAAAAAATGACATTTTTTCAGAGAAGTGCGGTACGATACAAGGGGAATGCAATTGAATTAATAACTTTTTGGGTGAAACATTGAATAAAAAATTAATTCTGAAGTCAAAATTTTCAGAGTTTCAGCAAAATTTGACCCAAATCATCTGAACTTCCAATGCAAACTCATCAAAAATATGAATTTATTACCATTTTTAAAAAAGTCCCAAAACCAAAACCGATCAATAAATCAAAAAACCACCCAATTTAAACCAAAAAAAAACCCAGAACCAAATTAACCCAATCCAGTATATTTTGAAAATTCAAAAATGTGTCATCGATTATCCAACACAAATCCAACAATCTCCTTCAAATAATACTGATTGCTAACGGCAACATGATCGATGTACTGAGTGAATGTCGATTGTTTTCCATTGTTTGTACAAGTGTGAGTGACTTTTATTCCCAACTCATAATGTGGATCACGCCATCCATCACCAGCATTGTAAACGAAATTAGTAACATGCCTTGGTCCATTGGAATTTCCATTTACAGATACCCAGTTATTTTCGTATATCCCGTCGTCCTGTCTACAAACATTTTTCAATACTTGCTATGACGTGGCAATTTATAACTTACATAGTATCAATTTCCACAAATCTAATAGAATATCCCCAATTGCTACGTATGTTGCAAACCATTTGTTCTCTGATTACAAAATCTGTTGCATCGACGAGAATTGAGAAAAGACAGAATGTGAGAATGAGTCGAATCATTTTGAATTGTCCGATGTTTTAAGCAAGAAATCTATTCCTTTTATACAAATCTTCTTCCCACGCATTTTCCTCCTACGTTTTCAAAATTATTTTTATGACTTACTGTAACGACTTTTGGTTAGTTGAATGTCGTCAATATCAAAAAATCACAAAGGAACTATTTCAACTTTTACTGAAGATTTTTTTGTCAAAAATTCCACTGAGTTATGACGTGGTAAACATTTTTTGTACACCCTAGAAGTTCTGGAGTGTTTCTCCCTTGGGGTGATGGTTAAACTGCCAAAGTTACAGAAAAAGTTTATTCGGTGCCTCCGCGACCTTCCCCGTAAGCGAAATTTTTGCCACGTCATAACTCACATCAAGCGAGTTCCGCAATCTTTGACATCGGCGAGTCGAAAACTACTATCTCTTTGTGATTTTTCGATTTTGATGACATTCAACTAACTAAGTCGTTACAGTAAGCCATGAAATTTTAATTTTAAAATTTTCAATTTTAAAATTTTCAAAGGAAAATGCGTGGGAAGAAGATTTGTATAAATACAATACTTTTCTTGCTCAAAACATCGGACAATTCAAAATGATTCGATTCATTCTCACATTCTGTCTCTTCTCGATTCTCGTCGATGCTACAGATGTCACAGTTCAAGAACAAATGATTTGCAACCATCACCCCGATTGGAAATATTGGACTCGATACGTGGAATACGATTATGGAAAGTGAGTTATAAGCTGCCACGTCATAACCATAACCTTCTGAAGGTTATGACGTGACAAATACAGATGTATTGGAAAAAAATAAAATATTCGTATCTAGACCAAACGAAGAACTATTGAGAACCGAGTGGGAATATTTAAATGAAAATTCACACGGTCCACGGCGTGTTCGTCAATTCAGTATCAGTGGAGATGATGGATGGTTTGATACTGCATATGAGATTGGAGTCGAAATCTTTCACACGTGTACAGATACTGGGGAGACAGCAAGATTGAATGTGCCATTGGGTGATGTTCAAATTGACTCTAAGTTTGTTTTGGACAAAAATCCACAGTACATATAATTATTTTTTTTCAGACTCAAAGACTTTAAGTTGACTGGATTTGTGTTGAATTCTCAATGCATTTATTCGAATTGTGACCTTATCCCAGTAATATATTTACCTGGTGGAAAATATACGTAATAAGATTTTTGGTACTTTTTTGTTGTTGGGGGTTTTTGAATGAAAATGAATTCATTGAAGCTTAAATGAAAGTTTAAATAATTTTCAGACAAAACTTGATTTAACTCGCGTAATTCTGAAATACATACCAAAAATCACAAATTCCAGATTTTCAGACAAAACTTGTGTCAAGTTTTGTGATTTTTTCAGAAAAACTTCTTGACTGATTTTTCGATTTTGATGTACCTAAATTTTCATCTGAGAATTTCAAAGCTTAGAATGCTTCAAGGTATATTTGTTCCAACGAGACCTTAACTTAGGCCTAAGCTAACAATAAGGTATATCTGTACTGTCTTAAAATTCTCTGAAATTGAGATGAGATACAGTAACCTGGGTTACTGTAGATTTCAAATTATTTTTTAAAATAAAATTCTAGTTAATTTTGTAGCTCTTAAAATTCTCTGAAATTGAGATACAGTAACCTGGGTTCCTGTAGATTTTTTTTTTCAGCAAAAATTCTGAATTTCCCCCCAAAAATCTTCTCATATTTTTCACCTTCGCCGCCAAAAATTCTCCAAGACACACTCAACTCAAAAAGCGTTCTTCTTTGAGTGTCTCTGCATCTCTGCGTCTCTCTCTCTCTCTCCTCCCACACACACACACACACACTATTTTTTTTTTTGAGTAGGAGGACGTGGCGGGAAGCGAGGTGCACTTGTTACACATACACAAATGAGAAGAAGAAGCTTCTGGTGGAGACGAGAGACGAGAGAGTGAGAGACGCAGAGAGTGATTAGTGAGACCTTGAGAGATTTGGGCTTTTTTAGGCTTAGGCTTAATTTCTAGAACAGGATTTCAGGCTTCCTGGGATTCTAGACTTGGGCTTTATAGGCAAATCTGAAACTGAGATTCGGGAATCCCAAAAAATTCCCCAAAAAAAAATGTTTCAATTTTTTTTTTGCCACGTGGATTTTTTGGAAGCTCAGAAATTCTGGAATCCAAAAAAATTCCAGAAAATTTTTTTTCAAATTTTTTAAGCTTCGCAAAATTTGTTGCTACGTGGAATTTTTAGGAGAAGAATAATATCTGAAAAATATTTCAAAAAAAAAATTTTTTTTCAAATTTTTTCAATCTTCGCAAAATTCGTTGCCACGTGGCATTTTTCAGCTCGAAAATCTACAAATTCTGAAAAAATTTAATTTTGAGATCCCAAAAAAAAAGAAAAAATTTTTTTTCAATTTTTTTTTGCCACGTGGATTTTTAAGCTCAAAAAATTCTGGAAGCCCAAAAAATTCCAGAAAAATTTTTTTCAAATTTTTTTCAAACTTCGCAAAATTCGTTGCCACGTGGATTTTGCAGCTCGAAAATCTACAAATTCTGAAAAAATTTAATTTTGAGATCCCAAAAAATTTCAAATTTTTTCAAACTTCGCAAAATTCGTTGCCAAGTGGATTTTTCAGCTCGAAAATCCACAAATTCTGAAAAAATTTAATTTTGAGATCCCAAAAAATTCCAGAAAATTTTTTTTTCAAATTTTTTGCCACGTGGATTTTTTGGAAGCTCAGAAATTCTGGAAGCCCAAAAAATTTCAAAAAAATTTTTTTCAAATTTTTAGGCTTTAAAATTTCGTTGCCACGTGGATTTTTATGCTCAAAAATTCCCGAAAATTCTGGAATCCCGAAAAATTCTGAAAAAATTTTTTTCAAATTTTTTCCACGTGGATTTTTCTCAGGAAAATGATATCTGAAAATGAAATTCTGGAATTTCAAAAAAATTTTTCGTCTCCAAATTTCAGCTTCTCTCTCCCAAAAACAATTTCTCGTCTGAAAATTCCACGTGGCATCACCACCAACTTTTTTTTCTCTCCATTCACATCCTCCCTCACAACTCAATTTTTCCCGCCGCCGCCACTTGTGTCCTCCACACGGTGTGTAAGAGGAGCAAAGACATCGAAAGAAAAGACACGCGTGGAAATAGTGTGTGGATTTGAGAGGGTCCCGGAGACGGGGGCGAAAACTTCTTACAAATTGTGTGCACAGGGAGGAAAAGTGGGCGGAGCTTAAGGCTTCCCAGGCGGGAGAAGCTTCACTCACTCACTCACCCTGTCTATCTCGCTCTCCTGTGTTTGTTGGGGCGAGCTATTTGCTCATACACTTTCTTCTGAGCGCAACACACCGCGCGAGTTTTCCTACACACCGTGTGCACTTTATGTATTTTTTTTTGGGTGAGTTTTGGGCCCAAATTTAAGTTAAGGCCTTAATTACTAGGCCTTTTAAAAATTACCAGGCCTAAAATTAGGGTATTTATTTCGTTCAAATTAGAGCTCTACCTTAAAATTTTGGGGTTTAGGCCTAAGCCTAAAGCTTATTTAGAAACTTACTTAGTCATTTTTAATAGGCATAAGACACTTAAGGCGTTAAGGCTCTAATTTTTAGGCCAAACTCACAAATTCAAAAAATGTTCCAATTTTCTCACGATTTCTACCAGAGTTACGGTAAGTCCAATTTTTTCTCATCACAAATTTTTTTAGGCCCAAAATTTAGGCCCAAAAAAATCGCAGACACTTCCCGGACCACGTACTTCTTTACATGTCCCATACTGAAAAACTTGGTTGAAAAAAGAGTTATGGAATGTAAAGAAGTATGTAGACCGGGCAGTCGACTTTTTTGTTTTTTTGCAGACAAATTTTCAGATGGGTCTCGCAGCGAACAGAAAAATTACAACACGACGAAAAAGTGTGCTACCTTTTCACCAGCATTTGACTCATGTCTCTTCAAGCCGCGCTGGCGCAGTGGTAGAGTGCTGAGTTTTGAGTCGCAAGGCCGCAGGTTCGAGTTTTGCTGCCTGCGACGTTTTTTGTTTTTTTTTTTGATTTTTTTGTTGCATTATTGATTGATTTTTATATACTTACTTACACTAACTAACTACATATTTACTAACCAAGTTTGTCTAACTCGATTTCTTGAATAAATAAAGATGACCCCTAAAAAAGTGGGTAGGAGAAAGAGTTTGAGCAAATACAGGGTCATCAGAAAAGCAACATAGGAAAATTTGGTTTTTCTGATGCCACGTGGAATTTTGGCGAGTTGAGATCAAAATTTTCGAATTCGCGGTGAAAAATCACCCCGGAAACATATGTTTTTTGGCTTTCAGTGGTCGTGGCCGAGGATTTGGGATTGGAATTCTAGGCCATGGCTTTGCACAAATTCAAAAACCAATTTTTCGTTATCATTAGAGCGCATTTCCTTTTTTTCTGGGAAAATTTTAAAATTCAAATTTTTCGCGCCAAAAAAACGTGACCTAAAAATAAAAAAAAATCCAGGCTGGCAAAAAAAAATATTTTTCAAAAATTCGAAAATTCCCGCCATTTCTCAACAATTTCTAAAAAGCAAATAATAACAAGTCAAAATGTCTGCGTGAGTTTTATAACATGAGCAATTCTGAATTTCTCTGATATGAGCAATGATTTTCCTGATCTGAGCAATGATTTTCATAATCTGAGCAATCAATTTTTTACCTGAGTAATCGATTGCTCTAATCTGAGCAATGAAGTTTTTCTAATATGAGCAATGAAGTTTTTCTAATCTGAGCAATCGATTGCTCTAATCTGAGAAATAAATAATGTTAACCTGAGCAATGTAGTTTCTAATCTGAGCAATAAATAATGTTAACCTGAGCAATGTAGTTTTAACCTGAGCAATAATTTTCCTAACCTGAGCAATGCTCCAAAATCAAATTCCAGAAATTTTTACGCCGACTTTGAAGAGGCGGATCGTCTGATTTCGGAATTTCAAGAATATTCGCGTGCGACTCCAGCGACGCCGCCTGCGACAAAATCGCCGTCCGAAAAATCGCGAGTCTATTATGTGCGCAACAAAAATTCGAATTCGCGCAAAAATTGTAAGCCACGCCCCCTTTGCAACTTCGCCGCATGCTTTTTTTTTTGCAGCCTTAGCCGAGCTGGAGCATTGTTGTAAGTTAGAGAAGCAGACAACCAGAGAACAAGGAGCGTATTTGGGAATTATGACGATTAGAGATGCAGAGAAGGTGAGAGACGCAGAGGAGGGAGGAGAATTTTGGCGGGAAATTTTTGAATTTTTCAGAAAAAAATTTGAACTCAAAAAATTTGGCGGGAAATTTTCAAATTTTTCCTGCCAAAATTCAGAATTCAAATTTTCTTCTGAAAAATTCGAAATTTTTGAATCCGGAACATTTTAGCGCGAAAATTTCAAATTCAAAAATTTAGAATTTTTTAGAAGAAAAATTTGAATTCCAAATTTTGGCGGGAAATTTTTGAATTCAAAAATTTTCAGAAGAAAAATTTTGGCGGGTAATTTTTGAATTTAAAAATTTTCAGAAGAGATTTTGGCGCGAAAATTTTTGAATTCAAAAATTTCGAATTTTCCAGAAGAAAATTTGAACTCAAAATTTTTGGCGGGAAATTTTTGAATTCGAAATTTTCAAAAATTCAAATTTTCCCCCATTTCCCGCTCCCAAAACCCCACGCAATTTTGCAGAAAATTTCAAAATCCGGAAATTTCGCCATATATCACCGTCTGCCAATCGCCTCAGCCACCGATTTTTGCTCGAATCGTCTTCAGAGTTGCGAAAACTTGGAGCCATTTCCAACTTTGTACTTGAATGTGGTGTATTTGGACTCGAAAAATCGATATCGGTTAGGTTTTTGCTGAAATTTGGCTGAAATTTTCAAGAAAATGAGATGAAACCAAGCATTTTGATATAAAATTTGATAATTTTCGAAAACAGAAAGTGCGCTCCATTGAGAATGCTCGAAAATTATCAAATTTCATATCAAAATGCGCGGTTTTTTCAAATTTTCAAAATTTTTCACCCAAAAATCCCCAATTTTCAGCCATTATCCAATAATTGAAGTCGCCCTGAAAGGTCAGATGTTTTTCCAAGTTTCAACCGTGATTTCGCCGAAAATCAAAAAAATTCCGGAACGTGAGCCGCGATTTTTGAGCGTCGAAAAGTTGCTCGATCATTACACGTGAGTTTTGAGGGTTTTATCAGTGGAGCGCATTTTCATTCAACCATTTTTGGTGGGAAATTTGAAAAATTCAAATTTCTCGTCAAAAGATTCATTTTTCTCCTTGAAAATTTGAATTTTCAATTTTTCGCGCTCAAAATTCTCATTAGAGCGCATTTGATTCATTTTTCTTCTTGAAAATTTTAATTTTCAAGTTTTCGCACTCAAAATTATCAGTGGAGCGCACTTTCTTCTATTTTCAAAACTAAAATTTGAATTTTTCTCATTAGAGCGCACTTTCCTCAAAAATATAGGCGCCGAATTTGAAAATTTTCAATTTTTCTCCTGAATTTGCATTAGAGCGCATTTGATTCATTTTTCTCCACAGCAAACCTTGGAAAATTTGAATTTTCAATTTTTTCCCGCCAAAATTATCATTGGAGCGCATTTTCCTCCTGAAACTTTTGGCTAACTTTTGAAAATTCAAATTTCCCGCTGAAATTCTTATTAGAGCGCACTTTCCTTCTCAAACGTTCGAAAATTTGAATTTTCAATTTTTTCCCGCCAAAATTATCATTGGAGCGCATTTTCCTCCTGAAACTTTTGGCTAAATTTTGAAAATTCAAATTTTTCTCCTGAATTTGCATTAGAGCGCCCTTTCCCCCCAGTTTTTCCCGCGAAAATTAAAAAAATTCAAATTTTCTTCCAGAAAATTCGCCTACGGTTATCATTTCGATGAAAACGGTGGAATTGAAGTCGATGTGTTTCCAGCGCAAAGAAAATAAATTTCAAATTTCCAAATTTTTTCCGGCAAAAAGAAGTAAAAATGATTTATTAACCCGTGTCAGGCATAATAACAAAAAAAAACAATGAAAAATTGATCTAAAAGCCTAAAAACAAGAAAATACTATAAATTGGGGCTGAAAATTGCTGAAAATCTCGAATTTTCAGCCAAAAAATCTGAAAAATCAATATTTACACGGCTAGCGGCGTATCTTGCATATGAACTTCTAATAATTTCCAAGCTGTAGCCGGGTTGTATTCCTCAATATCTCGACATAAAACCCAAATGTGATTGATTCGTTTTGGTGTGTCCTGAAACGAAAATTTCGAAGGGGGTACTGTAGATTTTGGCGGGAAAGTTTTAAATTTTGAAATTTTTGAATATCGCGCCCAAGATTACTGTAGATGCAATTTGGCGCGAGAAATCGATTTTTAATTTTTTTTCAGATTTTTTTGAAAATTCGAATTCTCGCGCCAAAATCTAGGAGTACTGTAGATGGCGGGAAAATATAATTTTGAAATTCGCGCCAAATGAACTCCAAGATTACTGTAGATGCAATTTGGCGCGAAAATCGATAATGTTTTCCATTCAAAATCGCCCAATTTTCACCGGATTTTCGCGCCAAATTAACCTCCAGGATTACTGTAGATTTTTGGCGCCAAAATCTTCCCCTCGAGACCCAAAAATGCGACTTACCGGATCTCCTTCGACAACTTTATTATCCGCATTTTTCGTCACATTTATCATAAAGGCTTGGAAGGTGATAATTAACACTGGACCCTGTTCCATCATTTTTCCGGAGACCATCTGAAAAAAAATACGGTATGATCCTTTAAAATTAGTTAGGTTACTGTAGATATCTGAGAGGGTTACGGTATGTTCCTTTAAAAATCAATATAAAATAGAACTTTCAGAGAAAAAGGTATGTTCCTTTGAAAATACCGTAGTCCTTTCAAATTTTTCAAAGAAATTAATTTATGTTCCTTTAAAAATACCGTATTGTTATTAATTTCCGGTTTTTCAAAAAAAAATTTGAAAAAATTACAGTATGCTTCTTTAAAAATACCGTAATCTTATTAATTTCAGGTTTTTTTTAAACTTTTCTTCAAAATTACTGTATGTGCCTTTAAAAATACAGTTTTCAAATTTTTTGAGAAAATTATCGCATGTTCCTTTAGAAATATCGTAATCTTATTAATTTCAGGTTTTTTTAAAACTTTTCTTCAAAATTACTGTATGCTCCTTTAAAAATACTGTACTTTCTCCTTTTTCCTCAAATTTCCCCGCAAAATACCGTACCTCAACTTTAGAAATATCAATAATTCTCGAATCCGTCGTTCGATAATGCATCTTCTGATATTCTTTGACTACGGTAGACAATTGTGTATAAGCTCTTTCATGACACCAAGATTGTAGAACTTCCAGATCGAAACGAATGAAAGCTTCCAGAATATTTGGGATTATCTGGAAATTTTTTGTGGTTTTTGGCTGAAAATTTGGTCAAAAATGATGATTTTTAAGCCAAAAATCATCATTTTTGATGGATTTTGAGCTGAAATTCAAGATTTTTTCAGATTTTCAGCCAAAAATCACTCACTTTTGTCTCGCAAAACCTGAGCCATTCGACTTTGTCGAATTTCGCGTCGATTTTGTGGATTTCTGTTAGCACTTCACTGACTTCGTTTTGACCGGCTGGAACAAAAATTTGAATTTTGAATTTTCGCGCCAAATTTGAATTTTTTCGAGTTTTTATGATTTCCAGCTTAAAATGCACAAAAATTTGCAGTTTTTAGCTTTAAATGCTCCAAATTTCATCAAATTTCTCAAATTTTAACTAGTTTTTGGCGATTTCCAGCTCAAAACTCTGAAATTCCAGTTTTTTGAGCTCAAAATGCTCCGAATCTTGTGAAATTTAACATTTTGGGGCCAAATTCGAACTTTAAGCTCAAAATGCTCCAAATTTCATGAAATTTTTCAATTTTCAGAATTTCCAGCCCCAAAAAAACTCACAAAACATGCTTCCGATTCTCTCAGTAACTCCTCTCATCATTCGAACCGCAACATTATCCGATTCCTCATATTTCATCTTCCAGTCGAGAAGTTCTGCAAAAATATTGATTTTTGGCTGAAATTTTCAGCATTTTCAGCTAAAAAATCGATATTTTCATGATTTTCAGCTAAAAAATCGATATTTTCAGCATTTTCAGCTAAAAATCGCTATTTTCACCCCAAATTCAAATCTTACTGTGATAATACGCATTATTTTCCGAGAAATTCTTCCATCCAGATGACCATTTCGAATCTTTGTGAAGTGTAACATCAGTGGCATCGCTGGAAGATTTTCAGATGAATTTTAGAGGTCCTGGGGTCAAATTTTAGCTCAAAATTCATCATTTTTCATGAAAATCTCAGTTTTTTGGCTCAAAATTCATCAATGTTCACGAAAATTCCAGTTTTTCGGCTCAAAATTCATCAATTTTCACCCAAAACTCACTCATTTGCCTCGACAACTCGATCTTTTTCCAATTCGAATCCGTCGGTTCTTTTGGTCAAAGTTTCGGGCCGGCTGTACATTCGAACATCGGCGATACTATCGATTTCGTCCTTTACCGTTTTCATTGACTGAAAAATTTGAATTTTTGAGGAAAATTGGGAATTTTTGAGGGATTTTGCTAGAAAATTCAATAATTTTGACGTTTTTTTCATTAAAACTGTTTCACGTTCAATTTTCCAACGATTTTTTGGTTTTGGAACAGTGCCAAAAATCAATTGGCATGGTTCCAAGAGAGAAAATCGTCTTGGAAGCTTGCCAAGTATAGGAGTAAGTGATTTTTAGGCTTGGCAGGCTTCCAAGAGCAATTTTCGACTTGGGAACGTGCCAAGACCAGAATTTTAGGCTTGGCAACCTTCCAAGGTTCATTTTACCTCTTGGAACCATGCCAAGACCAGAATTTCAGCCTTGGCAAGCTTCCAAGAGCAATTTTTCGCTTTGGAACTATGCCAAGACCAGAATTTTAGGCTTGGCAAGCTTCCAGACCTCATTTCCTAGCTTTAAACCGTGCCAAGACTGAAAATTAGTGATTTTCAGGCTTGACAAGGTTCCAAAGCTAGATTTTCACTAAAAAATCCGATTTGGAACCTTGCCAAGCTCAAAAATCATTATTTTTTAATCTTGGATCGTTGCCAAGCTTTAAAAGTTTCAATTGGAACTCTGCCAAACAGCAATTTCAGGCTTGGCAAGCTTCCAGGAGAAATTTACCTTCTTGGAACGCTGCCAAAACAAATTTTGCTGCTTGGAAGCTTGCCAAGACCGCAATTTCAGCCTTAGCAAGCTTTCAAGAGCAATTTTTCGACTTGGGAACGTGCCAAGATTAAAATTTTAGGCTTGGCAAGCTGCCAGATGCAAATTTTCTTTTGGAACTATGCCAAAAACTAGTTCGCAAGCGTCTAATGAAATTTACCCATTTGGAAGCTTGCCAAAATTTTTTTTTCAGCTTGGAACCATGCCAAGACTAGAATTTTAGGCTTGGAGAGCTTCCAAGAGCTATTTTTAATGCAAAACCGCCCAAAACCACTCACCGTGCTAACATGTTTATAAACTTCCGTATCGCCAACCTTCTCCGCCACCTTCTCCATTTGTTCCGCAGCTTTCCGCGCCTGTTTCAACGCCTCCTCTCCAGCTTCTGTCATTTTCTTACCCGCCTCAGTCTTCTGAATCTCTTGCACCATCTTCTTCATATGCTCGCTGAGCTCCTCGATTTTGATTTTGACAACTTCCGACGATTTGAGCGTCTCCTTTTCGACGAGTTCGAATTTCTTTCGAGCATCTTTGAGAGCATCGGATTCGTTGAGTTCTTGCATTCGAGCTCGAAGTTGTTGTTGATGTTCTTGAAGTTCTTTGTTTTTTTGCATCTCATCGCGAACATTATCGATTAAATTGTTGAGGAATCCTTTTTTTGGAGAAGGATTGCTGTATTCTGAAGAAAATTTGCGAATTTTCGGGAAAATTGGGGGATTTCTGAGCCTGGGAGCTTGAAAATCATGAATTTCCAGACTTGGCACGGTTCCAAGATGAAAAATAGCTCTTGGAAGCTTGCCAAGCATGGAAATCATACTTGGCAAGGTTCCAGACCTTCAAATGAGGCTTGGAAGCTTGCCAAGATCACAAATTCGAAATTTTTGAGCTTGGCAGTGTTCCAATTGAAATTTTTAAGGATTGGCAACGATCCAAGATTAGAAATTATGATTTTTGAGCTTGGCAAAGTTCCAAATAGGATTTTTCAGTGAAAATTTAGCTTTGGAACCTTGCCAAGCCTGAAGATCACTAATTTCCAGGCTTGGCAAGGTTCCAAGATGAAAAATAGCTCTTGGAAGCTTGCCAAGATCACAAATTCAAAAGTTTTGAGCTTGGCAAGCTTCCAAATTGGATTTTTCAGTGAAAATTTAGCTTTGGAACCTTGCCAAGCCTGAAAATCATTAATTTTCAGTCTTGGCAAGGTTCCAAGATGAAAAATAGCTCTTGGAAGCTTGCCAAGATCACAAATTCAAAATTTTCAAGCTTGGCATGATTCCAAATCGGATTTTCAGTGAAAATTTTGCTTTGAAACCTTGCCAAGCCTGAAAATCATGAATTTCCAGGCTTGGCAAGGTTCCAAGATGAAAAATAGCTCTTGGAAGCTTGCCAAACATGAAAATCACGCTTGGCAAGGTTCCAGACCTTCAGATGAGGCTTGGAAGCTTGCCAAGATCACAAATTCGAAATTTTTGAGCTTGGCAAGCTTCCAAAAAGAATTTTAATGATTTTCTGATTAAAAATTAGTTTTGGAAGCTTGCCAAACTCAAAAATTCCAGATTTCAATCAGGTTCCAAGTTCAAAATTCTAGAATTTTCAAGTTTTCAACATTTCCAAGCTTCACAAATCTAGAACGTTTAATCTTTCAGCTTTTCTCATGAATTTCCAGGAGTTTTTCACCTTTCAAACTTCAAAATCATGAATTTTAGGCAGAAAATTCAAATTATTCATTTTTTCAAAAATCCCCCCAAAACCTTACCTCTAAAACTCAAAAAACTCGCCGAATTCACCGGAAACTGCGATCTTCCAACTATTCTACTAATCGCAATTCGTGACAACATCTGAAAATCCCAAAATTTCCAAAAAAACCACTGTGCGAAAAATAAAAAATTGACGGTTCTAAACAAACGACACTCCGCCAATGACGTTGCGCGAATGATGCAATTTTCATGGTTTTTTCTCGATTTTTTTTTTGAAAGTTGGCTAAAACTTGGAAAACTTCATGTAAAATACAATAAATATACAAATTTCGAGGAAAACTAAAGCAAGATTACGAATTTTTGGGATACCAGTTTCAATGTCAAAACAAGAAAAAATACAAGGAATGATAGAAATACAGTGTAAACATGAGAAAGTGAAGAGAAAAGGTGAAAATTGTTATAATTAGTCAACTCCTGGCTCGTATTTTGCCCATGGGTTTTCGTCGAGGAATTTTTCGATGACCTGCAAAAGGGAAATTTGACTTTTGGTGAAAAATAGGCAGATTCGCTCTAGCGAACATCGTGGAGAGCAAATTTGCTGTTTTTCCCGAAGTTTTCAATGTGAAACAAGCAAGTGCGCTCTACAGAACAATTAAAGAGTTCGATAGAGCAAAATTGCTATTATTTTCACGTGAAAATTTTGAATTTCATAGCAAATCCGCTCAATGTCCAATAGAGCAGATTTGCTCTTTTTCCTTCAAAATTTGAATAGCTTGGCAAGGTTCCAAAGGGGATTTTTCAGTGAAAATTTAGCGTTTCAAGCAAGGAAATCAGGTCTGGAAGCTTGCCAAGTTTGAAAATCACGCTTGGCAAGGTTCCAAGATGAAAAATAGCTCTTGGAAGCTTGCCAAGTTTGAAAATCACGCTTGGCAAGGTTCCAAGATGGAAAATAGCTCTTGGAAGCTTGCCAAGTTTGAAAATCACGCTTGGCAAGGTTCCAAGATGAAAAATAGCTCTTGGAAGCTTGCCAAGTTTGAAAATCACGCTTGGCAAGGTTCCAAGATGGAAAATAGCTCTTGGAAGCTTGCCAAGTTTGAAAATCACGCTTGGCAAGGTTCCAAGATGAAAAATAGCTCTTGGAAGCTTGCCAAGTTTGAAAATCACGCTTGGCAAGGTTCCAAGATGAAAAATAGCTCTTGGAAGCTTGCCAAGTCTGGAAATCACGCTTGGCAAGATTCCAAGATGAAAAATAGCTTTTGGAAGCTTGCCAAGTTTGAAAATCATCATTTTTGAGCTTGGCAAGGTTCCAAAAAGGATTTTAATGACTTTCTGATTGAAAATTAGTTTTGGAAGCTTCCCAAACTCAAAAATCTTCAAAATTCTTGGATTTTTGCAAAGCCCCTACCTCCTTCAAAGCATAATTCGGAATAATCTCCGATTCCACAAGCGGTTTCCTTGTAAAAGGATCAAAATGTCCAATTCTCCTCAAATGCTGCACTATTTCCTCTCGATCATAGGTAATCCCACTTGGAACAATCACCGGATCCTTCATCAATTCCAGCGTGATTTTACCGCACAACATCTCAGGAATCTCTCGATTTTGCCGTTTTTCAGCACTTCCAGCTGTTAGTTCTTGCAACTTCTTTTTAGCCATCTCAGATTTTTCCGGGTTTTCTGCCTGGTCTTTGGTGATTAGATCCTCAAGATAGGTGTGGAATTCAATTTCTTGAATGATTTTTTTCGATTCTTCCTCTTCGAATTTTAAATGACGAGCTTTTTTGAGAGCTTGCTCGATGTCCGCGGTATTCTGTAAAGAAAATCAATATTTTTAAAAAATTTAGAAACTCACTGTGATCACCGCATTGTGATACAACGCTTTGCTCAACCAACTAATCGATTCGCTGTATCGTTTCGCATTCAAAAGTGAGATTCCCAAAAAATACAGAGGTTTCACCTCGTTTGGATTCAATTCCAAAGCGCGTTTACAATCCTCCTCACTTTGCTTGTAATCCTGAAGTTGATAATAGCACATTGCACGATTTTGGAAATATTTTACGGACGGCGCGATTTTGATGGCTTTTGTGTAGTGATCGATGGCGTCTTCGAATCGTCGATTTATATAGCATTTTTTGCCGTTTAGATTGTGTGTTTCGGCGGTGGAAGTTGACATTTCTCTCTGGAAATCAAACAAACTTTGAAAACAAGGAAGTTAGAGCTGGAGAGCGAGAGAGAAAAGGAGAAAGAAAAACAAAAATACATGTGCGTCAATTTAAATGCACTCTGTGCAAATTGTGCAAACACTGCCGCATGGAGCGAATTAATTTTTTCAAATTTCAAGCTTTTTCTGCGGAATTTCGAGGGTGATGAGAGAGGAGAATACAATTTCAAAGGTGCAGAAAGTTTAGGAAAGAAAATCGCATTTTTTCAGACGTTTTTGGCTGAAAATCAATGAAAAATAACGAGATCGTGACGAGACTCAGAATAGAAACTTGCATGCGCCTTGAGGTACTGTAGCGCGCAATTTCTTTTATTTTTGTCATCTTTTCTTCATTTTTGTTTTTTTTGAGTGTTTTGAAGCGTTTGGCACATTTTCAGAATGAAAACCAAGCGTTTTTTGCGCAAAAAACAAAAATTTCATTTTTTTCACGTTTTAATTTTTTTTTTGGTTTTTCTCCACGTGTTCTCATAAAATCGATAATCATCCACGGCATTTCAACATTTTGACTACTAGAAAAACAGTAATATGTTTCCCTATAACTGGTTTTCCTCACTAATTTCATCAATCTATATCCCGATTCATTTTCTCGCCATAATCTATCTGGCATTCGCATTCAACACACGATTTTCGGCTCAAAAATCATCGAAAAAATCGTCGTCGGATTCTTTGAGCCTGACAGAATGGTATAGGCTCAATCTATATTTTCAAGGAGGACTGGCGATTCTGTTTATCCCAGAGATTTTGATCTCTTTGCTCAATGGATGGTATTATATGATTTGCACCAAAGATTCTTTATATACTGGACCATTTTCTGGAACTGTTGTAGCCCTCTGGACTTTGACAAAAGTTTCAGACCTGGCTGAAACTTTCATGCTAATCACAGAAGGTCGAAAACCCCTAAGCATCCATATTATCCATCATTTTGTCTCGCTAACATATGCTTTCACATTTTATGGCTATGGTTTTGCGATTCATCGCTGGATTATATTTTTGAATCTTATTGCTCATGTTATATTATATGCCTATCTTTCGGATACGAAGATTTTTGGATGGCCACCGTGTTGGGCGACGGTTTGTATTTCGCAAATGCTTCAATTAATTTTGCCGCTTTTCGCGAGTTTTAGTATCAATGTGGTGAGTTTTTTCTGGAATTCTGTCTGAAAATCCCGAATTTCTCATCGGAAAATGCAGGTTTACTTGTGTTTTCAAATGAAAAACCAAAGATTTTCAGGCAAAATTTCATAGAAATGTCATTTTCGCGCTGAAAATTTGGCTGAAAATTGGATTTTTGACATATTCTCAAGAGAATTTGTGAAATTTCTAGATTTTCAGAGAAATTTTCAGCTGAAATTCTGTCTAAAAATCCCAAATTTCTCATCGGAAAATGCAGGTTTACTTGTGTTTTCAAATGAAAAACCAAATATTTTCAGACAAAATTTCAGAAAACGAAAATATTCAAAAAATACTCCGAAATTGTCGTTTTCCAATTGGAAATATGCGAAAATGCAGGTTTTCTTGCATATTTTGAAATGGAAAATGGCAGGGATGCGGAAGCTATGCTCAAAATTTGAATTTTCACGAAAACTTGTCATTTTCGCGCTGAAAATTTGGCTGAAAATCGGATTTTTGACATATTCTTCAATGAATTTGTGGAATTTCTGATTTTCAGCTAAATTTTCAGCGCGAAAATGGCAGAGATGCGGAAACTATGCCCAAAATTTAAAATTTTCACGAAAACTTGTCATTTTCGCTCTGAAAATTTTGCTGGAAATCGGATTTTTGACCTATTCTTCAATGAATTTGTGAAATTTCTGATTTTCAGCTAAATTTTCAGAGCGAAAATGGCAGAGATGCGGAAGCTATGCCCAATTTTTGAATTGTCCTTTTCGCGCTGAAAATTTGGCTGAAAATCGGATTTTTGACATATTCTTCAATGAATTTGTGGAATTTCTGATTTTCAGCTAAATTTTCAGAGCGAAAATGGCAGAGATGCGGAAGCTATGCCCAATTTTTGAATTGTCCTTTTCGCGCTGAAAATTTGGCTGAAAATCGGATTTTTGACATATTCTTCAATGAATTTGTGGAATTTCTGATTTTCAGCCAAATTTTCAGCGCAAAAATGGCAGAGATGCGGAAGCTATGCCCAAAAAAACCAATCACTTTCCAGAAATTGGCTCGCGGTCAAAATCACTGTGATGCTTCAGCCGGCTCATTATTCCTCATTCAAATTGGCCTCATAATTCTGACGGCAATGTTTGCCGATTTTTATTATGCCCGAATCAAAGCTTTTAGGCAAAAGAATAGGGATAAGAGAGAGCAGAAGAGACGCAGACAACAAAAGTGAGTTTTTTGGCTAAATTGAAATTAAATGAGATTCATTTCGCCCCTTTTTTTACAGAATCCAAAATGAGGACGAAGAAAAAGAAGCGGAAAAATTGGTGAATCGCAAAAAATCGAGCGAAACTGTGATGTTTCAACGAGATTTTCCCGATTTGCGATCCGTTATTTTTAGCCCGTGACACAAAAATAAATGTGTTTTTTGCTGGTTGCATCATGTGCGCTCTATTGCGAATTTTTTGGTTTTGAAATGTTTTACTTGTTTTTTTGTGTGTGAAATGTTGTTTTTTCGGATTTGGGGGTTTTTGGTGGAAAATTTGAACTTCCGCGAGCTCAAAATGCAAATACGCTCCAGCAAATGCGCTCCATTGAGAAATATGCATTTTCCAATGAAAATTTGAAGTTTTTCTGATTTTTTTGTATTTGGGAGGGTTTTTGGTGGAAAATTTGCTCTATTGAACTTCCTCGAGCTCATCAATAGAGCGAATTTGCTCAAAATTAGTCTGAGGTTAGTAAATGCGCTCTATTGAGAAAATTCCGGGAAAATATAAAATTTAAAAATATTTTGATGAGCAAGTTCGCTCCACTGAACTTCACCAAGCTTATCAATAGAGCGAATTTGCTCAAAATTAGTCTGGGGTTAGTAAATGCGCTCTATTGAGAAAATTCCGGGAAAATTGAATTTTGTTGAACAAGTTCGCTCTACTGAACTTCACAAAGCTTATCAATAGAGCACATTTGCTCAAAATGCAAATACGCTCTAGCAAATGCGCTCCATTGAAAAATATGCATTTTCCGATGAAAATTTGAAGTTTTTCTGATGCCTTTGAGCAAGTTCGCTCTATCGAACACTTCTCGATAGAGCGAAATTGCATCATCTCGTTTTTATCTTGCAAATGCGCCCTATCGAACTGAAAAATGCAATTTTTCCAGCAAAAAATGGCTGGAAATCGCCGTTCGGCTCGATTATCCGGCATCTACACACAAGAATCACCAGATCGCGAGCTCTTCGACCCAATTTATCCAGATTTAATGAAACATGCGAGCGTTTCAAGTACCATTGCGCCTTTAAAAATCCAAAATGACGGAAGTGTACATGCGACAACTGAAAAGTGAGTTTTGACTAGAAATCTGCAAAATTCTGGAAATTTTCAGAGCTTCTAGTGATGAGGAGGATTTTGGTGAAAATTCGGCCGCCGATACGAGTTTTTCGTCAAAATCTTCACGTTCGACGGCAGTACCACCTAGATTTTCGCCATCACGCCAAAGATCGCTACGAGACCCCCAGCCAGTTTCAGAAGATCAAAATCTGAAATTCATCTATTTCACCGGGATTCTGGTGGTGGTTTTGGGTGCGCTGTTGGCCTATAAATTCTCGTTGAGAGATGGTCCGGCTGGAAATCGAGGGGTTTTCGAGAAATTCGAACGGAATTTGAAGTTTGTGACGAATTCGACGGAAAATCGAGTGGTTTTGAGGGTTATTGGAAGAAAGGTAGATAGTGCTCGAAATCGGCTGAAATAAATTCTGTCTGAAAATCCCGAATTTCTCATCGGAAAATGCAGGTTTACTTGTGTTTTCAAATGAAAAATCAACGATTTTTAGACAAAATTTCATTGGAAATATAGAAATTTGTCATTTTCGCGCTGAAAATTTGGCTGGAAATCGGATTTTTGACATGTTCTTCAATGAATTTGTGAAATTTCTGATTTTCAGCCAAATTTTCAGCTCAACCAGATGAAGTTTTGTCTGAAAATCCCGAATTTCTCATCGGAAAATGCAGGTTTACTTGTGTTTTCAAATGAAAAATCAACGATTTTCAGACAAAATTTCAGAATTCGAAATGTATTCAAAAAATACTCTGAAATTGTCGTTTTCCAATTGGAAATATGCGAAAATTCAGGTTTTCCTGCATATTTTGAAATGGAAAATGGCAGAGATGCGGAAGCTATGCCCAATTTTTGAATTGTCATTTTTGTACTGAAAATTTGGCTGGAAATCAGATTTTTGACATATTCTCAACAGAATTTGTAAAATTTCTGATTTTCAACCAAATTTTCAGCGCAAAAATGGCAGAGATGCGGAAGCTATGCCCAATTTTTTGCAGACCTTCCTCGACGAATCCGAAAGTCCCCTCGCAATTGTTGTTTCTGGCCAGCAGGCTCGCGAATTCGCTGCCAATTTTCAGCGAATTGTTCGCGAATCGCAAGCGTCGGCGAAAATCGCGACTTCAGAATCGCAACCAATTGAAATCACTGAAAATATGGATCGAGCTGAAATTCATGAGAATTTGTTGAAAGGTAGCTTAAAATTCTTCAATTTTCATGAATTTTGGCTTAAAATCTGCCAAATTTCACGATTTTCAGCATAAAATGACGATTTTCAGCGCTCACCGCTCAAAAATTCAAATCTCGCGCCGTCGTCGTGAATGATATTGATTTATTGAAGTGGGATGCCGTGCTGGCGATTCACGCTTTTGCAGATCATGAAACTTTTCCCGTGCCCAAAAGTTTGCTCATTTTTACGACTAAAGATAATATGAGCAATGATGGAACGGGATGTGATGAAAATGTGGCAAAGTGAGTGGTTTTGGGTGGTTTTTGGCTGAAAATTTGAAAAAATCGGCGAATTTCAAGCCTGGATTGTGAAAATCTGGAAAAAATGGTAAAGTCCCCCAAACTGCAAAAATTAGATTTTTTTTGCAGTTCGGATTACGGTATCTGGAAAAATCGTGGAAATTCAGCCTACAGTAGCTCAGACTGCAAAATGTTATAGTTTTGCAGTTTGGATTACTGTAGCCTTAGAACTGCAATATTATATTATTAATATTTGAGAAAAAAAGAAATACAGTACTTCGAACTGCAAAAAATCTAAAAAACTTATAGCTACAGTAATCCGAACTGCAAAAATTCTCATTCATCTTGCAGTTCTTTGGAACTTGAAAAAAAGTGAAATCAAAAATACAGTAATCCGAACTGCAAAAATTCACAAAATCTTACAGCTACAGTAATCCGAACTGCAAAACTCGTTGTTCTCTTGCAGTTTGGGTTACTGTACCTCAAAAACCATGATTTTTACAGTAATCCGAACTGCAAAACTCGCTGTTCTCTTGCAGTTTGGGTTACTGTACCTCTCCTAAACCTGATTTTTACAGTAATCCGAACTGCAAAACTCGCTGTTCTCTTGCAGTTCGGGTTACTGTACCTCTCCTAAACCTGATTTTTACAGTAATCCGAACTGCAAAACTCGCTGTTTTCTTGCAGTTCGGGTTACTGTACCTCAAAAAACTGCAGATTTTCCCAATTTTTCCCCTAAAAATTATCGATTTTTTTCAGCCATCTGAGCTCAAAATGGAAAACGATCGGAGCCAACGAAGATAACATAAGTCCAATAATTTCCCGAATCTCATATTATATTTGTGTCTGACAGGAATTTTTATTTGCTTCTTTATGTAGCTGAAAATTGAATTTCAGCAGCTTTTTTTTGTATATAAGTGAAGATTTTTTGCATTTTTTTCAAATTTTGATGGATTTTACGAGTTTTTGAGCTCCGAATCGTATTTTTTCCATTTTTTTGAAGATTTTTACAGTACCCCCAGGTTTTAAAGGCGCATAACGGATGCCGAGAAGAGTTGTGAAGGAAAGAGAGAGGGATGAGGAACAAATTGGAGATGTGATAAATAAAATGGTGACTTATGAAGGTGAGGATTTTGAGCAAAATGAGCTGAAATTCTGAATTTTTTGATACAAAATTCGAGATTTTTGATACATTTTAAGCTAGAAAATGTGAAAAATGAGGAAATTCAGGAAAATCTGAATTTTAAACCGGAAATTTGAGATTTTTGAGAATTTTTGAACTAGAAAATTGAAATTTCATTAAAATCTGGTTTTTTGAACTTGAAATTCCAGAATTTTCCTGAATTTTTACTGTGAAAATTACAGAAAGCTCAATTTTTTCAAATCCAAAATAATTATTGAAATCCACGTGGCAAATATTTCAAATTTTACTTTTAAAAAATTGGTCAAAATTATATTTTCTCTAATTTTCAGCACCGAAAATCAAAAAGAAAAATGTACGTTTCAAAATTTTAATTTCTTCAAATCAATTTTTGGAATTCTATTCATGCCCAGTCACGTGCGCTCTAATGAGAATTTTGAGAATTTTCAAGAATTTTAAAATTCGCATTGGAGCGCATTTGCTATACCAAGCTTGAAAATGAGTTTTAGAGCTTCAAAAATAGCTCAAAATGTTCAGAAAAACACGGGAAATCGAGTGCGCTCTAATGAGAATTTTGAAAATTCAAATTGCAGACAATTCCCGGGTCAACAATGCGCATTTCGAATGGAAATACGATTGGTTCGAATTTCTGCGATTTCCGAAACCGCGAAAAATCTACGAATTGACTGTGATTGATGATTTCGAATTTACCACCAAAAAAACGTCGTTTTTCCGAAAAACGAGAAGAGGAGAAGGAGAGGAATCGAGTGAAGATGAATTGTCAGAAGATGAGGAAACTGAGAGGAATAGCATGAAATGTAAGGGTTTTGGGGCGAAATTTGGTGGAAAATGATGAAAAATTGATGTTTTTATGTGAAAATTCGTCAGATTTAACCGAAAATTGATGAAAAATCATGATTTTATGCCTAAAATGATGGTTTTTGACTGAAAACTGTTGAAAATTATCAAAATTAGATCCGAAATGGTCAAAATTTCAAGTTTTTACACTAAAATTGATTTAAATTATGAAAGAAATCGTATTTTTACACTGAAAACGGTGATTTTCAAAAGCAAAAATTGATTTTCAACCTAAAAATTACTGAAAATCTCGAAAAAGTTTGAAAAACATCTGGAAAAGCTTAAAAATCTGAACTTTTTGACCTTCAAAATGTTCAGAAAATAATAAATTTCAAGCTGAAATTTTACATTTCTGAAAAATAACAGAAAATTGTGCCACGTGGCAAGGATTCTGAAAATTTTCTGAAATTCTGATTTTTTTAATCCGAAAATCATTAAATTTCAGCAAAAATTCTGAATTTCAGGCTGTAAATCAGGTTTTTTGTTGATTTTCATTTTAAAAAAGCAGAAAATTGTGCCACGTGGCAAAGAATCTGAAAATTTTCTGAAATTCTGAATTTTTTTATCCGAAAATCTATAATTTCAGCAAAAAATTCTGAATTTCAGGCTGTAAATCGGGTTTTTTGTTGATTTTCATTCCAAAAGTTCGAAAATTATTCAGAAATTTCAAAATTTTGCATCAAAACCACCCAAATTTCACCCACAATTCACAAAATTTCAAAAAAAATCCGCAATATTTTTTTTTTCAGCCAATAATCCCAGCATAAATCACGATGAGTTGGAAGAAGATGGTTGGCGAATGTTTGATTGTTATTATCATTGTCAAAAACAGCTGTTCATGTCCAGAATCTACATTTTGATACTGCAATTTATTGGAGCTAATGTGTTTGGCGATATGTTTCATACTGATGCGTTTCGAGGAACTGATGCGACTTTTAGTGGGTTTTTTTGAAGGGTTTGGTGGGAAAATGATGGTTTTTTGGCTGAAAATGGGGAAAAATTGATAAAATTTGGATTTTTATGTGAAAAATTGCTGAAAATGACCAAAAATTGAACAAATTGTATGGTTTTCGAGTTAAAAATCACTGAAAATTGATAAAAATTGAACAAATTTCATGGTTTTTGAGCTAAAAATCACTGAAAATTGAAAAAAATCATTCTGAAATCAGAGAAAATATAAAGGGAATATTCAAAAATCAACCTGAAATTGTTCAAAAATTGGTAAATTTCATGGGTTTTGAGTTGAAATCCATTAAAAAATGAGCGAAAATTAATCTGAAATCGGGTAAAATCGGGAAAATCATAAGAAATCAACCTAAAATTGGTCACAAAATCGATAAATTTCGAATTTTTTTTAAAAACAAACCAAAGAACAATTCCCATTTCATGTAACTTTATTCAATTTAAAAAAAAAATCACATTTTTTTTAAAATTAAAATTCTGTACGCGCATAAATTGCCAGTTTAACAAGTAAATCTTTTCCGTTTGGAACTTCCGGTTTGATTTCATAATGCCCATGAACAGGAGAAGATTCTTGAGTGGAAGCAAATAAACTACCGTCGTAAGTATTGTGCTCCAACGATGTTCTATCAATTACCAGCGCACGGAATGTTTTGTTAGCGTGATATGTGAGAAATCTACCTTAAATTTTTTTTTAAAACTTTTTTTTTCAATGTTTTGTGTTTACCTCGTGAAAGTAGGCCATCTTTGCCCAACCCGAATCCGAAATCTTTGTGTAGAATTGGCTTGAGGCAATTAATTGTTGATTTGTATGGACATGTTTTGTAGATTAGATTTTCGAATTGATCCAGTCGTTTGAAATCTGCTGAACTGATGTTTTTTGAAGTGACGGTGTAGAAGATTGTGAGGAGGAGAATGAGGAATCTCATTTTTGTTTTTGTTATTTTTTGAAATTTGGCCAGGCTTTTTATAGTAGAAGTTTAACTTGTTCTAATTGATTCGATCAAGCCCACGCTCAATATTTGGGGGAAGTTTTTTATTGGTTATTATGGAATTTTGAACTTGAGCGAAGGATTGTTCTCATTCTGGAATTGGTAAAAAAAATTCTGAAGACTATCTGATTTTCACCGAAAATCTAGATGTACCCGATAAATTTGGTCAACGATTTCGATTTGTGGATTTTTTCGGTTTCTGAAATCTAGAATGACTTAGAAATTCAATTTTCCAGTTAAAAATTCGGCCACGGCCTAGAAAATCATGAAGAACTAGTCCCTGCGGTCAAAATGACCTAGAAATTCAATTTCCTAGTTAAAAATTCGGCCACGGCCTAGAAAATCATGAAAAGCTAGTCGCTGCGGTCAAAATGACCTAGAAATTCAATTTTCCAGTTGAAAATTCGGCCACGGCCTAGAAAATCATGAAGAACTAGTCCCTGCGGTCAAAATGACCTAGAAATTCAATTTTCCAGTTAAAAATTCGGCCACGGCCTAGAAAATCATGAAGAACTAGTCCCTGCGGTCAAAATGACCTAGAAATTCGATTTTATAGTTGAAAATTCGGCCACGGCCTAGAAAATCATGAAAAGCTAGTCCCTGCGGTCAAAATGACCTAGAAATTCGATTTTCCAGTTAAAAATTCGGCCACGGTCTAGAAAATCATGAAGAACTAGTCCCTGCGGTCAAAATGACCTAGAAATTCGATTTTATAGTTGAAAATTCGGCCACGGCCTAGAAAATCATGAAGAACTAGTCCCTGCGGTCAAAATGACCTAGAAATTCAATTTCCTAGTTAAAAGTTCGGCCACGGCCTAGAAAATCATGAAAAGCTAGTCCCTGCGGTCAAAATGACCTAGAAATTCGATTTTCCAGTTAAAAATTCGGCCACGGCCTAGAAAATCATGAAGAACTAGTCCCTGCGGTCAAAATGACCTAGAAATTCAATTTCCTAGTGAAAAATTCGGCCACGGCCTAGAAAATCATGAAGAACTAGTCCCTGCGGTCAAAATGATCTAGAAATTCAATTTTCTAGTTAAAAATTCGGCCACGGCCTAGAAAATCATGAAGAACTAGTCCCTGCGGTCAAAATGACCTAGAAATTCGATTTTATAGTTGAAAATTCGGCCACGGCCTAAAAAAATCTTCATAATCCAAATTTTTTCTAAAAAAAAATTTTGAGAAATTTTTTATTCCATTTTTTTGACAATTCAGAGCTTCTGTGAGCACTTTTTCAATTCTAGAATTAAAAAAAACGAAATTTTTACCACAAGCCAATTTTCAAAGCGAAAATTTTTCCTGAACCTTTTTTCTGTTGAAAAAATCAGCTTTATCTACAAAAATTGCTTTATTCAACCCTAAAAATCTCAATTTTTGCCAGTTTTATCAATCAAAATCAATTCATCCGATTTTCCATCTTTGCCAACAAAAATTTGAAAATAATATTGATAGAGTATTTTTCGAATTTTCGGATCTTTTGGCGGATCATCGAATCGAACCTCGATTTTTCCACCATCTTCCACGAATTCCGCACTATCCAAATAGATACTGTAGTCCGCAAAAGCTCGTGAGCCCAGAGATTTGAGAAATTCCAGATATTTTTCCTTGGCCAAAACTAGTTTATCAGTTTTGAATTGAAAATTTGGGTGGAGAAATGGTTCGAGGCAGATTATTGATTGATTTTCGCAGGCTTTTTCGATTTTGCCGATGAATTTTGCGGCACGGTCTTTTGGTGAGATACAAAAGACTGTGCTGATGGCCAAGGAAATCAGGAGAATTTTGAACATTTTTTGGATTTTTCTTCCGGGTTTAGAGATGGTTTTTATGTGATTTGATGTGGTGAAATCGAATTATGCACAAAATTTGCGCAAATTTTGAGTCCAAACATGATTTTGAAGGAAAAAGTGGGCGGGGCTGGCATGGTTTTTTTTTTGGAAATTTTGTCACGTGGCATTTTTGGCGCCAAAAATGGTTTCAAAAAATGCCACGTCATTGACACATTTGAATTTCGGGCTCAAAATTTGACTGAAAATTCTGAAATTGCTGGATTTTCCAATTTTGTTCAAAAATGTACCGAAAAATCGAATTATTCGGGAAATTTTGAGTCCAAACATGATTTTGGAGGAAAAAATGGGCGTGGCTTGATTTATGCAAGCCTGGCATGGTTTTTTTTCTGAAATTTTGAGCGCGTAAAATTGGATTTTAAAAATGCCACGTCATTGACAATTCTGAATTGTGGGCTCTCAAAATTTGACTGAAAATTCAGGATTTTCCAACCAAAAATGGAGCTATCTTTGTGCAAATCTAATAAAAAATGCCACATCATAGCTCACGTCTGAATTTCAGCCTAAAAAATCGACTGAAAATCCCAGATTTGCCTGTTAAATTCCTCAAAATTCACCAAACTTAGTATCAGAAATTCGCTTTATTCATCCAAAAAGTTAATATCACTTTTTCACCTCATACTTTCTCTCCACATTATTCTTCTTATCGATTTTCACCACCGAAATTCCGCCCTGAAAATTGGCGTCGGGTTTCAAAAAGAAGTGCGATTTGAGAGTTCCATTAAGAACGACTGGAAGCTTCACCAAACCATCCACCAAAATCGCATCTTTCGCCGCGAAATCGAACATTTTGAATTGGAGATCGGTTCGGCTCACAAGGAAATCCACGTATTTTTCTGGAATTTTGAAAAATTTTGGGTTTTGCCTGGATTTTAGGCTGAAATATCAGATTTTCTGGATATTTTTGTAGGAAAATTGGTGGATTTTGTTTGGAAAAATGAGATTTTTTTCATAGATTTTCAGATAGGAGGATTTGAGATCTTCAAAATTTACCTGAAAATTTTCGAATTTCAATGTTTTCTATCAAAAATTATCCGAAAAGTTTGAAATTTTGAAATTTTGAACTGAAATTTCAGATTTCCATTTTCTGGATATTTTTTGACTAGAAAAACATATGTGAATCTGAAATTCCAGAATTCGAGCAAATTTTAGTCTAGAATTTTGGCTCCTGAAATTCAAATTTTCTTGAAAATCGGCCAATTTTGGGTCGAAAAATAGGGATTTTCTGAGATTTGTAGAATTTTTGAAAGGAAATTTCAGAAATTTATGGATTTTCCATCAAAAACACTATTTTCTATGAGAATTTTGGCTCTAAAAATCTGAAATTCTTAGAAATCTGCCAACTTTGGATCGAAAAAATGAGATTTTTAGAATTTTTGAGGTGAAATTTCATAAATTTTCATCAAAATCCACTAATTTTAGGTCAAAAATAGCGTTTTTCATCAATTTTGCACCAAAAAACTCACTTTTATCCATATCACCAGCCGGATCGATACACACAAAATTTGCGGGTAAAAGTGGATGAACACAATCCACACCGGCTCCATCCGGACACAGTGTTTTGGTGGTGTTCAGGAATTTTTCGGCGATTTGTTGAGGCGACAGATTTTTGGACGACATTATTTTTTTGGAACAATAATTTTTGAGAAATCCAGAAATGGGGGAAAATTTATTGATTTTTCGTGATTGATAAGAGAAGGGGAAAATTCGTGGATTTTTTGAAGGTCACGTTTTTTTGGCTGAAAATTTGGAATTTTTAGAATTTTTGAGCTGAATTTTTTCTCTGCAAAATTTGGTGCTCAAAATCTGAAAATTTAGAGATTAAGATATTTTTAACCCAAAAATTACGCAATTTTTTGAATTTGAAATGAAAATCTGAAATTTCAGAGCCAAAAAAGACCTAATTTCAGATGTGTATATTATAGCTGAAAATTGGAAATTTAGAGCTGAAATTCAGAATTTCTCAATTTTTTTAGCTGAATTTTTTTCTCTGCAAAATTTAGCTTAAAATTGACTATCTGAAATTTGGTGCTTAAAATCTGAAAATTTAAAGATTCAGATATTTTTAACCCAAAAATTACGCAATTTTTTGAATTTGAAATGAAAATCTGAAAATTCAGAGCCAAAATTTCAGATGTGAAAATTATAGCTGAAAATTGGAAATTTTTGAAAAAAAAAAATAAAAATTCTATTTTTTCGAAATTTTCAGTTCAAAAATTTTGCATTTTTTCACGTGACCTTCTCATTTCCGAAATTTCCCTTTTCCCCAAATTTCCCCCGTCATTTCTCAATTCCAAAAAAAAAATGTCAAATTCAAATTCAAATTCAAAAATTTCCCTGATTTTCATCGGAATCCTTCTCATATTCCTATTCCTCTTCTATTTCTATCAAAATTCTCTGGATTTCTCCGAAATTTCACCATTTTCCACGAATTTGACACCGCCAAAAGTGGCCGAGAAATTCCTGAAAACCATGAGAAAATTGTGTAGAGATGGAGCCGGTGTGCACTGTGTTCATCCACTTTTATCACCGAATTTTGTGTGTATCGATCCGGCTGGTGATATGGATAAAAGTGAGTTTTTTTGGTGCAAAATTAGTGAATTTTGGAGTGAAAATTGATGAAAAACGCTATTTTTTAACCTAAAATTCGTGGATTTCGAAGAAAATTTCTGAAATTTCACCTCCAAAATTCTAAAAATCTCATTTTTTCGACCCAAAGTTGGCCGATTTTCAAAAAAAATTTAAATTCAGATTTTTAGAGCCAAAATTCTAGACAAAAATTAGCTGAAACTCGAATTCTGGAATTTCAGATTCACATATATTTTTCTAGTCAAAAAAATAACCAGAAAATGGAAATCTGAAATTCCAGTTCAAAATTTCAAAATTTCCAATTTTTCGGATAATTTTTGATAGAAAACATTGAAATTCGAAAATTTTCAAGTGAAAATCTATGCTGAAAATCTCATTTTTCCAAACAAAATCCACCAATTTTCCTACATCTCCAGAAAAATACGTTGAATTTCTCATAAGTCGCCCCGATCTCCGTTTCGAAATGTTCGATTTCGCCGCAAAAGATGCGGTTTTGGTGGAAAGCGATTTCGTGAAATTGCCTGTGATCTTGAATGGAATTCTCAAGTCGCACTTCTTTTTGGCACCCGATTCGGAGTATTTTGGTGGATTTAAGGTGGTGAAAATTGATAAGAAGAATGGAGTGGAAATTGAGTATCAAGTGAAAAATTGAGAATTTTTTCTAGTGAAATGAAAATGGATTTTACTGACTAAAGTTCGATTTCAGCAGGATTTTTTGACTCTGAACGTTGGTTTTCTCACAGTCTAGAAAAAATCATAAGCCCTCCCAGAAAATTCAAAACCCCCAAAATGAAACGAATTTTCGTCCTCTTCACATTTTCTTTGCTCAAAATCTTGAATTCTATCGAAATCTCTCACGAGGATCTGAAAAACCTCATCGAAAACATCGAATCAGCTATAGAAATTCGAGATATAACTGGACTCGAATCCCATTTCCATAATCGATTTGAATATCGAGAACTGTCTCAAAAAATGGAACGGTCCGAATTTTTGTATCAAATGTTGAATGAGAAAAATCGCACGAAATGGAAGTATTCGGAAAGTTCGAGTCGTAGAACGAGATATGGCGCGATTTTTTCGATTTTTGAAGCTCATCAGTTTTTTGTGCATTATAGAGTTAGACGAATTGATGGTAAAGAAGGATTGAAGATTTTCTATGCTGAAAATGATGAGGAGAAGAAATTTGTGTGATTTTTTTTGTTCTATAAAAATATGGTTAATTTAAAAGGGCGTGGCCTATTTTTGCAACTCTGAAACAGTTTATCACTTTCTCATAGACATGCATTTAAACTCTCTTTGTTTCAACGAAAATTTCATTTTTATTCGATGTCTTCGCTCTTCCTGATTTTCTCTGTAATTCTCCTCGCAATCTTCAACCTCACAAATTCGACCTATACCGAAAATGATGGACTTGTTAGAGCTGTTGATCTATTCTCAAAAATCAAGGATTTCCACAAACAACACGATTCCTTGAATTTTGCAAATTGTTTTGATGAAAACTTCAATTTCAATGATTGTGGTGTCAAGTACAATAAATCGAATTATATGGATCAATTTATGAATGTTGAGGATTTCGATGAAAGTGCGACTTTTAATGTAGAACAAGTTCGCGCGATTCGATTTGGTTGGAGTTTTATAGTTGTCGAGAGGTTTTCGGATGGTGTCGATTTTTATTCGAATTTCACGGCGGCTCGGAGAGCCCAGGTCACGACCATTTTGCCCCTCGGGTCAGACGAGAGACGACGGGAGTCTGATGACGTCATCTGAGACAGAGTACGACATCGCTTCGAGATATTTTTGAGAAAATATATGTCCCTTTAAAAATACTGTATTTTGTTTCAAGGAGCACATGTTTTATTGAAAATATCTCGAAGCGAAATTCATTTTCGGGATATTTTTGCAAAATACTCTCGTCGTCTCGTGTCTGACTCAACGGGCGTCTTGTATGGTCGTAGCCGCTTAGGCCAGAATCTAGGCCCACAAAAACTCTGATATCACTTCACTTCTATGGATAATCAAGAATGCATTGCTCGCATACTAGAAGAATGCATACTAGAAAACATCATCAAACTATGACGTGGCATTTTTGTTAATTTTTTTTTAAATTCAGAAATTCTCGAAAATGTACGTTTCAAAAAAATGTTATCAACATTTTTTTGAATCAGAATTTTTGATTTCGCCATGTTATACATTTCGAATTCACGCGGTTTTTTGAAAGGGGGCGTGGCCTATTTTCGCAACCCTGGCACGGTTTTAGTTCTGTTCATTCCCAAAAAAATGTATGCCAAAATATTTATTTGTTTTCTCAAACATTTTTCTTGTCGACCAAAATGATGGCTTCTCCACCTGCAACTTTGGCGTCAGCCACCAAGAAAAGGTAGACTTTCAAGCTTCCACCAGCGTGAACTGGAAGTTTGACCTGAGCTCCTGGAGCATCAGTGGCCGCGTCGATTTTGAGATCGAAAGCACTGATGTCGGCAGTTCTGGTTGAGAGGAGTTTGATGTATTCAGCTGGAAAGATCAGCGTTTCTAAAGGGGATTTTTGGTGTCAAACCTCTGTTCAATGTTCCATTGGCGTTGATGAATTTGAAGTCTTGGTGCAAGAATGGTTCGAGGCATGTCAATGGTTTTCCGCTACACGCGCTTCCCACAGCGCTGGCGAAGCTTTTGGCGCGAGTTGGCGCAGTTTCAGCCGAGTTGGCTGCGTAGATGATGGTGGTAGTGAGAAGAAGAGTGGTCAAGAAGTTCATGATGGAAAAATCTGATGAGAATTGCAGTTTGGCCGTGGTTTTTATGTTGGATTTTTTGATTTGATTATAGATGTATGATTTATCGAATTTTGTTGAAAGCTACAGATAGAGTGTGGTGAACTTGTGATTCAGCTCGAAAATCTGATTTAACATGAGCAATAGTTTTTTTTATTAAAGTAATCTGAGTCTGGGCCCTCGGCCCTTACTAAGCCTAAGCCTAAGCTTGGTCGGAGTCGGGGCTTTTCGGCCCTTACTAAGCCTATGCCTAAGCCTAATATGAGTCTGGGCCTTCGGCCCTTACTAAGCCTAAGCCTAAGCCTGATAGGAGTATGGGCCTTCGGCCTATGTATAAGCAATGCACTTTTGGGATTTTTCAGAACCTGAAATCTAGGTGAAAATCACTATTTGGACTTCCTAATTTGTTTAACATGAGCAATATGATCTAGAAATTCAATGATCTATTGCTCATATTATAGATTCAGATTTTTGTAGCGCTGATTCACGAACGAAAAATTCACGAAAAGTCAAAAAATGTCGAAAAAACTTTAGTTTTTCGAGTTTTTTAGCCAAAAATGATGACAAATCGATATTTTTCAAATTTCTGGAGTGATTTCTGATGAAAATTGACCTTCAGAAGTTTTTGCTGATTTTTCGTGAAATAAAAAAATTTTTAAATTTTGAATTTCGAAAAAAATTCATAAAATAAAGCAAAATAGGGTTCTCAAAGCTTATTTTCATCAGAAATTACTCCAGAAGCTTGAAAAATATTTATTTGTCATCATTTTTGGCTGAAAAACTCGAAAAACTAATTTTTTTGCGACATTTTTTTCAAAAAAACAATGTCCAAAGTCCATTGCTCATATTAACACATTCTATTCCAAATTATCAGATAATCAAATCAAAAATCTCCCCATAAAACTTGCTGCAAATCTGCAAATTTGCAAAAATCATGAAATTCTTCACGATTCTCCTGCTCACTGCTGCCACCATAGTTGCCCTAACTTTGGCGGAAACTGCGCAAACCCGCGCACAAAATTTCGTGACCGCTGTGCAAAAAGCGTGCGAAAAGACGACGTTGATTTGCCTCAAACCATTCTTGAACAAGGATTTCAAGTACATCAACGCTACCGCCACGTTGAATAAAGGTACGGTAGATTTTGGCGGCAAAATGGCCACGATGTGATTTGTTACAGAAGAATACGTCAAATTCCTCAAAACCCAAACAAAAACTGATTTGAGCGGCTTTAACTTCAAAGTCAAACAAGCTTCCGATGCTTCTGGAGCTCAGGTCAAACTTCCAATCAACGCCGCCGGAAAATTGCTTTTGAACTTGTTTTTGGTGGCTGACGCAAAAGTTGATGGGGGAGAAGCTGTGATTTTGATTGATAAGAAGAATATTTGAGAAAATAAATATATTGAGCATTTTTGTTTGTGTTGCAAAACTGTGCCAGAGTTGCAAAACCGGGGCCACGCCCCCTTTTTTTGCTCTAGAATTGTGCCAGAATCGTTTTCGAAATAGCAAAACAAAAAAGTATCAAAAATTTGGATTCCAAAAATGTTGATAACATTTTTTTGAAACGTATATTTTTGATGGAATTTTCAAAAAGGTTTTTTTGCCACGTCATAATTTTTCCTGAATTTTCTAGTATGAGCAATGTTTTCTTGACGTACGGTTTCGTCAGAATTTCGAAAATCTTTCATTTTTCGTAGGCTAGCATGAGTTTAAGCCCCAAACACAGGATAAACCTTACCTAAGCCTAAACCAGGCCTAAAAAAGCCTTTAAAAAAAACTAAGCCTAACCTAAGCCTAAACCAGGCCTAAAAAAGCCTTTAAAAAACCTAAGCCTAACCTAAGCCTACCCCAGGCCTAAAAAATCCTTTAAAAAAACCTAAGCCTAATCTAAGCCTAAACCAGGCCTAAAAAAGCCTTAAAATACGTAAGCCTAACCTAAGCTTAAACCAGACCTGTAAAAAATCCACCCAACATATCCGTCATCTTTTTGTTCTGTTTTGTTTCTATTTATACTCCTCACACCCCCCTCCCCCCTTCCTTTTTTATTTTAAAATCTCTACTACCTTTTCGCATGATCTCACCTTTTTTTTTTTTCTTCTATTTTCTAATTTTTGCTCAAGCTAACATTTATAGTCAGCAACAAACTGTGTCATATAATTATCTACGTTTTGAAATTACATTTGTAATTTGTCTTCTTCTTTCTGACGGTGTTCTTCCAATGTCGTAAATAAATTAAATTAAATCCTTCCTTGTTCTCTATTTTCCAGAAAATCTGCATTCTCTTGCAAATTTCCGAAAAAAATTCGATCATCGAATCAATTTCCCCAAGAATTTTGCAAAGAAAATTGCATCATCTTGGCCTAGAAAACCAAATGTACGATTTCTAGTCCCCACCAACAACTTTATTTCATCCCAATTTATTTCGGCAAATTCTTCTGATCCACAACAATCATCGCATTTCCACCCTCGTTTGGTCTATACGACATTAGGTACAAAAAAGCGGCCAGCGTGCCATTTTTTGGTCCCTTGGCGTAGTACACATTGATTTTGACCAGTGGAACTTGTTGTCTTTCCCAATCTGTGAGAATTGGACCGGGGATTGGGGAGAGCTTGGCTTTTCGGTGGAGTTTTGAGGAGACTGACGCGTTTGCGGCAGGACTCAAGGTTGACGCATTTTCTGTAGGTCCTGGACTCAAGGTTGGCACATTTGTCGTAGCTACTACTGTAGGAGCCTCTGTAGGAACTGTTGTTGGCGCATTTGAAGTAGGTGTAACTGAGGTTGAGCTGGAACATTTTTGAATTTCAACGTTTGCTGCATCTGGGGCCGAATTCACAAAAGTGGTATGCCAAAAATTACTTTTGTGAATTCGGCCCAGGCCTTTTTTTAATCGGAACTTCTCTGAAGATTCTTTAGCATAAGGTTTTGCGACAAAAATTCTAAAACGTATTTTTCCCCAAATTCACCTGCTTAGAGTTGTCACTGGTACTGTAGCTGTATTTGTAGCTGGTGGAAGTACTGTAGTCCATGGGATAAATGGTAGAACACTTTTCGGCACTTCTATGGCATTCTCAACATCCAGTGTGAAATTGCTGAACTCCAGATTTGGGAAGGATCGGAGGTAGAAGGAGAAGTTGACTGGAAATTTCTCTTGTTGAGATACTAGACTCTAGTTTGACCCCTCTTCTCTTTATTATAACGTGTTTGTTTATATTTGTTATCATATCGATTTTTCACATTTTGAAACGTATTTTTTCGGGTTTTTCGAATTTTTGAATCAAAATTTGACTCTAAAGCCGAAATGAAGCAATTTTCAGCTCAAAGTTTTTTAGTTAGCTAACCTCCTAATTAATTAATTACCCATAAAGTTCCCCTAACTCACATCTCGGCAATTCCGAAGTTGCATTAAAGGTGGAGTCCGAGCAAAAAATAAGTTGTGCTAATTTGAAAGAGCATGTTGCAATTAGTACAATCCTCGAAGGAATTTTTCTGAAAGCTTCTCTAACATTAGAGAAACACAGCTCCAAACGGTTGGAGATATGGACTTTCAAGCCATTTTACACGGTGTTTCACTGTTTTTTCGAACTTTGTAATTTTTTAACCAATGTTTGAGAAGCTTCCAGAAAAAATCCTTCGAGGATTGTACTAATTAGAACATGCTCTTTCAAATTAGCACAACTTATTTTTTGCTCGGACTCCACCTTTAATATACAAAAACCGCGGAGTCAACATTGGCCCAATACACGCAAGATTTCTAGTGTACGAGGAGCATAATTTCTCCAAAACTCTGTTGAAAATTCGAGCTCGCTCTTGTGGAGTTCCACCCTTGTGAGCATCAAGGAAATATACAAATAGAGCCAGGAAAATTGGAATTTTCATGGTTTTTGTGATTTTTTTTTGGGGGAGAATGAGGATTTTATGACGGGGGAATGCTTGTGATTCGATTATTTATCGATTTTTTTTCTGGTGGAAAAGTCTGGAATTAAATTTCTAAAAAATTTTATTGATTGAAAAAATGCTGAGAATTTCTGAAAATTAATTTTGAACCTGATTTTTTCGATAAAAATTTGAGGCAATAATTTTTTATCCAAAAATTAAATTTTGGTTCAATTTTCAGCATTTCTATCTGAAAAAAATTAATTCTGGCCAATTTTCAGCATTTTTTACCTGAAAAATTTGAATTTAAAAATTTTTTTCAAAAATTAAATTTTTTCCAGAAAAATCCTAATTTCTAATGGCTGAAAATTGAAAAAAAAATTTTTTTAAATATTTTTTTTTCAAAAAAAAAATTTAAAAATAATCATGTTCAGACTCATTTTTGAGCAAATTTTTAGCCGAAAATCCAATTTTTGACCATTTTTTTGCCTATTTCCCTTTTTTTCCTACAAAAATTGAATTTTGGTTCATTGTCATCATTTTTTTTCTGAAAATTTTTTTTCAAAAATCAAAATTTTGGTCCAATTTTCAGCATGTTTTTTTTCAGAAAAATCCTAACTTCTAATGGCTGAAAATTCTAAAAAAAAAATTTTTTTTTCAAAAAAAAAATTCAAAATTCAAAAATAATCATATTTGGACTCATTTTTGAGCAAATTTTCAGCCGAAAATCCAATTTTTAACCAGTTTTTTTCCTTTTTCCCCTCTTCCTACATAAATTAAATTTGGTTTAATTCTCTGATTTTTCTCTGAAAAATTTGAATTTGAAAATTTTATTCAAAAATTCAATGTTTTTTTCCAGAAAAATCCTAATTTCTAATGGTGAAAATTCTAAACAAAAATATTTTTTTTTTAAAAAAAAATTTAAAATTTGAAAATAATCATGTTCGGACTCATTTTCATCAAATTTTCAGCCGAAAATCCAATTTTCCCCAAAATTCCCCCAAAACATCCAAATTTTCCAGGCAAGACCTCGAAACTTCACGAAGGTTCAGCCGGCGAATGGTTCATCAACACGGCGTTTGCCGGTCTCCGCCGCTGGGATGCCCAATATTTTCTGTTCATCGTTGACAATGATTATTTGCTCGAAAAATGTCTGGCATTTTTTCCGGGATTTGTGATGGTTATCAGGTGGGATTTTGGGGGATTTCCATGATTTTTGGTTTAAAATTGACCCAAAATTCGATTTTCTGGCTCAAAAATGACCCAAAATTCGATTTTCTGGCTCAAAAATGACCCAAAATTCGATTTTCTGGCTCAAAATTGATTCAATATGTTTTCCAGAATCTTCCGAATGGCTGGCGATCTTTGGTTGAAGGGATTATTCGGAATTTCTCTCGATCCCTACGTTGTTACCGGATTTTTGGCCGTCGGGTTTAATATGGTGCGTTTTTTGGGATTCTGGGAGTCTAGAGAGCTGAAAATTTGAATTCTGGGTGATTTTTGGATGCTGGATGTGCAAAATCTGGGTTCTTAAGCCAAAAATTTGAATTCTGGATCATTTTTTGACTAAAGTTGGGTTTAAGGCCCATTTTGGGACCTTCGAGCCCTAGAAATCTAGTTTTGGAGTCGATTTTTGACTCCTAGATCGAAAAATTGGGTTTCTAGGCTCTCTGGACTTGAAAATCGAATTTTAGGCCAAATTTCAACCCGAGAAACTTGAAATTCTGGATTCTAGGGCTTCCAAGCCTAAAATCAAGGTTTCCGGACCTTATTCAGGCCTGCGGGCTCAAAATTTTGGATTTCTAGACCAATCTAAGCTTCGAAGTCGGATTTCTCATCATAAAATCAGCCTAGAAATCAGATTTCGGGGCCGCCTAGGCCTGAAAAATTGAGCTAAGGGCCTCCGGGCTCAAAAATCTGCCCCTCACAATGTTATTTTCTGAATTTTCAGCTCTTCTTCTATCTCACTGGTCTCGTCTTGTTCATTTTAACATATCAAATTTGTCGATCAGTGAAGATTGGAATGTTGGCCGTATCGATTTTCGCCTACAATCCGGCTTCGATTTTTTTCAGTGCCGCCTATTCGGAATCGGTGAGTTTTTTTTTTGGCTGGAATTTTTCTGAAATCCAAAAAAAAATCTGAAAACTCTTTTTTTCAATCAAAATTTTTGTAAAAATCTGAAAGTTTAAATTTTTTCAAATTCGTTTTTGAACTGAAAAATTCACTGTTTCAAGAATTTTATAATAAAAATTGAGAAAATTTGAAAACATTAAAATTTTGATTTTTTCAATAAGTTTAAATTTTATCAAACAAAAATTAACTGAAAAATCTGAATTTCACAGTCTGAAATTTTATTTTCAAAAAATATCTGAAATTCTTTTTTCAATCAAGATTTTTGTAGAAATCTGAAAATTTCAATTCAAAATTATGAAATTCAAAAAAATTTAAAAATTTCAAATTTTCTTGCTTAAATTAACTGAAAAATCTGAAATTTACAGCCCGAAATTTTATTATTTTGAACAAAATCTGAAAATCTTTTTTCAATCAGGATTTTTGTAAAAATCTGAAAATTTCAATTTTTAACACAAATTTATCTGAAAATCTGAAAATCTTTTTTTTTTCAAACAAAAGTTCAATACTTCATTTCAAATCCACAGTAATCCTTGACTCCTCAACACTTTCCCTTGGCTGAAATACAGTGTAGGCAACTTGCGGTTCCAATTGATTTTCGATTTTCAAAAAACGCGTCAGAATGAAAAATGAGAACGGGATGAATAGGTTGAACTGGATGTCTTGGGTGAAAAAACCTTGCCAGTAATTTTTCTCTTCAAATTTTTTGTGGCTCATTATTTCGCAGAACTGAAAAAACTCGTTGAACTGATCAAAATGCTATAAAAATGAGCTCCAGAACTTTAAGGGGAGCCCCAACGTTTCCAATTTAGAGGTCGCGGGTTCGAGCCCACCCGGGAACTATTTTTTTTACAATTTTGAACTTTAAAAAAAATTCAAAAAAAAAAATTGATAGCCCTGAAGGGGATTCGAACCTGCGACCTCTAAATTAGTAACACACATAGAAAATAATGAATTTTGATTCAAAAAATCGATAATTTCAGAGTTTTCCAGTTTCAAAATATTGATTTTGATTCATCATTAGAGCAGATTCAATTCACTGAATTGAAAAATCTTTGATACTTAATTATATCCAAATTTTGAAACGTATTTTTTTCGGGTTTTGATTTTTTGTATAGAAAAACATTTTTAAATAAAAAAAAGTCACCTAACGGATTTGAACCCGTGACCTCTAGATTAGAAACTAAAATACCACAGGTGGTGGGAGAAAGTTGAAAAATTGGTGCATTTTTGGCCAAAAAACTTTTAAGTCAAATTTTGGCCAATTTTCGACCAATTTTTGATCAAATCACTGTTTTGGCCAGATTTTGGTCAGAAAATGGTCAAAAAATTGGTCAGAATTTGGCCAAAAATTGACCAAAATTCACGATTCGACCGAATTTTGGTCAATTTTTGACCAAAAAACGAATTGGTGCATTTTTTCTCAAAGTGTACTTACCGTAAATCCAACACTGATCACAAAAAACTGTGAAATAATATTGTACTCTTCCCACTTCTCCTCCAAATTTTGCAATTTCTGATTAATTATCAAAAAATACCCGAAAACCATTGAGATGGAAACTAAAGGTACCCAAGAATAAGATTGAATTGCTGCGCACAGAAAAATCGCCGCAAGCCAAACCAAACTTCGCCAGAAGGTCTTCTCAATGATGAAAAGATAGCGACGATTTCCGAATCGCCAAAAATATCTCGAAATTATCGAGTGCCCTAGGAATAGCGCGGTTGAGAGCTTGCAGAAGGGCTCGGCGATTTTGCGCAGAGCAAAATGGATATAGGCCAAGCCGCCGGCGACAAAAACTAGGCCCATATTTTTCTCTTTATAATTTTCGGTCTCGCCTACGATTGTCAAGAGAATTCTCAAAATATTGCTCAGAACACTGATCAGCGTGAAAATTGCGGTTAAGATGAGCAATGTTTTTTGGAATTTGTCGATTTTTAGGCGGAGCAGAGTGGTTTTATAATATTGATGGTAGAGAAATGTGTGAAGTGCGAAAGTTGTATAGATTAGGATTTGGAGAATTATGAAGGCGATTGTTGTATAAGTTTCAGAATTCATTGAAAATTTCAGATTTTTCGCTGAAAATAAAAATAATGTTGAAGTTTTAGGTTGAGCAAAAACAAAATTTTTAATTATATGTAATTAAATTTTTGAGCAACTACGGTATTTTTGGGTAATTAGGGGGTTTGGGAAGTTTATTTTAACTCGATTGGAAATTTTGAAAAATCTGAAAATTTCTCTGAAAATCTTAAATTATTGGAAACATGAGAAATTTTGAAATTTGAAAAAATGAAAAAAATAGAGAAGGAAGTTTATATGAAAATCTTTAAATTCCAGCTTTTTTGGCAAAAAATATCTGAAAAATCTGGAAAATTGTCTGAAATTATTTTTTTTGGCCAAAATTATCTTGAAATTTCAGTTTCATTCTGAAAATTTCAGCATTATCTGAGAATTCAAGTTTTTTCTGGAAAAAAAGTTCATGTTTCTGAAAATTTAATTTGAAATTTTGAAATTCAAAAAAAATCTAAAAAGATCTGGAAATTCACTTGAAATTTTTCTGGCAAAAAGTTTTTGAAATTTAAAATCTGGAAAACCACCAAATTTAAGAATTTCTAGTGAAAATTTATCCGAAAAATCTGAAATTTCACCTGAAATTAAACCCCCCCCCCCCAAAATCCCATTTAAAAAAATCAAAACATATTTCCAGCTCTACTCACTCACCACATTTGCTCCGCTGCTCTTCATTCTGTTAGCCGTTCGATTGGACAATGTTTTGGCACGGAGTTTTGGTGTTCTTATGTCGGTGGTGTTTTTTGCGGGCGGAGTTTTGATAAGGTGAGCATTTTTGGAGGGAATTGTGGGTGAAAAATGTGGAAAAACGGAATAAAATGCATGAAATTGCAAAAAATGCCCGAAAATGCATGAAATTGTTTTAAAAAAATGACCAGAAATGCACGAAATTGCAAAATGACCAGAAATGCATGAAATTGCAAAAAATGCCCGAAAATGCATTAAATTGCAAAAAAATGCATTAATTTGCAAAAAAAAATGACCAGAAATGCATGAAATTGCAAAAAATGACCGAAAATGCATAAAAATGAAAAAAAAAATAACCCAATACTGTGAAAATTGGTCCAAATAGTTTTTTGAAAAAAATGTACAAATTTCAAGCCAAAAAAACCGTGCCAGACTTGCAAACCCCCAAAAAAGTAGTACTAATTTATTCTTGATCAAAAGTCATTTGTCTAGTCTCAGTATATTTCGGCTTCACAATTCTCACACAATCTCGAATTTCGTGACTTGGCGTATTGTGAAAAACATCTGTGTACAACGCATCATGCGGTAAAAACGGATCAGTTTTCGCATGATTCGACGCCGATTCAACGATTGTCTTGATCTTCTCATCGATTGCCTTCAACTCGTCTTCACTCGCCAAACCAGAATCCAACAATTTCTTCTGAAATTCTATAACTGGATCTTTTGGCGGGCATCTTGTTGGACCGGTGCCAAGTTCCATGTGACCTTGGTTTTCGGTTTGGAGTTCGAGGAGAAGCGGGCCTTTTCCAGCCATCATGTATTCGCGAGCAAAACGGGCGGCTTCACGAACTGTGAGGATGTCGATTCCGTCGCAGCGGATTCCGGGAAGATAGTCGCCTCTGGAAGAAAATTTGGAAGACTGTGCGCGCTTTCTGATTTTTTTATTGTTTTTCTCAAACCTGTCGTTTTGCGGCACACCTGACGAGAGAGTGTCCCAAATTTTTTGTGCAGTGTGAAAATTTTTTTCAAAAAAAAATGTGCAGCGTGAAATTTTTAAGTTTTTCGAAAAAAAAACTCCGCGGGCAGGAGGATTCGAACCCTGGTCTCATGCTCGCCAGTCTAAAATGCTATCCTCTCGGCCACATCTCTCTTTTCTCCCAATGGGAAAATGTTGGTGGAAAGGAAACTGTTTTTAAACGAATGCGTTGCAACATTGCTCAAATTTTGAAGTTAGGATAACTAAGCTTAGGCTTAACGGATATGGTTGATTTTTTTCCAATAGATTTCTAAGGTCATAGGTAGTGTGGAACACCATGAGTGCAGTGTGGAAATGCCCTATTTCGCTGTTATTTTGGAGTGTCCATTTCAATGGTAAATATGGACATTACAAAGAATCGGATGGCATTTTTTTCCGAGCACATATCAAGGGTTGGTATATTCAGAAAGTTGGTGTATTTTTAAGCGTAGTTTTCGAATTTACCCATGTGCAGTGTGGAATTTGAAGTTTTTCCATAGAAAGTCAATTTTTTCGAAATTTCAGTGACACTATGGTTTGCTAAGCAGTCACGTAAATTCCACACTGCACATTGTGTTACTACACTAAAACGAAGTCTGCTGAGTTGATTTTCACCGAGAAACTTCGAAAAATTAGCAAGCTGAAGTTGTTTTTGAAGTTGAGCAAAAATAAAAAAAAGTTTAGTTCGAATGAAGATTCGAACCTGGGCCTTCTGAACACTAGCAAAATGGCCTACCACTGAACTAAATGCGCATTTATTTCCCCAGGTTAAATGTTGGTGAAAAGGAAACAAAGTTATTTTTTGAAAAAAAATGCAGTGTGACTTTTGAAAAAAATGTACAGTGTCCCTGTTGGGCACGTCTCGTCAGGTGTGTTTTGCGGCTATTTGCGGCCCTCGGGCCAGCCATTTGAAGGGCCGGGCTAGCCAGCCCGAATAGGGAGAAATGGGCTGGCTCAGCCCGGCCTTTCCAACAAAGTTTATTGTGTAAATCCACTATTTTTCAATGGTGTTTCTTTCGAATTTTGTGTATCTAATTATGGATTTTTAAAATTAAAATACAATTCTAAAATTTTCTCAATTTATAATTTTTCACCATTACTATCCTGCACCAAAACAGTTCTTCGAAGAAATGTTGGTGCACTAACACCAATATAAGTTATTCTGATTTACGAAATTCGCCCAAATGCAGAAAATTTGAGCAAAATCATCCATTTGTAAAAATCCCGAATTTTCATCTAAAATTTCTGAAGGGCCGAAAAAAGGGCTGAAACAGCTTGTCATAAAAAAAGAAGGGCCGGAGGGTCGAGATAGCCCGCATTTTTTGAATTCTGGCCCGGCCGCCCAAAAACGACAGGTCTGGTTTTTCTGAAAAGTTCTTCACTTCACCAAAGTGGTTTAGCAAAAATTGCTAAACAAAAAAATTTTTTTTTGTACACCAAGCTCCAAAAAATGCATGTTTTTCCTCACCTTGTATAATAATCCGCATTTGGTGTCAATGTTTCACTCAAAGTCGACTTCAAATATCGATTATTCTCACAAACGAACAAAACAGGTAAATCCCACAATTTTGCCATATTAAATGACTCGAAAACTTGTCCTTGGTTAAAAGTTCCTTCGGCAAACACCGTGACCATCAGATTTTTCTCCTTGCGAAGTTTCATGGCTAAAGCCATTCCTGTTCCATTTGGAACTTGTCCACAGAGAATCCCATTTCCTCCGAAATACCGGTCAGTGTACATGTGCATTGAGCCGGCTTTGCCGTGCACGTTTCCAGAGGCGCGGCCTGCAATTTTGTTGCTCAAAAACCTCTGTTGCTCAGGTTAGTAAATTCGTCAGAAACAAATTTTGATATTTGAAAATTCCAACTTATTTTTCTCCTTCGAAAAACAAAATAGACTCTAGTCATCATATTTTTCTAGTTTGTCACTTTGAAAACTAAGCTAGACTTTACTTAGTTGACTCATTGTACAGTGTACAATGTACACCTCCGTAGACTAGACTCTAGTTTATCTATCGTTTCTGGTAGCCTTTAAAGTACAAGTTATTCTTCAATACCATTGAAACTAGCACTAAACCGAAACTAGACTCTAGTCAAACTCACCAGTACACTCAGCCAACACGTGTCTGACAGTAGCTCCGCATAAATGTGCCCAAGCATGTCCACGATAACTCCCAATCACCTTATCCTCATACTTTAACCCGGCTAAAATACCGGCTGCACAAGCTTCTTGTCCACTGTACAAATGACACGAGGCATTGATGTATTTATCCCGGAATAGTGGTGAGCAAGCGAGTTCCATTTCTCTACAAGTCTTCATTTGAGTGTAGTAATACAATCCATCTTCCTTGGTTAGTGTAGTTGTCGAATTCGGGCCTTTGGCGAGTTTGTATAAGTCGAATTTTTTGAGATCGAATTTAGCGGATTGTTTGGCCGAAGAGGAGAATCGATGGAAAATTAGACGACGAGTCGATGAGCTCAGCATTTGTTGATTTTGGTTGTACGAAAAATGAGGGGCTTTTTGATTTTTTGGAGAAATTAATAGGCCACGTTCACGCCTTTTTTGAGAGACTAGAGTCTGGTCTTATTAAACGAGGAGAAGCTGACTAGAGTGTAGTTTTCATGAGCACATCGATCGAAAACAAAAAGTAGTACTAATTTATTCTTGATCAAAAGTCATTTGTCTAGTCTCAGTATATTTCGGCTTCACAATTCTCACACAATCTCGAATTTCGTGACTCGGCGTATTGTGAAAAACATCCGTGTACAACGCATCATGCGGTAAAAACGGATCAGTTTTCGCGTGATTCGACGCCGATTCAACGATTGCCTCGATCTTCTTATCGATCGCATGGAACTCTTGTTGACTGGCCAAACCCGCGTCCAACATTTTCTTCTGAAGTTCTATGACTGGATCGCGTTCAGGACATCTTGTTGGGCCATTGCCAAATTCAGTGTGACCTTGGTTTTCGGTTTGGAGTTCGAGGAGAAGCGGGCCTTTTCCAGCCATCATGTATTCGCGGGCAAAACGGGCGGCTTCACGGACTGTGAGGATGTCGATTCCGTCGCAGCGGATTCCGGGAAGATAGTCACCTCTGGAAAAAAAACCTTTGGTTATAGTTTCGAGATTTGGTTGGGCTTGTGGTTAAAGCCGGTTTTTTTGCCCACCTTGTATAATAATCCGCATTTGGTGTCAATGTTTCACTCAAAGTCGACTTCAAATATCGATTGTTTTCCACAACGAACAAAACCGGTAAATCCCACAATTTTGCCATATTGAACGACTCGAAAACTTGTCCTTGATTGAAAGTTCCTTCGGCAAACACCGTGACCATCAGATTCTTTTCCTTGCGAAGTTTCATGGCTAAAGCCATTCCGGTTCCGTTGGGAACTTGTCCGCAGAGAATCGCGTTTCCGCCGAAATACCGGTCAGTGTACATGTGCATTGAACCGGCTTTGCCGTGCACGTTTCCGGATGCGCGGCCTGGAATTTTGTGGGGTTTTGTGATGAGAACGTCACTGGAGGTGGGACGATGACCAATTTTTAACCAAAAATGCACCAATTCGTTTTTTGGTTAAACATTGACCAAATATTGGTTAATCGGTAATTTTGATCGAATTTTGGCTAAATTATGACCAAATTTTGGTCAAAGATGGTCAAAAGATGGTCAAAAAATGGCCAAATTTTGACTACATTTTTCTGGTCAGGCTCCCAGAACCTGTGACGATGAAAATTGAGTCACAAACTTGGTCGAAACTAGACTATAGTTAGCCTTAATTTCTCGTCTCAAACTCACCAGTACATTCAGCTAAAACATGTCTGACAGTAGCTCCACATAAATGTGCCCAAGCATGTCCACGATAACTTCCAATCACCTTATCCTCATACTTTAAACCGGCCAAAATACCAGCTGCACAAGCCTCTTGTCCGCTGTACAAATGACACGCCATATTGATGTATTTCTCCTTGAAAAGCGGTGCACACGCGAGTTCCATTTCTCTGCAAGTCTTCATTTGAGTATAGTAATACAATCCATCTTCTTTGGTTAGTGTAGTTGTTGAATTCGGGCCCTTGGCGAGTTTGTATAAGTCGAATTTTTTGAGATCGAAATTGGCGGAGTCCTTTGCTGTGGAAGCGAATCGATGGAAAATTAGACGACGAGTCGATGAGCTCAGCATTTTTTGAGTTTGTTTCTACAAAAACTGAGGCCTTGTTCTGGTTTTTTGCTCTGGTTTTTTTTACGCGTCACGTTTCGCGAATTTTCATGATTTTCAGCTTTTTTCGTGTGTTTGTAGTTTGATCTATTGAAGAGAGGATTTCCTGTCCTGGGGAGAAAATAGGACACGTTTCACGTGTTTCAACTACAGTCTAGTTTAGAGATCATCATCATTGTTTGAACAAGAGACTACAATGTAGTTTTGAACAAGGATTTTTGCTTCTGGAATCTACAATTCCTCCTCGAGACTTATCCTAACTTTCACATCACTATTTTCCATCTAATATTTACACAGTGTTTCAGGAAAAATTATAAATTCCATTTTATTTCAAAAAACACACAGTTTTTTGGAACAAAAATCGTTGAATTATAAATTCCACGTGTTCAAATAAACTTTTTTATAAAATCCATGAGAAAATCGAATTTTTCAATTGAATTTTTTACGAAAATGTTGAGAAACTTGTTGATTTTCTCGATTTTCTTGGTTGTTTTGGTATTTTCAACTGAAATTGATTTGGAAAATCAGAAAAATCAGGATTCAAAACTAGAAGAATTGGGATCAGGACCTGAAGAAGGTCAAGCTGAAGTTGAAGAAGGTGTCACTGGAAATCAAGAAGAGAATCCCGAATCTTCTCTCGATTTATTGATTCGTGCCAAAAGATATTATGGTTGTGGATGTTGTGGTTGTGGTGTAACTGCAGTTGCTGTTACTGGTGTTTATGGATGTGGATGTGGATGTTGTGGATAATCAATAATCAATAATTATCTTAACCTAATTAATTAATTAACTAATTATTGTGTATTTATTGCTTGGCGAGACATAAAATATTGTATTTTTAACTAGCTTTAATTTTGGGTTTCAAAATCTGGAAATAAAAATTGAATAGTCAGAAAAGTTTCTAGCAAAATTGGAGCTATCTGGAAAATTTGAAAAAAATCTGAAAATAATTTTTAAATTCTAAAATTCCTGAAATTAATTTTAAATAATTCAGCCTGAAATTAAAGACTAAAGATCTAATAACTTACATCAGACAATTTTTCGAAAAAAAAAATCTGGCCAAAAAATTATTGAAAATCCTCAAATTCCCCAAATCTTCTTCCAGAACCAACGGACTTCTCAACATTTTCTTCTCACTTTGGTACATGTTCGGAGCGATTTGTTGGGAAACCGAAGAAGAGCCATTCGACAATTCGGAACGTCGAAAATTCCAGGATAAATTGATGACAATTCGAAATCGACGACATCGCGAAGAATATCAAAAAGAGTTGAACGAACTCGATTTTCGGAAATATATTGCGAGAAAAGAGTTTCGATTTAATATGAAGGGAAGGTGGAATTTTGTGTCGGTGGGTGGATTTTTCGGGGGAAAATTGACTGAAAATCTGGAATTTTCAGCTAAAATTTGAGCTGGAACATTGGAGAACAAATCTAGATTCAAAAAAACTAATTCTGAAATTTTCAAATTGATTGAGAAATTATTTTCGACTGAAAATCTCTAGATTTTTCAACTGATATTTTTGGCTGTAAATTTAGAAATTTCAAGCTGAAAATCTGGAATTTTCAGCTAAAATTCAAGCTCGGAAAAGTTATTATGAGCTGAAAATCAATCCGGAAAATTTTGAAAAAAAAACGAATTCTGAAATTTTTAACTGGAAGTTTTTTGGCTGAAAATTTGAATTCTTCTCTTGAAAATCTAGAATTTTTGAAGCTGAAAATCTGGAATTTTCAGCTAAAATTCAAGCTCGGAAATTTTGAAAAAAAATTGAATTCTAAAAATTTTTATCCCAAATTCAAAAGCTGAAACTTGATTTTTCTGGAAAAAATATTCTGAAAAATGTTTTTTTTTCTCAAAAATAAAAAATTCATATTGTCTCGCCAAGCAATAAATACACAATAATTAGTAAATTAATTAATTAATTAGCTTAAGAAGATAATTCATGATTAATTAATTATCCACAACATCCACATCCACATCCATATACACCAGTAACAGCAACTGCAGTTACACCACAACCACAACATCCACAACCATAATATCTTTTGGCACGAATCAATAAATCGAGAGAAGATTCGGGATTCTCTTCTTGATTTCCAGTGACACCTTCTTCAACTTCAGCTTCACCTTCAGATGGTCCTGATCCCAATTCTTCTAGCTTTGAATCCTGATTTTTCTGATTTTCTAGCTCAATTTCAGTTGAAAATACCAAAACAACCAAGAAAATCGAGAAAATCAACAAGTTTCTCAACATTTTTGCAAAATTCAATTGAAAAATTCGATTTTCTCATGGATTTTATACTCGGAAAAGTTGGTGGATTATTTGAACACGTGGAATTTGAATTTTTTCCAAAAAACATCTAGAACAAGTATTTACACATATGGAATTTATAATTTTTCCGGAAACACTGTGTAAATATGGAATATAGTGGTGTAGAAGTTAGGATAAGTCTGTTGATTTCGAGGATTTCTGGTTAATATGAGCAATGATCAGAAAATGTCGTAGAGGAAACTTAACCTGAGCAAAAAAAAGGCCAGAAAATTTTGCAAATAAAAATTTTATTGTGAATTTTGGAGAAGTTGACCGAAATTAAAATTCAAAATTTACTAACCTGAGCAATCGGATTAATTTTTGTTTTAAGGTTCCTGAAATTTAGAAAAACATTCTTTTTACTGTAATCAAATTTGAAAATGACCAAATTTTCCTAGGATTACTGTATATCGTTTCGAGACCCAAAAATATTCAAATTTGGTCTCAAAACACTCCAAATTTTCTCAGGATTACTGTAGCTCGTTTCGAGACCAAAAAATATTCAAATTTGGTCTCAAAACACTCCAAATTTTCTCAGGATTACTGTAGCTCGTTTCGAGACCAAAAAATATTCAAATTTGGTCTCAAAACACTCCAAATTTTCTCAGGATTACTGTAGCTCGTTTCGAGACCAAAAAATATTCAAATTTGGTCTCAAAACATTCCAAATTTTCTCAGGATTACTGTAAATCGTTTCGAGACCCGAAAATATTCAAATTTGGTCTCAAAACACTCCAAATCTTCCCAGGATTACTGTAAATCGCTCCATTTTTTTCCAGGCCCTAATCCTCATCGCTTTCACCGCCATCATCATCATCACCCTAATTCCACCATTCATTCTCTACGGACAAGGTATTGTGCCGGAATTCTGCCGAAACAACAGCAAATTGGCGGTGGTTTCGCGAAAATGGACGACGATGATGAAGATTGCGGATGAAGTGCGGCCGGGTGATTTGGACAAACTTGAGTGGTGCAAGTGAGTGAATTTTTGGGGGGTTTCAGGGTTCCGAGGCGATCTACAGTAATCCTCACGAAATTTGGGTTATTTTGAGACCAAACATGACTGGGTTACTGTATTTTGGGGGTGTTTTTGAGTCATGCAGCGATCTACAGTAATCCTGGGAAAATTTGTGTTTTCTTGATATTAAAAAAGCTCGGGTTACTGTAGAAGATTGGCTCAAAATTGAAAAAAATCTAAATTCCGATGTTTTTGGGTCCCGAAACGAACTACAGTAATTCTAAGAAACGTATTTTTTAAAGTAATTTTCTGTGAGAAAATTTGGATTTTTTCGGGTCCCGCAACGATCTACAGTAATCCAAAAATCCTTGGTTACTGTAACACCTTTCAATCTGAAATTTTGGAAAATTCTCAAAAATTATCGATTTTTCATGAACTCATCGAATTTCTAAATGAATTTTTGGGTCCTGAAACGATCTACAGTAATCCTGGGAAAATTTCTGGAATTTCAAAACCAAATTCGGATATTTTTTGGGTTCCGAGGCGATCTACAGTAATTCGGATATTTTTGGGTCCTGAAACGATCTACAGTAATTCAAAAATTCAGATCACACTGGTTACTGTACTCTTTTAGATCTGAATTTCTGGAAATTATAGATTTTTCCATTTGGGTCCCGCAACGAAATCTACAGTAATCCTTCGTTTTTTCCAGGAAACCCTATTCCTACGGACTTTGGCCCACTTTTTACTCAAATATTCAACACAAATATTGGGATGTCGGCCTTTTTCGCTATTGGCAAATTCGAAAAATCCCCTGTTTCCTCCTGGCTACACCAGCCCTAATTCTCACCGCAATCGCAATTCGAATAACATATCGTGACATTTTCGAGGAGCGCAAATGGTTCAATATTTGGGTGCTATTCGGAAGATCCGATCATTTGGTACCATACGCGATCCACGCGGCATTCTTGATGTTTTTGGGATGTTTTGTGATCAATGCTGAAGTGTTCACCCGCATTATTTTCTCGTCCACACCGTTTTTGTATGTATTTTTGGCGGAGTGGATTGATGAGCTGACCAAAGGGGTGAGTTCACTTTTTTCGCCGTGAAATTTGGAGCATTTTGAGCCCGAATATGATTTGTTTCAAGCTCCGCCCCCTTTTTTGCAACCCTGGCACGGTTTTTCTGAGCATTTTGACATCAAATATGGGTATTTTTGAAGCCACGCCCATTTTACTGTGTCCTGTGGGAAATTTGCGATTTTTATAGTATGATCAAGAGTATCTTAAGCTCCGCCCCTTTTTTGCAACCCTGGCACGGTTTTTCTGAGCATTTTGACATAAAAAATGGGTATTTTTCAAACCACGCCCATTTTACTGTGCCCTGTGGGAAATTTGCGATTTTTGAGACCAAATATGATTATTTTCAAGCTCCGCCCCTTTTTTTGCAACCCTGGCACGGTTTTTCTGAACATTTTGAGCCTGAGTTTGAGTATTTTTGAAGCCACGCCCACTTTTCTGTGCCCTGTGGGAAATTTGCGCTTTTTGTAGTATGATCACGAGTATATTTAGCCACGCCCCTATTTTTTTTGCAACCCTGGCACGGTTTTTCTGAGCATTTTGAGACCAAATATGGGTATTTTTGAAGCCACGCCCACTTTTCTGTGCCCTGTAGAAAATTTGAGAATTTTTGAGACCAAATATGTGTTGCTTTAGGCTCCGCCCCTTTTTTGCAACCCTGGCATGGTTTTTTCATCTACGATTTTCTGAGCATTTTGAGCCTGAATTCGAGTATAATTTAAGCCACGCCCACTTTTCTGTGCCCTGTGGGAAATTTTCGATTTTTATAGTATTATCACGAGTATTCAAAGCTCCGCCCCTTTTTTTTGCAACCCTGGCACGGTTTCATTTTCGCTGCGAGATATTTTTCATATTTTTTTTTCGACTTGAAAAACGCCTAAAGAAAAACTATCAAATTTTTGAGAAATTCCAAAATGCTTATCATAAATTTGAAACGTATTATTTTCGGGAAATTTTTCATAGTCGAATTTTGAATTTTGAATTTTTGCTGAGCGTGTTTGGATTCAAAATGCTCCAAATTTTCGGACACTTTTCCAATTTTCAATTTTTTTTCCAGAACACATTTGCCAACACAATGTTGGATTATGAAGAAGCCAATCCATTCATCCCATTTTTCTTTATCAAACGAGTCTGGGATTCTGGAATTTGGGCAAAATTGTTCTACTTGTATTTCGTGTCATATTTTGTATTTGGCACAATTGCTCATGCCGCATGGTTGCCATTTACTTGAGAAAAATTTATTTTAATTTATTTTCCGGGTTTTATTTTGACTCGAGCTTTAAATTGCTTTTCTGGTGCCAAAAATGAAAATTTTCATGATTTTTTTCTTTTTTTCCTTTTTTTTCCGATGAAAATGGTATATGTACCTTTAATCCTATCTACAGTACCCCACTACAGTACCCCAGAATTTATCGATTTTTTCCAGAGATGGATGAGGATGCTACAGTACTATTCCTTACTCGAATGCTTGAACAGGCTGAGATGATTTTGGCTGAAATTGTGCGAATTTCTGGATTTGTGGGAAAAGACTTTGTCGGGCCGGAAAAGTCGAAATTTCGAAAGTTTTTGATGGATTTCAAGTATTTTCAGAAGGCGGATTATTGGGAAAAGGAGTTTGAGAAGGAGTTGGTGGGTTTTTTGGGAATTTGGAGTTTTTTGATAGTAAATATGGCTAGAAATCTGTAATTTTTTGGCTGAAAATTCGAGATTAAAAATTTTGAGTAAAAATTTGGATTCTGCTTGAAATTCTGAAGATTTTGATTCCAAATTTGGCTAGAAATCTGTAATTTATTAGCTGAAAATTCTTGATCAAAAATTTTTAGTGAAAATTTGGATTCAGCGTGAAATTCTGAATTTTTTGACTCCAAACTTGACTAGATTTTTTGACTAGAAATCTGGAATGTTTTGGCTGAAAATTGGAGATTGAAAATTCTGACTAGAAATTCTGGATTCAGCCTGAAATTCTGAATTTTTTGACACTAAATTTGAATAGAAATCTGTAATTTTTTGGCTGGAAATCTGGAATTACAAATTTTAAGTTGAAAATTTGGATTCAGCCTGAAATTCTGAATTTTTTGATTCCAAATTTGACTAGGTTTCGAAAATCTGAAATTCAGATTTTCAGACACAAATTAGGATTCATTTTCAGAAAAAATCAAATACTTCAATTTTTTAGCTGGAAATTACTATCTGAAATTCCAGCCAACATCAATTTTTTCCAGAAACTCCAAACCCTGTTCTACTCAACACACGGTCCAGTTTTCACGGCCTTTGAGCAAGTTTTCAATCTGATTCCTGAATTTGTGCAAAGTTTTTCGAAATATTCCGAAATTGGCAAGGGAAATTTGATGGCTGGAGAAGAAGAGGAAACAATTGCGGAATTGGAGGTGGGTAGCAAATGCGCTCCATTGAGAATTTTCAAAATTCCTTTTAGAGCGCACTTGACTTGCCGTGTTTTTCTGAACATTTTTAGCTATTTTTAAAGCTCTGAAACTCAGTTTCAAGCTTGGTATAGCAAATGCGCTCTATTGAGAATTTTAAAAATCTTTGAAATTTTCAAAATTCCTTTTAGAGCGCACTTGACTTGCTGTGTTTTTCTGAACATTTAGAGCTATTTTTCAATCTCTAAAACTCATTTTAAAGCTTGTTAGAGCAAATGCGCTCCATTGAGAATTTTAAAAATCCACTCACTGAAAATTGAGAAAAAAATTGAATTTTGAACTATGACGTGGCAATTCCCAATAATTTATTGATCCAAATTAATTAAATAATTAATTAATTACTCCCTATTAATTGGATAAAAATCATCTTTCCATTCAGTGATAACCCATTTCCCATTTTCTCCTTTTTCAACTTTCACAATTGCCAAATTAAAAACCTCTTCATACGTAATCTTGGCTCGAAAATTCACAACATCTCGATTTGCCTCTTCAAAATCAGCCGTTCCAACTTCCCATTTTTTGTCCGAATCTCCTTTCGGCAGAGTTAGCGGAACTCGATTTTTCTTGAAATCTCTATGAGAATAGAATTTTGCGTTGAATTTCATTGGATTCGAAATGATGTGTTCGAAATCGGCTGAATCGTGTGCTTGTTGATTTTTTCTAATGTCCTGAATCATCATCCAATAGTTCAGAAGAGTATCGGCGATTTTTGTTGGTTGTGGTGGGGTTGTTGAGAGAGATTGGCTAACTTGAGACAAAAATATTAGGGAAAATATCATTTTTGTTTGGAATGAAAATGAACAGTTTTTGTCGAATGTCTGAATTCTCACAGACTATTTTATTTTTTTTTTCGCTGGAAGGCTGAAAAATGTTTAAAAATGTTTTTCTAACATCGAAAAATTCACAAAAAGTCAAAAAATGTCGAAAAAACATTGAGTTTTTCAGCCAAAAATGATGACAAATCGATATTTTTTAAGCTTTTGGAGTAATTTCTGATGAAAAAAAGCTTCAAGGCTTAGGCTATCTTGAAATTTTTCAAAATTCTCATTAGAGCGCACTTGACTTCCCCGTGTTTTTCTGAACATTTTGAGCTATTTTTCAAGCTATAAAACTCATTTTAAAGCTTGTTAGAGCAAATGCGCTCCATTGAGAATTTTGAAAATCTTGAACATTTTCAAAATTCTTATTAGAGCGCACTTGACTTGCCGTGTTTTTCTGAACATTTTGCTGTATTTTTTGTGCTCTAAAGTCAATTTTAAAGCTTGTTAGAGCAAATGCGCTCGAATGCGAATTTTGAAAATTCCAATATTTTTCAAAATTCTCATTAGAGCGCACTTGATTTCCCTTATTTTTCTGAACATTTTGAGCTATTTTTGAAGCTCTAAAACTCATTTTAAAGCTTGTTAGAGCAAATGCGCTCCATTGAGAATTTTGAAAATCTTGAAAATTTTCAAATTTTCTTTTTTTTTCTATTAATCTTATTTTGGCATCCGCAAGTCTTCAAACCCCCGACTAACCCGAGTCAACATTGCCTAACCTGCCAGATTTCAGATCGAACTCGTCTACACCACCGGTCTGCTATTCTTGAACTTGGAAAAATTGCTGCCGGCGGCGATTCGCGAGCGAATCTACGTGGCAATTTATCGCCGCTGCGCAACGCGACAAAATGCCGAATTTTTGGTGGATTTTTTGGCGGGTAAGACTTTTTTTTCAAAAATTTTTGAATTTTCTCCCAAAAAAATCACTTATTTTCAGCCACCACTTCAACTGACACATTTTTCAAGCGCTCTCAAATCTCTGTGGATTTTGTGCGCGGAATTTTGACGCGAATTGAGCGCGAGCAATTGGCGCCACGTCACAAACGAGCACAATTCATGTACGTGGCGCTGCTCTTCGACAAACACACGCTGGACAAGGATTCGACACGAATGGCTCAGATTTGTGCGATGGTTTTCAGAGAGGAATGGGTGGGTTACTGTAGGGGGTTTTGGCGCGAAAATTTTGGGATTTTTTGATACTAAATAAGGTTAGGGTTACTGTAGGGGGGTTTTGGCGCGAAAAATTCGGAGCATTTTGACACCCAACACGATTATTTTTTTGTTCCCAACAAAAAATACGTTTCAAAAATTTGATATACAGTAATTTGTTAAAGGAACATGCTCAAAATACCGTAATTCTGAGCCTAAACATGACATGTTCCTTTAATTTTCCTACAGTAATCCTTTAAAGGAGCATGACCTAAATTTCTATCAAAAACACCGTGTTTTTTGAGCCTAAATATGACTATGTTCCTTTAAATATTCCTACAGTATTCATTTAAAGGAACATGGTCTTGTTTGGTTTCAAAAATACCGTAATTCTGAGCCTAAATATGCCTAAAATATGATGTTCCTTTAATTTTCCTACAGTAACCCCATTTTTCCCCGCAGGTCTTCAATCTTGGCTACAATATCATCATTAATCTTTTCGATGCCTGGTATTACAATAAATCAGCCTGGTATGCAATGAATTCACAAATTCGAACAGTTGAAGCAAATCGAATCGCTGAAAATCATCTGAAAATTCTGAAATCGTGGAAATTATCAAAATCCATTGAAGTCTCCGATTTTCCCGAAGTTTTGAAGCAGATTTCGAATTTTAATCTGTCATTGAAATGGCTGATTTTACATTGCAGTGGGTTTTTTCTTGAATTTTGGCTGAAAATTTTCAATTTCAGGGTCACAAAGATATAAAATAATCAAAAATCCACCCAGTTCTGATCAATTTTTCACGTGGATTTTGGAAATTTCAAAGGTGGAGCTGGAATTTTTGAGAAAGTTCCGAGTGAATTTGAAAAATCGAGCGAGCCAGTTTGAAGAGGGAAAGGAGAGGATTTGTGAGCTGTTGAAGAAGTTGGCGGATTTTTTTGAGATGGGATTTGTGTCGGTGAATCAGGGACAGAAAGGTGAGGAAGCTGAAATTTCTACAGTAATCCTGATAAAATTCTGAATTTTTTGACACCAAACATGACTATTTTTGGGTCCCGAAGCGAAGTACAGTACTCCTAGGAAGATTTGAGATTTTTTGACACTAAATTTGACTATTTTTGGGTCCCGAAGCGATCTACAGTAATCTCCTGGAAAATTGAGATTTTTTGACACTAAATTTGACTATTTTTGGGTCCCGAAGCGATCTACAGTACTCCTAGGACTAAATTTGTCTGGGTTACTGTAGGTTTTTTTGGGAATCTGAAATTTCAGATTTACTATAGCTAGCTCATTTTTAGGCTGAAAAATTTTGGTTTTCCAGAAATTTTTCAGATCAAAATTCAAGCTGAAAATCAGAATTCAAATTTTGAGCTGTGAATTTAGGCTGAAAAAACGATTTTTCAAAAAAAAATGTTTTAAAAATTTTTTCAGAATTTTTTAAATCTGAAAATTTGAAGCAATTTTTCAGATTCAAAAAAAATTGGTAAAATTTCTAGAAATCTAATTTTCAAATCAAAATTTAGTCTAAAATTTGTTTTCACATGAAATTGTTCAAAAAATTGAATTTTTAAGAATTTTCAACCTGACATTGAAAAAAAAGTTGAATTTTCATCTGAAAAAAAATAATTTCCAGATTTTTTTGAAAAATTGGAATTTTGAATTTTTTTTTTCAACCTGAAATTCAGAAATTTTAATTTTCAACCTGAAATTAATTTTTTTTTCTGAAATTTCAGTCAAAAATTTGAATTTTTGACCTGAAATTAATTTTTTTTTTCGAAATTACAGTCAAAATTTTGGTTTTCACCTGAAATTTTTTAAAAATTTGAAAATGTTGAAAAAAATAATTTCCAAAATTTTGAGCTGTGAAATTAGGGCTGAAATCTTGAAATTAAAAATAGGAAATTTGAATTTGAATTTTCTGGAATTTTCATTTGAAATTTTTAAGCCCAGAAATTATTGTAAAAAATTTTTCTGAATTTTTTAAATCAGAAAATTCCGTGAATTTTTCCAAAAATATCGATTTTCAGCTCAAAAAGCTTATGAATTTCACATTTTTGACAACAAAAAAGCTATAAATTTTCAAAATTTCCAGAAAACTTTCTCAAATGGCTCACCAACTTATCCGAAACCATAAAACACCTCAAAACCGACCAAGAAGATCTGATTCTACAAATTCAGCGACGCCTCAAAAATTCCAGCGATCTTCTGGGTCTCGACGCGAATTTCACCATCAAAGAGCTCCTCGAAAAAATCGACAGTGCTCTAAAAAATCTGAAAATCTTGCTGAAACTCTCTGAAAATTCGAGAAATCAAGTGCTTCGAAAAATGGAGGCCGATTATTTGTGGACAATTATGGAAGATGAGCTGATTCCCAAAATTCAGCAAAATTTTTTCGGCCCTCAATTTAGCGTAACTGCGATTTTCACCAAATTGAGCATTTCGATTCGCGTTTTTGGGCAACGCATGAAGAAATTGCGCAATTTTTCGGAGAATTTACAGCGGAAGCTGATGAGCTGCTGGTCCGCGATTTTGGAGCAACAACTCCGGAAAGTGCTCCAAATTGTGCCGAAATCGGTTTTTGACACAATGCGCCACGTCATTTTACCCAAAAAATATATTTCCAATAATTTGGGTGTCGAAAATTATGTGGAGAAATCGGTGGTTTTTGAGCGCGTCAGAAATGAGAGGGATGTGGTTAGAGTGAGTTTTTTTGGGGGTCCCGAGGCGAACTACAGTAATCCTAGGAAGATTTGGGATTTTTTGACACCAAATATGATTATTTTTGGGTCCCGAAGCGAAGTACAGTAATCTCCTGAAAATTTGGGATTTTTTGAAACCAAATATGATTATTTTTGGGTCCTGAAGCGATCTACAGTAATCTCCTGGAAAATTGCGGTTTTTTGAAACCAAATATGATTATTTTTGGGTCCCGAAGCGATCTACAGTAATCCTAGGAAGATTTGGGATTTTTTTACCCCAAATATGATTATTTTTGGGTCCTGAAGCGATCTACAGTAATCTCCTGGAAAATTGCGGTTTGGTGTCAGAAAATTGCAAATTTTCCCAGGAGTACTGTAGATCGCCTCGGGACCCAAAAATATTCATGTTTGGTGTCAGAAAATTGCAAATCTTCCCAGGAGTACTGTAGATCGCCTCGGGACCCAAAAATATTCATGTTTGGTGTCAAAAAAATTGCAAATCTTCCCAGGAGTACTGTAGATCGCCTCGAGACCCAAAAGTTACCATGTTTGGTGTCAAAAAATTGCAAATTTTCGCAAAATTACTGTAGATCGTTTCGAGACCCAATTCAAATTTCAATTTTTTGCCAGGCCACCTACAAAATCGCCAACATGTCTCAAGGAATCTCTCGAATGATGATGCGAAAAGTCGGAACCGTCGAAATCAATCCGAAAAAGCTGCTGGAAGACGGCATCGAACGTGAATTGTATCGTGAAATCAAGCGAGTTATCGGAAGTCCCACAGAAATTGGTACAGTAACCCATTATGTCCCTTTAAAACCCGCAAATTCAGGAAAATTCGTCGAAAATTTGCGCGATTTGCAAAAAATGCGCGAAGCCTTCATCTACGTTTGCGAATTTATGAATTTGAACGGAAATCTGATTTGGACACGAGCTGTTGAGGATTATTTTGGCGGCAAATTAGCGGATGATGGCGAGAATTTTATGGTGGAGATGGTGAAGAGGGCGACGCAGGCTAGGTAGGGGTTTTTACGCGGTGAAATTTGGAGCATTTTGAGCCCGAATATGGGTATTTTTAAGCCCCGCCCACTTTTCTGCAATCCTGGCACGATTTTTCTGAGCATTTTGAGCCTAACCATGAGTATTTTTGAAGCCACGCCCCTTTTGCAAGCCTGGCACGATTTTTCTGAGCATTTTGAGCCCGAATATGACTAGGGTTTTGAGCCGTGAAATTTGGAGCATTTTGAGCCTAAACATGACTAGACTCTAGTCTAAAATTAAAGGACAATTATGAGCTTGAAAAATATGGAGCATTTTGAGCCCAAATTCAACTAGATTTAAGCCCCGCCCCCTTTTTTGCAAGCCTGGCACGGTTTTTCTGAGCATTTTGAGCCCAAATATGACTAGTATAACATTTTGCTGAAACCCCTACAAAAAAAAATATACATTTTGGTCCCGCCACGAAAAATCTCTCTACAGTAATCCTCCTCATCCCTCATTTCCAGAACTTCCCGATTCTCCTCCGATCTCATGGTTTGGAAAGATCTGAAGGGCCGAAAAACGCAATTCTCCTACGATATGATTTATAATATTGAGAGAATGGTCCCATTTCATCCGACGACGTCGATGGAAAATGCGATTTTGGTCGAGTTGGAGACGGGAGTGAAAGGTTGGTGGTGGAAATTTGGAGCATTTTGAGTCTCAATATGCTCAGGCTCCGCCCATTTTTGTGACGGGAAAATTTGGAGCGTTTTGAGCCTAAACATTACATGTTCCTTTAAATTGTTGCTACAGTAATCCTTTAAAGGAACATGGTCTTGTTTGGTTTTAAAAATACTGTAATTTCGAATTTAAATATGACCATGTTCCTTTAATGTTCCTACAGTAATCCTTCAAAGGAACACAAGCTTGTTTGGTTTCAAAAATACGGTATTTTAGATCCTAAACATGACATGTTCCTTTAATTTTCCTACAGTAATCCGTTAAAGGAACATGGTCTTGTTTGATTTCAAAAATACCGTAATTTCGAATTTAAATATGACCATGTTCCTTTAATTTTCCTACTGTACTATTTTTAAAGGAACATAATCTTGTTTGGTTTCAAAAATACCGTATTTTAGATCCTAAACATGACCGTGTTCCTTTAATTTGTTGCTACAGTAATCCTTTAAAGGAACATAAGCTTGTTTGGTTTCAAAAATACCGTAATTTTGAAACCAAACTTCTACAGTAACCATTTAAAGGATCACGACCTAAATTTCTATTAAAAACACCGGTTTTTCTGAGACCACATATGGATATGTTCCTTTAATTTCCTACAGTAACCCTTCAAAGGAACACAAGCTTGTTTGGTTTCAAAAATACCGTATTTTTGAGTCTGATTATGATTTTTTTCCAGAACATCTGCAAACTTGCCGAAAAATCATGCTCACCGCAAATCTGCCAAATCCATCAGCTTGGGAATCGATTTTCGGAACCGCGGATTTCGATAAAATGCTCAAATTCGTCCACGCCAACTTACCGCAACTCACCGCTCAAATCTCACAAATTGGCCAATTTCTGCTGATTCTACGTGGCATCGGCGAGATGAAAAGGATTTGTGGTGAGATTCACGAGAATCGCATCTTCAAAGAGCTTCGCGTGTCGAGCCGAAAACTTGTGGAGTTACCGCAAGTCTCGCGCAATTTGCTCAGGCTTTTTGCGGCTTTTTCGATGTATGACGTGGCAAAAGTGCGATTTGAGATGCGAGATGAGATGAATCCGGTGCTGATGATGGCGGTGATTCAGGCGATTGCGGCGAAGATTGGAGGTTGGTTATGGGGGAGCATTTTGAGCCCAAATGTGACTAATTTTGGAGCATTTTGAGCCCAAACATGACTAGTTTTGGAGCATTTTGAGCCCAAACATGACTAGTTTTGGAGCATTTTGAGCCCGAACATGACTAGTTTTGGAGCATTTTGAGCCTAGATTTTGGGGCGGAAAATTTGGAGCATTTTGAGCCCAAATGTGACTAGAGTATAGTCTGAATTTTGCAGCATTTTGAGCTCAAACATGACTAGTTTTGGAGCATTTTGAGCTCAAAAAATGACTAGACTCTAGTCTAAAATTAAAGGATAATTATGAGCTCGAAAATTCGGAGCATTTTGAGCCCAAATTTGCTCACTCAGGCTCTGCCTCTTTTGGAGCAATTTGAGCCCGAACATGACTAGACTCTAGTCTGAATTTTGAAACATTTCGAGCTCAAATATGACTAGACTCTAGTCTGAAATTAAAGACAATTTTGAGCTTAAAATTTGGAGCAATTTGAGCCCGAACATGACTAGACTCTAGTCTGAATTTTGAAGCGTTTTGAGCCCAAACATGCTTAGGCTCCGCCCCTTTTGGAGCATTTTTTGCTCAAGACATGACTAGATTCTAGTCTAAAATTAAAGGATAATTATGAGCTCGAAAATTTGGAGCATTTTGAGCCCAAACTTGCTCAGGCTCCGCCTCTTTTGGAGCATCTCCAGCCTTAGAAAGACTAGAGTGTAGTCTGAATTTTGAAGCATTTTGAGCTCAAAAATAATATTTTTTTCAAATTTTTTAATTTCCTGCGAATTTTCACACGCATTTTTTTTTAATTTTCAAATTTTTTTACGCCTTCCCAAAATGTTGCAGACCCCAATTTCGTGTGCCCCGAGCAATTTTCCACCGGATTTCTCTTCATTCTCCACCAATCCAAAATGTTGCCAATTTTACAAGCGATTCTGCGCGAAAAGCTTCCCGAGCTGGCGAGAAATTTGCACAAAAAACGGAATTTTGGTGGATTTCTGGATGGTTTGATCAGTTTTGTGTAGATTTTTTGGGATTTTTGAATGTGATATGTATTTATGAAGAAAAATTTATCAAATTGAACATAGCATAACTCCACTCATCACAATTAAAGCCTTCGATTTATCCCGAAACGTATTATAAACCACCGTGTTATTTCCGAACTCTTGAACTTTGATCTTGAAACCGGTGTGAGTTTTCTCAACACTTTCCAACTTTCGATCCATTTTCCCTTTGTTGATTGTGAGAAATTCGAAAAATTGATCACGATTCAGCAACATTCCACAATCATTGAAGACGAATTTTTGATCGACGGATTTGTAGAAATCCAGACGATTACCGTATTCAGCGGTTTGATCGATTTTTGTGAAGAGATTGAGGGATTCTGAATTTTCGATGGAGAGAATAAGGGGGAATAGAGTTAGGAGAAGTAGAAGTTGAATCATTTTTGGTGGTTTTTTTGAAAAGTTTTGTTATTTATTTTAATAGAGATGGAAATTGAAATTGATACTTTGAAATGTAAACAAAACAATTTTTTGCTGGAAAAATTGGCTAAAAATAATTTTTGAGGCTGAAAATGCAGAACTAATATGAGCAATACAGCGAAGAATTTCTGAAATTAATTTTTGAGCTAAAAACTTGCCACGTCATCTTAATTTGGGCAATTGCAATTTTGAGCTGCAAAAAAATTGTTCAAAAAATGCTTTCCTGAAAATAGTTTTTTTAATAAAGAGTTTTGCCACGTCATCACTAACATGAGCGATTGAAATTAGATTTGTAACCAAGCAGACAAGTTTTCTGGAATTTTCTAATTTTTTCCACGTCATCATTAATCTGAGCAATACAAAGACAAACTTCTGAAAGAGCCAAAAACTTGGCTTGTTGCCACATTTTGAACAACAAAAACTTTTTAAAGAGTTTTGCCACGTCATCACTAACATGAGCAATCGAAAAAAAAATATTTTATTTCTCAAAAATCAACATAACAATCTCCCTCAGTTTTGCCATAAATAAAAACGTGTCGAAAACTTTTGTCAACTCGAAAAATCTTCGCCGTCTGCAAATTGACCATCAAAAATTTCCGCCAAAACGCCACAATCTGCAAACCGCTCAACGTTGGTTTACTGTGCAGCACACTTATCGCATCTCCCCCATTCTCATCAATCAGAAAAGTGACAAATTCTTGACGGCTCATTTCGCGAGCACAATCGGCGAATTTGAAGTTCTCGTGGAAAAGATTGGTGAGATCGAGGCGCTTTTGAGATTTTATCAGGGTTTTGAGTTGGGTGAGAAGGTCTTCGGCTAAGGTTTCAGTGGAATTTGATGCGAAGATTGGATAGATGATGGTTAAAAATATCAAAAGTTTCATTTTTTTGGTATGATGGATTTTTCTGCGAAGAAAAAATGCTTAAAGGCACATAGACTAATAAAACTTGGGAATTTTGCTAGAAAAAATGAATTTATTTTCAACCAAAAAAACCCCAAAATCAATTAATCATACAAAATTCCATTGATTATCCAACACATATCCAGCTATATCCAATTCTTTAAAACTGAAAGAAAAAATAATTATATTTAAGGATTTTTCCCCCTCAAAACCAACGTTGTTCCAATGTGAAGTTCACCCAAATCCACATCAAATCCCCACACTTCTCCACTTCTCGTGCAAGTGTGAAAGACTTCCATTTCGATCTCATAATGATCATCCAAAAATCCGTCACCTTCACGGTAATCGAATCGACGAACACGGTGTGGACCGTGCGAATTTCCATTCACGTATACCCACTCGGTTACGAAGAGGATGTCGTTGGGTCTAGAAATATTTTGTTTTGTATTTGTATTTGCCACGTCATAAGTTATGACCTGGGAAATTTTACGTTTCACGGGATTTCACCGTAAAATCCATTTTGCGTAAAATAATTCGTTAAAAAAACACTAAATATGATGAATTTTGACAGAATCAAATTGGGTCTTAAAAAAAAACACAAAATTGGGGGAAAATAGGAAAAAAAATTAAAGGAACATGATGGGTCTCGAAGCGATCTAGGCTTAAAATTGAGTTTTGAAGGGAGTTAAGGGTAGCAAAATGCTCAGAAAAATGCGAGCTACAAGATAGTATAGGTTGCACGGGAAAGCTCAATTTTTCTCAAAGGCACATGATGGGTCTCGCAGCGGTCTAGGCTTAGAATTGAGATTTAAAAAGAGGTATTTTTTGAATTTTTTTTTTTTTTGAAATTTTAATTTATTTATTTTTTGATGGATATAGACAATGACAGTGTCCAAATTATGTCGGAGTTACGGTAAGTTCCCAACTCCCAATTTTTAAAGTAAAAATTTCCCAGGTCTTGCCCCGTCATAGGTTATGACTCATAACCTATGACGTGGCAATATACAACATACGTTGCGTAATCGTGTTCCAAGTATCGAACGAAATATTTCCAATCTTTACGTATGTTGCAAATCATTTGTTCTTGGACCATGAAATCTGTGGCATCGACGAGAATCGAGAAAAAACAGATTGTGAGAATGAATCGAATCATTTTCCGATGTTTTGAGCGGAAAAAAATTGTATTTAAACTTGACTGATTTTGTGACGTTCAGCTAATTGAAAGTCGTTACAGTATGCCATAAAAATAATTTTTTAATGAAAATGTGTGGGAGTTGTATAAATACAATTCTTTTCTCGCTCAAAACATCGGAAAATTCAAAATGATTCGATTCATTGTCACCCTGTGTATTCTCTTGATTTCTGTCGATGCCACAGATTTCACAGTTCAAGAACAAATGATTTGCAACATACAGGGTGAATGGAAATACTGGGTTCGATATTTGGAATACGATTACGGAACGTGAGTTATACAAAAAAAATGCCACGTCATAACTATTCGCAGACCAAATGACAAACTGTTGGAAACGGCATGGGAGTATGGAAATGGCAATTCACACGGTCCCCGTCGTGTTCGTCAATTCAGTATAAGTGGTGGTGATGGGTGGTTTGATGGTGAATATGAGATTGAAATGGAAGTCTTTCACACTTGCACGAATACTGGAACAGAAACGAGTTTCTATGTGAAATTGGGGGATGTTCAAGTGGATACAAGGTTTGGGGAAACCCTTTATTTAAAAAAAACAAAAAAAATTTTTTTTTTAATTTAGACATAAAAACTTCAATGTGGCTGGAATTGTGTTGGATTCCCAATGCAATTTTGCGTTTTGTTGGCTTGTCAAATTACTGGATTGGATTAATTATATTTTGTAATTAATTGATAATAAATTTGTGAATTTTTCAACCAGAGTCTTATCTTTTTCACCAAAAAAAAAAAAAAAAAAATTTTGAAACGTATTTTTTCTTGCAATTTTTCCGCTTGTTCCTTTAAATCTCTCTACAGTAGTCAAAAGATTTTCGAAAACATTAGGAGCCTAAATTTTTAATAGTGAATTTAGATGACGTGGCAATTTAGATCTCGATTTTAGTTTTTGATGGGGTGATTCAGGTCGAAAAATAAAAAAAAAATAAAAAAAATTTTTTCCCAGGTTGCATAAGAAGTTTTTCTGAAAATTTTTGCAGCTACTAAATCACCCAAAAACTCAGGATAAATTTCACTCAAGTTTTGTCTGAAAATCTGAAATTTCCGGCTTTTGGCTTTTTCGAAAATTTCGAAATTCCATGTGGAATTTCAGAATATTTTCTTAGTTTCTTATTTTTTTAATTAAAAAGGTAGGAATTCATAATTTTAACGCAAGCTTTGTCTGAAATCATCTGAACTTCCAATTCAACTTCAAACTTATCAAAATTCAAAATTTTTTTATTTTACGAAAAATCAGCAAAACCTTCTGAAGGTCAATTTTCATCAGAAATTACTCCAGAAGCTTGAAAAATATCGATTTGTCATCATTTTTGGCTGAAAAACTCGAAAAACTCAATGTTTTTTCGACATTTTTTGACTTTTCGTGAATTGATCTTTCAATGTTAAAAAAAACATTTTTTTAAACTTTTTTTTCGTTCCTGAAAATTAAAATTTTGAGAATTTTTAATCAAATTTCAGACGTGAACTTTGATTTTGTCAAAAAATGCTAATGGGTTATTCAAGTCGAAAAAAAATTTAAAAAAAAATTTTTTTTTTGAAAAAAAATGTTGTTGAAAATCAAATTCAAATTTTTGAGGAACTTCAGAGTTTTCTGGATCTTTTACAAAAAAAAATTAGATCTTTTTGAAATTTTTTTATTTTTTTTAGAAAAATTTTTTTATTTAAAATCAAATTCAAATTTTTGAGCAACTTTTACTTTGGAATTTTTTTTTTGCACAAAATTTTCAGAAAAACCAAAACTTTTATTTAAAATTCAGCAACATTTTCAAAAAAAAAAATTAGTATTCCTCGCCAAGCTTTTTTTTTGTTTCCGAACTTTTTTTTCGCATTTCACTTTTTGGTCCCATGAAGTTTTTCAATTTTTTTCTACTAATTTTGAACTCCCGCGCCTTGATTTTCCCGCAAAACGCTTCGGAAATTCTCGCCACATATTTACCCGCGCAAAAATTGCTTTTCAAAAAACTATTCCACAATTATGACAGGGAACTTTGTCCGGTTTTAGGTGGTGAACGTGAGTTTTCGAAATTTTTTTTTTTTCGCGCCAAAAAAAAAAAAATTTTTCCAGGCGAAAGAACATTTTACGTTTGGACCTACGACATCCGAATTATTCAGCTCAAAGTTTTCGATTTGGATGAGCCCAGAGAGCAACTTTCGGTATCTCTACAAGCTTTGCAGGTAGGGCACAGAAAAGTGGGCGGGGCTTAGCGCGCAAAAAATGCAATCCTGGCACACACACAGAGTTGGTACGATCTTCGACTTCAGTGGAACGCGTCGGAATTTCGAGACATTCGGAAATTGTATGTTCGGCAGGATATGGTGTGGAGTCCACCGTTTGGCGTGTTTTCGGCGTGAGTTTTGATCTACTATCTACAGTAATCCTGGATTACTGTACCTCATTTTGTAGAGGATTTCAACAGCTTCAAAATGAACCTAAATTTGATTTTTGGAAAATTTCAGATTTTGGTTGAAAATCCGAACTTGGCTCAAAAATGATTTTGTAGCAGCTACAGTACTTCTTGCAGTTCTAATTCAAAAACTGCAAGGGATACTGTAGCTATTCGCCAAAACTGCACGGATTACTGTAGTTTCTGAGTTTCTCAAAAATGTCGAACTGCAAGGACTACTGTAGCTTTGAATTAACCAGAGCTGCAAAAATTTATGAAATTTCAAGCTTCTTTGGATCTACAGTATCCCTGGATTACTGTAGCTCAATTTTAAAAAGAGAATTTCAAGAGCTACAAATTGAACTAGAATTTGATTTTAAAAAATTAATTTAAATCTACAGTAACCCTGGATTACTGTACCTCATTTTGTAGAGAACTTCGAGATCTAGAATTTAATATAAAAAAAATAATTAAAATCTACAGTAACCCTGGATTACTGTAGCTCAATTTGTAGAGAATTTCAAGAGCTACAAATTGAACTAGAATTTGATTTAAAAAATAATTAAAATCTACAGTAACCCTGGATTACTGTATCTCATTTTGTAGAGAATTTCAAGATTTTCAAAATGAACTAGAATTCGATTTTTAAATAATAATCAAAATCTACAGTAACCCTGGATTACTGTAGCTCATTTTGTAGAGAACTTCGAGAGCTTTAAGATAAATTTACCCCAGAAATCCTAATTTTCATTACAGAAGTGACGTAAAAGATCATCGAGATCAAGATTTCCGAATGGTCGAAATTCATTCGGATTCAATGATAACTTCGAATATTCCAATGAGATTGACGATAAATTGCAATTTGCACATGGAAAATTTTCCGTTTGACGAGCAGATTTGCGAAATTCGCAGCGGTGTTGCCACAATCTACTATCGACTTTATCGAATTCGAATTTTGGTGCCCAAAGAGACACGCGAGAATTATTGTGATATGGTGAGAGGGGTGGCCACGTGGCAATTTTGAGCTCCAGAAATTCGGAAACTTTTTTTTTTGAAATTTTTTTGCCACGTGGATTTTCTGGAGCACAATTTGGTTTTTTTTTTGAAAAAAAAAAGTTCTCAGAATTTCTGGAGCTCAAGAATCAAAATAATTTTGAAATCCACAGTAACCCTGGATTACTGTAGCTCATTTTGTAGAGAATTTTAAGAGATTCAAAATGAGCTAGAATTTGATTAAAATCTACAGTAATCCTGGAACTATTTTTCAATAAAAAACATTTTTTTCAAAAAATTTTGAAATTTTTTAATTTTTATTTTTTTTTGAAAAATTTGTAGATCAAGAATTTTTTCACTTTTTGAGGTAAATGCCACGTTTGAATTTTAAAAAAATCAGAAAATTTTTGAAAGCTCAAAATTTATTTTCTCAAGAATTTTGAGTGTAATTTATTATTCCACGTGGCATTCCAATGTTTTAAACTGAAAAATTGTGCCAAGGCCCTAAAAGCCTAAGCCTAAGTTCCAAATCTTTAAGGAGGTGTTTAGAAAATTTCTGAGCAATTGAAAATTTATATTGAGCCACGTGGCGCCACAAAAGTAGCCTGAGAAAGCTAAGCCTAAATTAGCCTTGGAAGCCTTAAAAGCCCTTAAAAGCCCTTAAAAGCCCTTAGAAGCTCTTAAAAGCCCTTAGAAGCCCTTAGACGCTCTTGAATGCCCTAAAAGCCCTTAAAAGCCCTTAGAAGCCCTAAAAGCCTCCCCAAAATCCACGTTTTGCAGGGCAACTCAGCATGGGACGTCATCCAACTTCGAACCGGATATTTATGGATTCAAAAAGAATCGGCCGAATATTCCTCGACTCAACAGGCTGTAATTCGAATAACTCTAAAAAGGAATCCACTTTTCTACATGTATATGATTATTCTACCGACTTTTATTATCAATTTGATTGCGATTTCTGGAGTATTTTTGCAGAAATCTAGTGCCATGGATAGGGTGAGAACGGGCTTTTGGATTTTTTGAGCTCCAGAAATTCTGAAAACTTTTTTTTTTTGAAAACTTTTTGCCACGTGGATTTTTTGGAGCACAATTGCTTTATGAAAAATCAGCCGGATTTTTTGAAACATTTTTTTGTAAATCACAAATTTTTGACAAAATTTTCAATGATTTCAGAATTTCTGAAAATATCCTATCTTGATTCAGCCACGTGGAAAAAAAATTTTGAGCTCTGAATTTCAGAATTTGAGCCTGAATTTGCAAAATAAAAATCCACGTGGCAAAAAAAAAAAAAAAAAAAAATTTAGAGAAAAAAAAGTTTGATTTTTAAAAAATAATCAAAATCTACAGTAACCCTGGATTACTGTAGCTCATTTTGTAGAGAGTTTCAAGAAAAAAAATTACTGTAATTTTTTAAAGCCAAAAAAAACTGTTTTTCAGAAAATCCACGTGGCAAAATTTGGAGAAAAAAAGTTTGATTTTTAAAAAATAATCAAAATCTACAGTAACCCTGGATTACTGTATCTCATTTTGTAGAGAATTTCAAGAAGAAAAAAATTACTGTAATTTTTTAAAGCCAAAAAAAACTGTTTTTCAGAAAATTCACGTTTACTGAATTTCTGGAACTCAAGAAACTGAATTTTTGGGGACCTAAGAAATTCTCAAAACTTTTTTTTTTGAAAACTTAGGAGCTCAAAAATCCACGTGGCAAAAAAATTTCAAAAAAAAAATGAAAAAGAAATTGTGCTCCAGAAAATCCACGTGGCAAAAAGTTTTCAGAATTTCTGGAGCTCAAGAATTCACGTGGAATTTTTTTCAAAAAAAATTGTTATTCTGAAAATCCACGTTGCAAAAAAATTTCAAAAAAAAGTTTCAGAATTTCTGAAGCTCAGGAATCCACGTTGCAAAAAGTTTAAAAAATAATTTTTGCAGCTCACAATTTGCCTAACTCACATAATGACAATGACCTTCATCCTGGGCCTAATCGCCGAAAAAATCCCCAAAACCATGGAAATTCCACTTCTCGGAAAATATATCATTTTCGGGCTGTGCTCAATGATTTTCGCAATTTCAACATCAATCGCCTTCGGAAAATCGCGATTTTCTCTGATTTTCTGCCAGATTTTGAATTTCTCCTCGTTTTTCTATATGATTTGGCGGTATTTGGAGTTTGTATTTTTGAGAGAATCCGGAGTTCGTGGAAATTGCGTGGATTTTTCGAATAATGTTAGATTTACTGATGATTTGGTGCAGAATTGATGAATGAATACGAAAAAATTGTTTTGGATTTTTCGCAAAAACTTAGAATTCTGTGCTGAAAACCGATAAAAATCACAAATTTCATGATTTTCAGCACAAAATTTCAGCCTAGAAACTCAATTTTCATCCGAGGGACTAGAATTTGAATTTTGCAAAACCTAGTCCCCGAATTCAAATTTTTCTAGATCAAAATTTTGTGCTGAAAATGATAGATTATCTGAAAATCTATAAAAACATGATTTTCAGCACAAAATTTCAGCCTAGACACTCATTTTTAAGTTGAGGGACTAGAATTTGAATTTTGCAAAACATAGTCCCCGAATTCAAATTTTTCTAGATCAGAATTTCATGCTTAAAACGATGGATTATCTGAAAATCGATGAAAATCACAAATTTCATGATAATCAGCACAAAATTTCAGTCTAGAAACTCATTTTTAAGTTGAGGGACTAGAATTTGAATTTTGCAAAAAACCTAGTCCCCGATTTCAAATTTTTCTAGATCAGAATTTTGTGCTGAAAATGATAGATTTTCTGAAAATCAATGAAAATCACAAATTTCACGATTTTCAGCACAAAATTTCAGCCTAGACACTCATTTTTTAGCTGAGGGACTAGAATTTGAATTTTGCAAAACCTAGTCCCCCCTTTGTTCACGAATTTTGTTGTCTAGATCAGAATTTCGTGCTGAAAACGATAGATTATCTGAAAATTGAAGAAACTCACAAATTTCATGATTTTCAGCACAAAATTTCAGTCTAGAAACTCATTTTCAAACTTAGGGACTAGAATTTGAGTTTTGCAAAACCTAGTCCCCGAATTCAAATTTTTCTAGATCAGAATTTTGTGCTGAAAACGATGGATTATCTGAAATTTCATGAAAGTCACAAATTTCATGATTTTCAGCACAAAATTTCAGCCTAGAAACCCCATTTTTAAGTTGAGGGACTAGAATTTGAATTTTGCAAAACCTAGTCCCCCATTTTTTTCAGGAAATTTATTTTCTAGATCAGAATTTCATGCTGAAAACGATAGATTATCTGAAAATCAAATGCCACGTCATCAAACTACACTCTAGTTTTTGGAAAATGATTTTTTTTTCGAGAAAAAATGCAAGAAAAAATACGTTTCAAAAGTTTTTCGAAATTTGGGTGTAGAAAAAAAATTTATTTTAGAAAAAAAACCCGAAAATTTTCAATAAAAACCTGTCTGGAGCGAAAAAAAAAACAAAGTACAAAAAAAAAATCAATATCTTGATCTTTTCACATCAACCATCGTATTATTATTTAACTGATCAGCCAATTGATTGACATCAATTCGAAACTGAACTCGATCATCATCATTCAGATTTTGAGATCCCCCATTAAAACTCGAAGAATTTTGAAATTTCCCCAAATCCCCATAACTTGTGATAACTTTCATTTTCTCTACAGTATCTGTGATCTCTTCCTGTCTCGTATTCTCATTCAACTTCTTGCTGAACATATACTTCCGGCGTTGTTTAGAAGTTCCGATCCAGAAGACTTTGGAGAAGAAGAGACAAATTTCGGTGATTGTGATGACTGACATTCCGAGGAACATTCCCATGTTTCCACCAATGTCACCTGCAAAAATTGGAGCATTTTGAGATCTGATAAGCCTAGGGCTCGAAATTCTGCATTTTTTGATACTAGATAAGCCTAGGATTCAGCTGGGCCTCGAAATTCGGGATTTTTTGATACTAGACAAGCCTAGGCCTATTTCAGGCCCTTCTGAAGTTGAGCCTCAAAATTTGGAGCATTTTTTTTTGCTCAAAAATTCATGCTCCACAATGTTTCCAAAAGGGCTCATTAAAACATTTCCGACGGCAAAAATCACGAAATTTTTCTTCAAAAAAAATGTGATAACCGGGATTTTTATGAGCATTTTATCAGTTCATCGAGCAAACTACAGTAACCCTGGAAAATTCTGGGGAGTTAAAAATGACCTTAGGCTTCTAAAGTGTCTTCAGAAGCTTCAGCTTAGGCTTAACGAAGTCCTTAGGCCCAGGCTTAGGCTTAACAAAGCTCTTAGGCTTAGGCTTAGGCTTAACCAAGCCTTTAGGCTTAACCAAGCCCTTAGGCTTAACCAAGCTCTTAGGCTTAACTAAGCTCTTAGGCTTAACCAAGTCCTTAGGCTTAACTTAGCCCTTAGGCTTAACCAAGCCCTTAGGCTTAACTAGGGCTTAACCCAGGCTTAGGGTTAGCTGAGCCCTTAGGCCCAGGCTTAGGCTTAACTAAGCCCTTAGGCTTAACTAGGGCTTAACCCAGGCTTAGGCTTAGCTGAGCCCTTAGGCTTAACTTAGCCCTTAGGTCCAGGCTTAGGCTTAATTTAAGGCTTAGGCTTAACTAAGACCTTAGGCCCAGGCTTAACTAAGGGCTTAGGACCAGGCTTAGGCTTAACCAAGTCCTTAGGCTTAACTAGGGCTTAACTTAGCCCTTAGGCTTAACCAAGCCCTTAGGTCCAGGCTTAGGCTTAACCAAGTCCTTAGGCTTAACTTAGCCCTTAGGCTTAGGCTTAGCCTTAACTAGGGCTTAACTTAGCCCTTAGGCTTAACCAAGGCCTTAGGTCCAGGCTTAGGCTTAACCAAGTCCTTAGGCTTAACTTAGCCCTTAGGCTTAGGCTTAGCCTTAACTAGGGCTTAGGCTAAATGAAGACCTTGGGCTTAGGCTTAATTAAGCCCTTAGGCTTCTAAAGTACCCCTAAAACCCTAAGAGCCCCAAAAACTCACTCAAAAGTTGTGTGATCGACGCATCCTGCACCTGATTATATTCCGTATACGACATATCACGATAGAAAATGTTGATCATTTGAAAATTGGAGCGCATATGCGCGTTTGTCCACGTGGCGTTTTTGGCGTGTAGCCAACTCAGCGCCCCGTTTGACAATCTTGAGCCATAGGAATTGTAGGCACGGTAGACTAGGGAATTGCATTCGATGCGGCATTCGTTGCATTGCGGCAGATTGATGGCGAATTTGTCGGATTGCGATGTTCGCATGTGATTGTCGACACAGGTGTACGTCTCGAATGGATTGCATTCTTTGTATTCTGCAACAAAAATCGGTTGTGGCCTAACTTTTGCATATAGAATTCCTAGTCCCTCCGCTCTCAAAAGTATTTGTGGCCGAAGTTGGATTTCTAGACCAGGATTTCATCCTATTGGCTAAGACTTTTCAAAAACGGGCTGTGGCCTAACTTTTGCATTCCTAGTCCCTCATCTCGTGATTTTAGAAGCCTGGGAAGCCTTATTGTAAGACTTAGGCCTCTAAGGCTTCTAAGGCTTCTAAGGCTCCTTAGGCTTCTAAGGCTTCTAAGGCTTCTAAGGCTTCTAACGCATGGAATAGGATTTCTATGTGCAAAAACTAGGCCACAACCGAAAAAAAAAATTTTTTTTTTGAAAAACTTTTTTTAAATAGGAAAAAAATATAGTTTTTCGACATTTTCTGAATCGAAATTTTTTGTAAAAAAAGTTTTTTATTATTTTTTTTGACCCATAAAGATTTTGGATTTTCTGACGAATTCTAGTTGAATTTTCAGATTCTTCTTGATTATCTGAAAAGTTCAAGATTCTGAAAAAATTCTGAATATTTTCCAAATTTTCTGAATATTTGTGAAATCTGTGGGAAACTCATGAAATCTTCAGAATTTTCAGCTGAAATTCTGAATTTTTTTTTTTTGACATTTTTTTCCACACAAAAATGAAAAAAATGTCAAAAAATAGGAAAAAAATATAGTTTTTTGACATTTTCTGAATCGGAAATTTTTAGAAAAAAAATTTTTTTTTTTCTGAAAATGAATTTCATAAAAATTCACATCTTAAATTCATTTTTTTAAATTTTTTTAAAAACTGAATTTCTGGTAGTTAAAATTAGGATATTTTCAGCGCGAAATTTCTAATTTCTGAAAAAAATAATTTTTTTCTTGAAAAAATTCAATTTTTCGATTCAGCAAATGTCAAAAAACTATACTTTTTGACATTTTCTGAATCGAAATTTTTTGTTTTTTCATAATTGGAGGGACTAGGATTTCTATATGCAAAAGTTAGGCCACAACCAATTTTTGAAAAGAATTTTCTGAAGGTCGCGGCCGAATTTTTTTTTGGTTTTCTCGTCCCCCTTCACTCACTATTCTCCAAATTGTAAAGAGCCGGAGAGCATCCGCAAATCTCGAAATACTGTCTGGCTTTACAGAGAGCCACACAACTTGTGGAAGTGTAGGATAGATTTGTTGGTTGAAGATCTGCCGGATATTCGTCGGTGCAATTTCCCCAATTTTCAGCCGACAGCAGGAGGAACTGCAACAAAAAATCAATAATTTGGCGCCACGTGGATTTTTTTTTACACCGTGTTTGGGCTCAAAATGCTCCAAATTTCCCGAAATACACCGTGTTTGGGCTCAAAATGCTCCAAATTTCCCAAAATACACCGTGTTTGGGCTCAAAATGTTCCCAAAAACCTACCCGATCACTAGTAATCGCCGAATACGCAACACTATTCGGAGACACCGTGAACTCGTCCGAAGATAAATGTGGAATCGAATCTGGTGGGTGCACAAAGTAGCGGAAACCATCAACGAAAGAATTTGTGAACAATGGTCCCATCGTGCCATTTTCCCCATCAAATTGCTCTTCCAAATGTGCGTCGAGAGTTAGCTGAAGTCCGGCGCTGATTCCTGGCTCCGTTTGTTTTCGCATCCATGATTTTTCGGATTTTGACATGTCTAGTGTGTAGCATTTTCCCATTGGTGTCAGGATTGGTGTGGCTAGGGAGCAACAATCGAAACTGGAAGAATTTGGAGCTCAGGGAATTTTTAGACGTCAAGAAATTCAAAAATTAAAGGCACGTGGTTTTTTTCTGTGAAACTTCAGATTCTGAAAATTTCAATTCAAATTTTCAAAAGTGAATTTTGCCACGTGGCATTTTTGGAGCGAAAAATCCGAATTCAAATTTTCAAAAACGAAAAAGTATTGGCGGCAAAATTCAGATTCCGAAGTTTGGAAATAATTTTTGCCACGTGGATTTTTACAAAAAAAAATTTGAGTTCAAATTTTCAAACTCAGATTCTGAAATTTAAAAAAATAAATTTTGCCACGTGGATTTTTTTTCGTGAAATTTCAGATTCTGAAATTTTAGCTATAAATTTTTGCCACGTGGATTTTTGGAGCGAAAAATCCGAATTCAAATTTTGAAAGCTGAAACGCCACGTGGATTTTTACAACAAAAAAAATTTAAATTCAAATTTTCAAAAGTGAATTTTGCCACGTGGATTTTTGGAGCGAAAAATCCGAATTCAAATTTTCAAAAACGAAAAAAAAATTCTAGAATTTCCAGAATTGAATTTCCAGAATTGAATTTCAGAAAAATTCAGAGGGATTCGAAATTTTGCCACGTGGATTTTACAACAAAAAAAAGTTGAGTTCAAATTTTCAAACTCAGATTCTGAAATTTCAAAAAAAAAAATGTCGTATACAAAAATTTTGCCACGTGGATTTTTACTGAAAAAAAAATTTGAATTCAAATTTTCAAGCGCCAGATTCTGGAAAAATTTTTTTTAACGTCGTATAAATTTTGCCACGTGGATTTTTTTGCACTAAATTTCGAATCTCAATTGGTTTTTTGACGTCAAAAAAATGTTGCCACGTGGATTTTCAGCGCAAAAAAAATCGATACTTTTTTGGGGCGTGGCTCTAAATTTTGACACGTGGATTTTTACAACAAAAAAATTTGAGTTCAAATATAAATTTTTAGCGCTTTTTTATGTGGATTTTTCGGCGCGAAAAAATCCGAATTCAAATTTTCAAACGAAAAAATAATCTAGTTTTTGCCACGTGGATTTTCGCTACCAAAAAATCCCCAAACTCACATAGCTCCCTCAAAAGAGCACAATTTCAAAACATCTGCGCACTCAAACCCTCCATCCCAAAAAAACTTGTCCGGCGTAAAATCGGAGTGTCGTTTCTGATACGCCTCCAAACTCAGATTTCCCTGATGCAGTGTTTCTCGATCATTTCCGCCGATCAGCGACAGAATCTCAACATTGTAGTTCATCAGATAAGTTATCATATCTTCGGTGACGTCACCGCCGCCCGTTTGATTCAGGTTTGTCACGTAGGATTTTCGGATTGGGTTGAGATTGCAGACTGTGACATGGGGAAAGTCCAGACCTTCTTCGTTGATCAAAAATGAGACCTGGAAAATGGGCTTAGGCTTTAAGAGCTTCTAAGGGCTTTTAAGAGTTTCTAAGGGCTTTCAAGAGCTTCTAAGGGCTTCTAAGGGCTTTTAAGAGCTTCTAAGAGCTTCTAAGGGCTTCTAAGGGCTTTTAAGAGCTTCTAAGGGCTTCTAAGGGCTTCTAAGGGCTTTTAAGGGCTTCTAAGGGCTTCTAAGAGCTTCTAAGGGCTTTTAAGGGCTTTTAAGAGCTTCTAAGGGCTTTTAAAGGCTTTTAAGAGCTTCTAAGGGCTTTTAAGGGTTTTTAAGAGCTTTTAAGGGCTTCTAAGGGCTTCTAAGGGCTTTTAAGGGCTTTTAAGGGCTTTTAAGGGCTTCTAAGGGCTTTTAAAGGCTTCTAAGGGCTTCTAAAGGCTTTTAAGAGCTTTTAAGGGCTTCTAAGGGCTTTTAAAGGCTTCTAAGGGCTTCTAAAGGCTTTTAAGAGCTTTTAAGGGCTTTTAAGGGCTTTTAAGGGCTTTTAAGAGCTTCTAAGAGCTTCTAAGAGCTTTTAAGGGCTTTTAAGAGCTTCTAAGGGCTTCTGACTAACCTGCGAAATCACGGGCTTCTCCAAATACTGTGCAACCAAAATCACGACTTGAGTTATCAAAAGTCCCAGCGAGCACGCCACCATAATCGCCCAAAATAGTGTGGCCCAATGTTTTCCCTTGAAAATACGTTTCGGTCCGTGCATAGTTGTGGTCTCTGTGTAGATCAAAAAATTGTAGATCAAAAATATTTTTTGGCGCCAAAATTCTTACCACAAAAATGCTGTGTCTCCCTGGTTACGGATACCGTACCCTGTGCGCCTTTAATTTTTTTCAACTGCGAAACCGGCATCTCTAGAATCATCTCTGATCGCATATCACTTGTGGTGGCGTTCCTTTAAAGGTACATGGGTTACTGTAGCTCAAAAAGTGTGCAAAAACTTACGATGTTCGCGATGAACTGGGTCCCGCTTGGAAATTGATCAAATACGTGTCGTCGGGCTCGAAATTGTGATTTTTGTAGGCGGCTCCCAAATTTTGCACGGTATTTTGTGCCATGATATTTTTGAGCTGGAAAAATTTTTTTATTTTTTTGAAAAATTTAAATTTTTGAAATTTTAAAATGAGTCAGAAATAAGTTTTATCAAAAAATTAGTCATCAAAGAGAAAATTTTTTGGAAAAAAAAGTTTTCCTAATTTTTCGGGGTACTGTAGAGGTAACTATAGTGTAGTTTTCAAAAACTTCAAATTTGATCTACAGTACTCTTGAACGATTACTGTAGATTCCAAAATTATTAGATTTCTGAAAATATTCGTGGATTACTGTAGTTTCCAGATACTCTAAGAATCTGGAATTGGCATGATCTACAGTACTCTCAGAGGTTACGGTAGTTTGAGAAGTTCTCTAGAGGATTACTGTAGCTTCCAGATATTTTAAGAATCTGGAATTTGCAATTTACATATCCATAATCTACAGTACTCTCAGAGTATTACTGTAGTCTCAAAATATTTCAAAATAATTGGATTTTAAGCTACAGTACCTCTGAAAGTAGTTGATTTTCAGAATTTTGGAAATTCATCTACAGTACTCACCAAAGTTTACTGTAGATTTCAGAATTTTCAGAATTTTATCAACAGTGTTTCAAAAAGGTTACTGTAAATTCGAAAAAAATCCTCAGGATTCCAAAAAAAACCCCTAATTTTTCCTTAACCCCAACCTTAACGCCCTAATTTTTTCCCAAAATTTTTTTTCTCAGAAAAAGCTCAAAAAAGGCTCAAAAAATCGGCCGGAAAGGCGGCGAGCACATCAAAAAAAAATCCAGTGATAAAAATAATCAAATTATCATTTTCGGGTACAAAAGAGAGGCGGAGAGCACACGAAAAAATTTTTTTTTCTTTTTTTTTGTCGCTCGGCACGCCAAAGTTGTTTTATGATAAGAGAGAATTGGATTACTGTATTTGCAATAAAATTTGTTTTAGAATTTAAAAAAAAATGTTAGATTACTGTAGCTTGACCCTAGAAGATGTACAGTAATCAACCGAAGTGTACTGTAGGTTTGGAATATTTTTTGGATGAACAATTACCGGGTTACTGTAGGTCTCATCTCAAAAATGCCAGCTGATTTTTTTCAATCTACAGTAACCAAATTGGGGATATTTCAGAATCTGAAGTTCGATTACTGTAGATCAAGTGTGGCACAAAAACTTGAGGATACTGTAGTCCGGTTTCTGTAGATCAAAAAATTTCCCGCCAGAATTCTAAGAAGCTACTGTAGATCAAGACAAAAAAAATAGGATTTTTTTCGAAAATATCAAAAAAAAAATCACAAAATTTTCAAAAATGTACAAAAAATTTGCAAAAATGCCCATAATTTATACCATTTTTTTTTACAACTCGCAAAAATTTCCTTTATGGTAAAAGTAAACAAAAAATTCTTTTTTCCATGTTTTTTTCGCTCGCTTGATTTTCTCATGCGATTTATCAGAAATTTATCAAATTTTTCTTTTCAGGATAGTGCTACGATGCTCCGGGATGACGGGGGTTTTGGCGCGAAATTTTGAACTAGTTTCTTTGGTCGGAATACTACGATGCTCCGCAATGACAGCAGTTTTGGCGCGAAAATTGAGATTTCAAAAAATCTGTGAAATTATTTCCAGAAAACTACGACGCTCCGCGAAAACGGGCGGTTTTGGCGCGAAAATTGGGATTTTCAAAATTCTGCGAAAATATTTTTTTGAAAACTACGATGCTCCGGGATGACGGGGGGTTTTGGCGCGAAAATTGGGATTTTCAAAATTTAGTGAAATTATTTTTTGGAAACTACGATGCTCCGGGATGACAGCAGTTTTAGCGCGGAAATTGGGATTTTCAAAATTTAGTGAAATTATTTTTTGGAAACTACGATGCTCCGCAATGACGGATGCGCTGAAACAAGAATTTCAAAAAATTTTTTGGTTATAAAATTTCTAATATGAAACATGCCTGGCTCAAGAAAAACAACAACACTCCGCAATTCCGCCACCAAAATTCTCTAAAAAATCTCCGATTTCTTATCAGTTCACAAGTGCAATTACCACACAAAAAAAAACACCGATTTTTAATCATTTTTTTGCTGGCCGATTGATAAAAAAACCTATGAATATACATAGATGAGTTATTTTTGACCGGTCAATGATACAAAAATAGTCAGGGGAAAAAATCAGGAAAGGAATTTTTGAACAATTTTTTTAACTCCAAAATTCGCCAGTCGTTTGTGAGTCGAAATTTACCAAAAAAATTTGAAACGTATTTTTTCTTGCAATTTTTTTTTGGTAAAGTAGAAAGCTAGACAACTCTGAATTCTCCGAAAATCATTAAAGACTAGAGTGTAGTTTGATGACGTGGCATTGAGTATTTGAAAAAAAAACTTTTTCAGATAATCTATCGTTTTCAGCACGAAATTCTGATCTAGAAAAATAGTTGCTGGAAAAAATGGGGGACTAGGTTTTGCAAAATTCAAATTCTAGTCCCTCGGCTTAAAAATGAGTTTCTTGGCTGAAATTTTGAGCTGAAAATCATGAAATTTGTGATTTTCATCGATTTTCAGATAATCTATCGTTTTCAGCATAAAATTCCAGCCTAGAAACTCAATTTTCAACCGAGGGACTAGAAAATTTGAATTTTGTAAAACCTAGTCCCCCATTTTTTCAGGAAATATGTTTCTAGATCAGAATTTTGTGCTGAAAACGATGGATTATTTGAAAATCGCTAAAAATCACGAATTTCATGATTTTCAGCACAAAATTTCAGCCTAGAAACTCATTTTTCAACCGAGGGACTAGAAAATTTGAATTTTGCAAAACCTAGTCCCCCATTTTTTTCAGGAAATATGTTTCTAGATCAGAATTTCGCGCTGAAAACGATAGATTATCTGAAAATCGATGAAAATCACGAATTTCGTGATTTTCAGCACAAAATTTCAGTCTAGAAACTCATTTTTAAGTTGAGGGACTAGAAAATTTGAATTTTGCAAAACCTAGTCCCCCATTTTCTCTGGAAGTATGTTTCTGGATCAGAATTTTGTGCTGAAAACGATGGATTATCTGAAAATCACGAATTTCATGATTTTCAGCACAAAATTTCAGCCTAGAAACTCATTTTCAGGCTGAGGGCGAGTGTAGATCAAAATCCCGCGTAAGCGGTTCGAGCGAAGCGAGTGTATGTCCCTTTAAAATACTGTAGCCTCAAGTTATCTGCTTTGGTGAGTTAGCTTAACTTTTTTGTTATTTTTTTCATGTATTTTTCAAATTTCACATTATTTTTCATCGATTTTTTCAATTTTCCCAAAATCCCTCCCGAAAAAAACTCACAAATCGCTTCTATTTCACACAAAAATCATCAAAAATTCGAAATCCTCCAAGCTTTTGTCATTTTTCGAGCTGAAAATCAGAAATTTTTACAGCAAAATTCATTTTTCTCTAGAAAAAACCCACCTTTTTTCGATAATCCTTGGATTTTCGATAATTCCAGCCTTGTAGAACATCTGAAAATTGCAATTTTTGTCTGAAATTCACTGAAACCTGAAAACCCAGCAAAAAAAAACAAAAAATGAAAATATTCGTGTGTTGCGCTAAACCGCGGGCAAGCGGAACTTCGGAGTGTCGTTGTAAAAATTAAAAATATTTTAAAAATAAATTTATAACAAAGTAAAAAATCTGTAAAGCATAATCCTGAGTAATATTTAAGCTGAAAATCTCTGAAAATCACAAAAAAATTGGTTAAAAATCAGTTGCCGAGACCAATCGATTCGAAAACATGGCCATTTGGACTTGAACAGTTTTGGGTGCACAATATTCGGCTTCTTCCGACAGATTTCGATGTCTTTTGAGTTTTTGTTGAGCTAGGAATTTGTAGCAATCGATGACGATTCGAAGACACCAAACCTGCAATTTTCGAGATGATTTTTGATAAAATTTGCAATTTTTTGAGTCTAAATTTGATTTTTTCTTCAAATTCAACGATTTTCGATAAAATTTTCAATTTTTTGAGTTTAAATTTGAATTTTTCTTCAAATTCGACGATTTTCGATAAAATTTTCAATTTTTTGAATCTAAATTTGAATTTTTCATAAAATTCATCGATTTTTGATAAAATTTGCAATTTTTGAGTCTAAATTTGAATTTTTGCTCAAATTCAACGATTTTTGATAAAATTTGCAATTTTTTGAGTCTAAATTTGAATTTTTCTTAAAATTCAACCATTTTTGATGAAATTTACGATTTTTTTAATCTAAATTTGAATTTTTCTTAAAATTCAACCATTTTTGATGAAATTTACGATTTTTTGAATCTAAATTTGAATTTTTCTTCAAATTCAACGATTTTTATTCAAAAACAACTAATTCTAGAAGATTTTCGATAAAATTTTCAATTTTTTGAGTCTAAATTTGAATTTTTCTTGAAATTCAATGATTTTTCATCAAAAACAACTAATTCTAGAAGATTTTCGATAAAATTTTCAATTTTTTGAGTCTAAATTTGAATTTTTCTTGAAATTCAATGATTTTTCATCAAAAACAACTATTTCTGGACATTTTTTCGAGTGTAAATTTGAATTTTTCATAAAATTTAACGATTTTTATTCAAAAACAACTAATTCTAGAAGATTTTTGATAAAATTTGCAAGTTTTTGAGTTTAAATTTGAATTTTTCTTCAAATTCAACGATTTTTATTCAAAAACAACAATTTCTGGACGATTTTCAGCCCAAAAATTCGAAATTTTCAGCAGAAATCCAGATTTTCACCCCAAAAAACTCACATTTACAATTGCACCAACTAAATACATTAGGAAAAATAGCAAAAGTGTTCCGCACAAAAAACTTGAAATAATACTTGTTGAGATCATTGGTGAGGGGAGGGAAATCTGGAAAAATTTGAATTTCGCGCCAAAAAATTTACATGTTCCTTTGAAAATTTGAATTTCCAAATTTTGGCGCCGAAATCGTTTTATGTTCCTTTAAAATTCAAAAATCGTCGAATTTTTTTGAAAAATTTGAATTTTTGAATTTTTGCAACGATGCTCCGCTGATAACAATGAATTTTTTGGCGCCAAATTTTGAAATTTTGAAAATTTTTATTAATTTGGCCATTTTTTCACATTTTTTTAATTAAAAATCGATAATTTTCAATTTTTCCCGCCAAAAATTAAAAAAAAGGAATTTCGGCGTCAAAATTTGCTCATGACGTGGCAACTTTGAAATTTTGCAACGATGCTCCGCTGATAACAGTGCATTTTTAGGCGCCAAATTTTGAAAATTTGAAAATTTTAATTGAAAATATTGTTTCTAGACCAGAATTTGGCCATTTTTTCAAATTTTCTATCAAAAATCGATAATTTTCAAATTTTCCTGCCCAAAATTTAAAAAAAAAGGAATTTCGGCGTCAAAATTTGCTCATGACGTGGCAATTTTGAAATTTTGCAACGATGCTCCGCTGATAACAGTGCATTTTTAGGCGCCAAATTTTGAAATTTTGAAAATTCTATCAAAAATCGATAATTGAAAATCTAGAAAAAATTTGAATTTTTTTTAAATTTAGCAACGATGCTCCACTGATAACAGTGCATTGTTTGGGCGGCAAAAAAATTATTTCAATTTTTTTTTCAAATTTTCCCGCCAAAAAACCCGCTTACCAAACTCTCAGCCGCTTTTTCGGGATTCGTAACAACCAGCAAAATTTGCAACGATGCTCCGGAGAACAGTGCATACAATGCGAATCCAGCCATTCCCAACATACTCAAAACAATCATTGTTTGCATTACAATGTGGGGCACCAAAAGCACGCCGATTTGATAGAAAATCGCCAAAAATAGGAGAATGCAGACGAGGAAAAGGAGAAGTGAGGAGAATATTATTAGAATGACGTTTTCTGATGAGCTCCATGAGCCAGTTAGCAGCTGAAAATGAGAAAAAATGCAGATTTTTGAGCCAAAAATCGATAATTTTGATCAAAATTGTGATATTTTGAGCCCAAATTTGATGGGAAAACGTGGATTTTTTGAATTTTCACAATTTCGCGCCACGTGGAATTTGATTTGACGTGAAAATGCAGAAAAAACATCAACTTTGACGTGAAAATGCAGAAAAACATTGAATTTGACGTGAAAATGCAGAAAAACATTGAATTTCACGTGAAAATGCAGAAAAACACCAAATTTGACGTGAAAATGCAGAAAAACGTGGAATTTTACGTGAAAATGCAGAAAAACATCAAATTTGACGAGAAAATGCAGAAAAACATTGAATTTGATGTGAAAATGCAGAAACACATCATATTTGACGTGAAAATGCAGAAAAACATGGAATTTCACGTGAAAATGCAGAAAAACATCAAATTTAACGTGAAAATGCAGGAAAACATCAAATTTGACGTGAAAATGCAGATTTTTTCGAATTTTCCCCATTTACAAAAAAAAATCTCACCTGATAACTCAAAATGGCCAATTCAGTCAACGCGATTCCAATCGATAAATATCGAACATGCAAAAAACAGCGCTTCTCTTCGATTTGCTCATCTTCTTGACTTGGCTGAAAATTTTCAGATTTTTGACTGAAAATCGCGATGTTTTTTGACTCACCGCATTTTCATTGTAGATTTTTCGCTTCGAGACCATGATTTTTGGCGGCAAAAATATTTTTTTTCACCAAAATTCGAAAAAAAAAAGAAAAAATCAATAAATAATTTGTTTTTCGAGGTCGTTTACCAGAAAAAAGGGAGAAGAATAAAATGAGGACAAAATTACGATTGGGAACGGAGAAAAAAGCGAAAGTTGGGGATTTTTCCCGCCAAAACGTGGCAATTTTGGCGGGAAAATTAAATTTTGAAATTTTGTGGGAATTCGGGATTTTTGAGTGTAAATTTGGTGATAATTTGAAAATTTTCCCGCCAAAACGTGGCATTTTTGGCGCGAAATTCAAATATTCAAATTATATTTTTTAAACAATTTTTTCGCGCCAAAACTATTTTTTTTTTTTTGCAAAAATCAATAAAAATCGTATACTATAACTTTTTTTTCTAATTTTTTGTCATTTTCTAAAATTAGCACTCAACAAAAAAACCAGTAAAACTGGAAAAAAAGCGAGAGAGACGCAGAGAAAAAAGTTTTTTTTTTGTTTTTTTTTTCGAAAAAACTTTTTCGTCACACCTTTCACGATTTTTCAAGGTCAGGTCAAGTATTTTGGGTCTCGAAGCGCAAAAAATGTTTTTGAAAATAATTTTTCGCGGATACAGTACTCTTTTTGGTCTCGAAGCGAAAAAATAGAAAAAATTCAAATATTTTCTGAAAAAACTCACTTTTCTGGAACACGCATTCAAAAGCGGGACACGTTGACGAAGTGTGACGTCACTCATTTGTTGTCTGCAAAAAAATTTGAATTTTACACCGGATTTGACGCGCAAATGCAGAAAAACACGGGATTTCACGTGAAAATGCAGAAAAACATGAAATTTCACGTGAAAATGCAGAAAAACATCAAATTTGACGAGAAAATGCAGATTTTTCGAAATTTCCGCGATTTTTCGCCCCAGGAAACCGGAAAAGTGACAGATTATATGATGTATTAATTTCTCTGCCCCAAAAATGGGTTCATCTTTGTCTTTCCGACGGTCGGTCAAAAAAAGGACAACAAAACAGATGGTCGAAAAAGATAACACAAAATTGGAAATCGAATTTTTCCTGGGTAAAATGAGGATATTATTATTTATGGGGGCGAAGAAGAAATTTTAAATTTCAAAAATTTCGCGCGCAAAAATACCTGCGGAGCATCGTTTGAAGGAAAAAAAATGAAAATTTTCAAATTTCACGTTTTGCCACGTCAAAGGTCACGTTCAAAATTTGAAATTCGGACTTTTTTTCATTTTCAAAAAATAATTTTTGGCGCCAAATTTGAATTTTGTTGAAAACCGCTGAATATGACGCAAATATGCACATTTTTCGAATTCTACATGGAATTTGACGTAAATTTACAGATTTTCTATTCGAAACACTCGATTTCACGTAAAAATGCAGATTTTTCGAATTCCACATGAAATTTGACGTAAAAATGCAGATTTTTCCCTATAATATAATAATAAGAGTAAAAAGATGGGGAAAATAAATAAAAAGAAAAGAGAGATTATTAAATTATCATAAAATGATGAGATTTTGTGGCGGTAGATGGATTATATGATTTGATATTGTATTATTAATGAGATGGGCGGGTTAATTACACGAAAAATGCGGAAAAATCTGCATTTTCGCGTAGAATTTCGTGTTTTTCTGCATTTTCACGTCACATTTGATGTTATTCTGCAATTTCACGTTAAATTCCACGTTTTTCTGCATTTTCACGTCACATTTGATGTGTTTCTGCATTTTCACGTCAAATTCCATGTTTTCTGTGAAATCAGGTGTTTGAATTCAAATTTTAGCGCGAAAATCTGATTTTCGAAAAATATCTCATTTTCTCGTCAAATCAAATTCCACGTGGCGCGAAATTTTGAAAATTCAAAGAGAAAATCTGCATTTTCGCGTAGAATTTCGTGTTTATCTGCAGTTTTCTGCCAGAAATTCAAAAAATCGGCATTTCTCGAGCTTATAACCCCAAAAAACACAGAAAACCCCAAAAAATCAAAAGAGATCCAATTTTTCCTGTCAAAATACATAAAAATGAACGATTTCTTATCATATGACTGGAAAAAAGCAACAAAAAAACGATTTTTCTGTTTCGAAATTGAGGCGGAAACTGGATATCTGCTTTGATTTGATTTGATTTGATATCACGACACACAGCAAAATTCAATCGACCGCGAAAATTTCTAAGAAGAACTGGGGTGATAAAGTGATTAATTACTACTACCAACTAAATATCTACTTTTTTCGCGCAAAAAAAGAAAAAAAGTGGAGAAAAAGACATACTTTTGAGAGAACAAGGAGCCATGACTCATCTTTTTATGTGATTTTTTACAATTGTGCGATTTTTACCACCACCTTTGTTATACTTTTTTTTGTTTTATGTATTATTTGAAGAACGGAAAAACCACATGGGAAAAAAACACAAAAAAAGCAGAGAGAAAATAATAATATTTTTGCGTGAACGTGAAATTTTCGTGGCAAATGCAATTTCAACGATAATTTTTCAGTTTTTCAAATTTTAAGCGAGCAACAAGACGGCAGCAAATAAAGATGAGTTGTTTTTTTGTTTTGGGTCTCCCTTAAATTCCTTTTCCTCTTCGAACAAATCCACGTGTCTCTCCTGGAGTAAAGTACAGCTCAACTTAGCCTAACTCTGGATAGTGAAGCTTCTTGCGTTGAGCATTAGCCATTGCAATTGTCAGGAACCTCGACATGAGTTAGTTACCTTAACTTGTTGTTTTGGTTAGATATACTCTCGACTTTGTCGACTTGATTTGGTTGGAAAAACTGTGAAGGGAGAGATCGAGGTTCGCTTTTCGAAGTTTTTTTGAAAAGAAAACGTGGAATTATTCGAGGAGGAGGGAAATTTCGACGGTTATGGGAGGGAAAATGCGATATTTCCATGAAAAATCATAATTTTTTGCAGAAACAAACTCGAAAACCATGGAAAACAACAAAAATCAAAGATTTCGGTGAGTTTTTCTAACCAAACAAGAAGAAGTTCTAGAATTTCAGATGGAATGCGGAAGCTATGCTCAAAATTGCATTCAGAAATTCGGGTAGACATAGAAAAATTCAATTTTGATCGGAGCAAAATTGGAAGCCGTCATCGAACATCGAAAATTTCTAATTTTTTAATTATTTTATGTTGCCAGCTTCTTGCGGAAAAGCCAAGAAGCAGGTTTTAACTTTAGTTTTGTTCTAAATTCCACGTGGATTTTTATCATGTGTGTGGAAGTTGTTTAAACTCCAGATTCTTGCAGAAAAGCCGAGAAACTGGAGTTTTGTTTTGAATTACACGTGAATGTTTATCTCTATCCAAAAAATTTGAATTTTCATCGAATTTGACAAAATCGGGTTTGAGAGCAAGAACTTTTTGAAAATCAGCAAATGCAGAAGATGGCCGTGAAAGTGCCAAGTATATCAAAGCTCGTCGATAAATAGCTTGATAATTTTTGGGATTTGAGTTGATTGCCTCATGAAAATGAGATAATGCATCAGAAAGTTGACCCTAAAAACCCCATTTTTGATTCACAAACTCTCATCTAAACCAACCTTGGCCAAAAACGCGTTTCCCAGCTCCAAATCAGTGCTTGAGTAAACAACACCGATTAGAAATAGCCTCAACAATAAACCATACATAATTGTCACCTTTTTACGAATTTGCGAGCTTATAAAGCATTCAAGTACACGTGTACAAGAAGAACACGCGAAAAAAAACAAAAAAAAATCGAATTTGAATGAGCGCGCTGTGTGCGGTGGAGCGAACATGCTTGCTGAGGCGAAATGCGTTTTCAAAAATATTTTTTTCGAACGCAAAATAAAGATCCTTTTCAAAAAATGGAGGAACAATTGGCGAAATTGGATTTGAATTCGAATCCGAATCCAGAACCTGAAGCCGAAGGCGAAGATGAAGTTGGTTGGTATAGTATTCCGCTGGAAATGAGAGAAATCGTCTTGGAAGAGATGACAACTGAAACAAAACGACGATTCTCGATGTGCTCCAAAGATTGTTGGAAGAAGGTTAGAAGATCGAAGAATTTCCTCAAGAAGATCTCGTTGTTTTGGATGGAATTCGATATTAGGATGGAAGTTTTGATTGGCGACGAGTTTTATGTTAAATTCCAGTTTTTTCAAAATAATGAGCAAGAGACAGAATGTTCGATTTTCGGGCCGAATTATCACAAAACTTTCAAAGTTGATGGAGATTTACATATTATTGGTCTTGAATATTTTCAAAAGTTTATTGAAGATGCAATTCATCTTGAAAATCTTGAATTGGAAGTGGTAGGCAAATTTATTCAGGATTAATTTTCAATATTAATATATATATAATTTAGGATAACTTCCCATTCGATAAAATCAATATTCATCATCTGAAGAAGCTCAAAAACTTGAGAATCAACAAGTTTCATTATGCGGAAGAGGAGTTGATTGATCCGTTCGAATCTGGTTTCTTGAATTTTGCTCAATTTTCAAAAATTGAAAATAGTATTAAAATGGAGAATTGTCAAAGTTTGAATTTCGCGCAAGTTTGTGAATTGAAAGCGGGTTTTATTTGCTTGAAAAATCTTCGTTTATCAACTGAGAATTTCGAACAATATTTGAAATTGTGGAAAAATGGAGAAGTTGGGGAGAATATTCAAAAAGTATTCATGCAAACAATCGAGGAAATTGATCGAGAAGAGATTTTAAGAGATTTGGAAACTATTGGCAAGCATGAGAAGTGAGTTTTGGTTTTGAAGATTTTCAAATCTTTAAATAAACACATTTATATTTAGCTACGATGGAAAGATCTGGTTGAAACTTCGAAATTCGGCTGGAGAAACTGCCGAAGTTTCGATGTCGAGCAATTCGGTTTCAATGAATTTAAGAACATCGGATGACGAGTATGAATTCGAGTATGAAAATCTGGAAGATTCTGAAGACGAAGTCGATTTGGAAAATTCGTTGGACGAGTTTTCTGAAGCCGAAATGTATCGCAATTTTTTGAATGACGATGGTTTCGAATTCGGTGATGAAGACGATGACGATTAATTTCGTTGCTATAAGTATTTTTTGTTTTGTTTGAAAAAAATATGTTTTCAACCAATAAACTGTGATGATATTTTGAAATTTGTTGAGGAGGTTCGAAAATCCTGATTTCAAAACAAAATCACTTGAAATCCCGTGAACCTAAAAAACAACTCCGGAGAACAGGGAAATGAAAAATCCTTTCAGAAATGGAGGAAAAACTAGAAAGCAACGTGGCATTTTGAGCCGAAATGTGCGGAAAAATCACCGAATTCACACGTTCTCACAGAGGATTTTTTGACTCAAGATATAGATAAACATTCACGTGGAATTCAAAACAAAACTCCAGTTTCTCGGCTTTTCTGCAAGAATCTGGAGTTTAAACAACTTCCACACACATGATAAAAATCCACGTGGAATTTAGAACAAAACTAAAGCAAAAACCTGCTTCTTGGCTTTTCCGCAAGAAGTTGGCAACATAAAATAATTGAAAAATTAGAAATTTTCGATGTTCGATGACGGCTTCCAATTTTGCTCTGATCAAAATTGAATTTTTCTATGTCTACCCGAATTTCTGAATGCAATTTTGAGCATAGCTTCCGCATTCCATCTGAAATTCTAGAACTTCTTCTTGTTTGGTTAGAAAAACTCACCGAAATCTTTGATTTTTGTTGTTGTTTTCCATGGTTTTCGAGTTTGTTTCTGCAAAAATTATGATTTTTCATGGAAATTTCGTATTTTCCCTCCCATAAGCGTCGAAATTTCCCTCTTCCTTGAAGAATTCCACGTTTTCTTTTCAATTTTTCGTTGAAAAGCGAACCTCGATCTCTCCCTTCACAGTTTTTCCAACCAAATCAAGTCGACAAAGTCGAGAGTATATCTAACCAAAACAACAAGTTAAGGTAACTAACTCATGTCGAGGTTCCTGACAATTGCAATGGCTAATGCTCAACACAAGAAGCTTCACTATCCAGAGTTCGGCTAAGTTGAGCTGTACTTTACTCCAGGAGAGACACGTGGATTTGTTCGAAGAGGAAAAGGAATTTAGGGAGACCCAAGAGAAACAAAAAACTCATCTTTATTTGCTGCCGTCTTGTTGCTCGCCGAAAATTTGAAATAACTGAAAAATTTTATCGTTGAAATTGCATTTGCCACGACAAATTTCACGTTCACGCGAAAACATATTATTTTTTTGTGTTTTTTTTGTAGAAATGTAGAAATAGATCTCTCCAATGTCACTTTTCACATGGAGAATACTAGTTAGAAAAAAACACTGTGAAAATCAAAAAAAAATTCGAATTTGAATGAGCGCGCTGTGTGCGGTGGAGCGAACATGCTTGCTTGCTGAGGCGAAATGCGTTTTCGAAAATATTTTTTTCGAAACGCAAAATAAATCGATATTCATTCCAGATACGCGTAATGAGCTCTTATCTCATTTACAAATACGGTGTACTTGTGAAACGTCGTGAAAAATCATGGTTGGTGGCAATAATCGACGAGAAAACTGATGAAAATCAACAAAATGTTCGACACGATTTGTTCGAATTTCCTGGATGTCTCGGCGATATTATTAAAATTGGAATAGATTTGGATAATGGAGAAGTGAAAAAAGTTGTGAAATACGATGATGAATGGGTTCGCGACGTTGAAATTCGTGGAGATCTTGCGATAATCTACATTTTCCTGAATTTTTGCCGTGAAAACATGGAAAATGTTGTGACATCCGAAACTGGAAAAGAATTCTATATTTTTGGCGGGGATGATGATAGCGATTTTCATCGAGTTGCAATTGCAAAAAATGTGGTTGAGAAAACATTGTCGGAGCGGAATTTGATGCAAAAAGCGGGCGAGAAGATGATTTATCGAGTTGGCGTGGTTTATCAGTGTGTTTTTCTTACTTCTAACGTTAAAAAACCGAAAAAAGTTCATTTTTTCACCATTTTCACCACACATTGAATAAAATGAAGTTAAAACGCTAAATTTTAGCGTCCAGAACTGCTATTTCACGACCTTCTAATCAGCCTGAGTCTTTCAAGCTTTCAAAATCAAATTGTTGATTTTCGAAACTTTTCGAAAACCAACAATTTGATTTTGAAGGCTTGATTTGTCTTTTACGCATCGTACAAAGTGAAAAAATGCAAGAAATCATTTTTTCGCGCATTATTTTTGCATTTTCTGCTGTTTTTCGAGCCAAAATGGACAGAATTTGAAAGGATTTGTCTGAAATGGTGTTTTATTGATAATAGAGGGAAAGCCAGTGGTGAATCAAGAAGAAAAAACGATTTTGAATCTTATTTTTCTTGTTTCACCACTAATTTTCCCTCCATTGTCAATAAAACATCATTTCAGACAAATCCTTTCAAATTCTGTCCATTTTGGCTCGAAAAACAGCAGAAAATGCAAAAATAATGGGCGAAAAAATGATTTTTTGCAATTTTTCACTTTGTACGATGCGTAAAAGACAAATCAAGCTTTTAAAATCAAATTGTTGATTTTCGAAATTTTTCGAAAATCAACAATTTTCTTTTAAAAGCTTGATTTGTCTTTTCGGCTGATTAGAAGGTCTTCAAATACCATTTCTGAACACTAAAATGCGTTTTAGCTTCACTTTATTCAATGGGAATATAGTTGGACATCGACTAAATGACATTTTCATGTTTTTCAAGCAAATGAGTTGAAATATTGGGTTCTAATGTTATTCATAGGATAGAATGGTCTAAGACGAACAGAATGATATAAATTTTGATGACTTTACGTTATCCATAAGTGGTTTAGCGGCTTATCGACTAAAAGTCGCTAAATCACTTAAGGATAACGTAAAGTCATCAAAATTTATATCATTCTGTTCGTCTTAGACCATTCTATCATATGAGTAACATTAAAACCCAATATTTCAACTCATTTGCTTGAAAAACATGAAAATGTCATTTAGTCGATGTCCAACTATAGTAATGTGTTGAGAAAATGATTAAAAAAATGAATAAAAATACCGTTTGTGAATCACTTTTTCGGGTTTTTCAACGTTTTTTGCACAAATTTCTGCAAAAAATAATTTTGCAGACCTCAAACATACCGCAAAAAGCAATGCTTCTGGAAGCACGAAGAAGACACCGAGATTTTGCCAATTTTCGAGTGTTTTGCGAGAGATTCAGTGGTCCCATTCGTAAATCCGATGATGATTTATGGAGTTTTGGATGGAATTGTGATTCGAAGTTGTGGAGAGATGATGAATTTGTTTTGGAACCGAAATATTGGTTGCGCAATTTTGCAAAAGGATTTTTCGAAGGAATTTTTCAAACTTGGCGATGTTTGTCACGTGCTTTATAAGTAAGCCGAGTTTTCCGCGCTCCACCGAAATAAACACGCAACGCAGACCGCGCCGCGTCACAACAAAAGGGAGGGAATTTGAATCGTTCCGTGTGTTGTGGCGCGACGCGGTTTGCGTTGCGTGTTTATTTCGGTGGAGCGCGTGAGGATGGATTTTCGATGGATTTACCGCCAAAAATCTATCTGGTATTAACACAATTTTTTAGTTCACAAGGAACTGTTTCTCTAGATTTTTAATAAAATATATGTTTTCTAGTGGTTTTCGACCTAAAATTGCAGGGCTCAACTTCTAACATGAGTTATGACGTGGCGAATTCCGAAAAATCAGGATTTTGGAGGTCAAAACTCGCTTTCAAGGTGGTTTTCATGAAAATCTGATAGAATAGCGTTGTTCAGGAGGCTCGATTACATAATTACAGAAGGCGCTGATCTTTCTGAAATCCGGAAAATCTGAAATCCGGAAGAGAAGAAAGCGCTGTCTGTAATTATGTAATCAAGCCTCCTGAACAACGCTATTCTATCAGATTTTCATGAAAACCACCTTGAAAGCGAGTTTTGACCTCCAAAATCCTGATTTTTCAAAATTTGCCACGTCATAACTCATGTTAGAAGTTGAGTTTTGTAATTTTAGGTCGAAAACTACTAGAAAACATATATTTTATTAAAAATCTAGAGAAACAGCTCCTTGTGAACTGAAAATTAGTGTTAATTCCAGGTTTTTGGTGGGAAATCCCCCGAAAGTCCACCCAAAATTCATGAAATTTAGACTGAAATTGTCTGAAAATCGCCCGATTTTGCAGGCGCTGTCTTCCCGACACCTCCTTCAACTTCCCGTGCACCCACGACATCTTCGGCGCCCTGCTCAACCGCGATTTCGCCACGTCAAATCTTCTCCACATCCACAAAAACATGACGCGCGGCGAGATCTACATTGAAACCCGCGCGGAATGTCGTGTTTTCGCCGTCACCAATCAATTCTTCTTCGAATTACCCATTTTGGGACGCGTTTTCGACGGAATCTCATCGATTTGGTGTGATTATTTGGAGTCGGGACAAGTGTATTCGTTGAGAATCGCTTTTGAAATCGGCGAAAATGGTTGGCGACCGGTGGTTAAGGATATTTTGGTGGTAGGAATTCACTAGCGTTAAAAAAAACCAGAAAAAATGATTCACAAGCGGTAAAATTCATTGAAATCTGATTTTTGAGCTGAAAATTGAGAAAATTCATTGAAATCTGATTTTTGAGCGGAAAATTCAGAAAATTCATTGAAATCTGATTTTTGAGCTGAAAATTCATTAAAATCTGATTTTTGAGCTGAAAATTCAGAAAATTCATTGAAATCTGGTTTTTGAGCTGAAAATTCAGAAAATTCATTGAAATCTGATTTTTGAGCTGAAAATCCCAGAAAATTCATTAAAATCCCATTTTTTAACCCTGAAATTTAAGAATTTTCTAAAAATTTGTATTTTTGATCTGAAATTCACACAAATTCTTCTGCTTTTTTAAGCTGAAATTCAAAATTTCATGCTGAAAATCCACAAAAATTTTTCGAAAAATTGGTAAGGATTTTGCCACGTGGATTTTATGAAATTGGAGTTTTTTTTTCAAATTTTCAGCACAAAAATCAGAAAGAAAAAAATACGTTTCAAAATTTTAATTTTTTTGCATGAAAATAATTTTTAATACGATTTTCTTCCCAATTTTTCAAAATTTTCCAACTATGCCACTTACAAAAATAACTCATGTTAGAAGTCGAGCTTTGCAGTTTTAGACAGGGGGATCGTGACCAGCGGGTCGAAATCTACTGGGAAACATATTTTTCGAATTTTTTGAATTTCTCGTAATAACAAGAAATTCAAAAAATTGCAAAATTGATTACTAGAAAACCTAGCGGGTCGAAATCTACTCAGAAACATATTCTTCCATCGAAAATTTCGAATTTTTTGAATTTCTCGTAATTTCAGGTAACAAGAAAATACAAGAAATTCAAAAAATTGCAAAATTGATTACTAGAAAACCTAATCTACTCAGAAACATATTCTTATATCCAAAATTTCGAATTTTTTGAATTTCTCGTAATTTCAGGTAACAAGAAAATACAAGAAATTCAAAAAATTGCAAAATCAGCTTCATTTTATTCAAAATGTGTTGAAAAATGGTGAAAAATGGATAAAAATACCACTTTTTCGGGTTTTTTAACGTTTTTTCGAAGAAAATACCTCTAATTTTCCAGCCCAACTTAATTACCCTCAAATGCCGTGTCGTTTTATTGAATGAAGAAATTTGCTACGCAATAATCGATCCAGATTCACCTAACAACAATAAATTTCACGAAATTATCGATTTTATCGCAATTTCGCCACGTGTTTTGTTCAGATCAGATGTTAGGCCTGAAATTCTGAAGGATTTGGTGGAATTGCAAATTCGACCTCCTAATCTGAACCAACAACAACAAATTTGCGAAGCTGTCAATATTTCGGGAATTTTGAAAAACTCAAAAATGATGTGTAATGATTTAGGAAATGTTATGGGAAAAATATGGGTGAGTGGGGGCCCCGAAAAATTTAAAAAAAAATTTTTTCCAGATCCGAAGCACTGCCAAATTCCATGATATTCCATCAAATGGACGTTCTCCAATCACGTTGAAATGTCGAAATTTGCAGCAAATTTTGGTGGATCCTTTGATGTTAACGGAAAGGTTTTTGGATTGTGAAATGGTGGCGGTGAATGCGGAATGGTGGGGATTTTTTTGATTGAAAATTTGGCTGAAAATTCAGAAAATTCATTGAAATCTGATTTTTGAGCTGAAAATTCAGAGAATTTTCTAAAAAAATGTGTATTTTTGAGCTGAAATTCACCCAAATTCTTCTGCTTTTTTAAGCAGAAATTCAAAATTTCATGCTGAAAATCCACAAAATTTTTCCGAAAAATTGGTAAGGATTTTGCCACGTGGATTTTATAAAATTGAAGTTTTTTTTTTCAAAATTTTCAGCACAAAAATCAGAAAAAAAAAATACTTTTCAAAATTTTAATTTCTTCAAAAAAAAAATTAAAATTTTGAAACGTATTTTTTCTTTCTGATTTTTGTGCTGAAAATTTCAAAAAAAAAAACTCCAATTTTATAAAATCCACGTGGAAAAATCCTAAGCCAATTTTTCGAAAAAATTTTGTAGATTTTCAGCATGAAATTTTGAATTTCAGCTTAAAAAAGCAGAAGAATTTGGGTGAATTTTCAGCTCAAAAATCAGATTTCAATGAATTTTCTGAATTTTCAGCTCAAAAATCAGACTTCACTGAATTTTCTGAATTTTCATCTCAAAAATCAGACTTCACTGAATTTTCTGAATTTTCAGCTCAAAAAATCAAATTTCAATGAATTTTCTGAATTTTCAGCTCAAAAATCAGACTTCACTGAATTTTCTGAATTTTCAGCTCAAAAATCAGACTTCACTGAATTTTCTGAATTTTCAGCTCAAAAATCAGATTTCAATGAATTTTCTGAATTTTCAGCTCAAAAATCAAATTTCAATGAATTTTCTGAATTTTCAGCTCAAAAATCAGATTTCAATGATTTTTCTGAATTTTCAGCTCAAAAATCAGATTTCAATGAATTTTCTGGGATTTTCAGCTCAAAAATCAGATTTCAATGAATTTTCTGAATTTTCAGCTCAAAAATCAGATTTCAATGAATTTTCTGGAATTTTCAGCTTAAATATCAGATTTCAATGAATTTTGAGCCAATTTTCAGCTCAAAAATCAGAAAAATATGTTTTTTGTTACAAAAATCCGGATTTTTCTAGTGTTCTAAATCCGTGGAATCGTCCATGTTTCCTGGTCCGCCATTGTGCTCAAAATCTCCAAAAACTCACAAAAATCGTCCCCAAAACGGTGCAAAATCTCATAGATCCAAAAGACGCTTTCAATTTGGTGCATCAAGAAATGTTTCCGAATTTGCGAACAATTTTTGAGAATCGTCCTGAAAATGGGGTGGATTTGAATAGAAGTGATGAGAGTACTGTAGTTGCGGATGGCGAATTTCGAGTGGCTTTGGAAATTGAGAGAAATAATATGAATTTTGATGCCATGAGTTTGGATTCGAGAACAAATCGCACTTATTATTCGGAGGTATTTTTTTGTTGAAAATCCTGAAAAAAATCAAAAAATGTCGAAAAAACATTGAGTTTTTCAGCCAAAAATGATGACAAATCGATATTTTTCAAGCTTCTGGAGTAATTTATGATGAAAATTGACCTTCAGAAGGTTTTGCTGATTTTTCGGAAAATAAAAAAAAATTTTATTTTACGAAAAATCAGCAAAACCTTCTGGAAAGTGAAGCACAGATTTTTAAAAATTGAATGAGCTCAAAAATTCGTTTTTTTCGGCAAAAATTGAGAAATTTAATGTTGTTTGGGCCCAGAAACTGAAAATTTTCGATTTTTGTCCAGAAAATCCGAAAATATTGCTTTTTTATTCAATATTCCATAGATTTCCACTGAAAACTTTCAATTTTTTGAATTATTCTTGGTTTTCAATAAAATATATTATTTTTTCGAGTTTTTCAACCAAAAATGATGAAAATACGATATTTTTCAAGCTTCTGGAGTAATTTCTGATGAAAATTCACCCTGGAATTCACTTTCCAGAAGGTTTTGCTGATTTTTCGTAAAAATTTCGGAAAATTAAGCAAAATAGGGTTCTCAAAGCTTATTTTCATCAAAAATCACTCCGGAAGCTTGAAAAATATCGATTTGTCATCATTTTTGGCTGAAAAACTCGAAAAACTAATATATTTTTATTGAAAACCAAGAATAATTCAAAAATTGAAAGTTTTCAGAGGAAATCTATGAAATATTGAATAAAAAAGCAATATTTTCGGATTTTCTGGACAAAAATCGAAAATTTTCAGTTTCTGGGCCTAAATAACATTAAGTTTCTCAATTTTTTGCCTTAAAAAAACGAATTTTTGAGCTCAAAAATGAGAATCTTCAGAAAATCGGTGTTTTTGAGAGCCCATTACTCATGTTAGAGATGATTTTTATGAAAAACTGAATACAGGGTGATGTACAGCAGGGTGGAGTTACCAAATTTTACCAAATTTTTGACTTTTGGTCACCCTGTATTCAGTTTTTGATATAATCTTCTCTCAAAAACCCCTGATTTTCTGAAAATTCTTAATTTTTGGCTCATTTTTGTGCTCAGGATCTTTCTCAGCGTGAAAAATTTTACGAAAAACTTGAATTTCAGTTAATTTTCCACGATTTCCTTTCAGAAAATCATGAATTTTCGCAATTTTTCCAGATAAAAACCCATCACACACAATCAATTTACGTTCCCGATACAATTTTGGATGAACGAGATTTGGAAAAACGAATTGCTGAAATTGAAGATCTCTCGGAGGAATCAACAAGTTCAAGTTCGAATTGGCCGCAGCGAAGAAGTTTGTTCGGAAACACGGCATTTCAACAAACCCATCGACGTTTTCCGAAAAGAAGAGTCAAAATTGGAATGCGAGAGCCGATTTCGAGAAATTTAGGGGATGAGGAATTTGTTTATGATGTGATTTATAGAAATTTGTGAGTTTTTCTGGTTTTTTATGCAGAAAATTTGAAAAAAACGGGTTTTTTAACGTTAAAAAATTGAAAAAGTGATGAATTTGAGCCAGAAAATTCAGAAAATTCAGTGAAATATGATTTTTGAGCTGAAAATTCAGAAAATTCATTGAAATCTGATTTTTGAGCTGAAAATTCAAAAAATTCAGTGAAATCTGATTTTTGAGCTGAAAATTCAGAAAATTCATTGAAATCTGATTTTTTGAGCTGAAAATCCCAGAAAATTCATTGAAATCTGATTTTTGAGCTGAAAATTCAGAAAATTCATTGAAATCTGATTTTTAAACCTGAAATTAAAGAATTTTCTAAAAATGTGTATTTTTGAACTGAAAATTCACCCAAAACTGTGCTTTTTTGAGCTGAAATTCAAAATTTCAATGAAATTTTATGCTGAAAATTTTTCCTTTCTGATTTTTAGTGCTGAAAATTGACTGAAAATATAAGTTTGATCAATTTTTAGAAGTAAAATTCACGTGAATTTTACTAACTCAAAGAATAATTAATTTATGGTCAAATCAATATTTTCAGTAAATTTTCAGCATGAAATTTCATTGAAATTTTTAATTTCAGCTTTTAAAAGCACTGATTTTTGTGCTGAAAATTTGAAAAAAACTCCAATTTTATAAAATCCACGTGGCAAAATCCTTACCAATTTTTCGAAAAATTTTGTGGATTTTCAGCATGAAATTTTGAATTTCAGCTTAAAAAAGCACAAATTTTGGTTAATTTTCAGATTTCAGGTTTAAAAAATGGGATTTCACTGAATTTTCTATTTTCTGGCTCAAAATTTTCCAGAAAAATGAATAAAAGTTCATAAATCACTTTTTTTTGGTTTTTTCTCAAAAATTCCGAATTTTTCCCCAGAAATCATCGTGAAATGTTCTCACCCAACGATTATTTGCAAATTCTCGAACTTTGGACCAAAAGAATCGCGGGACGATTGGATTTGATCAAAAGAAGCCTGGCTGGACTGATGGCCATCGAAATTCGAGATCATGAAAAAGATTGGCTCGAACAACGAACGCCGTTCAAATTTTTGGTCAGATTTTATGCGACACATAGTCAAATTGATATGAAATATAGGAGTGTTTTTATTCCGGTTGGGTGAGTTTTTGGGAAAAAAATGATTGGGTAGGTCTAGACTAGACTTTAGTTTTGAAAATTCATAATTTTCTGACAATTTTGAGACTAAACAAGACTATAGTTTTGAAAATTCATAATTTTCTGACAATTTTGAGACTAAACAAGACTATAGTTTTGAAAATTCATAATTTTCTGACAATTTTGAGACTAAACAAGACTATAGTTTTGAAAATCCAGAATTTTCTGACAATTTTGAGACTAGACTAGACTATAGTTTTGAAAATTCATGAAATTCTTTTTGAACTGTAAATGTTTTTTTTTTTCAGCGGTCAATTTGCCGAACTTCCAAGATGTTGCAAATTGGGAAAAATGTTGGTTGGACTGCATTTTTCGTCTTTCTTTGATGTGAGTTTTTTTAACTGCACTTTGAGCTCAAAAATTATTTTTTTTTTGGTAAAAATTGAGAAATTTAATGTTTTTTGGGCCCAGGAACTGAAAATTTTCGATTTTTGTCCAGAAAATCCGAAAATATTGCTTTTTTATTCAATATTTCATAGATTTCCTCTGAAAACTTTCAATTTTTGAATTATTCTTGGTTTTCGATAAAAATTTATTAGTTTTTCGAGTTTTTCAGCCAAAAATGATGACAAATCTATATTTTTCAAGCTTCTGGAGTAATTTCTGATGAGCTTTGCAATTTTAGTTAACAGAATCGTGATCAGCTGGTCAAAATCTACTGGGAAACATATTTTTCGAATTTTTTGAATTTCTTGTAATTTCAGGTAACAAGAAAATACACGAAATTCAAAAAATTGCAAAATTGATTACTAGAAAACCTAATCTACTCAGAAACATATTCTTCCATCCAAAATTTCGAATTTTTTGAATTTCTCGTAATTTCAGGTAACAAGAAAATACAAGAAATTCAAAAAATTGCAAAAAAATTAAGAAAAATTCAGAAAATTCAAATTTTCAGCCATTAATTCGAATTGGCGGATATGGAAAGGAAATGGGTCCAGTGAGTTTGGGAAGGGACCAAATGCCGAAATTTGACTATGAAGAAGTTGGAAATGGAAAAGGATTGAAATGGATTCGGGTGAGATTTTCAGCCGAAAAATTATGGCTGAAAATTATTTTTTTTTTCCAGCTAAAAGTCAAACTCACCCGCCCAGCTGCTCAAATTATTCCCAGCCAAATTTTCGAAATTTGGACATGTCAAACTGTCTGTGGACTTGTGATTGTTGAAACCAAGGATTTGATTTTGGATGAGTTGGAACCGGAAAAAATGGATGATTATGAAATGGAAGGAATTATTGAACCGTTGCCTGGTGTGAGTCTCAAAAAATTCATTAAAATCCCAATTTTTGAGCTGAAAATTCAGAAAATTCATTAAAATCCCAATTTTTGAGCTGAAAATTCAGAAAATTCATTGAAATCTGATTTTTGAGCTCAAAATTCAGAAAATTCATTGAAATCTGATTTTTTGAGCTGAAAATTCAGAAAATTCATTGAAATCTGATTTTTGAGCTGAAAATTCAGAAAATTCATTGAAATTTGATTTTTGAGCTGAAAATTCAGAAAAATCTGATTTTTGAGCTGAAAATTCAGAAAATTCAGATTTTTGAGCTGAGAATTCAGAAAATTCATTGAAATCTGATTTTTGAGCTGAAAATTCAGAAAATTCATTGAAATCTAATTTTTGAGCTGAAAATTCAGAAAATTCATTAAAATCTGATTTTTTGAGCTGAAAATTCAGAAAATTCATTGAAATCCCATTTTTAAAACCTGAAAATTCAGAAAATTCATTGAAATCTGATTTTTTAAACCTGACACTAAAAAAAATTTTCAAAAAATTTGTATTTTTGAGCTGAAAATTCAGAAAATTCATTGAAATTTGATTTTTGAGCTGAAAATTCAGAAAATTCATTGAAATCTGATTTTTGAGCTGAAAATTCAGAAAATTCATTAAAATATGATTTTTGAGCTGAAATTCACCCAAATTCTTCTGCTTTTTTAACATACGTCGCATGCCAGGGGTAATCGACCCGTGGAGGGGTTATCCCTGACACCAAATTTTGGAGGGGTTGTCACTTGAGATAAAAATTTTTATGAAATTTTCTCAGTTTTGATGATAATTTTCTCTATATATTCTGCCATAGGGATACCAATTTAAGCCTCAAAAAAGTTCCCACATAAATATCTAATTGAATTAGCGGTAGCAGGCCTTTATTAGACCCTTATCAACTATGCTCCACGATAAAATCCAAAGAAATGAGCCTGGTATCAAGATGGGACCACTATGTCATTTTTTACCCTGTGTTATCAAAGAACACAGGGGTAAAAAGTCACTAGGGGTATCTAATGAATACCAATGAATATTAGACTTGAGTTAGGGGTAGCATGCCTTTATTAGACCCTTATCAACTATGCTCCACGATAAAATCCAAAGAAATGAGCCTGGTATCAAGATGGGACCACTATGTCATTTTTTACCCTGTGTTATCAAAGAACACAGGGGTAAAAAGTCACTAGGGGTATCTAATGAATACCAATGAATATTAGACTTGAGTTAGGGGTAGCATGCCTTTATTAGACCCTTATCAACTATGCTCCACGATAAAATCCAAAGAATTAAGCCTAGTATCAAAATGGGACCATTATGCCATTTTTTCACATATCAACTGACAGTTAGTAACTGTAATATTTGCAAAAATTAAGATTAAGCGACAATGTAGAGTTATTCAAAATTAATATGGATCAATGTGGTTGCACAATTTAATTTATTTAGTGTCTCGTTTAACTAGCTAGATTTGATATGATCTTTTTAAAAATAATCTCTTGGATGAACAAAATTTCATATTTCTCAAAATTAAAAATTCTCGATTTCAAATCTGTAAGGTTTTTTACTTTATCGAATCCGCGATCTATATTCTAATATCATTAAAAGTCAGCGATCTACAGAATAGTAATGTAATCTACAATTACGATCATATTTTTTTCTCAGAGTTTGTGGTTTGATTTAGGGTCAAACTAATGTTTTTGAAATTGATACATTTTCCCTTCTTGGAAATAGTTGATAAGAACCTAATTAAGGTAAATCACCCCTAACTCAAGTCTAATATTCATTGGTATTCATTAGATACCCCTAGTGACTTTTTACCCCTGTGTTCTTTGATAACACAGGGTAAAAAATGGCATAATGGTCCCATTTTGATACTAGGCTTAATTCTTTGGATTTTATCGTGGAGCATAGTTGATAAGGGTCTAATAAAGGCATGCTACCCCTAACTCAAGTCTAATATTCATTGGTATTCATTAGATACCCCTAGTGACTTTTTACGCCTGTGTTCTTTGATAGCCGAGGTGAAAAATGACATAGTGTTCCCATCTTGATACCAGGCTCATTTCTTTGGATTTTATCGTGGAGCATAGTTGATAAGGGTCTAATAAAGGCATGCTACCCCTAACTCAAGTTCAAAATTCATTGGTATTCATTAGATACCCCTAGTGACTTTTTACCCCTGTGTTCTTTGATAACACAGGGTGAAAAATGACATAGTGTTCCCATCTTGATACCAGGCTTAATTCTTTGGATTTTATCGTGGAGCATAGTTGATAAGGGTCTAATAAAGGCATGCTACCCCTAACTCAAGTCTAATATTCATTGGTATTCATTAGATACCCCTAGTGACTTTTTACGCCTGTGTTCTTTGATAGCCGAGGTGAAAAATGACATAGTGTTCCCATCTTGATACCAGGCTCATTTCTTTGGATTTTATCGTGGAGCATAGTTGATAAGGGTCTAATAAAGGCATGCTACCCCTAACTCAAGTTCAAAATTCACTATTTCCCTCATTGATGCAAATTCTGAGCTTAAGCTCAATAATATTGTAATTTTCAGATTTCTATAGCTGGAAATGAAGAAAAAATGAAAAAAGGGGGGGGGGGGTTATCCCTTTCGTCGAAAATTTTCAAAAATAGGGGTATGCACTGGCGGATTTGAAACAGGGGTATGCGACGTATGTTTTTTTAAGCTGAAATTCAAAATTTCAATGAAATTTCATGCTGAAAATCCACAAAAAAAATTTTTTGCCACGTGGATTTTAAAAAATTGGAGTTTTTTTCAAATTTTCAGCACAAAAATTAGAGAGAAAAAAATACGTTTCGAAATTTCAAATTTGAAGAAATTTAAATTTTGAAACGTATTTTTTTTTGCTTTCTGATTTTTGTGCTGAAAATTCGAAAAAAAAACTCTAAAAATCCACGTGGAAAAATCCTTAGCCACTTTTTCAGAAATTTTTCGAGTTTTTTTGAATTTCAGCTTGAAAAGCACAAATTTGGGTGAATTTCAGATCAAAAATACAAATTTTTAGAAAATTCTTTAATTTCAGGTTTAAAAAATGGGATTTTAATGAATTTTCTGGGATTTTCTGCTCAAAAATCAGATTTTACTGAATTTTCTGGAATTTTCAGCTCAAATATCAGATTTCAATGAATTTTCTAAATTTTCAGCTCAAAAATCAGATTTTCAGACCCATTTTTTGCAGGCTCCTTACACGATCAGATCACTTTTAAACAACCTGGAGAATTGCTATTCCCAACCCAATGATCATATAATTTTTTGGCGACTTGTCACCACATTTCGAGGCTCAAATTCAAAACCGACTTTGATTAAAGCGAATCTGATTCCACCTCCACCGCCTCCGCCTTCCAATGAACCGCCCATGAAATTTGAATATACTTATGGAGAAGTTTTGATGGAACACCTGAGAACTGTTGAGAAATTGACACAGGAACGAGTTGATCGATTGAGAGCCAATGGAGATCCGAGGGTATGAGTTTTGGGGTGAAAATTTTGAAAAATTTGAAAATTTCTGAAAATTTCATTGAAAATTAGCCAGGAGGGGTTTTTCTGAAAGAAAATTTCAAAAAAAAATTGAGAAAAAATTATTTTTTCTTGAAAATTTTCTGAATTTTTCTAGTTTCCCTCTGAAATTATAATATTTTTTCAAAATAAATGTATTATTTTTAATATGAGCAATTTTGAAATCATCAATTTTTTGAAAGGCGATCCGAGGGTATGGGTTTTGGGGTAATTTTTGGCTGAAAATTTTGAAAATTTTGAAAATTTCATAAAAAATTAGCCAGGAGGGTTTTTTCTGAAAGAAAATTTCAAAAAAAAATTGAGAAAAAATAATTTTTTCTTGAAAATTTTTAAGTTTTTCCATGATTTTTTCTAGTTTCCTTCTGAAATTATAATATTTTTGCTGAAAATATTGAACATTTTGAAAATTTCATTAAAAATTAGCCAGGAGCCTTTTTTCTGGAAGATTTTTATGTTTTTAGACCCGAAATTTCCAAAAAAAAATTATTTTTTCATGAAAATTTTTCTGAATTTTTCTAGTTTCCTTCTGAAATTATAATATTTTTGCTGAAAATTTTGAAAATTTCATAAAAAATTAGCCAGGAGGGGTTTTTCTGAAAGATTTTTATGTTTTTAGGCCCAAAATTTCAAAGAAAAAAATTTTTTTTTGAAAATTATCATGATTTTTTCTAGTTTCCTTCTGAAATTATAATATTTTTGTGATAAATGTATTATTTTTAATATGGGCAATTTTGAAATCATCAATTTTTGAAAGGCGATCCGAGGGTACGGTATTTTGGGGTAATTTTTGGCTGAAAATTTTGAAAATTTCAGAAAAAATTAGCCAGGAGGGTTTTTTCTGAAAGATTTTTATGTTTTTTTTCCAGAGACAAAAAACTTTTTTCAACAATTTTCTTATTAAAAATTGTTGTGAATAATATTCTTGAATTAATTTTAAAATTTCAAAAAATTTGAAATTTGGAGTTTCGAGAAAAAATTATTTTTTGTTTTTTAAAATATTCGAAAAACAGTTTCAACATTTCAAAATCGAAATTTTCTAGAAAAAATTATATTTTCAGAATTTTCAGAATTCGGGAAAATGTTAGGAAACTTGAAAAAATCAAAAAAATATTTGGAAAAATTTTCAAGAAAAAATAATTTTTTCTCGAAACTCCAAATATCAAATTTTTTGAAATTTTGAAATTAATTCAAGAATATTATTCACAACAATTTTTTTTATGGGGTGAGTCAATTTTATTTTTTGTCAATTAATTGACACAAAATGTGAGTCATTTCTGTGCGATTTTTTCACGTTTTTGCCGATTAATTCCATCTATTTTTGCAATTAATTGCATTCAAAAAAGAAGAATTTCAATATGAAATAGAATGTATTTGACCACTTTTTTGAAACGTGTCCCAAATTCACTGCTTATTTTTTGAATTCATTTCGAAATGAATGAAAATTGAAGGAAGATGATTTTTTTTGTTGATAATTCCAACTCATATAGGTCACGTTTTAAAATATAGGTCAAATAAATTCTATTTTTTTTGCAATTAATCGCATTTTTTGCCAAGAAATGAAAGCGATGAATTGACAAAAACGTGAAATTAATCGCCCTAAAAGACTCACTTTTTTTGTCAATTAATCGCAAAAAACACGTCGATTAATTCGATTGACTCACCCCATTAGGAAAATTTTTGAAAAAAGTTTTTTGTCTCTGAAAAAAATGCTGAAAATTTTGATGATTTCAAAATTGCTCATATTAAAAATAATACATTTATTTTATTGCAAAAATATTATAATTTCAGAAGGAAACTGGAAAAAATCTTTGAAAAATTTTCAGGAAAAATTTTTTTTTGAAATTTTGTAGCATTTTTTTTAGGTCCGAATTTTCGATGGTCCCGAATTGACACCTCAAATGAAGGCTCGAAAAATCCATGTTGATATTCGCAAGGCGCGAATGATGGGAGCACTTGCAAGACTGAAAACCGATCTGAAAATGTGTCATGAGGCGGGCATTTTTGAGACAGTTACTGAGGAACGGGTTGGTGTTTTTTTTGGGAGAATTACAGAAATCCACGTGGATTTCTGGTGTAAAAATTTGAAGAAAAAAAAATTTGGCTGAATTTTTGGGATGAAAAAATGAAATTTTGTAAATTTCCAAATTTTAGCGACAAAAATTGTTTTTTTCCGGTTTTTTTTCGAAAAAATCCAAAAATTTTTTTTTTTCGAAAAAAAAATCCTTAATTTTCCACGCGAAAATAATGAAAAAAAACAATTTTTGACAAAAAATTTCGATTTTTTTTTTCGAGAAAAATCCTAAATTTTCCTGGATTTCTGAATAGATTTTTTGGTTTTTGGTGTGAAAATTTGAAGAAAAAAGGCTGAATTTTTGGCCCGAAAAAATAGAATTCAGAAAATTTCCAAATTTTAGAGACAAAAAATTTTTAAAAAAAAATTTTGACAAAAAATTTCGATTCAGAAAATGTCAAAAAACTATATTTTTCCTATTTTTCGAAATTTTTACAAATTTGAATTTTTGAATCAAAATTTCACTGAAAATAAGACTGGCTTGAAAAATCATCAAAATTTCCAAACCCCGAAAAATTCCAGCTTTTGAAAAACTCGAAAAAAAAAATTTATTTTCAACATACAGTAACCCTTGAAATTCATAAATTTCCGAGTTACAGTACCCCCGAAAAATCATCTTTGAAATTTTCAAACTACAGTATACCTTCAGGACTTTTTGGGAAATTGAAATACAGTACCCCGTAAGAATTGCCTGAAAATCCAAGCTACAGTACCCCCAAAAAATTTTCAAGCACTTTACAGTATACCCTGAAAATCCCGAAAAAAATTGAAAATTTCGTGAAAAAAATTCAGCTTCTCCTAAAATAACCCAAAATTTTCAAAAAACAAATATTTTTTTCGAATTTTTGAATCAAAATTTCATTCAAGTTGAAAAAATTCAAAAAAAAAATTAAAACATTTTTTGTAAAATTTTTTTATTTTATTTTTGTGTGAAATTTGACGTGAAAATGCAGAAAAACATTAAATTTCACGTGAAAATACAGAAAAACATAAATTTGACGTGAAAATGCGGAAACACATCAAATTTGACGTGAAAATGCAGAAAATTTTTTAAAATTCAAATTTTAGCCACAAAAATTATGTTTTTGATAAAAAAAATCCCAAATTTTCCTGTAATTTTCAGATCCAAAAATTGTCGGACAAATACGAAGAAATGACCGATGATTTCCATACACACGCAGTTTATAAACGACGTTTTGCAATTCGATATGGAACACAATTCCTGTTGGATTTGTTGATGGAAGACGGAATTGTGAAAAAAATGCAATTTGAACTTGGTGTAAGAGTTTTTGGGATGAAAAATTCGTTTTTTTCGGCAAAAATTGAGAAATTTAATGTTGTTTGGGCCCAGAAACTGAAAATTTTCGATTTTTGTTCAGAAAATCCGAAAATATTGCTTTTTTATTCAATATTTCATAGATTTCCTCTGAAAACTTTCAATTTTTGAATTATTCTTGGTTTTCAATAAAAATATATTAGTTTTTCCAGTTTTCAGCCAAAAATGATGAAAATTCGATATTTTTCAAGCTTCTGGAGTGATTTCTGATGAAAATGAGCTATTTTATGAATTTTTTCGAAAAAACTTCTGGAAAGTGAATTCCAAGTTCAATTTTCATCAGAAATTACTCCAGAAGCTTGAAAAATATCGATTTTTCATCATTTTTGGCTGAAAAACTCGAAAAGCTAATAAATTTTTATTGAAAACCAAGAATAATTCAAAAATTGAAAGTTTTCAGAGGAAATCTATGAAATATTGAATAAAAAAGCAATATTTTCGCATTTTCTGGACAAAAATCGAAAATTTTCAGTTTCTGGGCCCAAACAACATTAAATTTCTCAATTTTTGCCGAAAAACACGAAATTTTGAGCTCAAAGTGCAGTTAAAAATTGTTTTTCATTCAATTTTTAAAAATCTGAAGGTGTTAAAAAACATTTTTCGTTTGTGAATCAGCCTAACATGAGTATCGAGCTCTCAAAACCACGAATTTCCCAAAATTCTCAACTTTTGGCTCATTTTTTGGGCTCTTCAGAGAGATTTTTCTCGAAAATGCTCAATTTTTCTTTTTGCAGGCTCAAATCAAGGATTTATTGCTTGTGATGATCGATTGTGTCGATTTGAACAATACTTACATCGTCAAAACCGACGATGTTCAAAGAATGGTAAGATTTCGCTAAAATTCACGATTTTCAACAAAAATCTCCTATTTTTTGCAGCTCGTCTACTTCGATGATCAAAATTTGATTTCGAGCGATGATTGAACATTTTTTAAATTTTTTTTTGAATTTTTAATATATTTTTTGCTCCAGTTTGTTGTATTTTGTTAGTCTTGTTAAATATAATGAATTTTCCACTTTTTCCCGCTTTTTTTGCGTCAAAAAACATTTTTTTCGAAAAAAAAAATTGCGCGTCACCAAAAGTCCGCAATGCAATGTGTTTGCACACAACACATTTTACAGTAATCCAAAAGGTTTTTTTGTTCAAAAAAAATTTTTTTTTTTGGGCAAATTTTCGATGGAAAATGAAATATCTAACAAAAAGGGCATAATTTTCAGCTTCAAAACTGGAATTTTCAGCATTTTAAGCCTAAATTTAGCCTGGAATCCAAATTTGAAGGTTTCCAGCTCAAAATTCATCAATTTTCATGAATTTTAGCTGGAAAATTGGAATTTTTGTGATTTTCAGATCAAAATTCATCATTTTCAGCATTTCTAGCTCATTATCAGCTTTCCTGGGTCAAAAATCAAATTTTTTCAAAATTTTTTTTTGAAGAGCTCTTGCTCATTTCATTTTCTCCCAATTTTCATGGAAAAACTTGGAATAGCTTCAATTTTCCTTCCTCTGTCTTCTCCATATTCGATTTAGTTGCAAAAATTCGATTTTCAGCATTTTTCAGCAAAAAAGAAGCGCGCGAAAAAAAAAGACGAGAGAGTGCGATTTGCTGAAGAGACGTTAGAGAAAACGAGAGAGAGAGAGAGAGAGAGTGTGTGTGGAGCGTGGAGGGACGCAGAGAACAAGTGGCGCGCATGGATTTTTTCAAAAATTTCTTTTATTTCTCTCAAAATCCTTCATTTTCAACATAAAAACCATTATTTCAGAGCTCTACATTCCCAAAATCCTCAAAATCCATTGTCGGCTTCTGCGGAATCTTGCATTTCTCATCCAAATTTCTGAAATGCGCCTCAAACTCGAAAAATCGATATGCCATGTAGGAAAATGAGAAAATGTTGGCGATTTGAAGCGAAATCATGAAGAGGATTCGGATTGGTGTCTCGATTTTGGTGTGATGTTTCGATCTGTAAAGGTGGGTGATTTGAGGGGGCTTTTTTGAAAATACATGCGACCGCAACCCACGCGCGCGCATCAAAATAATCAACAAAAAACAAGCGACGAAAACAAATCGCCTAATAGCTCAGTTGGTTGCGCTTTTGCTCTCGAATCTCAAGGTGGCGGGTTCGAGGAACGGTGCGCGCACACTTTTTTTTCTTTTTTTTCTTTCTTTTTTTTTTTTAATTGAGAAAATCTTTATTTGTCACTACCCTCAGATCCCATAGCTTTGGCCACATTTGTGGCATCCGTGTAATTCGGGCACTTCACCATTGTCAGCGGATTGTATTGCTCGCAGCCAATCAATTTTGTTTTCACATTATCCGTGACCTGTAACAAGAATCGGAATTTTTGGCTGAAAATTTATGAATCTATCGTTTTCAGCATAAAATTCTGATCTAGAAAAATTTAAATTCGGGGACTAGGTTTTGCAAATTTCAAATTCTAGTCCCTCGGTTTGAAAATGAGTTTCTAGGCTGAAATTTTGTGCTGAAAATCATGATTTTCATTGATTTTCAGATAATCTATCGCTTTCAGCACAAAATTCTGATCTAGACAACAAAATTCGTGAAAAAACGGGGGGACTAGGTTTCGCAAATTTCAAATTCTAGTCCCTCGGTTAAAAAATGAGTTTCTAGGCTGAAATTTTGTGCTGAAAATCGTGAAATTCATGATTTTCATGGAATTTCAGTAAATCTATCGTTTTCAGCACAAAATTCTGATCTAGAAAACAAAATTCGTGAAAAAACGGCGGACTAGGTTTTGCAAAATTCAATTTCTAGTCCCTCGGTTGAAAAAATGAGTTTCTAGACTGAAAATTTGTGCTGAAAATCAAGAAATTCGTGATTTTCATGGAATTTCAGATAATCTATCGTTTTCAGCCCAAAATTCTGATCTAGAAAAATTTGAATTCGGGGACTAGGTTTTGCAAAATTCGAATTCTAGTCCATATTTAGAAAAACTAGAGTCTAGTTTGCCAATGAAGAAAAACTAGAGTCTAGTTTGAAGACTATAATTTAGTTTGACGATGAGAAACTAGAGTCTAGTTTGACAATGAAGAGAAACTAGAGTATAGATAGTTTCACGATTTGCAAAATTCAAACTCTAGTCCCTCGGTTTAAAAATGAGTTTCTAGGCTGAAATTTTGTGCTGAGACTCGTGAAATTTGTGATTTTCATGGAATTTCAGATAACCCATCGTTTTCAGCGCAAAATTCATCTTGAAAATGAGTTTCTAGGCTGAAAATCTCGTGAAATTCCACCTACCGTAACCTTATTCGCAGCTCCTTTCCTCTGCACTTTAAAAATGCTCTTTGGCTCGGGTCCAAACCCATTCTTTACATGGTGATCATGACGTGTCTTGCAAATCTTAATAGTATCCATGGCAAGTTGCGGATCATTACACTTATTGAAACTCAAAACCGATCTGACATAATTCGCAGCCAATGGCTCTACAGCTCTCTCCACAATTATTGTCGCAATTCCATTTTGTGTCAGCGCCGTTTTCAGCATATTTCCAGTCTCTTTCAAATCGAACACTTCGGTATCGTCGATTTTGAGAATCGCATCGCCGACGTACAAAAATCGACGAGTTGTTGAACCCCAAGTGTTGTCGGTGGATTCGACGTAGACGACATTGTTGTAGGATTTGATGTTGATGCCGAGATTGGCACGTGGAAAATAGATCAGAACGAGTCTGGAAAGTTGGAAATTCGAAAAATTCAGAAAATTTGGGTCTTGGCACGGTTTTCTGGGTTACTGTAGCTGAATTTTGAGCTGTTATCGTTCCAGGACCAAAAAATTCATGAAATTTGGGTCCTGACACGATTTTCCAGGTTACTGTAGCTGGAAATCGTGGAAAGACCGAAAAATTCGAAAAATTCATGAAATTTGGGTCCTGCACGATTTTCTAGATTACTGTAGCTAGAAATCGTGGCAAGACCGAAAAATTCATGAAATTTGGGTCCTGCCACGATTTTTTGGGGTTACTGTAGCTAGAAATCGTGGCAAAACCCAAAAATTCATGAAATTTGGGTCCTGCCACGATTTTTCTAGATTACTGTAGCTAGAAATCGTGGCAAAACCCAAAAATGCGAAAAATTCATGAAATTTGGGTCCTGCACGATTTTCTAGATTACTGTAGCTAGAAATCGTGGCAAGACCGAAAAATTCATGAAATTTGGGTCCTGCCACGATTTTTTGGGGTTACTGTAGCTAGAAATCGTGGCAAAACCCAAAAATTCAGAAAATTTGGGTCTTGGCACGATTTTCTGGGGTTACTGTAGCTAAAAATCGTGGAAAGACCGAAAAATTCGAAAAATTCATGAAATTCGGGTCTTGGCATGATTTTCCGGGTTACTGTAGCTTCAAATCGTGGCAAGACCCAAAAATTCGCAAAATTTGGGTCCTGGGGCGATTTTTTGGGGTTACTGTAGCTAGAAATCGTGGCAAAACCCAAAACAAATTCAAAATTCTCAATAGAGCGCACTTGAAGCTTTTTAGGATGAAAACCTGTTGAAAATTCAAATTTCCCGCCAAAAATTGTCAATAGAGCGCACTTGGAACAATTTTTGAAAATTTAAATTTTCTTTTACAAATTCAAAATTCTCAATAGAGCGCATTTTCACTTTTCAACGTAAAAATCACGAAAAATTCAAATTTCCCACTCAAAAATCGTTAGTTTATCTTTAGAGCGCATTTTCACTTTTCAGAAAATAGTGTGTGGGTCCTGCCACGATTTTCTGGGGTTACTGTAGCTGGAAATCGTGGCAAGATCTGAAAATTCAGAAAATTCGGGTTCTGCCACGATTTTCTGGGGTTACTGTAGCTAGAAATCGTGGCAAGACCCAAAAATTCATGAAATTTGGGTCCTGCCACGATTTTTTTGGGTTACTGTAGCTAGAAATCGTGGCAAGACCCAAAAATTCATGAAATTTGGGTCCTGGAGTGATTTTTTGGGTTACTGTAGCTGAATTTTGAGCTATTATCGTTCCAGGACCAAGAAATTCGAATTTTTTGGGTTACTGTAGCTAGAAATCGTCGCAAGACCGAAAAATTCGAAAAATTCAGAAAATTTTGGTCCTGACACGATTTTCTAGGTTACTGTAGCTAGAAATCGTGGCAAAACCCAAAAATTCATGAAATTTGGGTCCTGCCACGATTTTTTGGGTTACTGTAGCTAGAAATCGTTGCAAGACCGAAAAATTCATGAAATTTGGGTCCTGCCACGTTTTTCTGGGTTACTGTAGCTAGAAATCGTGGCAAGACCCAAAAATTCAAAAATTTCATGAAGTTTGGGTCCTGGCACGATTTTCTGGATTACTGTAGCTACAAATCGTGGCAAGACCCAAAAATTCGAAAAATTCGGGTCCTGTGCCGATTTTCCAGGTTACTGTAGCTAGAAATCGTGGCAAGACCAAGAAATTCGAAAAATTCATGAAATTTGGGTCCTGCCACGATTTTCTGGGGTTACTGTAGCTAGAAATCATGGCAAAACCCAAAAATTCGAAAAATTCAGAAAATTTGGGTCCTGCCACGATTTTTTTGGGTTACTGTAGCTAGAAATCGTGGCAAAACATCGAAATCCACCTACAGTAACCCAGAAAATCACTCCAAGACCCAGTTTTTCTCGAAATTTTCGAAATTTTCGGGTCTCGACACGATTCCCAGCCGCACTCACTTATAATAAACATATCCATCAGTCGGTTTGATCTGTGGATCATTGCTTTTCGGTTTTTTGATGGCCGCATTTGTTGGAAGTCCTTCAGTGATTTTCACCATACTCATAATTCTTTTGACAGTGAAAACTGGCTGCAAAAAAGGTTACTGTAGGTTACTGTAGAAACCTGAAAATGACCCGCGCATCGAAATAATCAACAAAAAACAAGCGAGGGAAGAAAAGCGCCTAGTAGCTCAGTTGGTTGCGCTTTTGCTTGTGGATCGCAAGGTCATGGGTTCGAGGAACGGTGCGAGCAAACTTTTTTTTATTTTTTGTTTTTTCTTTGGCACTAACAAAATGCGTCTTATCGGTCTTGATTGTCTGCGTCAACACGGCCTCCATCTCTTTTTTCGTCGTAATCGGAGTGTCGTTGATCTTCACCAAATAATCGCCATACTCAATTGGTGGAGCCATAAATTGTGGAACTCGCATCAACAACATTCCCTTGGATAATTTAAAGTCGCGAAGTCGCGGTTGACCCGCGGCGCATTCGATGGAAAACGAAAAGGTTTTGATCATCTCAGGTGAGATGAGATCTTCGGGAAAGACGCCGGATTTGAAGGCGGCACGGCGGGCTTGACGTTTACTTGGACTGAAAATGGGGTTACTGTAGCTCAAAATCGTGGCAAGACTCAAAAATTCGAAAAATTCACGAAATTTGGGTCCTGACACGATTTTCTGGGTTACTGTAGCCAGAAATCGTGGCAAAACCGGAAAATTCATGAAATTTGGGTCCTGCCACGATTTTCAGGGGTTACTGTAGCTAGAAATCGTGGCAAAACCCAAAAAATCAGAAAATTTGGGTCCTGGGGCGATTTTCTGGGGTACTGTAGCTAGAAAATCGAAAAATTCATGAAATTTGGGTCCTGCCACGATTTTCTGGGTTACTGTAGCTAGAAATCGTGGCAAAACCGGAAAATTCATAAAATTTGGGTCCTGGGGCGATTTTCTAGATTACTGTAGCTAAAAATCGTGGGAAAACCGAAAATTTCAAAAAATTCATGAAATTCGGGTCCTGCCACGATTTTCGGGGGTTACTGTAGCTAGAAATCGTGGCAAACCCCAGAAATTCGAAAAATTTGGGTCCTGCCACGAATTTCTGAGGTTACTGTAGCTAGAAATCGTGGCAAGACCCAAAATTCATGAAATTTGGGTCCTGCCACGATTTTCTGGGGTTACTGTAGCTAGAAATCGTGGCAAAACCCAAAAATTCATGAAATTTGGGTCCTGCCATGATTTTCAGGGGTTACTGTAGCTAGAAATCGTGGCAAAACCGAAAAATTCGAAATTTTCATAAAATTTGGGTCCTGCCACGATTTTTTGGGGTTACTGTAGCTAGATATCGTGGCAAGACCCAAAAATTCATAAAATTTGGGTCCTGCCACGATTTTCTGGGGTTACTGTAGCTAAAAATCGTGGCAAAACCCAAAAATTCGAAAAATTCAGAAAATTTGGGTCCTGAAGCGATTTTCTGGGGTACTGTAGCTAGAAATCGTGGCAAAACCCAAAAATTCGAAAAATTCATAAAATTTGAGTCCTGCCACGATTTTCCGGGGTTACTGTAGCTAGAAAATCGAAAAATTCAGAAAATTCGGGTCCTGCCACGATTTTCTGGGTTACTGTAGCTAGAAATCGTGGCAAAACCCAAAAATTCGAAAAATACATAGAATTTGGGTCCTGCCACGATTTTCTAGATTACTGTAGCTAAAAATCGTGGGAAAACCGAAAATTTCAAAAAATTCATGAAATTCGGGTCCTGCCACGATTTTCGGGGGTTACTGTAGCTAGAAATCGTGGCAAAACCGAAAAATTCGAAATTTTCATAAAATTTGGGTCCTGCCACGATTTTTTGGGGTTACTGTAGCTAGATATCGTGGCAAGACCCAAAAATTCATAAAATTTGGGTCCTGCCACGATTTTCTGGGGTTACTGTAGCTAAAAATCGTGGCAAAACCCAAAAATTCGAAAAATTCAGAAAATTTGGGTCCTGAAGCGATTTTCTGGGGTACTGTAGCTAGAAATCGTGGCAAAACCCAAAAATTCGAAAAATTCATAAAATTTGAGTCCTGCCACGATTTTCCGGGGTTACTGTAGCTAGAAAATCGAAAAATTCAGAAAATTCGGGTCCTGCCACGATTTTCTGGGTTACTGTAGCTAGAAATCGTGGCAAAACCCAAAAATTCGAAAAATACATAGAATTTGGGTCCTGCCACGATTTTCTAGATTACTGTAGCTAAAAATCGTGGCAAAACTCAAAAATTTGAAAAATTCATAAAATTTTGGTCCTGGAGCGATTTTTCGGGGTTACTGTAGCTAGAAATCGTGGCAAAACCCAAAAATTTGAAAAATTCAGAAAGTTTGGGTCCTGGAGCGTTTTTCTGGGGTTACTGTAGCTAAAAATCGTGGCAAAACCCAAAAATGCATGGAATTTGGGTCCTGCCACGATTTTCTGGGGTTACTGTAGCTACAAAATCGAAAAATTCATAAAATTTGGGTCCTGCCACGATTCCACATCAAAATCCAGCTACAGTAACCCAGAAAATCCCCCCAAGACCCAATTTTCTCGAAATTTTCAAATTTTCGGGTCTCGACACGAGTTTCTAGGTTACTGTACCCGGGAAAACTCACATAGGAGCTGCTGCCATTCTTTTTTTCTTTTTTTTTGGAATTATTTCGAAACTGTTCCGCTTTGTTTATTAGCAATATTGAAAAATGACGAGATTTTTTGGGATTTTTCGATTTTTTTTTTGCGAAAAAAAAAGATCAGAAAAAAATTGGGCCACGTGGAAAATCAAGAAAAAAGCTAAAAATTTATTCAAAAAAAAACATTTTTTTTTTGAAAATTTTCGAAAAAAAGTGCAAAAATTGGACAAAATCAATGTCTAAAACATGGAAAAAAATTCAAAAAAAATTTTTTTTCACAAAATTTTGCTGACAATTTGTTCGGCCGAGTGGGCGAATTGTCGGGTTCGCGAAAAAATTCGCGTCATCCACGTGGAGGCCACGTGGAGGCCAGATGTGGATGTGGATGACGTGGCGTTTTGGTGGTGGCCTCCTGTGGAGGAGGAGGATTGTGGCGGTGTCTGCAAGATGACATTTTTTGCGTCAGGAAATTCAATGCTGACGCTTTTTTGGTAGCTCCAGGTTTTGAGCAAGGAAAATCAATGCTGACGCTTTTTTGGTAGCTCTAAGTTTTACGTCATGAAATTCAATGCTGACGCGTTTTTGGTAGCTCTAAATTTTGTGAAATTTGATGCTGACGCTTTTTTGGTAGCTCCAGGTTTTGAGCAAGGAAATTCTATGCTGACGCAAATTTTGTAGCTCAAAAACTTCAAGAGATTCCTGTTGTTGGCGCGTTTTTTGTAGAGCTACAAATTTCGCGTCAACAAATCTCTTCACTGACACGAATTTCGTATCTGAAAAAAGCTCTGGAAGCATTTTTCGAACAAAACTCAACACTGACGCAAATATTGTAGCTCAAAAAACTTTTAGAGCTACCAAAAACGCGTCAGCATTGAATTTCACAAAATTTAGAGCTACCAAAAACGCGTCAGCATTGAATTTCCTTGCTCAAAACCTGGAGCTACCAAAAACGCGTCAGCATTGAATTTCCTTGCTCAAAACCTGGAGCTACCAAAAACGCGTCAGCATTGAATTTCTTTGCTCAAAATCTGGAGCTACCAAAAACGCGTCAGCATTGAATTTCCTTGCTCAAAACCTGGAGCTACCAAAAACGCGTCAGCATTAAATTTCCTTGCTCAAAACCTGGAGCTACCAAAAATGCGTCAGCATCATAATGTTGCTCAAAAACTTCAAGATGTTTCTGATGCTTGCGCATTTTTTGTAGGCCCAAAATCCAAGCTACAAATTTCGCGTCAACAAATCAAAACCTGGAGCTACCAAAAAAGCGTCAGCATTGAATTTCTTTGCTCAAAACCTGGAGCTACCAAAAACGCGTCAACAAATCTATTCACTGACGTAAAATTTATAGCTCAAAAACTTCAAGATATTTCTGCTGTTGACGCATTTTCTGTAGGCCCAAAATCCAAGCTACAATTTTCGCGTCAACAAATCTATTCACTGACGCATTACCTGAACCTGTTTCAATATAATATTCCACAATTCGCTCAAATTCATCGAAAGTGTCGCGGAAATTTCGATAAAATTGCATTTGTGCAATTTTGCCAAACATGCGCCTTCAAATTTCCCGACTACCGTATTCCTTTTCAAATCCACCTTGTTTCCCACCAAAATTATATTTGCGGGATTTGCGGCGATTTTTCGATGAATTAATCTGCAAAAAGTTACTGTAGGTGGGTTACTGTAAGTATTTTTAAAGGCACATACCGCTCTAAAAGACACGTGGCATCGAGAAATGCCTCTTTGGAATCCACGTTGTACATTATGGCATACATTGTGAGACACGAGGCGAATGGAGAATTCTGGAATTTTACAGTAATCTAGAGGTACTCAAAGGTGCATACAGTAATCTAGAGGTCTTTAAAGGAACATATAGTGATTCTAGGGGTTCTGGAGGTTCTCAAAGGGACATACAGTAATCTAGAGGTACTCAAAGGTGCATACAGTAATCTAGAGGGATATACAGTAACTATCGATGTCTAAGCCTAAGCTGAGCCTAAATTAATTAGGCCTGATTTTTGCCTAAGCCTAAGCTGAGCCTAAATAATTGACCAAGCCTAGGTTAAGCCTAAATTTAATAGGCCTAATTAATTAGCCTAAGCCTAAGCTGAGCCTAAATTGATTAGGCCTGATTTTTGGCTAAGCCTAAATTAACTGGGCCTAAGCCTAAGCTGAGCCTTAATTAGCCTAACATAAGCCTGAGCTGAGACTAAATTAGCTAGGCCTAAAATGAGCCTAATTAATTGGCTAGGCCTAAAATTAGCCTAAGCCTGACTAATTTGCTAAGCCTAAGATAATTGGCTAAGCCTATGCTGAGCCCTAATCAATTAGGCCTAACTGATTAGCTAAGCCTAAGCTGAGCCTAAATTAATTAGGCCTGACTAATTTGCTAAGCCTAACTAATTAGCTAAGCCTAAGCTGAGCCTAAATTAATTGGCTAAGCCTAAATTAACTAGGCCTGATTTTTGGCTAAGCCTAAGCTTAGCCTAAATTAATTAGGCCTACTGGGGCCTAAGCCTGAATTGATTGGGCCTAATTTTTAGGCCTACTGGGCCTAAGCCTGAATTGATTGGGCCTAATTAATTAGCCTAAGCCTAAGCTAAGTCTAATTGATAAGCTAAGCCTAAACTAACCAGGCCTGATTTTTGGCTGAGCCTAAGCCTAAAACTTGAATAGGCCTTTTTTCAGGCCCCCCTCAAAAACTACCGTACCTCCAACGTGGATTCCAGCAAAATTTCCAGCTCAATCGGCTCATTGTTCAGCAAAAAAGTGATGATTTTCGAGCAACTCTCCTCCTCATCACCGGCTGCAAAAATCACAGGGTTACTGTACCTACAGTAGTCTTACAGTACTCACGATCCACGTTATAACGTGTGACAAGCCGCGTGGCATATTGATTCAAAGAATTCAGCAACGATTTTTTGCCTGTCCCTTTAAAACCGTATATCCGCAAAACCACGTGGCGCATCGGTTTTGAGCCGGTTTCGGGGAACAGGTAGACTTCGGGACACGTGGCACGCCGGTCTTCTGCAAAAATTCGGGGAGTACTGTAGGTTTTGGCGCGAAAAATGGTGCATTTTGATAGTAAACATGGCTAGGGTTACTGTAGATCGATAATTTTTGATCTACAGTAATCCTAGGCTTGTTTGGTGTCAAAATGCACGCAATTCTTACTGTAGATCAAAAATTTTTGGCGCCAAAATTTTGAACTTACTATTATAATTCGGTTGCCCCACATTTTTGTAGCCATTATCCACAACCTGACCATTTTTGATGTCGAAACTTCGCAGACTTCCCTCGGGTTTTTCCTCATCTTCTGGGCCGGCCTGAGAATCGGCCCGTTTTAGGGCCGCCGATTGTAGAGAATATTGATATCTGCGTGAAAATTTGCAGCGTTTTGATAGTAAACAAGCTTGGGGTTACTGTATTTGCAATGGAGCGCACTTGCAATTTTTTGAAAATTCAAATTTTCCTCAAAATTCTCAATAGAGCGCATTTTCACTTTTCAAGGTAAAAAATCCCAAAAAATTCAAATTTCCCGCTCAAAAATCTCAATTTTATCAATGGAGCGCACTTTGAACAATTTTGAAAAATTCAAATTTTCCTCAAAATTCTCATTAGAGCGTATTTTCACTTCTTAAGGTAAAAAATCACGAAAAATTCAAATTTCCCGCTCAAAAATCCCCATTTTCTCAATGGAGCGCATTTGCAATTTTTCGAAATTTGAATTTTCTTCGAAATTCTCAATAGAGCGCATTTTCACTTCTTAAGGTAAAAAACCACGAGAAATTCAAATTTCCCGCTCAAAAATTGTTATTTTAGCATTAGAGCGCAGTTGGAACAATTTTTGAAAATTTGAATTTTCTTCAAAATTCTCAATAGAGCGCACTTGAAGCTTTGTAGGGGTAAAAAATCACGAAAAATTCAAATTTCGCGCTCCCGAATCCCAATTTTCTCAATGGAGCGCACTTGCAATTTTTCAAAAAATTTCAATTTTCCTCACAATTCTCAATAGAGCGCATTTTCAACCCCTGGGGTAAAAAATCACGAAAAATTCAAATTTCCCGCTCAAAAATCCCCAATTTCTCAACGGAGCGCACTTTCTCACCTCGGCGGCGGTCGTTTTTTCTTGACTCTTCTCGGCGAATTTTCCGAGCTCGAACTTGTCGACGGAAAATGCTCATCAACATCTGGCAACAGATTTGTGAGACGACGTGGCGAAATTGTACGCGGTGTACTTGGCAAACTTCGACGGCAGATTGGTGAGGTTGGCAGGGATCTGGGGGTGAAATGGTGGGGATTTTTGGAAAATTCAGCGAATTTGGGTCCTGGCACGATTTTCTGGGGTACTGTAGGTGAATTTTGAGCTGAAATCGCTACAAGACCCAGAAATTCAAAAAATTTGAGTTCTGACACGATTTTCTGGGGTACTGTAGGTGAATTTTGAGCTGAAATCGCTTCGAGACCCAAAAATTCACAAAATTTGGGTCCTGGCACGATTTTCCGGGTTACTGTAGGTGAATTTTGAGCTGAAATCGGGGTGAGACCTAGAAATTCAGAATTTTTAGAAATTTTGGGTCCTGCCACGATTTTCCGGGTTACTGTAGGTGAATTTTGAGCTGAAATCGCTGTGAGACCCAAAAATTCACAAAATTTGGGTCCTGGGACGATTTTCTGGGTTACTGTAGCAAAATTCTAGCTACAGTAACCAGAAAAAAAAATCGATTTTCCGGGTTACTGTAGATTTTCGGCTACAGTAACCAACAAAAAATCGCTCTAGGACCCAAAAAAAACGTAGCTACAGTAATTTGAAAACCCCCTGGATTACTGTAGGCCCTCTTCGCTTCGAGACTCAGAAATCTACAGTAATCCGGAAGCTTCTACAGTACACTTGGTTTTTGGTCTATTTTCCGGGTTACTGTAGATTTTCGGCTACAGTAACCTACAAAAATCGCTCTAGGACCCATCAAAAAACGTAGCTACACAGTAATTCTAAAAACCCTGGATTACTGTAGCCTCTCCGCTTCGAGACCCAGAAATCTACAGTAATCCGAGAGCTTCTACAGTACACTTGGTTTTTGGTCGATTTTCCGGGGTACTGTAGATTTTCGGCTACAGTAACCTACAAAAAATCGCTATAGGACCCATCAAAAAAGTAGCTACAGTAATTTGAAAACCCCCTGGATTACTGTAGGCCCTCTCCGCTTCGAGACCCCACCGCAAATCACTCACCTTCTTGTCGCCGGCGACGCAGGTGACGCAGGCGACGGCGGCGAAAGTCGCGACGGAAACTGTTGCGGAATTGCCAACGCGACAGGCAGCGAAACTCGCCGCGAATTCATCTCTTTCGACGATTTTCGCATCTGAAATTGAGCTTAAAATTTTATTTTTGAAAAAAAATCGAGAGGGAAAATTGGTGATTATCCAGCTTTTATATATGAATTTTTCCTGACGCACTGAAAAAAATTTGAGCAGCTGAAAATTTCAAAAAAAAATTTGAATTTCCCGCCCAAAATTCTCAATAGAGCGCATTTGAACAATTTGAAAATTTGAATTTTTTCGAAATTCTCAATAGAGCGCATTTTAACAATTGAAAAAATTCAAATTTTCTTCTACACACTCAAATTTCGCATTGGAGCGCACTTGAAGCTTTGTGGGGGTGAAAACCCATGAAAAATTCAAATTTCCCGCCCAAAATTGTCAATGGAGCGCACTTAAAACCTTCCAAAATTCAATTTTTTCCAAATTCTCAATAGAGCGCATTTGAAGCTTCGTAGGAGTAAAAACCCATGAAAAATTCAAATTTCCCGCCAAAAATTCTCAATAGAGCGCATTTGAACAATTTGAAAAATTCAAATTTTCTTCTACAACTTTAAAATTGTCATTAGAGCGCACTTGACCTTTCCTAACTTTTCCCGGCTCAAAAACTTATGAAAAAATCAAAAATTCTCAATAGAGCGCACTTGAAAGCTTTCAAAATTCAAATTTTCTCAAAATTCTCAATAGAGCGCATTTGAATAATTTAAAAATTCAAATTTTCTTCCACAAATTCAAAAATTATCATTAGAGCGCACTTGAAGCTTTGTAGGGATAAAAATCTGTGAAAAATTCAAATTTCCCGCCAAAAAATTCAATAATTATCATTAGAGCGCAATTGAAATCTTTAAAAATTCATTTTTTTTTCAAAATTCTCAATAGAGCGCACTTGAAAACTTTGAAAATTCAAATTTTTCTCGAAATTCTCAATAGAGCGCACTTTCGCTATTTCTGACGTACTCCAAAAACTTCATTGAGCAGCTGCAATTTTTCCCAGCTGAAATTCTGAAATCTGAAATTTTCAGCTGCAAAATTTTGAGAAGCAGATGAAAATTTGAGGATTTTTTTTGGATAAAAATTTTTTGTAAAAAAAAACTCCAAAAAAGTTCATCTCAGTTCATATTTAATTAAATTGTCTCACACACAAAAAAAATATCGCGTGAGACACGACAGAAAAAAAAAATGTGTGGAAAAAAATTATTTTCGCTTTTTCTCTGCCGGAAATTGAACTCGAGCCCCACAAAAAGGGCATATTTCACTTTTTTTCACAAAAAAAACGAATAAAAATTCTCAAAGTATCAAATTTTTTTGTGCCGCACAGCAGTAATGAAGCTGAAAATTGATATTCTGAAAAGTGTCCGACACGCAAAAAAAAAGAGTAAATCTGGCAAAACTAATTAGATGTCTCTCTGTGCGTTTTTTTGTTTGAAAACAAAAAAAAAACAAAAAAAAAAGTTTTTCGCGAAAAAAAAAAGAAATTTGAATAGCCGCCGGGATTTGTGTGTGTGCAGTGGAGCGCGCTTGCTTGTTTGAACATTTCGAAAAATTTATTTTTCGTTTTTTTCTTTTTTTCGGGGTTTTCACAGATTTTCTAATGAAAAAGTGGATTTTTCGAGTAGAATGCAAAGTTTCGGCATCGAAAATCAGATTTTTCTCGAAATTTCCAGAAAAATTATATGAAAAATTGCCCGAAAGCCGGGAAAAATTAAAAATTTATGAAACATTGATAAATTGCCCATTTTCTATGGGAAAAAACTAAGAAAATTGTTTGGAAATTCAATTTTCTTGAAAAAATTGGAAAAGTTTTCGGAAAACACGATAAAATATTCAGCACAATACTTCCGAGCCTCGAAAAATTCGCTTTTTTTTTTGAGGGTCGCTTTGGAAACCAAAGCTCGTCTCCCTAAAAAAAAAAAGAAAAAAAACAAGAAAAAATATATTTTTTAATCTTTTCGAAAGAAAGATTAGACAAATTGAGAAGATTTGAGTGTAAAACTACAAATTTGAGAGAGAGAGCAGATTTGTACTTGAGAACACAATAATTTTTGAGGGAAAAATGGGTGAAAATTCTGAAATTCCAGCTGGAAATCGATAAAATTCAAATTTTTCTTGACTTAAAAATCAAGGAAAATCTGGAATTTATCGATTTTCAGCTGGAATTTTGGAATTTCAGCAGATATGCGGAAGCTATGCCCAAATTTTGAAATAAAAATGAAAAATTTAATTTCTAGCCTGTATTATCTGAAATTCTAGCTGAAAATCAAAGAAAATCTGGAATTTATCGATTTTCAGCTGGAATTTCGGCAGAGATGCGGAAGCTATGCCCGAATTTTGAAATAAAAATGAAAAATTTAATTTCTAGCCTGTATGATCTGGAATTCTAGCTGGAAATCGATAAAACCAAAAATTTTATCGATTTTCAGCTGGAATTTCAGCGGAGATGCGGAAGCTATGCCCAAATTTTTCTGAAAAATCAAAAAAATTCCCATTTTCCACGCATTTCTTTCCTAATTTGTTTTCTAACTTGCCGTGTTTGTACTTTTCTTTTTAAAACCAAAGATTGAGAACATTTGTCTCTTTTTCTTTTTTTTTCGCCAAAATCAGTGATAAATGAAGTTGTAAGAAGAAGAAAAATGTGGGCGGAGTCAAAAAAATGCCAAAAAAAAACTTTTCCCGCGCGCGTCACACATTTTTATTGTTCTCGCGCAGGGCAAAAAATGGTGGCATGGAAAATTGTCGCGATTTTTTTTGTCGCGACCATTTTTCGCGACGCCAGCGCGACAAAAATCGCACTTTTCCCGTCGACTGGCTGTTATTCGCATGATGTTATGATGAAACAGGTGAGCCTTTTTTAGGCCGAGCCTTATAAGCCCAGGCCTAGGCGTAGGCCTGAATTTTTTCGCCAAGCCTAAACTTTTGGTTAAAGGGGGGGTAAGACGACAAATTTTTTTTGTCGCAAAGTTAAAGGCTTCCCAAAAGTAGTAAAACCTCCAAGGGATTTTTTCTGGAAACGCTCAGAAAAAATGTTCCATAAACTAGGTACCACGTATAGCTATACGTTGAAATTATTCCATAAACTTTCGGACAACGTATAGCTATACGTTGAAAAAGTTCATGGAATATTTTTTTCGGACCTTTTTAGGCTTTTCGAGAAAAAATCCCCTGGGGCTTTTACTATTCAAAGGGAGCCCGATTCATTGAGCAAATAAAATTTTGTCGTCTTACCCCCCCTTTAAGCCTAAGCTTATGGTTTTAGCTAAGCATGTTTCAAGTGCGCTCTACTGATAAATTTTGAAAAATCTAGAAAAATTCAAATTTCCCGCAAACCAGCAAACGCGCTCTAATGCAAACAATTTCAAAAAATGCTTGAAAAATAACTGCCACGTGGATTTTTTAATTTTAAATGCTGTGAGTTCACAAATGCGCTCTACTGATAAATTTTGAAAAATCTAGAAAATTTGAATTTTCCGAAAAAAATCAAATTTCTCACTAGAGCACCTTTGCTACTTTAAATTTTGAAAAATAAAATTTCTATTTTTTTTGGGGCGATCTCTGTCTTACTTAGTTCAAGTACATTTTTTGACCTAGACCACCCGTCATAAAAAACAAAAACAACAAAATAAATCAAAATAAACCACTTGAGATACAGGAATTCCTTGTGACGTCGAGATTTTTTCTTTTTTTTTTCTTTTTTTTTGGTTTGTGGGAAAAAATCAAGCAGAACCTGACCTTGATTAGTGAAAATCATTCGGAAAGTGAATCAGAACAAACAAAAACGAATAAAAATCAAATTGCGGGTGATTTGAACCGAATGATCAGAGATTATCAATGGAGCGCACTTGCCAAATTTTTTGAATTTTTCTAGATTTTTCAAAATTTATCAGTAGAGCGCATTTGTGAACTCACAGCATTTAAAATGAAAAAATCCAGTTATTTTTCAAGCATTTCTTGAAATTGTTTACATTAGAGCGCACTTGCCCAGCTTTTGAATTTTTCTGGATTTTTCAAAATTTATCAGTGGAGCGCATTTGTGAACTCATAGCATTTAAAATTGAAAAATCCACGTGGCAGTTATTTTTCAAGCATTTTTTGAAATTGTTTGCATTAGAGCGAATTTGCTGGTTTGCGGGAAATTTGAATTTTTCTGGATTTTTCAAAATTTATCAGTAGAGCGCATTTGTGAACTCACAGCATTTAAAATGAAAAAATCCACGTGGCAGTCATTTTTTGAAATTGTTTGCATTAGAGCGCATTTGCTGGAAATTTGAATTTTTCTAGATTTCTCAAAATTTATCAATGGAGCGCATTTGTCAACTCACCGCATTTAAAATGAAAAAATCCACGTGGCAGTTATTTTTCAAGCATTTTTTGAAATTGTTTGCATTAGAGCGCGTTTGCTGGTTTGCGGGAAATTTGAATTTTTCTCGATTTTTCAAAATTTATCAATAGAGCGCACTTGTGAACTCACAGCATTTAAAATGAAAAAATAAGCCACGTGGCGGTTATTTTTCAAGCATTTTTTGAAATTGTTTGCATTGGAGCGCGTTTGCTGGTTCGCGGGAAATTTGAATTTTTCTAGATTTTTCAAAATTTATCAGTGGAGCGCACTTACACAGAACCCTAGGCTTATTGGGTGTCAAAAAACTCGCAATTTTTCACAGATCGGCTCTCAACTCGACACCACTTCCAACAACATCACATGGATTCAAACGCTTCTCTACGATTTCGGTTTCGGCGAAATGAAATTGCCTGAGAGGTGGACACGTCTGAGTTTGATCGGAATCGACGAGAATGGCGAGTATTTGCAGAAGAATACGGGAAGTCTGATTTGGAAACAGAATGTGCCGTTCGATTTTGACACACCTTTCAATATTCAGGGAATCAAGGATTTTGTGCTGTGAGTTTTCAGCAAACGCGCTCTACTGATAAATTTTGAAAAAAAGTAGAAAAATCGCGCTCGAATGCAAAAAATTTCAAAAAATGCTTGAAAAATAACTGCCACGTGGATCTTTTCATTTCAAATGCTGTGAGTTCACAAATGCGCTCTACTGATAAATTTTGAAAAATTCAAATTTCCCGCAAACCAGCAAACGCGCTCTAATGCAAACATTTTCAAAAAATGCATGAAAAATAACTGGATTTTTTCATTTTAAATGCTGTGAGTTCACAAATGCGCTCTACTGATAAATTTTGAAAAATGCAGAAAAATTCGTGGATTTTTTCCTCAAAATTTTGTTGATTTGCAAATGCGCTCCACTGATAACTCCCAGAAACCAAGAAAAATCCAAATTTTCTCCAGAATGCTCCAACGACACCAAGAATATTGCACCGCAATGCTAGAAGATCGCAGATTTCAACAACTTCGCCAGGAAAATGTGACAGTGGCGGTGCTGGATCATTTTTTGCAGGTATTTTTGCGGATTTTTTGAGTCCCAGGCTTATTTGGTGTCAAAAAACGTGGATTTTTCACCCAAATCCCAAATTCCAGGAATGCATGGGCGGTCTGGCGCATCTCCTCAACACCTCCGTCATCCAATTCTCCAACTGGCCCCTCTCCGACGGCTATATAACCTCGCTGAATCTTCCCGCTCTCCCATCATCCGTCCCGAAAACCGGAACACGTCTCAGTGGAGCGCAAATGACATTTTTGGAACGCTGCCAGAATGTGCTGTTCCACGTGGCGATTGCGTTGACGAGATTTGTGCAAATGCGCACGCTGGACGCCATGTTTGCCAGTAAAGGATATCCGTGGGTGAGTAAACATGAAAAAAAAAACGTGGAATAACGTGAAAAAAACGTGAAAAAATGTGAAAAACGTGGAAAACGTGGAATAACGTGGAAAAAACGTGAAAAACGCGGAAATTTTCCGACTTTTGATTTCCGGTAAAAAGTTTTCCGACTTAATTTTTCTGAAAATCGAAAAATTTCGAAAAAAAAATTACAATGAAGAAATAATTGGCTTATTTGCTGGGTTTCGAGCTGTGTTGAAGTAGTTCAAAATTAGTTTTTCGAGTTTTTCAGCCAAAAATGATGAAAAATCAAAATTTTTTAAGCTTCTGGAGTAATTTTTGATTAAAATTGAACTTGGAATTCACTTTCCAAAAGGTTTTGTTGACTTTTCGTTAAAAAAAAAAAAGGGGGGTGAGGTAGCTCAGTGGTAGTGGTTGGCTGCTGGCGATCTCAGGGTCACGGGTTCGATCCCCGGTGCCCGCTCCTCCTCGATCCACCCAGTCGTAAGTGGGTAGTAGTTCGCTACGCAAGGTAAATCGGTCCCCTGCGGCAACAGGGTGACTTAAATTCCCCAAAATGGCCTATAGACGTACACCACCCGTACTCCGTGTCCGAATCGTCTGATCCGCAGTGTCCTAATAGGCGCTCGAATACGGATCTACCTTTACCTTTACCTTTTTTAATAAATTTCGTAAAAAAAAAAAAAAATTCGTAAAAAAAAATTTTTTTTTTCGTTTCTGAATCAGCTCAAAAAATCCCGATGTCTACAGATCCAAGTCGAAATGAACGAGGCGCAACGTCCGATCTACGCGGCACGATCAGAAATCCTTTTCGAGAGTGTTCGACCGATCAATAATCGCGTCAAATTCTTCGGCGCCGCCAACACACCGTGAGCTGGATTTTTGCCCATTTTTTGGACGCCAAAGTGAAATTTTTTGCAGAAATCCCCACAATTTCATCAGTTCGATGAAATCATCGAAAAATTCGGACAAAATTCATATTCAGGCTGATTTTACAGTGCAGAAAAAGTGGAATTTGACAGAGGAGAACAATTGCGATGAAATACCGTGCGAGAGAGGAATGCGAAAACGAGGTGAGCCAGAGTTTTTGACGCGAAAAAAACCAGAAATTGACTTCCGGAGCTCAAAATTGACTTCTAGAGCTCAAAATTGACCTCTGGAGCTCAAAATTGACTTCTGGAGCTGAAAATTGACTTCCGGAGCTCAAAATTTACATCTGGAGCTCAAAATTGACTTCTGGAGCTCAAAATCGACTTCTGGAGCTCAAAATTGACTTCTGTAGCTCAATAATGACTTCTGGAGCTCAATAATGACGTCTGCAGCTCAAAATTGACTTCTGGAGCTCAAAATTGACTTCTGGAGCTCAAAATTGACCTTCAGAGCTCAAAATTTACTTCTGGAGCTCAAAATCGACTTCTGGAGCTCAAAATTGACTTCTGTAGCTCAATAATGACTTCTGGAGCTCAAAATTGACTTCTGTAGCTCAAAATTGACTTCTGTAGCTCAATAATGACTTCTGGAGCTCAAAATTTACTTCTGGAGCTCAAAATCGACTTCTGGAGCTCAAAATTGACTTCTGTAGCTCAATAATGACTTCTGTAGCTCAATAATGACTTCTGGAGCTCAATAATGACGTCTGCAGCTCAATAATGACTTCTGTAGCTCAAAATTGACTTCTGTAGCTCAATAATGACTTCTGGAGCTCAAAATTTACTTCTGGAGCTCAAAATCGACTTCTGGAGCTCAAAATTGACTTCTGTAGCTCAATAATGACTTCTGGAGCTCAAAATTGACTTCTGTAGCTCAAAATTGACTTCTGTAGCTCAATAATGACTTCTGGAGCTCAAAATTTACTTCTGGAGCTCAAAATCGACTTCTGGAGCTCAAAATTGACTTCTGTAGCTCAATAATGACTTCTGGAGCTCAAAATTGACTTCTGTAGCTCAAAATTGACTTCTGTAGCTCAATAATGACTTCTGGAGCTCAAAATTTCTGGAGCTCAAAATTGACACCCCGAACAAATTTCGCACTTTCAGACACCACGCGTCGTCGCCCATGGCTCTTCACCACCACCACCACCACCACCGACACTCAAAAAATCGCGCAGCGTCGTCGCCACCTCGAATCCACGTATCCCGAATTGGATTGGCGCCAAATCGACGCACGTCCTTTCATTCTCGTGACATTCGGAAGTGTGGCACAGGTCGAAAACATGCACCCGGAACTATTGCGCGATTTGCTGGCGACTTTCGCCGCCGACAAAAGTCGCCTAGTGATTTGGCAATCGAATTTGTCGCGTCAAGAAATCGCGCGGCGTCATAAAATCCACGTGGCTGATAATATCCAGATTGCCACGTGGATTCCTATCAAAGAATTGTTGGCACATGAGAATATTGAGTATATTATTTGTCACGGTGGCATCAATACGATTAATGAGTTGGCCATGTTTGGTGTACCGGTTTTGGGTGTACCACTGCAGGTTGGTGGCGGATTCCAGGGTGATCAAGCTTAGAACCTGGCTAGAAAAAAAAACAAAAAAAATCTAGCCTAATTTTATAGATAACGATACTTTTTTGAAATTAACGTCAAATTATTAAAAAAAAATTTTTTTTTTTACTATTTTTATTCCAGGGTGACCAAGCTTCGAACCTGGCTAGATTGGTGGATTTGGGCAGCGCTGAATTAATGACAATAATCGAGCTGAACTCTGCACTTCTGCCGCAAAAAATGGCAAAAATGCGCGAAAAATCGTCGGAAATGTGGCGAAGAAGTGAGATTTTGGCGAAAATGGTGGCGGATCACCGCGAATTCCAGCGAAATTCACAGGTATTCTGGTTGAATTGGGTGGCGCGGAACGGAAAGCGGATTGAGACGCGGCGGTTTTTCCGCTTCGAATATTTGGGCGATATGGAGAATCGATTTTGGGCCGGATGTTTGGCGATGGTTTTGGCGGTTTTGTGGGTTTTGAAATAATTTATAGTGGTATCTAATTTTTAGGATTTTTTGTGAGATCTCGAGCGAAAATGAAGCTTTATTCATTTTTTTTGTGATTTTTCAGGAAAATTTGGGCATCTCTTCTGAAATTCCAGCTGAAAATCGATAAAATTCTTGAAATTTCAGAAAACCTTATAGTTTCCCATTCATGAAATTTTTGACAATAGCTTCGCTACCGCCCAAAAGCGATAAACACACAACACACACGAATATATAAATTTCTTGTGTCACCGACGGTTCACGGGTTGTGTGTGTCGCCATTGTTTGTGTGCGAAAGGGGCGGAGCTTAATTGAGAGAGCGCGTTTTTTCTGTTTTTTTTGGTTTGAAATCAATTTTTCAAGGTTTTGGAGTGAATTTTGAATTTTTCTCGATTTTTCAAAATTTATCAGTAGAGCGCATTTGTGAACTCACAGCATTTAAAATGAAAAAATCCACGTGGCACTTATTTTTGGAGTATTTTTTTGAAATTTTTTGCATTAGAGCGCGTTTGCGGGAAATTTGAATTTTTCTAGATTTTTCAAAATTTATCAGTAGAGCGCATTTGTGAACTCACAGCATTTTTTTTAAATTCAAAAAATTGTTTGCATTAGAGCGCGTTTGCTAGAAAAAAATCAATAATTTATCAATGTCCAATTGAAAATTTAGCCCGTCTAATTTGATCTCCCCCCATACTAGTTTCCAATTTGATCCAAGATGGCGGATAAAAATCATCCTCCACCATCTCCCTTATCACACCATCTCTTGATTCAACAACACTCCGATAGTACACCTGCGCCGCCGGTTTCGCCAAATACGCCAGCCACCAACCGAAAGTCGACGAAGGCGCCGTGATCAGCACGACGTCACAAAATCGATTCGAAAATGCCAAATCTGTTTCGGCGGTCAATGTGGGTGTTATTGTGGCCTGATATTTTGGCGAATTTTTTGGCGGGGAGTTTTCAATGTAGGGGAGAGCGAAATTCTGGAGTGATTTATTGGTGACACGATCGTAGAATATTGATTGAGACCAGATTGGATCATTGCCAAGAATCACCACGTGCACTTTTTCGTGCGTTTTTTGATCTACAAAAAATTTGGGCTATGTTCCTTTAAATATAGGATACTGTAGTCTGAAAAATCTCTATTTTTTGACACCAAGAATGACCATGTTCCTTTAAGAAAAGTGTACTGTAGGCTAGAAACTTTTGTTCCTAAACTACTGTCATGCAAACAATGTTTCATATGTTCCTTTAAATATAAGGATACTGTAGTCTGAAAATTCCACAAGAAATGCTATGTTCCTTTAAAATTGAGTACTGTATTTCGAAAAATCACTCTCGATACAATTTAATCTCAAAAACTACCTACAGTACTCCGAAAAATCGTGGCAGGACCCGAATTTTCTGAATTTTTTGGTCTCGAAGCGATTACAGCTTAAAATCTACCTACAGTACCTCGGGAAAATCGTGGCAGGACCCGAATTTTTTGAATTTTTCAAATTCTGAGGTCTCGTAGCGATTCCAGCTCAAAAACCACCTACAGTACCCCGGAAAATCGTGGCAGGACCCGAGTTTTCTGAATTTTTTGGTCTCGTAGCGATTTCAGTTCAAAAACCACCTACAGTACCCCGGAAAATCGTGGCAGGACCCGAATTTTGTGAATTTCTAGGTCTCACAGCGATTTCGCCTCAAAAACCACCTACAGTACTCCGGAAAATCGTGGCAAGACCCGAATTTTCCAAATTCTGAGGTCTCGTAGCGATTTCAGCTCAAAAACTACCTACAGTACCCGGGAAAATCGTGGCAGGACCCGAATTTTGTGAACTTTTTGGTCTCGTAGCGATTTCAGCTCAAAAACCACCTACAGTACCCCGAAAAATCGTGGCAGGACCCGAATTTTGTGAATTTCTAGGTCTCACAGCGATTTCGCCTCAAAAACCACCTACAGTACTCCGGAAAATCGTGGCAAGACCCGAATTTTCCAAATTCTGAGGTCTCGTAGCGATTTCAGCTCAAAAACTACCTACAGTACCCCGGAAAAACGTGGCAGGACCCAAATTTCGTGAATTTTCCGAATTTCCCGCCCAAATCTCACATTCTTCGACGAGAAAATCGGTGGCCAGTCTTGTAAACCGTCCATCCGACGGTTTGTGAAGTCCATCTGTCGTAAAATCGCCACGTCGAACATGTGTGCAAATACTGTAACAATAATCTTTGTTTGTTTTTTTGGCCAGAGATCATTGTAACAAAGAATAGAATAGGGAAATTTTGAATGTAAACATGACTATGTTCCTTTAAATTTGGAGTACTGTAGGCTAAAAAATTCAAAATTTTCGTTTTCGCGGATTATTTTGAATGTAAACATGACTATGTTCCTTTAAATTTGGAGTACTGTACTTATTTGGTATCAAAAAACGTGGATTTTTCCCTACAGTAACCCACATAAAATCTACAGTAACCCACATGAAATGCTTGAAAAATTCGCCCTCCAAAAGCGAATCGGCTCGAATTTGCGTCATCAAACTCGGCCTCAACCATTTTCGAACTTTGTCGCGCAAATGATCGAAATATTTGAAGCTCTGCAAGAAAATTTTTGGCTGAAAATTTCAGAATTTCTAGATTTTTTGAGCTGAAAATATTTTCAGCCTTCAGAATTTCAGACCAACCTGAAAATAGTGTCCGCGCAGCCACAAATTCGGATCGGAAATCTTCGAAAATCGCTCCGGGTCGTCGAATTTACAGCACGCCTCCAGATTCGATTCAAGAACTCGGATTTTGGATTTCTGACAAAATTTTTTTGAATTTTAGAGTTTTCCCGCCAAGTTAGCAGTAGAGCGCATTTGAAAAATCGGGAAAAATTCAAATTTTCTTCAAAAAATTCAAAAAATTCTCATTAGAGCACATTTGAAAATTCAAATTTCCCGCCGAAAAATCTTCAAATTCTCAATGGAGCGCATTTAAAAATTCAAATTTCCCGCTGAAAAATCTTCAGATTCTCATTGGAGCGCTTTTGCAAAATCGGGAAAAATTCAAATTTTCTTTAATATTTCGAAATTCTCAATGGAGCGCATTTGAGAAATCGGGAAAAATTCAAATTTTCTTTAATATTTCAAAATTCTCAATGGAGCGCTTTTGCAAAATCGGGAAAAATTCAAATTTTCTTTAATATTTCGAAATTCTCAATGGAGCGCATTTGAGAAATCGGGAAAAAATTCAAATTTTCTTTAATATTTCAAAATTCTCAATGGAGCGCTTTTGCAAAATCGGGAAAAATTCAAATTTTTTAGAAATAATTCAAAAAATTCTCATTGGAGCGCATTTGAAAAATCGGGGAAAAATTCAAATTTCCCGCCAAAAAATCTTCAGATTCTCAATGGAGCGCACTTGCTAATAAAAAAAAATATATCTGGAAAAAATCATTTTTTTGGCGGGAAAATTCAAAAATTCAAATTTTTTCCAACAAAAAAAGTTCCCGCCCCAAATTTCACGCTGAAAATCATAGAAATGCTGAAAATTTCTGAAAATCATCAATTTGATAATTTTCAGCGTAAAATTTCAGTCTAGAAATGTCTTGACACGAAAATTTAGCGGCAAAATCAAAAATTCAAACTTTTTCCATGGAAAAAATGTTCTAGACCCAAATTTCGCGCTGAAAATCATAGAAATGCTGAAAATTTCTGAAAATCATCAATTTCATGATTTTCAGCGCAAAATTTCAGTCCAGGAACATTTTGACGTGAAATTTGGCACGAAAATTCAAAAACTCAAATTTTTTTTACAAATTCAAAAAATTCTCAATGGAGCGCATTTGAAAAATCGGGAAAAATTCAAAATTTTCTTTACAAATTCAAAAAATTCTCATTAGAGCGCACTTGCAAAAAATCGGGAAAAATCTCAAATTTTCTTTAATTATTCAAAATTCTCATTAGAGCGCATTTGAAAAAAAATCAGGAAAAATTCAAAAAATTCTCAATGGAGCGCACTTCACCCACCGGAATCAACCTAAATTCAAATTGCTCAATCAACCTCGGAAAAACCGGCTGAACCTTGGCAATCAACACATCAATAACATCCCTCCGATCCACATTTATAATTGCACGGCGTGTCAACAAACTGGCGATACCGCGAAGTGCCGTCAATTCAAATAGCAAATTTCCGAGCCCACCACCAGAATACAACGCGTAAAGTTGCGTTTGCACAGTTTTGGTGTCATTTTTCACGCCGTCTTCGCCGCCGAATTCAAGAATTTCAGCAAGATTTGTGGATTTTTGAGCGCGCAAAACGTTCGCCAGATTTTCGACACCAATCTCGCATTTTCTCGATTCAGCCACGTTTTTCTGAATTTTCAAAAGCAGGTAGAAATTGAGGCAAATCAGAAGACTGAATAATATTGGTGAGGCGAATTTCATTTTTTTTGGGAAAATGAAAAAAATTGTGAAAGGGATATTTTGAATTTTGTTTGGTCAGCTTTTTGTCTGCGGCTGGGAAGAAAAATGACCTCGATGCTTCTATGAAATTTTGGGATTTTTGGGCTTTTCATCAAAATTCACTTGAAAAATTGATTTAAAACCGGAAAAAAAAGAAAAAAAACCAAAAATCCAGAAAAATATCAATTCAAATCCAGCAAACGCGCTCTAATGCAAACAATTTCAAAAAAATGCTTGAAAAATAACTGCCACGTGGATTTTTTGAATTTTAAATGCTGTGAGTTCACAAATGCGCTCTATTTATAAATTTTGAAAAATCTAGAAAAATTCAAAATTCACTCCTAAACCTTTTCAAACCAAAAAAAAAACAAAAAAAAACGCGCTCTCTCAACCAAGCTCCGCCCCTTTCGCACACAAACAATGGCAGCACACACAACCCGTGAACCGTCGGTGACACAAGAAATATATATATTCGTGTGTGTTGTGTGTTTATCGCTTTTGGGCGGTAGCGAAGCTATTGTCAAAAATTTTTTGAATGGGAAACTATAAGGTTTTCTGAAATTTCTAGTCTGAAATTCGGAAAACCTTCTAATAAATTTGAAAAATGCTTGTTTGGTGTCAAAAAAAATGGAATTTTTAGGTTTATTGATTATTGAAGAGCAAATTATATCGATTCGAAATCACATTATTATAAATCGCATCTTGCGGCACCGGATCCGTAAAAATGTTGCGTTGCGTGAAAATTTGGGTGCATTGAGTAGCGCAAACATCCTGAAATTCAAAAAAAAATTCAAATTTGGCGCCAAAAAAACAAAAACTTACAGTAACTTGCAGATACGGTGTGCCGAATGGTGAGAGTGGCAAATTTTGAGCGTTGTAAAACTGGAAAACACACGTGGACGCGTCGCGGTCACGCGTTGCGTGTTCATTTTGAAAAATTTAAATTTTTTTTTTTTTTTAATTTTTTTGACTAGGCTTATGAGATATCATTCGAAGCCGAATTTAAATTTCATTTTATTTTCAGCAAAACAAAAGTGAGTTAGAAGAAGTCCAGGGTTAGTTAGTCGAAAATCTTCTGGGTGCATTTTTGGGCGCAAATATCGACGACATGCGGTGCGGCACCGTGATAGCCGATTTCACCATCTTCCACTACACCTTTGGTGACGAACTGCAAGAGGTACTGTAGGGGGGAACATTAAAAGAACATGCTGGGTCTTGAAGGGATTTTTGAAGAGAGTACTGTAGTGCGGGGGGATTTAAAGGGACATGCTAATTTTTTCAAAAACTCACATTCCACGTTCCACAGGAAGTTAGCGAGTGTCCACGAGAATTTGCGCCGACAGGGCGTGAAAATCTGGCCACCAAAGTGTTGCCTGAAAATATTTTCATTTTTTTTGAATTTTAGTTTGGCACGGAAATTGAAATTTCAAAAATTATAAAAATTAACAAATTTTAAAATTTAAAAATAAAATTTTTTCATTTTTCTGTTAATTTTTTTATTTTAATTTTAAATTTATTTTTAATTTTGAAATTTTTTTTAAATTTAAATGTTTAATTATTTTCTTCAAAATTGAATTTTAAAAAATTTAAATTTTTTAAATAAACAAAAAATACAATTTTAAAAAAAAAATTAAATTTTTTCATTTTTATTTTTTTATTAACAATTGAAATTTTAAAAAAATTTAAAAAGAATTTTTTGTTATTTCTGATTTTTTTTTATTTTGAATTTTTTTGAATCAAAATTTGAAAAAAAATTTTAATTTTAAAAATTTAAAATTTCTCGCGCGTGCCAAAAATTCTAATTTAAAATTGAATTTAAAAAAAATTTTTCCAAGTTTTCAATTTTTTTTTTCAAGTTTTGAAAAATTCATTTTTTCAAAAATAAAATTCAAAAATTTAAAATTAAATTTGAAAAAAATTTTCTGTTATTTTTTAATTTTCAAATTTTTTTTTAAAAATAGAAAAAAATTGTTAAATTTAAAATTTAAAAAAATTCAATTTTTCGCGCTATTATTGAATTAAAAACACGTGAGAAATAAAAAACTAGGTCAAGTGATGTGGATTTAAAAACAGTATAGGTAGCCATGTCGTCAGTCGCGATGCGGTTCTGCGATGCGTGTTGACCCTGATATTTTCCATTGGATTTGTCAAATTTTCATTTCTAAAAACGTGTCGCTCACACGCATCGCGACTGACGACATGGCTACCTATACTGTTTTTAAATCCACGTCACTTGACCTAGTTTTTTTATTTCTCACGTATTTTTAATTCAATAATATAAAATTTTTTCATTTTTATTTTTTTTTAATTTTGAATTTTTTTCAAATTGAAATTTAAAACAAAAAATTTTGAATTTAAAATCCGAAATTTTTAAAAAAATTTTTAATTTTGAAATTTTTTATTCAAATTGAATTTTAAAAAAAAATTTAAAATTTAAATTTCCCCCCAACTCACTATTATAATTCAACGATTGAAGTTTGACTTGAGGTGTCGAATCGATTTCGGGCGGTGAATAGCCTTTGGTGACGCCAGTCACCAATTTCGGCTCATTTTCCACAATTTCGAAAATCACCACTTCCAAATCGCTCTGCAAACAATTTCAAAAAATTTGGGAAATTTTGAATGTAAATATGACCATGTTCCTTTAAATATAGAGTACTGTAGGCTAAAAATTCAAAATTTTCGTTTTCGCGGATTATTTTGAATTTAAACAAGACCATGTTCCTTTAAAATTCGGGTACTGTAGGTGTGAAAATGCGCAAAAATCCAAAATTCAAAAATTTCACCCCCGGGCGTATTTGGTGTCAAAAAATGCGAATTTTTCTACAGTAACCCCGAAATCTACAGTAACCCACCATATCCGGCCCAAATCCAACCGCCGACCACTCATTATTGCCGATATTTTTGGTCGTGACTTCCATGGTGAGTTCACCATCCGCCACTTGCCATCTCGAACTGATATCACCATTTTTAACACTGCATTTCGCCGCATTGCTCATGTTAGCGCCGAAAATTGTGATCAGAAGAACCACCAACAAAAACTTCATTGCGCTGGAAAATATTTGGAAAATTCTGAAGCTTTTTCAAAAAGGGGCGGAGCTTATGAGAACATCATTGAAACAACTTTTGTTTGCGCATTTTAAATATAACAATTTCGCCAAGTGAACAAAGCAGCCGGGTGGCCGAGTGGTTAGCACGGGTGCCTGACAATGGTGCGACCAGGGTTCGACTCCCCTCGCCGGCGAACTTTTTTATTTTTTTTTGTTTGAATTTTTCTATCTGAAATCTGAAAACATGGATTTTTCTCAAATTTTCGCGCAAAAAGGGAAGTTTTTTTTCGCCTAGAAGACACACAAAACAAAAGAAATGTGAATGAATGATAAAATCGAAATCACCAAAAAGAGAACAGAAAATGATGAATCTTTTCTTTTTATCAAATAAATTATTACACAAAAAAAAAAAAAAAAAAATTCAATCGAGAAAAAAAAGCTGCGCGGTTTGAGAGAACACGTTTTTTTTGTTAATAAAATTTTTCGAAAAAAATTTTTTTTTTGAGAAACAAAAAAAAATGTTTGGTTTTGTTCTAAACTCGCGGGGATTTCTGTTAGTTTAGTGAGTAAGGGAAAACAAAACAAAAAAAAAATAAAATTCTTGAAATTTCAGATTTTTTTTTAAAGATTTTTAGTGTGTTCTTATGACCTCAAAAGCTGTCTTTGGACAAAATGTTCAAAAATTTCAAAAAATTTAGTATCAAACAAAAATAAACAGTCAAAAAAAATAACAGATTAACTCAACAAAATACAGCAGAACTGATTCACCAACGAAAAATTGTCAAAAATTAGTTTTTTTCAAGTTTTTCAGACAAAAATGATGAAAAATCGAGATTTTTTAAGGTTTTGAAGTGATTTTTTGTAAAATAAAAAATTCAAGTGAATTTCATTTTTCGAATTTGTTGTAATTTTTTCAATTTTTTGTAATTTTTCGAATTTTTTGGAATTTTTTGAATTTTTTTCAATTTTCAAAAAATTTGCAAAAACTCCGGAAAAGTGGATTCCAAGGTCAATTTTCATCAGAAATCACTTCAGAAGCTTCAAAAATCTCAATTTTTCATAATTTTCGAGTTTTTCCAGTCAAAAATGATGAAAAATCGAGATTTTTGAATGTTTTTAAGTGATTTCTGATGAAAATTGACCTTGGAATCCACTTTTCAGAAGTTTTTTCGAATTTTTTTAAATTTTTCGATTTTTTTGTAATTTTTCGAATTTTTTGTAATTTTTCGAATTTTTTGTAATTTTCAAAAAATTTGCCAAAACTTCGGAAAAGTGGATTCCAAGGTCAATTTTCATAAAAAATCACTTCAGAAGCTTCAAAAATCATGATTTTTTTTCAATTTTTTTTTTGAATTTTTCGATTTTTTTGTAATTTTTCGAATTTTTTGTATTTTACAAAAAAATCAGAAAAAAAACTTCTAGGGGTCAATTTTCATCAAAAATCCCTTCAGAAGCTTCAAAAATCTCAATTTTTCATCATTTTTGGCTGAAAAACTCGAAAAAAACACATTTTTTGACAAAAAATTTCGATTTTTTCACTCAAAAATAGGGAAAAAACGAAATTTTTTGGCAAAACTATGGAAAAATCATGGAAAAATCACTGGAAAATTAAAATTTGGCGGAATCAATTCCGGTTCCAATCTAAACACGGTTGGCATTGGAACAGGTGATGGTTCCAAATTCGGATCAAGCACAGAATAAAGTGGTCCCGGCAACATCTGAATAGCCAAGTTCTCAGGCCAAATCGACATTTTCGATTTCACCAATTTTCGCGTAAATTCTTCAGCGGAATCGCGAAGTTCTAAACTTTCGCGCATTTTTCCGCTGACAATCAAAACTGGCAAAAGTTGAGCGATTTCGCCGCGAGTTTGCTGCATCCACGTGTAATTTTCAGCCAAAACATTGAGAAGTGCAGAATCTTCGTATTCGCCGCCTTCTTTCAGCGAATTTTTCTTTTTTTCGATCTGAAAATTCCAGATTTTTTGACTAGAGTCTAGTCTAGTTTCAAAAAATTCAGATTTTCTTTTTGATTCCAAATTTTCCCGGAAAATCCCTATTTTCCAGAATTTTCAAAACTATAGTCTAGTCTAGTTGTCAGAAAACTATGAATTTTCAAAACTATAGTCTAGTCTTGTTTCAAAAAATCCTGGATTTTCAAAACTATAGTCTAGTCTAGTCTCAAAACGATGAATTTTCAAAACTATAGTCTAGTCTAGTTTCAAAAAACTATGAATTTTCGAAACTATAGTCTAGTTTAGTGTCAGAAAACTATGAATTTTCAAAACTATAGTCTAGTCTAGTGTCAGAAAACTATGAATTTTCAAAACTATAGTCTAGTCTAGTTTCAAAAAACTATGAATTTTCAAAACTATAGTCTAGTCTAGTGTCAGAAAACTATGAATTTTCAAAACTACAGTCTAGTCTAGTCAGAAAACTATGAATTTTCAAAACTACAGTCTAGTCTAGTGTCAGAAAACTATGAATTTTCAAAACTATAGTCTAGTCTAGTGTCAGAAAACTATGAATTTTCAAAACTATAGTCTAGTTTAGTCTCAAAATGTTCAAGAAATTATGAATTTTCAAAACTATAGTCTAGTCTAGTGTCAGAAAACTATGAATTTTCAAAACTATAATCTAGTCTAGTCTCAAAATTGTCATGAATTTTCAAAACTATAGTCTAGTCTAGTCTCAAAATAGACTCTAGGCATATTTACACTCAAAATTTGCGGATTTTCAGCTTTCCAACTATAATATGAGCAATATTAGACAATTTTGTCGAATTTTCGGTTAACATGAGCAAACCTGTTTTCTCCTTCGAACAGTCGAAGCCATCGAAACTTTCGAACTTCCAGATCTACTCGAAATACTGGAAATCATTGAAATATCATCTCTCAAATCCTCAATTTCTCCAGCCGCAAATTGTTCCAATTTTTTCAGCTTATTTTCTCGAACAATTTGGAGACGTGCACGATATCTGGAAAAATTGGAAAAATCTAGTTATGACGTGGCAAAAATGCGCAAATTTTGAGTGTAAGATTGCCTAGAGTCTATTTTGAGACTAGACTAGACTATAGTTTTGCAAAATTCATAGTTTTCTGACTAGACTAGACAATAGTTTAGAAAATTCATGATTCCCTGAATAGACTAGACTATAGTTTTGCAAAATTCATAGTTTTCTGACTAGACTAGACAATAGTTTTGAAAATTCATAATTTGAGACTAGACTAGACTATAGTTTTGAAAATTCATCGTTTTCTGACACTAGACTAGACTATAGTTTTGAAAATTCATAGTTTTCTGACACTAGACTAGACTATAGTTTTGCAAAATTCATGACAATTTTGAGACTAAACTAGACTATAGTTTTGAAAATTCATAGTTTTCTGACACTAGACTAGACTATAGTTTTGAAAATTCATAGTTTTCTGACACTAGACTAGACTATAGTTTTGCAAAATTCATAGTTTTCTGACACTAAACTAGACTATAGTTTTGAAAATTCATAGTTTTCTGATACTAGACTAGACTATAGTTTTGAAAATTCATAATTTTCTGACTAGGCTAGACTATAGTTTTGAAAATTCATCGTTTTCTGACACTAGACTAGAGTATAGTTTTGAAAATTCATAGTTTTCTGACACTAGACTAGACTAAAGTTTTGAAAATTCATAGTTTTCTGACACTAGACTAGAGTATAGTTTTGAAAATTCATAGTTTTCTGACACTAGACTAGACTATAGTTTTGAAATTTCATCGTTTTCTGGCACTAGACTATAGTTTTGAAAATTCATAGTTTTCTGACACTAGACTAGACTATAGTTTTGAAAATTCATAGTTTTCTGACACTAGACTAGACTATAGTTTTGAAAATTCATAGTTTTCTGACACTAGACTAGACTATAGTTTTGAAAATTCATAGTTTTCTGACACTAGACTAGACTATAGTTTTGAAAATTCATAGTTTTCTGGCACTAGACTAGACTATAGTTTTGAAAATTCATAATTTTGAGACTAGACTAGACTATAGTTTTGAAAATCCATGAAATTCTGAAACTAGACTAGACTATAGTTTTGAAAATTCATAATTTTCTGACACTAGACTAGACTATAGTTTTGAAAATTCATAGTTTTCTGACACTAGACTAGACTATAGTTTTGAAAATTCATAGTTTTCTGACACTAGACTAGACTATAGTTTTGCAAAATTCATGACAATTTTGAGACTAAACTAGACTATAGTTTTGAAAATTCATAGTTTTCTGACACTAGACTAGACTATAGTTTTGAAAATTCATAGTTTTCTGACACTAGACTAGACTATAGTTTTGCAAAATTCATAGTTTTCTGACACTAAACTAGACTATAGTTTTGAAAATTCATAGTTTTCTGATACTAGACTAGACTATAGTTTTGAAAATTCATAATTTGAGACTAGACTAGACTATAGTTTTGAAAATTCTTGAATTTTTCTAAAAACTTTGAAAATTCCAGAAAATTCATAGTTTTTTGAAGATTTTGAAACCAAACTAGACTATAGTTTTGAAAATTCATAATTTTCTGACACTAGACTAGACTATAGTTTTGAAAATTCATCGTTTTCTGACAATTTTGAGACTAGACTATAGTTTTGAAAATTCATGACAATTTTGCGACCAAACTAGACTATAGTTTTGAAAATTCATAGTTTTCTGACTAGACTAGACTATAGTTTTGAAAATTCTTGAATTTTTCTAAAAGCTTTGAAAATTCCAGAAAATTCATAGTTTTTTGAAGATTTTGAGACTAGACTAGACTATAGTTTTGAAAATTCATAATTTTCTGACTAGACTAGACTATAGTTTTGAAAATTCTTGAATTTTTCTAAAAACTTTGAAAATTCCAGAAAATTCATAGTTTTTTGAAGATTTTGAAACCAAACTAGACTATAGTTTTGAAAATTCAAAAATTACCTCTCAAATTCCGCGCTTCTTCTCATCAACTCCAATTTCAGCGTTTCCCATCTGGAAATCGCCGAATTCCTCAAAATCTCCTGCGACTTATCCAAACTCTCGCCGAATTTTTCCTCAACTTCCCGTGAAGCCAAAAGCCATTCTTGTGCCTCACACAAAACTTGAACAATTTGCGAAATCGGCGAATTTGCGAGTTTTAGGGCTTTTGCGCACTCTTTGAGTTGACGCGATTCTCGTAGAGCTGACGACATTTTGATGGCGTGGATTTTGAGTTGGGCGAAGTCGAGTTTGGCTCGCCGAGCCGCTGAGATAAGCCCGTCCACGTCACGTGACATTTCCCACGATTTGAGAGTCTGAAAAATTTTTTTTTAGTTAGCCTAACTCTGAATTATGACGTGGCAAACTCCACAAAACTTTTCAGTACAAAAAATGTTCACAGAAAAAAAACTTTTTTTTCGAAATTTTCAAGATTTTTCGGGATTTTAGGGCTACTCTAATGAGAATTTCACCAAATTAAGATTTTGACGGATTTTCAGGGTATACTGTAGCTTGAAATTTTTTTTGGTGAATTTTCATGATTTTTCTGGAAAATTAAAAAAAAAAAAAAACATTTTTGGCACGAAAATTGTGAAATTCAAGTTTTATTTTAATGTCAAAAATGAATTCAAAAAAATTTTCTTAAAAAATTCCACAAATTTTTATGCGGTGTTTCGAGTCGAAATAAATAATAAAAAAACATTTTTTTACAAACAATTTTTTTTTCATTTTTTTTCCCAAAAATATTTAAATTTCAGGAATTTATCGTATTTCTGACCTAAAATAGCAAATTTTGTGAATTTTGACACATAAATATCCAATCTCTGGGAAAAATTATCAATTTTCAGCTAAAAATCGAAATTTTTCGGTTCTAAAATTAAATTTCCCGAAGGTCCTGAAGTTAGGGCTCAAAACTCAGAGAAATAGCACACAAAAACGAGAGATTGCAGACAGATTTTTTGGCTGAAATTGGAAAAAAGCATGATTTTCAGCCTTTTCAACTTAAAATTTGCATCTAGAAGTGTTTTTTCTAACAAAACTATTTAAATTTCAGGAATTTATCGAATTTCTGACAAAAATAGCAAAATTTGTGAATTTTGACACATAAATATCCAATCTCTTGTGGGGTGATTCGAATCGAAAGAAACAATTTTAAAAAAATATTTTTTTACAAAAAATTCCGATTCAGAAAATGTCAAAAAACTAGCTGAAATTTTTCGGGGTTTAATTTTCTGGAAATTATCGATTTTTGGAAATTTTGGTGACTTTTCAAGCCATTTTATTGAACTTCTCATTTTTTATGAAATTTTGACTCAAAAATTCAAAACCCGAAAAAATACGTTTCAAAATTTTGATACGACTTTTCAAGCCAATTTTTTGCAATTTCAACATTTTTTCCCACCTTTCCAATATTTTTCTAGATTTTTTTAAATTTTAAAAGAATTAATGTACCTTGAATTTTTTAGAGTTACTGTATGTTGAAACTAAAATTTTTGAAATTCTCATTTTCACTGAAATTTTGACTCAAAAATTCAAATTTTTTTATAAAAATTTGGATCAAAATCGAAATTTTGATATGAAAATCCGGAAAATTATCAAATTTTGGTTAATTTTCTCGGTTTTTAACGTAAAAATATCAAATTTCGTGAAATTTTCTCGGTTTTTAACATAAAAAAATTCATTTTAATCCAAATTTTCCAATTTTTACCCTCAAAAAACCCCCCACCTTTTCCAAATCGCCCGCCAACTCAAAAAACATCGCCGCCTCTTTCCACAAAAACTTCTTCTCCAAATATTTCGCATACAATTCACAACAATTCGCATATCTTTTCTCATCCCGCGAGTTCGCAATTTTCAACGATTCTTCATACAAATTCTCCCGTTCAATAATCTCTTCCGCTTCTTTCCACCAATTTTCCGATTTCTCCTCAGATTGCTCATATTTATCCAGCACAAAAAGCGACTTCAAACAATCCACCCAATTTTCGCGCACCAAATTAATCCTGTACTGTTTTTCCAGCTCATTTTCAAATTTATTCAACCTGTTCAGAATTGGTAGATATTCTTTGGGATCGTAGTTCGAGGCTTCCGCAACTTTTTGCGCCAATTTCAGATCATATGTCGATAGGGCGCAGTTGAACAATTCCTTGGCGGGCACAAAAAATGAGACATGGTGGAGACTTTGACGGGTGAACACGTCTTTTCGATCTTCTGCAAGAATTTTATTTTTTCAAGGCTCGGCTGCTTGACATAGAGTATCTCAAGGCTCCGCCCCTTGACATATACTATCTCAAGGCGCGGCTGCTTGACATAGAGTATCTCAAGGCGCGGCTGCTTTCCATAAAGTATCTCAAGGCGCGGCTCCTTGACATAGAGTATCTCAAGACGCGGCTCCTTGACATATATCATCTCAAGGCTCGGCTGCTTGACATAGAGTATCTCAAGGCGCCGCTCCTAGACATAACGTATCTCAAGGCTCGGCTGCTTGACATAGAGTATCTCAAGGCGCCGCTCCTTGACATAGAGAATCTCAAGGCGCGGCTCCTTGACATATATCATCTCAAGGCTCGGCTGCTTGACATAGAGTATCTCAAGGCGCCGCTCCTAGACATAACGTATCTCAAGGCTCGGCTGCTTGACATAGAGTATCTCAAGGCTCGGCTGCTTGGCATAGCGAGCGGAGCGAGTGTAGACCGCAAGCTTCCGCGTAAGCGGCACTATCTTCCGCGCAGCGGCAAAGTTACCCCAACTTCTACGGATAATCAAGACGCGGAAGCTTCGAGCGGAGCGAGTGTAAACCGCAAGCTTCCGCGTAAGCGGCACTATCTTCCGCGAAGCGGCAAAGTTACCCTAACTTCTACGGGTAATCTAGACGCGGAAGCTTCGAGCGGAGCGAGTGTAGACCGCAAGCTTCCGCGTAAGCGGCACTATCTTCCGCGCAGCGGTAAAGTTACCCTAACTTCTATAAAGTTAGGGTAACTTGGCCTCTTACGCGGAAGCTTCGAGCGGAGCGAGTGTAGACCGCAAGCTTCCGCGTAAGCGGCACTATCTTCCGCGCAGCGGTAAAGTTACCCTAACTTCTACAGATAATCTGGACGCGGAAGCTTCGAGCGGAGCGAGTGTAGACCGCAAGCTTCCGCGTAAGCGGCACGATCTTCCGCGCAGCGGTAAAGTTACCCTAACTTCTACAGATAATCTAGACGCGGAAGCTTCGAGCGGAGCGAGTGTAGACCGCAAGCTTCCGCGTAAGCGGCACTATCTTCCGCGCAGCGGTAAAAATACCCTAACTTCTAAAAAGTTAGGGTAACTTCCGCGCCGCTCCTTCAAATTTTGCCACGTCATAACTCACCAACATCCTTCACAAATTCCTGAATTTCCTTCAACGAATCATTAATTCTCGAAGGCGTCGATCTCAGCAGCGAAGTCAGCAAAAGCGGAAAAAGTTTCGTTTTTCTCTTCAAATCTTCAATTTTCAAAATTTCCTCATAAACTTTTGTGCACAATTCATTTCCCTCATCCGATTTTTGCTCGGTGCAACTTACGATAAGTTGCTCGAGAAGTTGAGAATCGCATGTGTTTTGGAGCCAAGTTTCAGCGTCAGCAGAGAGCGTCTGAAAATGAAATCGATTTTCTGGATTTTCCGGAAAATTTTGGGAAATTTTCACAGTTAGTTACCCTAACTTTTTAGAAGTTAGGGTAACTTTACCGCTTCGCGGAAGATAGTGCCGCTTACGCGGAAGCTTGCGGTCTACACTCGCTTCGCTCGAAGCTTCCGCGTCTAGATTTCCCGTAGAAGTTAGGCTAACTTTGCCGCTTGCGCGGAAGATTGTGCCGCTTACGCGGAAGCTTGCGGTCTACCAATTTCCCGGAAAATGATCTTTACTAGTAATATTTTCAATTTTCCCTAAATTTTGGGAAATTTTCCAAGTTTATGATAGAAAAAATTAAATTTTTGGAATTTTTTTCAATTTTTCAGAATTTTACGATTTTTTGAGTGCCCAATAGGCTGAAAATCGAAATTTCAGATCTTGAAAATTTTTTCGAATTTTCCGGCTCCATTTCAAAATAATTTTTTGAGAAAAATAAAATTTTTCACAAAAATCATCAAAAATTGAGTTATGCTAACTTTTGAGAGCCCAAATTTCCGGATTTTTTGAACTGGAAAATCCGGAAAATTCTGAAATTCGCGATTTTCAGCCTTAAGTTGGCACTAAACCTTATTTTTGTAATTTAGTAATTATTTGAGACGTTTTACGTTCAAAAAATCGTAAAATTCTGAAAAATTTCATTTTTTCTATCATAAACTTGGAAAATTTCCCAAAATTTAGGCAATATTCGGAAAATATTTTTTTTTTTAAATTTTTTTTTGAAATTTGGATCAAAATCGAAATTTTGATGATTTTACGTTAAAAAAATCGTGAAAATTGAAAAAAAATCCCAAAAATTTCATTTTTTCCATCATAAACTTAGAAAATTTCCTAAAATTTGGGAAATTTTGAAAATATTACTACTAAAGATCATTTTCCGGAAAATTGGTAGACCGCGAGCTTCCGCGTAAGCGGCACTATCTTCCGCGAAGCGGTAAAGTTACCCTAACTTCTACGGGTAATCAAGACGCGGAAGCTTCGAGCGGAGCGAGTATAGACCGCAAGCTTCCGCGTAAGCGGCACTATCTTCCGCGAAGCGGCAAAGTTACCCTAACTTCTAGAAAGTTCGGGTAACTTTTCAGAGAATTCGCCCACCTCCTTCTTATAATCCATCGCAAAATTCATATCAATCCGATGTTTTTTCATAAACTTAAAAGCTTCAATATACAATTTCTCATCTAGAAGTCTCTTAATCTCGCGAATCACAAATCTTCTCGGCTGAATCGTCTCCAAATTTCCTCGCGCAGCTTGCAAAACCACATTAGCTGTTGCGGAATCTGCAGAAACCAATTCGCAACCAGCTTCAACATCTCTCACATCTTCAGCAAATCGGAGATTTTCGAAATCCACAAATCTCAATTTATTTTCAAAATCAATTACCATCAAATCATTTTCTTTGGGAAGAATTGAAATAATATTACTTGCGATTTTAGTTCCATCAATATATAAAGCAGCTTCGGCAGTTAGCCAAACTTTCGATATTTTCACATTATAAACTTGAATTGCTCCAAATTCGGAAAAATCGATATTTTTTGAGATCGCATAAGTTTCAGCTTCAGAATCATAGGTGAAACCAGAAATCGGGCCTTTTGATGGATTTTGGAGCAGAGATGTTTGGATTTTTTGGAAGTTTGTTGTGTTGGAAGATTGCGCGACTGAAAATTCAGAATTTTTCAAGGAAAAATCAATTTTCCGAGGCTCAGTTACCCTAACTTTCTAGAAGCTATGGTAACTTTACCGCTGCGCGGAAGATAGTGCCGCTTACGCGGAAGCTTGCGGTCTACCAATTTTCCGGAAAATGATCTTTAGTAGTAATATTTTCAGAATATTGCCTAAATTTTGGGAAATTTTCTGAGTTTATGATAGAAAAAAAAAATTTTTGGAATTTTTTTCAATTTTAACGATTTTTTTTTTCGATTTTGATCCAAATTTCAAAAAATTTGAATTTTTAAGTCAAAATTTCACTGAAAATGAGAATTTCAAAAAAAATTTTTAAAAAAATTTTTAATTTCAAATTTACCTAAATTTTGGGAAATTTTCCAAGTTTATGATAGAAAAAATGAAAGTTTTGAAATTTTACGATTTTTTGAACGTAAAACGTCTCAAATAGTTACTAAATTACAAAAATAAGGTTTAGTGCCAAATTAGGGCTGAAAATCGCGAATTTCAGAATTTTTTTGGAAAATTTTTCAAGGTCTGAAATTTCGATTTTCAGCCGATTTTTAGGAATTTTAGGTCAAAAAATTCGAAAAATTTCTGAAATTTATATATTTTTGCGAGAAAAAACACTTTTAGACTCAAATTTTAGGCTCAACTGGCTGAAAATCATGATTTGTTTTCAATTTCAGCCAAAAAATCATATTTTTTGGCTGAATTTTGAGCCCTAAATTCAGGATATTCGGGAAATTTAATTTTAGGACCGAAAAATTCTGAAAAAAATTAATTAAAAAATTTTTTTTTACAAAAATTCGATTCAGAAAATGTCGAAAAACTATATTTTTTGACATTTTTTCCTTTTTTTTGTAAAAAAAATTGTTTTTTTATTATTTTTTTTAATTTTAGAACCGAAAAATTCCGATTTTTATGGGGTATTTCAAGTCGGAAAAAAAATAAAAAAACATTTTTTTTTTGCAAAAAAACTATATTTTTTCCTGTTTTTTGACATTTTTGTAAAAAAATGTTTTTTTTAATTATTTTTAATTTTAGAACCAAAAAATTCCGATTTTTATGGGGTTCGAAAAAAATTAATTTTTTTTTTAATTTTGAGAAAAAACTATATTTTTTCCTATTTTTCCACATTTTTTTCCACAAAAAAATGAAAAAATAGGATTTTTTTTTAATTTTCAATTTTAGATTCAAAATTTTGCCTATTTAGGGAACCTAAATTTAATTTTTCTATGATTTTAATCCGAAAAATTGAAAAAAATTCCAAAAATTTCATTTTTTCTATCATAAATTGAGAAAATTTCCCAAAATTTAGGGAAAATTGAAAATATTTCTAGTAAAGATCATTTTCCGGAAAATTGGTAGACCGCAAGCTTCCGCGTAAGCGGCACTATCTTCCGCGAAGCGGTAAAGTTACCCTAACTTCTAGAAAGTTAGGGTAAACCGCAAGCTTCCGCGTAAGCGGCACAAGCTTCCGCGCAGCGGCAAAGTTACCCTAACTTCTAAAAAGTTAGGGTAAACCGCAAGCTTCCGCGGAAGCTTCGAGCGGAGCGAGTGTAGACCGCAAGCTTCCGCGCAGCGGTAAAGTTACCCTAACTTCTAGAAAGTTAGGTTTTCCCCCCCTCAAAATCCTCACATTGATGAATAACCGAATCCGCCGTCAAAACATGAATTTTCTTCTCCAAAATTCTATAAAAAACCACATCGGCCTCAAAATTCAGCGAATTTTCGAACATCGGCGGTGGAATCGCACGTTTGCACAGGTCCGAAATTCGAATCTCATCTGTCGCCACAACCAGATTCATTTCCAAATCCTGGGAATACGAGGAACTCTCAAAAATCGAGAAATTCCAGAATTTCCCATTTTCCAGCACATAAATCACATTTTCATCAATTGTGCTCCATTTGAAGGTGAAATTTGAAGAAATTTCCAGTTTCCAGGTGATTTTTTGGGTGAATTCGTAGTTGGAAAGTCTCCAGAATTGCACTGAAAATTCCAGAATTTTTGGCTGAAATTGGAAAGATTTTCAGCTAATTCAGCATGAAATTTGAGTCTAGAAGTGGTTTTTTCTAACAAAAATATATAAATTTCAGGAATTTTTCGAATTTTCTGACCTAAAATTGCAAATTTTAAAACATTAATATCAGGCGGAAAATCCGGAAAATTCTGAAATTCGCGATTTTCAGCCTTAAATTGGCACTAAAACTTATTTTTACGTTCAAAAAATCGTAAAATTCCAAAAATTTCATTTTTTCTATCATAAACTTGGAAAATTTCCCAAAATTTTTTTTAAAATTTTTTTCTGAAATTCTCATTTTCAGTGAAATTTTGACTCAAAAATTCAAATTTTTTGAAATTTGGATCAAAATCGAAATTTTGATATGATTTTACGTTTAAAAAATCGTAAAAATTGAAAAAATTCCAAAAATTTCATTTTTTCTATCATAAACTTGGAAAATTTCCCAAAATTTAGGCAAAATTTAAAATAATATTTTTTTTTTAATTTTTTTTTGAAATTCTCATTTTCATTGAAATTTTGACTCAAAAATTCAAATTTTTTGAAATTTGGATCAAAATCGAAATTTTGATATGATTTTACGTTTAAAAAATCGTAAAAATTGAAAAAATTCCAAAAATTTCATTTTTTCTATCATAAACTTGGAAAATTTCCCAAAATTTAGGCAAAATTTAAAATAATATTTTTTTTTAAATTTTTTTTTTGAAATTCTCATTTTCATTGAAATTTTGACTCAAAAATTCAAATTTTTTGAAATTTGGATCAAAATCGAAATTTTGATGATTTTACGTTGAAAAAAAATCGTAAAAATTGAAAAAATTTCAAAAATTTCATTTTTTCTATCATAAACTTGGAAAATTTCCCAAAATTTAGGCAATATTCGGAAAATATTACTATTAAAAATCATTTTCCGGAAAATTGGTAGACCGCAAGCTTCCGCGTAAGCGGCACGATCTTCCGCGAAGCGGCAAAGTTACCCTAACTTCAACAGATAAAAACTCACAAAACTCTTCCTCTCCACAAATCACATGAAAAGCCAAAATCGATCCTGTAGAATTCCAGGAAATCTTCTTGATTCTTCTAGATTTCTGATTTTTCGACCATTTCATCAAATATCCATTTCGAGTTTCGCCATTTCGCTCGAAAAATACAACTTCATCCATGCCGTTTTCTTTCAAAATTGAGGAGCAAATGAGATTTGCGTTGGGGCGCATTGCAAAACAGTCGGACAAATAAATATTGCGGATATTCATTGAGCTCTGCACAGCTCCATTTTTGTCGAAGATCTGGAAATTTTCAGATCAAATCTTAAACAAAATATATTCAAAAAAAAAAAAATTTTTTTTTTTAATTTTGTGAATCACCTAATTAACGTCGGTATATAACTTGTAGCAATTTCCAATTTTTGTTTTCGAAATTTCCTCCAATTTGCAATGCAATATGTGATTGGAAAAACCTTCGTAACATTTGTTGAATAAAGACACATTAAGTTTTGAAATGGTAAATCAAAGAACCATAAAACAATTCCAATAAAACTCATAAAAGTGAACAAGAAAATTGGGATATTTTGATAGATAATTGCCAACTCATATTTTCTCCTTGTTTCAGACAATAATTGCGTATTCCGATGAATTTTGAATAATATGAAGCAATGAATGAATAATGAGATATAGGTTATAAAAAGTTGCGAAATTATTGAATATTTTATACGGAATATATTAGGTTCTTTTCCTTTCACATCACATTTGTAGGTGTTTTCAAGAAAATTATATATTATACATGATTCTTCAAGTTTACAATCATTATTTTTGTGTAACAACAATGTGAAAATAATCTCTTTTTTTAGCCAAAATTTTAGCAAATTTGTAAAATTCTCTTGTACAATAACAAATCTTTGGATAGAAATCAAGAAAATAAATGCGATTCCAGACGCGAAAAATAATAAAAAATAGGTGATTATTGAGATATTCTTGAAAATTAGCAGAAGACTGATAGATGAAAAGGTTAGAAGTGTAGTTATCATATCAATCAAAATGAAATAGAAGATTGGTAGATAGATTTGATAAATTAAAGATTTTCGATCATTGATTTTGTGAAAATGTAGATATAGGGAAATTTAAAAATTGTTGGAATATGCTTCAAAATGAGTTGGACATTTTTTAGTGCAAGACTGAATATGAAATATGAAAAATTATAGGTTTTTTAGGTAGTAAACTATAATTTTCTCTAATTACCATTTTTGGCAAGAGAAGAATAGAAAATTATAGTTTACTACATAGAAAGCCCATAATTTTTCATATTTCATATTCATTCTTGCACTAAAAAAAATGTCCAACTCTAACGAGATTAATTGGATTATCCAACTTATTTTGAAGCATATTCCAACAATTTTTAAATTTCCCTATATCTACATTTTCACAAAATCAAGCTTGGATGATCGAAAATCTTTGATTTATCAAATCTACCTACCAATCTTCTATTTCATTTTGATTGATATAATAACTACAATTCTAACCTTTTCATCTATCAGTCTTCTGCTAATTTTCAAGAATATCTCAATAATCACTTATTTTTTATTATTTTTCGCGTGGATTCAAACAACAATCTCGCCCCTTTTCGCGTCTGGAATCGGATTTATTTTCTTGATTTCTATACAAAGATTTGTTATTGTACAAGAAATTCATTGTCTTTACAAATTTGTTGAGGGAAAATGGTTAAAATTTTGGATATTTTTGGTGGTTATCGAGATTATTTTCACAATGTTGTTACACAAAAATAATGATTGTAAACTTGAAGAATCATGTATAATATATAATTTTCTTGAAAACACCTACAAATGTGATGTGCAAGGAAAAGAACCTAATATATTCCATATAAAATATACAATAATCTCGCAATTTCTTATAACCTATATCTCATTATTCATTCATGCCTTCATATTATTCAAAATTCATCGGAATACGCAATTATTGTCTGAAACAAAGAGAAAATATGAGTTGGCAATTATCTATCAAAATATACCAATTTTCTTGTTCAATTTTATGAGTTTTATTGGAATTGTCTTATGGTACTTTGATTTACCATTTCAAAATCTAATGTGTCTTTATTCAACAAATGTTACGAAAATTTTTCCGATCACATATTGCATTGCAAATTGGAGGAAATTTCGAAAACAAAAATTGAAGATTGCTACAAGTTATATAATTCCGACCGACGTTAATTAGGTTAAAAAAACCAAAAAAGTGATTCACGAACGGTATTTTCATTCATTTTTTCACCATTTTCTTAACAAATTGAATAAAGTGAAGCTAAAACGCATTTTAGTGTACAGAAATGCTATTTTAAGACCTTCTAATCAGCCTAAAAGACAAATCAAGCCTTCAAAATCACCAATTTCATTTTTTTTTTTTTGGAAGATGTGAGGCTTGATTTGTCTTTTATGGGGCTAATAAAGGGAAGCTTCCGCGTCTAGATTATCTGTAGAAGTTAGAGTAACTTTGCCGCTGCACGGAAAATAGTGCCGCTTACGCGGAAGCTTGCGGTCTACATTCGCTTCGCTCGAATAAAGGGAAGCTTCCGCGTCTAGATTTCCCGTAGAAGTTAGGGTAACTCAGCCTCTTACGCGGAAGCTTCCCTTTATTCGAGCGAAGCGAGTGTAGACCGCAAGCTTCCGCGTAAGCGGCACTATCTTCCGCGAAGCGGCAAAGTTACCCTAACTTCTAGAAAGTTCTAGAACTTCTAGAAAGTTAGGGTAACTTAGCCTCTTACGCGGAAGCTTGCGGTCTACACTCGCTCCGCTCGAAGCTTCCGCGTAAGAGGATAAGTTACCCTAACTTCTACGGGTAATCTAGACGCGGAAGCTTCGAGCGGAGCGAGTGTAGACCGCAAGCTTCCGCGTAAGCGGCACTATCTTCCGCGCAGCGGCAAAGTTACCCTAACTTCTAGAAAGTTAGGGTAACTTAGCCTCATTCAAAACAATAAACAAAAACGCACCGTCAACATTCTAGTCCTCTCCCCTTCCGAAAAATACGAGACTCCCAAAAATTCCCCATCAAATCTCCAACAAACACTCGACTTCTTCGAATGCGCCTCCAACTCCACACGTTCCTTCTCGATTTTCTCACCGGCTTTCAGTTTTCCGGCCGAGCCGCGGAATTGTGTGCTTTCCGAGCCCCAACCGACGTTCACTGGTGCCGCGTGTAATTCATCATCGTTGAATGAAAGAATTCTGGAAATTTTGGGGGTTTTTTTAGCCAAAAACCTTTTTTTTTAGCCAAAAACCTCTCATAAAATGTGGTTAACGATGGATCGATGAAAAATAGAGCATTTCCATCAGAAATCGCCAAAATTTGCTCATCAGGACTCCATTCAGCAGACGCTCTTTCACTATGACAAATATCGCAGATCTCTAAAAATTCCGCAGCCTCAGCACCCTCCATCCACCCAAATCCACTTCCATTCGCCAACAAAACCAAAACCTGCTCATTTTTCACTGACAATAGAATAATCGGCAGGTTTTCTTGATTTTCGAATGCGATTTGCTTGCCAGATTCGGGGAATATGAGATGATTATTGGTTGCAATTATAATCTCGCCAGTTATCGGATTTATATCGAAGATTTGCGATGTTTCGGGCACATCCTGTTGGGAGACCGTGCTGATTTTCAAGTTCTTCATTTTCTCTGTGAAAAACAATGTTGATTAGTGAAGGAACTATAAGAAAACACCCCAAAAACTCTGTTCGCCCCAAAAAAAAAAGAAAAATAAAAATAAATGGCCTAGGAATTCCTCGTCCCTCGTCCCCGCGACCCTAATCCGTCTGCGTCTCTCACTCTCTCTCCACACAAACAGAAAATTTTCATTTCTTTAGCGTTTTCGGTGACTAATCTCTCAAAATGGCGAAAAATATGCAAAATACGGCGTATCGTAAACTTGATGTTGATGCTTTTGATCCAGAACAATACAATGAAAATGATGATTGTGAGTTTTTTCGGGGGATTTTGATGGGATTTCGAAAAAGCATTAGTTTTTCGAGTTTTCAGTCAAAAATGATGACAAATCGAGATTTTTGAAGCTTCTCAAGTGATATTCTGATGAAAATTGAATCCAGAAGGCCCCAGAAGGTCAATTTTCATCAAAAATCACTTGAGAAGCTTCAAAAATCTTGATTTGTCATCATTTTTGAATGAAAATTTAGTTTTTCGAGTTTTTCAGCCAAAAATGATGACAAATCGAGATTTTTGAAGCTTCTGAAGTGATTTTTGATGAAAATTGACCCTGGAATCCACTTTTCAGAAGTTTTTTCGATGCATTTCCCGAAAAATCAACAAAAACTTCTGAAAAGTGGATTCCGGGGTCAATTTTCATCAGAAATCACTTTAAAACCTTCAAAAATCTTGATTTGTCATCATTTTTGACTGAAAAACTCGAAAATGATGACAAATCGAAATTTTTGAAGGTTTTGAAGTGATTTTTGATGAAAATTCACCTTCTGGGGCCTTCTGGAGTCAATTTTCATCAGAAATCACTTCAGAAGGCCCCAGAAGGTCAATTTTCATCAAAAATCACTTCAGAAGGCCCCAGAAGGTCAATTTTCATCAGAATTCACTCCAGAAGGCCCCAGAAGGTCAATTTTCATCAGAATTCACTCCAGAAGGCCCCAGAAGGTCAATTTTCATCAAAAATCACTTCAGAAGGCCCCAGAAGGTCAATTTTCATCAGAATTCACTCCAGAAGGCCCCAGAAGGTCAATTTTCATCAGAATTCACTCCAGAAGGCCCCAGAAGGTCAATTTTCATCAAAAATCACTTCAAAACCTTCAAAAATCCTCGATTTGTGATCATTTTTGACTGAAAAACTAAAAAACTAAATTTTCAGCAAAAAATGATGACAAATCGAGATTTTTGAAGCTTCTGAAGTGATTTCTGATGAAAATTGACCCTGGAATCCACTTTTCAGAAGTTTTTTAGATGCATTTCCCGAAAAATCAACAAAAACTTCTGGAAAGTGGATTCTAAGGTCAATTTTCATCAGAAATCACTTCAGAAGCTCGAAAAATCTCGATTTGTCATCATTTTTGGCTGAAAAACTGATTTTGACACAGCAGCGCTGATTCACAAACGAAAATAAATGTTTTTTTTCAACATAGAAAAAATCTAGGTCAAAATTAGTTTTTTTAAATTTTTAGAGCAAAAAATGATGACAAATCAAGATTTTTGGAGCTTCTGAAGTGATTTTTGATGAAAATTGACTCCAGAAGGCCTCAGAAGGTCAATTTTCATCAAAAATCACTTCAGAACCTTCAAAAATCTCGATTTTTCATCATTTTTGGCTCTAAAATTCTCGATTTTCAGCCGTCGAGACCCCCGGCCTCGGCCCAGATCAGCACACAATTCAATCATTCCTGGCCTCAAGTCGACTTCAAGACGCTCTTCACGCCTCACTTCTAACTCCACCTTTAGACACCAAAGATCAAGGTGTAAAAGATCGTGCAACTCAACTCGTCGCCAAAGTTTTGCAATCCTTCAAGACCACCGAAATCGAGGCGGCGGTTCAGGTTTTTTCTGAAAAAAAAACAAAATCTGGAAAAAAAAAATCTGAAAATCTGAAATTTCCAGAAGCTCTCAATTGACGAAGCCGACATTCTGATGAAATACGTCTACAAAGCGATGGAAATCCAGGCGGACGCCGCGATTTGTCAATCACTTTTGGCTTGGCACGCGCAAATTGTCGCCAAATTCGGACACGGTTGTATTATCCGCGTGCTTTCCGGACGGCAACGCTTGTGATGATCCGGAAATGCGGAATTTTCCGCAAGCAAATGTGTTTTCCTGTGTGATTTTATATTTATCCAATATATATTTATTCACTTTTCCCATTTTATAAAGCTTTATAATATAACATATTATGTATCAAAAAGAAGAAATTTTGAATTCAAAAAAATTTGAATTCAAATTTTTGGCGCCAAAAAATCAGCCACGTGGCAAATTTAGCAAATTTGAATTTTTTAAAAACGCGCCAACAATTTAAAATTCAAATTTTTTGGCGCCATTAATTAATTTTGATTGATTTTACAACGACACTCCGGCTTGCCCGTTGTTTAGCGCAACACGAGAAAATTTTCATTTTTTTTTCGCTGGGTAACCCCGGTTTTCAGGTTTCCGGGGGAAAATCAGTGAATTTCAGACAAAAATTGCATTTTCAGATGTTCTACAATGCTGAAATCATCGCTTTCAACGGAAAATCCGAGGATTATCGAAAAAAGGTGGGTTTTTTCTAGAGAAAAAAGAATTTTGCTAGAAAAATTCAAATTTTCTGATTTTCAGCTCGAAAAATGGCAAAAACGTGGAAAACTTGGAGGATTTCGAATTTGTTATGATTTTTGTGTGAAATTGAAGCGATTGGTGAGTTTTTTGGGGAGGGATTTTGGGAAAATTGAAAAAATCGATCTTTAAAAATTGAAAAAAGTTAGGCTAACTCACCATAGCAGATATAACTCGAGGCTACAGTATTTTAAAGGGACATACACTCGCGGGTTTTTCCTCTACACTCGCGCCAAAAGCGCTCGCCGCAACAAAAAAGCGAAGCTCCGCCCACTCCGCACACAAAACATGTCGCCTCGCAAAACCCGTCAAACGTCGGTCGCTCCTTTTCACTGCCCTTTTTATCTCTCCCGAATTTCTCTCTCTTTTGAAAGGTTGGCCGAAAGAAGGCGAATGGGAGTGACTCAAAGGCCCAATTTGTGTGGTCTAATTCGAATCCCGGGAAGGTCTGAGAGAATGTCCAAATAAGTGATACTTAGGAAGTATTTAGATAATATTTCTTGATAGAAATGAGACTGTAGAAGAAAGGTTTCTCTCTATTTCACAGAGAGATTGGGAAACGGTCTCGGCAAGCAATTTCTTCTGGAAATGATTCTGAGTGCGATCGCCATATCAACACAATTCAGACTAGTCTTCGGCCAACCTTTTTGGCTGGAAATTCGTGATTTTTAGCGATTTTCAGATAATCCATCGTTTTCAGCACGAAATTTTGATCTAGAAACATATTTCCTGAAAAAAATGGGGGACTAGGTTTTGCAAAATTCAAATTCTAGTCCCTCGGATGAAAAATGAGTTTCTAGGCTGAAATTTTGTGCTGAAAATCATGGAAATCGTGATTTTCATCAATTTTCAGATAATCCATTGTTTTCAGCGCAAAATTCTGATCTAGAAACATATTTCCTGAAAAAAATGGGGGACTAGGTTTTGCAAAATTCAAATTTTCTAGTCCCTCAACTTAAAAATGAGTTTCTAGACTGAAATTTTGTGCTGAAAATCATGGAAATCGTGATTTTCATGGATTTTCAGATAATCCATCGTTTTCAGCGCAAAATTCTGATCTAGAAAAATTTGAATTCGGGGACTAGGTTTTGCAAAATTCGAATTCTAGTCCATATTTAGAAAAACTAGAGTATAGATAGTTTCACGATGAAGACAAACTAGAATCTAGTTTGACGATGAAGAAAAAACTAGAGTCTAGTTTGACAATGAAGAGAAAACTAGAGTTTAGATAGTTTCACGATGAAAAAACTAGAGTCTAGTTTGATGAAGAAAAACTAGAGTCTAGTTTGACAATGAAGAAAAACTAGAGTCTAGTTTGACAATGAAGAAAAACTAGAGTCTAGTTTGACAATGAAGAAAAACTAGAGTCTAGTTTGAAGAAGAAAAAACTAGAGTCTAGTTTGACGATGAAGAAAAACTAGAGTCTAGTTTGACGACTAGAATCTAGTTTGATTGAAAAAAAAACAGATTTCGTGGAAATTATTGATTTATTGATCTTGAAAATGAGTTATCATACAAAACAAAACAGAATTAAAAAAAAAAATTCAAAAATTTTTGGGGAAAAAAAACTCGGGAACATTTCAAAAATCAAAAAATCCAAAAAAAATCACATAATATCACATCTCCATTGATTTTTGGCTCTTTCCACCTCCGCCAATCGAGCCTCTTCCTCTTCTCGAATTCTCTGATTTTCCAAAATCGGATCTTGAACTTCGGACGTCTGGAAACTTCTAGCCATTTCTGCGAAGCGAAGTGCGGCAAGCTCTTTTTTCAATTTTGCAATCTCGATTTTCAGCTTTGCAATTTCAGCTTCTTCTTGAGCAGCATCCATGTTTTCTGAAAAAAATTCTAGAGCTCTCAAAAATACTAAAAATTGAGAAAAATAAAGGGAAAACTGAGGGTTTATCAGCATTTCTCATTATTTTTAAGCGGGAATTTTTACAAATAAAAAAAAATAATTACAGGTTTGGAAAAATCATCAAATGAGTCAGATGAATCAGAATTTTGAGCTTAAAAATAATGAGAAATGCTGATTTTTTTCGATTTTTTGAGAGAGCTCTAGAAAAAGATTTTTTCAGAAGAATGGATGCTGAAAAGCTGAAATTGCAAATCTGAAAAAAATTGAAAAAGGAACTTGCCGCACTGAAAATCCACAAAAATCACGATTTCCACGATTTTCAGCACAAAATTTCAGTCTAGAAACTCATTTCGCAAGCTGAAGGACTAGAATTTGAATTTTGCAAAACCTAGTCCCCGAATTCAAATTTTTCTAGATCAGAATTTCGCGCTGAAAACGATAGATTATCTGAAAATCGATGAAAATTCCAATTTTCAACACAAAATTTCGAAAATGTCAAAAAACTTCATTTCCTTTTCTTCATCTCCGTCGCAATTTCTTCCGGCACCACAACATCTTCTTTGGCTCTTCGTTGCGCTTCGATTTTCTTCGCCAATCGCTCCTTTTTCTCCACTTCAGCTTTTTGTTTCCAGCGACTTTCTTGTTGCGCGACTTTTTTTTGCGCATGTTGTCTTGACGGAATTGTCGTGGTGAAAACTCGATAGATTTTGCAGGCTCGATTTGCATGATTTTGTTTTTCTCGCGACTCATTTTGCGACGGACAGATTTTAATTTTCTATCGCCGGAATTGCGTATCATCGTTGCATGAATTATCCGCACTCACTTCCATGGATTATTTTCCTGAAAGTTTGATTTTTTTAAATTTTGCCACGTCATAACTCACTTCCAATGTCACTTTCACAACCTTCTCCGGAACTGCCAATAACTTTTCTAATTCCACGTTTGTCATATCTTTCTCCGTCACAGTTGGCCTGCAACACTATTATCATGACAATTAAAGAGAGGGGAAAATGTGTGGCCGAATGGTCTAGTGGTATGTATTCTCGCTTTGGGTGCGAGAGGTCGCGGGTTCAATCCCCGGTTCAGCCCATCCTTTTTTTTTTGTTGCACTTACAACGTCGCCGTTTTCTTCTCAAAATAGTGCTCAAATCTCCCGCCATGCTCCCAATCAACCTTCATATTCGCCTTGAATTTGCGGCGAATGAACACGTTCAATAACAATCTTCGCAAAATTTCATAATCGGGTTTGCTAGAATAGACGACTTGTTGCTCACATATTCTTCATCGAGTCCGTTGGTGAGTTCTTGCATGTCACTTTTGAGTTTTCGCAACTCTTCTTCATCGGTAAGACCTTCCCATGGTAGAGAACCTGAAATTTGAAACAAAAATGCAAATTGCCACGTGGATTAGCCTAATTAGGCTACCCTAACCTTTCGAAAATTCGACCAACATATAAAACAGACTCCACAAATCGTCATGTCTTCCTTGCTCTTTTCGCTCCTGCGTCGCCACTGAACAATATCGCAATGTTCCACGAAACGGCACAATTTTACGTTGTCTTCTCATTTTCTGACGTCCATCTTCGGTTTTTGTCTGCGAAACAACAAAAAATGCGTCAGCAAAACATTTGTTGGCGCAAAAAAACACTCACCACATATTGTCGAGCGATTCCGAAATCCAAAACGTGTAGAAGTCGCTGTTTCGGGGTGCCGAGGGTTCCGATGGCAAAGTTGGCCGGTTTGACGTCACGATGAATGAAGCTGGAAAAAATTGATGAGTTCGGTGGAGCGCGGTTGATAGTTTTTTAGGGAAAACATCGCGCGGAGTGTTGTTTGCGCGATTTTTGCGAAAATTTCATTCGAAAAAGAAAAACACATGCAGTGTCATCAAGCGGAGTGTCGTTTATCGATTTTTGATTGAGAAAACGCTTCAAAAACATGAAAAATGACGCAAAACCGAAAAAAAAGAAAATTTTCGAAACTTGTCCGCGAGAACTACACAACGCGTCATTGCGGAGTGTCGTTGTTTTTTTTTAAATTTTTTTTCTTGGTTTTAGGGTTATTTTTCGTGCTGGAAACGATGAAATTACCGAATTTTCTGATTTTTGTAAAAAAAAAACATTTTTTGACATTTTTTTTTTCATTTTTGTGTGGAAAAAATGTCAAAAAATAGGAAAAAATATAGTTTTTTGTCAAAAAAGCCGAATTTTCTGATTTTTGTCAAAAAAGCTCACATTTTTCTGAAATTTCGTGATTTTCGCAGCTAAGGCAGTGTAATCAACGCGGAGTGTCGTAAAAAAATAGCGCGAAACCGAGAAAAAATAAAATTTTCGAAACTTGTCCGCGAGAACTACACAACGCGTCATTGCGGAGTATCGTTGTTTTTTAAAAATTTTTTCTTGGTTTTAGGGTTATTTTTCGTGCTGGAAACGATGAAATTACCGAATTTTCTGATTTTTTGACATTTTTTTTATTTTTGTGTGGAAAAAATGTCAAAAAATAGGAAAAAATATAGTTTTTTGACGAAATTTTTTGTCAAAAATAGTTATTTTTAGTATTTTTTTTCGAAAATGCAGTGTAATCTACGCGGAGTGTCGTAAAAAATAGCGCGAAACCGAGAAAAAAAGAAAATTTTCGAAACTTGTCCGCGAGAACTACACAACGCGTCATTGCGGAGTGTCGTTGTTTTTTAAAAAAAATTTTTTTGAATTTGGTTTTAGGGTTATTTTTCGTGCTGGAAACGATGAAATTAACGAATTTTCTGTTTTTGAACAAAAAAAAATTAAAAAAAAAATTTTTTTGATTCTATTTTTTTTTCATTTTTGTGTGGAAAAAATGTCAAAAAATAGGAAAAATTGTTTTTTTTTTAAAATTGTTTTTTCTTGAATTTTTTTTCGAAAGGCAGTGTAATCAACGCGGAGTGTCGTTTGCAAAAACCCACCCAATATCATGCAATTCCTTCAACGAATCCAACGCCTGTATAATCACAACCAACGTCGAAAACGTCGAGAATTTTTTGAGCGGTAAAGTGGCGCGAATCGCATCCAAAGATGGCCCCAACAGAGTCATCACCAGAAATTGATAATTTTCGCCCTTGCCTTTTTCCAAAAGCTCCACGGAATGTTGAGAATTTCGCTCATTTAAGAGTTGAATCACTTTGTGCTCCATTGGTAGAGTTGGATCTTCATCGGGTACTGTAGTTTCGGCTTTGCATGCAAATCGTTTTTGGGGGCATTTGACTAGGGCCACTTCGTAGATTGATCCACAGCCACCTTCGCCAAGTTTTCGGAACGCCTGGAATTGTTTTTGGGTTAAAAAAAAAATAAAAGTTCGCATGCAGGAGGGATCGAACTCGCCACCATCAGATTCATAATCGAGAGTTTTACCACTGAACTATCTGTCGTTTTATTTGCAGAACACAAAATGTTCAATAAATAATTGGCAGACCCAAAAGAAATTTGGGACTGCTTATTTTTTTCTAAAGGTTACTGTAGTCCAGAATTACTGTAAATCAAGCTCCACTACAGTACTCCTGGATTACTGTAGCTCACCAAATATTTTCCGTTTATAATCGATGCCACTTTAATTTTCGGTCTAGTCGTCATTTTCTAACAAAACAATCAATAAAAAATGGCGGGAAACGGAAAATTTTTGAATTTTTTAAATTTTTATTCATTTTTTTCTCTAGGTCACGTGGAAATTCGAATTTTTTTTTGAGTTTGGGCCAAAAATCAACGATTTTTTTTTTGGAATTCCACAAAAAAAAGTGAATCGGAAGTTGGGTTCAATGAATTTTGCAAAGCATTTTTTTTGTCACTTTTCATTTTATTTTATTTTTTTTCTGAAAAAAGAATGGAACAAGATCGGAAGGTTAGAGAAATTCGAAAACACGCGCGCGCTTTGATCTGCACCGCCTTTATTTCGTCGTTGAGAAATGTTGAGGTGAGTTTTTGAGGTGCTACCGTACTCTCTACAGTACTCCAGAATTCTTTAGATACTGTAGCTCGAAAATGTGACATCACAAATATTTGAATTTTTAAAATTCGCGCAAATTCGAGCGAAGCGAGTGTAGACCGCAAGCTTCCGCGTAAGCGGCAGTATCTTCCGCGCAGCGGTAAAGTTACCCTAACTTCTACGGATAATCTAGACGCGGAAGCTTCCGCGTAAGCGGCACTATCTTCCGCGAAGCGGCAAAGTTACCCTAACTTCTAGAAAGTTTTCAGAATCTGCACCATCTCGATGAATCAGTGGAGCGAATCCGTCAGACCGTATGCCGCCCAAAACCTCCACCCACACAAAGATCAATCGATGAACATTGCTCAACATCATCTCCACCATCTTCCACGATTTTTAGGTGAGCTAGAGAGAGAGAGAGACGCAGACAGTTAGAATCTGAAAATATTTCCAGCCAGGAGCAACCTTGGACACCGCAAATCGACGGCCGAAAAACCATCCAAACCATGATCGATTCGGTGAGAATTTCAGATTTCTCGGAGAAAAATCTGAAAAAAAATCTGAAAATCTGAAAATTTTGCAGATCTGGAACATTCCCTACGCTCCGTGTCGATATGTGATTCAGTTTATGTGTACGGTACAATTGGCAAGGATGAGTCGGTGAGGTTTTTTGGCTATTTTTGCCACGTGGCACCTTTTTGTGCTCTAGAAATTTTCGAATCCATTGTTCTAACGCCACAATTTTATTTGAAAAATCCGAATTTTCTTGATATAATTTTGACACGTATAATTTTCAGGGAATTTTTTTTGGCTATAATTTTGAATTGAAAAAAAAATAATAAAAAAAAAAATTTTTTTTACAAAAAATTTCAATTCAGAAAATGTCAAAAAACTATAATTTTTCTTATTTTTTCCACACAAAAAGGAAAAAAATGTCAAAAAACAGGAAAAAAAATAATTTTCTGTTATTTTCTGAAAATTTTTAAAATTTTTTTGTTTTTTTTTCGATTTTCTCAAAAAAAAATTTTAAAAATAATTTTTTGAAGAAAATTTCAAAAATCATAATTAATTTTTCAAAAATTAAAAAAAATGGGTTTTTTTTTTGCCCAAAGTCTGAAAATGGCTGAAAAATTCAAATATTTTTTATGTAGGGAAACTTTTAAAAAATTTTGGAAATCTAAAAAATTTGGATTTTTCTCAAAAAAAATAATAAAAACTTTTTTTTACAAAAAATTTCGATTCAGAAAATGTCAAAAACTATATTTTTTTCCTATTTTTTGACATTTTTTTTCATTTTTTTGTGGAAAAAAATAGGAAAAAATATAGTTTTTTGACGAATTTTTTGTCAAAAAATGTTTTTTATTCATGGCCTATTTTTGCCACGTGGCTTCCCAGGTGTCTAGAATTCCAGATTCCCCACGAAATTTTCAAAACTCCATTTTCCAGTCACAAATTCTGCGTTCGCTGGACAAACAATCGACGAAGTGCGATTTTCTACGTGAACATTGACGAAAATCAGCAAAACATCAGCGTCTGGATACATTTTCCCGGCGAAATCAAGGCGCATCGGTGAGTTAGGCAAGCGCGCTCCATTGAGAAATTCAAAAAAGTCAGTCAAATATTCATTGAAGCGCGCAAAAAGAGATAATTTATTCATTTTTATTTGAATTTCCTTGAAAACAAGGACGCGGCCGAGTTCTCCAAACTCTATTTTTCTAGGCCACACACCTCGCATTCACATTTCCAAAGGTTTCTTCTACGCAACCTCTTCTAATCGAATAATTTTTGCTCCGAACCAACCAACTGGCTCTTTCTTTTCTCTCCTTCTGCTCCTCGAGAATATAATTATAATTAATATATAGGACGAACATATGCCCCCCTTCCCTCCCTTTAATTTATCTCCCTCTTTCTCTACACCCTCCACGATTCACATGCTATTTTCCAACTTCACCTTCTAGTTCTCTCCTTCGTACCAGTCTGTTTTTTTTTTGCATAATCCCCGGTCATTCCCGCAATTCTTGTTTATTTATTTATTTTATTTTAGTGAAAGTACTGTGAAAAAAGACGCATGCTGCAAATTTGTGTGGTGGGTCTCGCCACGCTGCGCCGCCGGCAAAATTATTGTGTTTGAAAATGTGTTTTTGTTTTTTTTTTCTTTTCGGTGAAAAAACTGTATTTTTTGTTTGTTTGCGGATGTTCCGATTGATTGCGCACTGAAGAATGGATTAACTAGTGTGTTTTGGTGAATTTAGGTAGATCTGGTATTCAGAGTTTTCTTTTCGGCGTGTTTTTTCGAGGTTTTAGGGGGATTTGTTAGATTTTTGCTGAATACTCGGTTTTTCTCATGAATTCACTGAAATTTAGCACTTCAATTGTGAGAAAAATATGCATTTTGTTTTATTTTTGGTGAAAAAAGACAAGAAGCTGCTGTTTTTCATTAAAAATGACGAAATCGAGCAATTTTTCAAGATTTTTGTGTGAAAATTCAGAATTTCACATAAATTTCATAGTTTTGTCACTTTTTACCCGTATTCATATAAAATTCTTACCTCACAAAGGTCACCGCTAGTCTTTTCTTTTTCTTCTTCGCTCTCTGTGTCTCTCAATCTCTCGGCCTTTTACCTCGAAAAACTTTCAACCTATTGTTGTTATTGTTACAACATGTAAAGACTTTTCGGTCTTTTTGAACGAAAAATTGATTTTTCTCAAAAATCGCGAACACCTGTTTCAATTTCATTTTGCTTTTTGTCGCAAAAAAAACACTTGTTTTTACGCAACTTTTCAGTCGTTCTCGATTTTTAGTTGCAAAAACGACATATTTGTTTATTCTTATGTCTTTTTCCTGCTTTCGCCTTCTTTTTCAGGATTATAAATAAGACTCGAATACTTCTTTCCCTCTCTATTTTGCTCCGTTTTGTTTTGTTTTTAGGTGAAAACAAGCAAATTGCTGTGATTTTCTCTGAAATTCGAGCTGTAAATTGTTTTTCAGCTGTTTTTCTGGAACCTTCTGTGAAATTCGGATTTTTCTGATTCTCTAGGCACGTCTTCTTGACACAGAAGCTCTCAAGGCGCGGGGCCTTGTCAGGATGGGTTTCTAGACGTGCGTTCTATTATCGAAAATCTCACCGAAATAAACACGCAACGCAGACCGCGTCGCGCCACAACACACACAAATAAGGTAACGATTCTACTTAATTCCCTCCCTTATTTGTGTGTGTTGTGGCGCGGCGCGGTCTGCGTTGCGTGTTTATTTCGGTGGAGCGCGTGAGATTTTCGATAATAGCCAGAAAACTTGTGTTTTTGTGCTCTAAATCAAATTTTCCCCCAAAATTCGAAAAAAACTAAAACAATATTTTTCGTCTTCCGTCATAAACACATAAAAAGATCCCATAAAAACGGGCAATTTTCCATTTTTCATATTTTCGTCCTTTCCACGTGTCTTCCCCAGAAAAATGCAACTTTTTTTCGGTTTCGAAAAGAGTTAGCCAAAGTCGACAAGAAGAACTCATTACTTAATTATGCCTTCGTTTTCCGTCTTTTCCTTCTTCTGGAGCCCAATGTGTTTGGGGAAAATAGAAGAAAATAGAGAAGAATAGAGCCCCCTTTTATTTATTATTCAAACGATTCAGAGACGACGACTTCTATTTGGTTCTGTTTATTTATTTTCACAAACAAAACTGAAATTTTGCGAAATTCTGGTTTTTGTACGATTTTTTGGTGGGAATTTGAGCTAGAAGCTGGAATTTGGGGTTTTTTGGGCTCTAGAAATACGATATTTGGATTTCTAGGCCTTGAAAACGCAAAATTTGGCCTAGAAACCTAAAAATTAGGTTAAAATCCAAAAATTAATTCTAGATGGCCTAGAAACCCAAATATTTCTTTCGTACAGTCTAGAAATGCCTCGTTGGCCTAAATTCCAAGAATTTGTGGCCTAGAAAACGCCGTGGTGGCCTAGAAACCAACATTTCGTGCTGTCATGGCCTAGAAACCCAAATATTGTATTCCTAAAGCCTAGGAAACCTAAAAATTAGATCAAAATCCAAAAATTAATTCTAGATGACCCAGAAACCCAAATATTTTTTTCGTAAATTCTAGAAATGCCTCGCTGGCCTAAATTCCCAGAATTTATGGCCTAGAAATCCAAGTACTATCGAAAATCTCATCGGTACTCCACGCGCTCCACCGAAATAAACACGCAACGCAGACCGCGCCGCGCCGCGCCACAACACACACAAAAAGGGAGGGAATTTGAATCGTTCCCTTATTTGTATGTGTGTTGTGGCGCGGCGCGGCGCGGTCTGCGTTGCGTGTTTATTTCGGTGGAGCGCGTGGTACCGATGAGATTTTCGATAATATGAATTTGACGTGGCCTAGAAACCCAAAACCCTTTCCCCATGACCTATGAACCCAAAAACCAGTCGGAAAATTTTCAAATTTCCGCCAAATCTAATCATCTCTCTTTCCTCCGCACACCCACTTCAAATTGATTTCTAGTTTCTCTCTTTTTTCTCCTCTTTGTGTCATTTTTCTTCTTCCTATTTTTGTTGTTGTTGTTGTTTTTAATTCGATGGGTTGGGGAGAAATTGAATTGCATCAATGATTTTATACTTACAAGTTTACCTAAGAGCACTTAGGTCTAACTTATTTTTCCCTATTTTGGGACGAAAACTCACTAGTTTTTTATGGGTAGAATTCAAATTTTATTCGAAAAAATGCAACCAAAAATATACGTTTCAAAAAATTTTGAAAGTGTTTCACATGTTTTTCAATTTCGATTCTTCATCATTTTTTTCGTTCGGAGCAAAAAAAAAAGAAGAAAATTTGATTAATTCCTCGCGACGTTGTAAATTATCGATCTCACATAAATTTGCATATTAAAAAAATGCGAAATTTTCGGCCCAGCCGTTTTTTTTCGCAGAGATTGATTTTTTTCGTCTTGATGTTGTTGAAAACCAGTTTTTCGCGAATGAGATATATGTTTTCTAGTAGTTTTCGACCTGCTGATCACGATCCCCCTGTCTAAAACTGCAAAGCTCGACTCCTAACATGAGTTATGACGTGGCAAAGTTGGAAAATTTTGAAAAATTGGGATTTTGGAGGGTCCGAACTCGCCTTCAAAATTATTTTTATGAAAATCTGATAGCATAGGGTTGTTCAGGAGGTTGGGTTACATAAGAAGATGAGTTCGGACCCTTCAAAGTCCCAATTTTTCAACATTTTCCAACTTTGCCACTTACAAAAATAACTCATGTTAGTAGTTGAGATTTGCAGTTTTAGACAGGGGGATCGTGATCAGCGGGTCGAAAACTACCAGAAAATATATATTTCATTAAAAATCTCGAATGCAAGTTTTGCCACGTGGAATTCAGTGCTGAAATTCTGGATTTTGGCTCTAAATTTCAGAACTTGCCATACGTGGCTTTTGAGCTCAAAAAGCCTCAAATTACGCCAATGTTTTGTTATTATTTTTATTTACTCCTCCTCCCAAAAATACAAAATATTTTTCATATTTGTTCAATCGCACACAAAAATGTGTCATTTTTCCGAAAAATCTCGTATTTACACAGCTCTTCTTCTCCTTCTTCTATTATTTTTTCTTCCATCTCAAAAGCCGCAATGAAAAATGAAAATGAAAAATTGTGGTCGCTTCTTTTTGACCACAAGATTTTTATTAAAAAAAGAAATTTTCTCTTTTTTTCTCTGCGTCTCTCAAGCTGATAAATCCCTCATTTCAAACCGCAAAAAGGTGCATTTTTCTCTAAATAAGAGTAATTCAATTTTTTCGTATCGATTTCGTTCGCCACTTTTTTCTTGTTCTTCTACTGAACATTTCTATAGGCCTTTATCAACAACAAAAATTGTATTTTTTTTTTGATAACAGCATTTTGTTGTTTATTTAGTTTTCGGTGTCCAAATCAAATCAAATATGAAACATTTTACGATTTTTTTCGCTTGGGAAAATGATAATTTGATTTTGTGATAACAAAATTAGTAAGAAGAAATTGTGTTTTTATCAATAGAGCGCGCTTGAGTTTTTGAAATGGAATATATTCGTTTGAAATTCAAACGCGCTCTATTGCTAACAAAATTTTTCTTCCAGAAATCTAGATTTTTTAGAAGAAAATCCGAATTTTTCAAATTTTCCCGCAAATTTTTTGCTTTTAGCAATAGAGCGCACTTGGTTTATTAAATGAAAAATATTCGTTTGAAGTTCAAAGTGCGCTCTATTGATAAATTTGCTAAAAAAAATTGAAAAATTCAGATTTTTTAGAAGAAAATCCGAAGTTTTCAAGTTTCCCGAAAATTCAAGTCTGCACTCTCTCAATTTCACATTGTCTTTACTAAATGAAAAAATCGTTTGAAATTCAAAGTGCGCTCTATTGCTAAAAAAAATTTAAAATTCCGATTTTCTGCATAGGAAAAATATGTTTTTTTATTACAAAATATTATTCCCGCAAATTTTTTGCCTTTTAGCAATAGAGCGCACTTGGTTTATCAAATGAAAAATAATCGTTTGAACTTCAAAATGCGCTCTATTGTTAAAAACCCAAAGCTGCACAAAATTATCGAAAATCTGATCGGAACCACGCGCGCTCCACCGAAATAAACACGCAACGCAGACCGCGCCGCGCCACAACACACAAAAAAAGGGAACGATTCAAATTCCCTTCCTTTTTTGTGTGTGTTGTGGCGCGGCGCGGTCTGCGTTGCGTGTTTATTTCGGTGGAGCGCGTGAGATTTTCGATAATATATGAAAAATTCGGAATTTTCTACAGTTTGTACCTTTAGTCAATAGAGCGCATTTGGTTGTCCCAGTTTTTCATATTTATTCAAAAAAAATCCATAAAAACCAGATTTTCCTTATCAATGTGACAATATTTCATAATCTTTCAAATTTCCCAATGACTCATATCTGCCTTCTTTTTTTCTTTCGATAAAAAAAAAATCTAAAAAAATTTCCAGCCCATCCATCTGAAAAATGTGGTTCGAGGAGAGTAGTTGGTCAAATCTGCGGCTCACCGAACTCGTCGAAGAGTGGCGCGATTTATGGCCCTCAAAAATCGAATTTGTCGTTTCGGCCATGAGCTATTTGTTTGCGATGACCAATTTTTTGAATATGCCCAAGTTGATTTTGCAGAATGGTGGATGTGAGTTTTTTTTTTGCGTTTTGTTCACGTGGAAAATTTTAATCTGAAGTTTTTTTGAAGCAAAATTCAAAACTTATTTTCATTTTTTATTAAATCTATAAATTTTCACTGAAAAAAATCTGATTTAAGAAATTCCAGTTGAAAAATTCGCGAAAATGAATTTTTTAGACAAAAAATCTCAAATTTTCTTGATATAAATCATATAACTAAAAATTAATTAAGAAAGTTTTGAAATTAAAATACTGGGCTGAAAATTGGAATTTATTTTTTTAAAATAAAATCAGGTTCAAATTTAATTTTTCAAAATTTTCCCGCATAGTTTCTAGTTATGCAAGGAGATTTTGGATTTTTTTGTAAAAAATGTTTTCCAAGATTTTTTTTAGGTATTCGGTTTTATAACAATTTTTACCTAAAAATTGTGATAAAATTCAATTTTTCCTGATTTCTGAGATTTCTATAAAAATAAAAAAATACCACTTTTGAATTTGGTTCTAAAAAATTCAAATTAAATTTTTGCACGTGAACTAAATGACGTGGCAATTTAAAAATCCTGTCAATTTTTTAATTTTCAAAAAAAAAAACCTACATTTCTACTGTTTAAAGGTGGAGTCTGATAGGGTGAATCAAGTCGAAAAAAATCGATTCAGCAAATGTTAAAAAACAATATTCCTCTGAAAAACGTTGCTCATGTTAGTCTGGGCTCCTCAAAAATAAGCTCTGGAGCTCAATTTTCATCCAAAATTCCTCCAATTTTGATCCAAAATTCAAAAATGGGCTCCCGAGCTCAAAATTTCCTCAGAAATCCCAAATTTCCGCTTGAAATCATTAGAAAAATGCTCCAAACCTCAAAAAAAATAAGCTCTGGAGCTCAATTTTCATCCAAAATTCCTCCAATTTTGAACCAAAATTTCAAAAATGGGCTTCCGAGCTCAAAATTTCTCAGAAATCCCAAATTTCCGCTTAAAATCATTGGAAAAATGCTCAAAACCTCAAAAATAAGCTCTGGAGCTCAATTTTCATCCAAAATTCCTCAAATTTTGATCCAAAATTCAAAAATGGGCTCCCGAGCTTGAAAATTTCTCAGAAATCCCAAATTTCCGCTTAAAATCATTGGAAAAATGCTCCAAATCTTCTTGTGGAAAAATAGGAAAAAAATATAGTTTTTTTTAACATTTGCTGAATCGATTTTCTCAAAAAAAATTTTTTTAAATTTTTTTTTTCCGACTTGAAACATTCCATTGCATTTTAATTGTTTTAGCTGGAATTTAATTAAATCAGAATTTTTGTTCTGTAAAAATTCGATGATTTTTCGATTCTAGGACGTGGAAATTTTTCTAAATTTCAAATTTTTGATGAAAAATTGAAGACTTTCTAGATTTTGAGCTCAAAAATACTGAAAATTGTTGTGGCCGAGTTTTTGCGGTTTCTAGGCCATCTCTTCACGGAGTCAAACCTCGTGACCTAGAAATCCAAATTAGCCCAGGCCACGTGGATTTTTGAATTTAAACTCTTTAAAAAATAGCTGAAAATTGTTGTGGCCTAGTTTTTGAGATTTTTGGATTTCTAGGTCATCTGGATCTCAAAATTCTTAAATTGCTTGACAAGAATTGGTGGCCTAGAAATCCAAAACTCGGCCACGACAACAAAATTCCCCAATTTTTTTGCAGTAGCCTTCGTAAGTGCATACGGTGCAATCCTCGCCGTCCTCTGCCTACCCACAATAATCCTCGAAATGGCCGTCGGTCAAGTCACCGGCCGTGCCCCAGTCCTCGCCTTCTACCATCTTTTCCCCGTCTTCAAAGGCATCGGCGTCGCCCAAATCCTCTTCTCACTCATCGTGCTAGCCGCTATGACCAAATTCCTCTCCACCCTCTCACTATTCCTCTACTATTTCTTCTGGACCCTCCACTCAGCCAAAACTGGCCTGCCTTGGTTGAATTGCCGACAATTTCCCGAATTTTTGTCGTTTCCCTGTAGAGAAGCGGGAGCTATGGCGAATTTTAGTCAGATTGGAGCGAATCGTATGAATACGATTCAAGCGGAGAGTTCGATGATGCAATTCTTGACGTGGGTTTTTTTGGGGCCGGGGACTAGAAATCCAAATTAGGCCGTGCGGGGCTTTTTGGCCCGAAAAATTGATCATTTTTGAAAGGTTTTGCCCAAATTTGGCTCTGAAAATTGTTGTGGCCGAGTTTTTGAGGTTTCTAGGCCACATTTACGCAGAGTTAAATTGTGACCTAGGAATCCAAATTACTAAAAAAGTAGCTGAAAATTGTTGTGGCCGAGTTTTTGAGATTTTTGGATTTCTAGGCCATCTTTGATATTTGTGACCTAGAAATCCAAATTAGGCCATGCCACGTGGATTTTTGGATTAAAACTCTTTAAAAATAGCTGAAAATTGTTGTGGTGGCCGAATTTTTGGATTTTTTGGATTTCTAGGCCATCTGAAGCTGGTTAAGCTCGAAGAAATTGTTTGACAAGAATTGGTGGCCTAGAAATCCAAAAACATCAAAATCTAGGTCACGAGATTGAAAAAAAACTCAAAATTTTCGGAAAGAGGTTCGGTGGCCTAGAAATTCGAGAATTGAAATTCTAGGCCACAAAATTATGCAAAAGGTTTTGCTCATAAAAAAAAAACCCTTGAGAATGGCCGTAAAATTTTCAAATTTTCCGTGGCCGAGAAAACCAATTTAGGCCATGCCACGTGGATTTTTGGATTTTTAATCAAAAAATAGCTGAAAATTGGTTTTTTTTTAAATAGCTGAAAAGGTGGATTTTTGGTTTTCTAGGCCATCTTGCGGTTTAGCCCGAAATGACAAGAATCGATGGCCTAGAAACCCAAAAACATCAAAATTTAGGCCACGAGAAAATTAAGTTTCCGTGGCCTAGAAATTCAAGCTTTGAAATCCTAGGCCACAAAATTATCCGTAATAAAAAATAACATTTTCCGTGGCCTAGAAAACCAAACCAAGTTTTTGAGATTTCTAGGCCATCTCTTCACAGAGTCAAATCGTGACCTAGAAATCCAAATTAGTTGTGACCTAATTTTTGGGTTTCTAGGCCATATTTGAAAACAGCTTATTTGTGACCTAAAAATCCAAAAAAAAAACATTTTCCATGGCCTAGAAAACCAAATCTCTATGCAGATTCCTCGAGCGTCCCAGTGAATCCATCGCCGACTTCAACGATTTCCGCTATCCCGTGCTGATTGCTCAATCTGGAATCTGGATCTTCGTCTTCATCGCAATCTGCTTCGGCGTTCGATTCGTCGGCAAAACCGTCTCATTCCTCCTCTTCATCGCCCTGAGTTCCCTCATCGGACTCTTCATCAGATGTTCCACGCTGGGCGGAGTTTCAGAGATTCTGGAGATCTACTGGAAATCTACTGATTGGCAAAAGCTCGAGGATATTCAGATGTGGAAGTTGGCAGCGGAACAAGCGATTTTGGGCACGGGAATCGGGTTTGGAGCATTTATCACAATGTCGTCTTATATGAGACGAAATAATAATTTGGTATGGGATTCGATGTTTTTGACAATTTGGCATGCTGTTATTACTTTTGTGCAAACTGTCACTGTGATTTGCCTGGTTGGATACGTTTCAATGAAAACTGGAATTGCGCCAAGCGAATTGTTGGATCAGGGAGAAACACAAATGTGGTATTTGTTGGCGTATGTCTCGTATTTGCCACGTCTTTGGACGGGAGTGATTTTGGTGATTTCGATTTGTACGATGGCTAGTGTTTTGGTGAGTTTTTTGAAGGGGGAATTTCGAAAATTCGAAAAAAAATTGAGTTTTGCAAGCCTGGCACACCTTTTTCCAGGTTTTTTCCGTTTTTTGACCTTCAAAATTAAAAAAAAATCAGATTTCTCATTAAAAAAAGTGATTTAATTTTTTTTTGGCTTCAAATTTCAAAAATTCTGAAAAAAATTGAATTTTGCAAACCTGGCATGTTTTATTTTTCAAAATTTGAAAAAAATTATTTTAAAAATGGGCGTGGCTTGGTTTTGCAAACCTGGCACACCTTTTTCTCTGAAAAATTTGAATTTTGCAAGCCTGGCACACTTTTTTTCTCCAAAAATTTGGAATTTTGCAAGCCTCGCACACTTTTTTCTTTGAAAAATTTGAATTTCGCAAGCCTCGCACACTTTTTTTCCTGGAAAATTTGAATTTTGCAAGCCTCGCACATTTTTTTCTCTGAAAATTTGAATTTTGCAAGCCTGGCACACTTTTTTTCTCTGAAAATTTGAATTTTGCAAGCCTCGCACATTTTTTTCTCTGAAAAATTTGGAATTTGGCAAGCCTCGCACATTTTTTTCTCTGAAAAATTTGGAATTTTGCAAGCCTCGCACACTTTTTCCCACGTTTTTTTCATTTTTGACCTTCAAAATTAAAAAAAAAAAGTGTGCCAGGCTTGCGAAATTCAACCACGCCCTTTGGAAAAAGCTATTTTTGTACAAAATCAAATTCTAGAAAAAATCCCCGGGGACTAACTTCCCAACCCTGAAAATTCTAGTCCCCCAGCCATCCATTTCTCTATTTTTTCTTTTTTTTCCAGGTTATCCTAACTCTGTCAGTCCTCTCAACAGTCGAAGACGCATTCGGTGAAAATTGGTCGAGATGTTGTCGACGATTTTTCTTGGCTCTTTTTCTCGCCGCTTTCTGCTTTTCTTTGACACTTTATTTCTCGACAAATGTGAGTTTTTATCTTGAAAAATTGGAAAAAATTTGAAAATAAACAATTCGATTTAGAAAATGTCGAAAAACTATATTTTTTCCTATTTTTTGACATTTTTTTCCACACAAAAATGATTTTTTAACGGAAAAAAATTCCCTGAAAATTATACGTTTCAAAATTATATCAAGAAAATTTGGAATTTTTCAAAATTTTTTAAAATCAAATTAAAATCCCAGAATTTCCCCAGAATTTTCTCTGAAAATTTTGCAATCTGAAATTAATTTCAGGCCGGACGACACGCTTATGAGCTCACCACTGGAAGCATCAAATATGTGACGATTTATGCGATCTTGGCTGTTGAACTTTTTGCAACCGCTTGGTTGTATTGTGAGTTGAAAAAATCTTTGCCACGTGGCATGGGAAATTTTGAAAAATCTGCAATTTTGCGTAGAATTTGGTGTAAAATTTGAAAATTCTTTGAAAAAAAAACCTGAAAAATTCTTTGTTTTTTGATTTTTTTTTGAAGAAAACTGAAATTTTCTCTCGAAAGTTTCTGAAGTCTCACGGGAATTTCAGCCAAAATAAAAGAATCTTTGAAAAAAGCTGAAAATTCTCTGAAATCTCAAAAATTCAAAAATTTTCAGACAAATCACAAATTCCTTCTGAAATTTTTGGAAATTTGTTTATTTTTCCCCTCAATTTTCAAAAAAATCTGGAAAGTTCTTTGATTTTTGAATTTTTTCAATTTTCAAGTCAAAATGAGAGAATCTTTGAAAAAAGCTGAAAATCCCAAAAACTTCTGAAAAATTGAAAAAAAATTTCTGAAAATTCTGAAAAATTGAAAAAAAAATTCCAAAATTTCTGAAAAATTGAAAAAAAAATTCAAAAATTTCTAAAAAAAAAGTTGAAAAAAAAATTCAAAAAATTTAATTTTTTATTATAAACTGGGGAAATTTCTGAAAGTTTAGGCAATTAAAAATTAAAAATCAAAAAAAAAAGAAAACTGAAATTTCTTCTGAAAGTTTCTGAAATCTCACAAAATTTTCAGTCAAAATGAGAGAATTTTAAAAAAAAGCTGAAAATTCCAAAAAATTCTGAAAAATTAAAAAAAAATTTCAAAAATTTCTCAAAATTTCTCAAAATTTAGGCAATATTGAAAATATTACGATTGAAAAAAATTAAAAAAAATTAAATTTCGGAAAAAAATTGGAATTTTTCCTAAATTTTGGGAAATTTCCCCAGTTTATTAAAAAAAAATAAAATTTAGAAATTTTTTTTTCAATTTTTCAGAATTTTCTGAAATTTTAGAGATTTCACAAACTTTCAGAAGAAAATTCAGTTTTCTTGAAAAAATTCCAAAAATTTAAAGAACTTTTCAGGTTTTTTTGAAAATTGAAGGGAAAAATGAACAAATTTCCAAAATTTCAGAAGGAATTTATGATTTGTCTGAAAATTTTTGAATTTTTGAGATTTCAGAGAAATTTTAGCTTTTTTCAAAGATTCTCTCATTTTGGCTGAAATTCCCGTGATATTTCAGAAATTTTCAGAAGAAAATTCAGTTTTCTTGAAAAAATTCAAAAATTTAAAGAATTTTTCAGGTTTTTTTGAAAATTGAAGGGAAAAATATTTCTATAATATTTCAGGTTTTTCAAATTTTACACCAAATTTCAGAAGGAATTTCAGTTTTCTCGGAAAAATTCAAAAAAAAATTCCAAAAAAAATCTTTCAGGTGCTCACAAACTTGGCTCGGATCTTCACACAATGATGTCATCCCGATGTTGCTCATGTTTCGGTCATTTCTTCCTCTACTTCACCTATCTTCTACCTGTAATTCCAGCCGCAATTGTGTTTTTCAACGCGCAAAACTACAATTTCGCCACATTCTCGGCGCCAATTCACGAATGGAAATGGTCGGAATTTGTGGTGGCTGGGCTGGCTTTGGGACCATTGGTCCCAATTCCATTTTATTTCTTGTTTACACTTTGTGCAGCTTGTTGTTGTAAGGGAAATGAGCATAAGACGACGTGTAAGGTGAGTTTTTTGATTTTTAAAATTTAAATTGTAATTTTGAGATTTCAGACTCAAAAAAAAGCCTGGAAAAATAGGTTTCAAGAATTTTCTATCTGAAAATCTGAAAAATTTCAGTTTTTCAATTTTTCACTGAAAAATCTAGATGAATTCCAGACTTTTATTAAAATTCAAATTGTAATTTTGATAGAAGTTTAGACTCAAAAAAAGCCTGGAAAAATAGGTTTCAGCAAATTTCTATCTGAAAATCCAAAAAAAACAGCCGAAGATCTGATTTTACTGGAATTTGGCTGAAAATCGATTGTTTTTTAATTGGACTATTTTTTTCCAGAAAATATTCAGGTTTTCAAATTTGCACTTCAAAAATCTAGTATTTTGCAACTGAATTTACACTTGAAAAAATTCCGGAGAAAATACGTTTCAAGAATTTTTTAACTGAAAATTCAATCGAAATGTTTTAGTAACTTAAATGAATTCAAAATCTAGAAATTCCAAAAATACTGCTTCAAAATTTCCTTTCAAAAAATTCAACCTTATTGAATTGCTCATGTTAAACTTTTTATCAAAAATCTGAAAAAAATCAATTTTGTCAGTAAAGAATTTCTTGAGTTCAAGTTTTCAGTTTTTCAATTTTGCACTTGAAAAAATTCCGGAGAAAATACGTTTCAAGAATTTTTCAATTGAAAATTCAATCAAAAATATTTTAGTTTCGAGAAATAAAAAGAAAATTTCAAAATTCACATTCAAAATCAGGAAATTCCTTTTTTCCTCTCAAAATTTCAGTTGGATAACTTAATTGAATTGCTCATGTTAAACAATTTATCAAAAAATCTGAAAAACCAGAAAATTTAATTTTGTTAGTAAAGAATTTCTTGAATCAAGAATTTCAGTTTTTAAATTTTGCACTTGAAAAAATTCCGGAGAAAATACATTTCAAACATTTTTTAACTGAAAATTCAATAGAAAATCGTTTTAGTCTTAAGAAATATCAACAATTTTCAAAATTCCCATTCAAAATCTAGAAATTCCTTTTTTTTTCCTCTCAAAATTTCAGTTGGATAACTTAATTGAATTGCTCATGTTAAATTTTCTATTAAAAAATCTGAAAAAATCAATTTTGATAGTAAAGAAGTTCTTGAATCAAGAATTTCAGTTTTTCAATTTTGCACTTGACAAAAATTCCGGAGAAAATACGTTTCAAAAATTTTTTAACTGAAAACAAATCAAAAAATTTCAAAAAATACTTCCTTTCAAAAATTCCTTTCAAAAAATTCAACTTAATTAGATTGCTCATGTTAAATTTTCTGAATTTTTCCAGCGTCTCCGCGGTGTTTTCGGCTCCCGCCTCCAAAACATTCGACCCAACCAAAACGAAAAATCATCGCAATATCTCTCGTCATCTTTCCGGCGGAGCCAACCACAGTGCGCACAGCTCAAATCCACCGCGATACACGACAAACGCGCCCGGCTACCGCCTCCTTCCGCAAGCGCCGCTTGCGGAACCCGAAATTTATGCCTGAACAAATTTTTTTTGCCCTCTGTTTTCTCTGCGATATGTTTTTTCTTGATCTCCTAATAATTTTCAGATTTTTTTGCTGTAAATAGTGTTTTTAGCCCTCCTTGAAATCGTTTTTGCAACCAAAAAATACTAATTTTATGTACGATTACCGGTGCTATATTTATGATAATGAACAATTTTTAAATTTTTTTTTGATGGGGAATTTTTTTTAAATATCGTTGAAAAGTCTCAAGATTCAATTATTTATGTTTTTTTTTTGACACGTGGAATTTTTGAAAAAAAATGTCGAAAAAACTATATTTTTCCTATTTTTTGACATTTTTTGCATTTTTGTGTGGAAAAAATGTCAAAAAATACGAAAAAATATAGTTTTTTGACAAAATTTTTTGAAAAAAAAATTTTTTTTTTGAAAATTTCACATTGATTTTGAGCTCAAAAAAGAGAAACCAAGAACGAAAATTTCAAAAATTTCCCAAATTCTTCTCATAATTTTGAAACGTATAAATTCCCGGATTTTTTTAAACTCGAATTTTGAAAGAGAAAATGAAAATGAAAATGCCACGTGGATTCTGAAAACTAAAATAATTTTCCAGAAATTTTCAGAAGCCAATTTTTAGTGGTGCAAAATATATTTTACGTGGATTTTTTTGGGAACAAAAAAATCCACGTGGAATATTTTTGGTGAAATCAAATTTCGAGAAAATTTCCGAAATCCTTGTGAAAAATTTGAAACGTATTATTTTTGGGGAGATTTTTTTAAAACTTGAATTTTGAATTGACATAAAAAATTCCACGTGGATTTTCGGTTCCAGAAAACATTTTTTCTTACAAAAAATGTTTTTTTTTTCAGAAAAAAATCCAAAAATAATTTATTTTTTCCTGAATCTCTCATTTAAACCTGAGATTCAATCAAAATTCAAAATTCCAAAAAAATATATCACAACTCATCAAAATTATCGATTTTCTCCGAATCAAACTTCAAATCACCGCTAGAAACATTGTATTCGGTGACGCCTTTCGGGAAATGTAGATGAATTCTGCAAGAAAAAAAATGGAAAATATTTTTTGAAAAAAAAATTATATACCGTAGTTCTTTCGTCGCGACAAGACCCTGTGTGTGTTTCAGCTGTTGTGCCTTTAAAAAACTACGGTATTTTTTGTTTTTTCGATGTTTTTGCATGAAAAAAAGGCAGAAATCAACGCAAGAAACACTAAAAAACGTGTTTTATTGAGGAAAAACCGATTTTTCAGGTGAAAATCACGAAAATCGAGGAAATTCATCTCTAAACCTTTTTTTGCCTTTTTTTCATGCAAAAACCTCGAAAAACCCGAAAAAAACCGTAGTTTTTTAAAGGCGCAACAGCTGAAACACACACAGGGTCTCGACGCGACCAAAAAACTACGGTAGATAATTTTTTAGGGCTGATTCACGAACGGAAAAAATGTTTTAAAATGTTTTTTAACATCGAAAGATCAAAAGTCAAGAAATGTCGAAAAAACATTAGTTTTTCGAGTTTTTCAGCCAAAAATGATGACAAATCAATATTTTTCAAGGTTCTGGAATAATTTCTGATGAAAATAAGCTTCGAGAACCCTATTTTGCTTTATTTTATGAATTTTTTTTCGAAATTCATCAAAATTTAAAATTTTTTATTTTCCGAAAAATCAGCAAAACCTTCTGAAGGTCAATTTTCATCAGAAATCACTCCAGAAGCTTGAAAAATATCGATTTGTCATCATTTTTGGCTGAAAAATTCGAAAAACTAATATATTTTTATTGAAAACCAAGAATAATTCAAAAATTGAACGTTTTCAGAGGAAATCTATGAAATATTGAATAAAAAAGCAATATTTTCGGATTTTCTGGACAAAAATCGAAAATTTTCAGTTTCTGGACCCAAACAACATTAAATTTCTCAATTTTTGCCGAAAAAAAGAATTTTTGAGCTCATTCAATTTTTAAAAATCTGTGCTTCACTTTCCAGAAGGTTTTGCTAATTTTTCGTAAAATAAAAAAATTTTAAATTTCGAAAATATTCATAAAATAAAGCAAAATAGGGTTCTCGAAACTTATTTTCATCAAAAATTACTCCAGAAGCTCGAAAAATATCGATTTTTCATCATTTTTGGCTGAAAAACTCGAAAAACTAATGTTTTTTCGACATTTTTTGACTTTTAATTGATTTTTCGATGTTAAAAAAATATTTTTTCGTTCGTGCATCAGCCCTTTCCGTTTCCATTTTTAACTTACAATTTGTTGTGAACAAGTTGATGTCCAGTCTTAGTTTCACGGTATACTGGAAACAGCGGCAAAATAGTGTTGTCTAAAATATTCCTCGAAACTTTTCGAAAACAAAAACTTCTCGCACCAATGCGATCTCGATTCACCACACAAAATAAAATGAAATTCAAAATTGTGAAAAGTGACACATGCTTCGCATTAAACTCCAAACACTTTACACGACATGCCAATTTCAAAAATTGTTGATCGGAAAGTTGAAGATTTGTGTGAAACTTGTAGGATCTTCTGAAAATCCCCATTAATTCTTCGGTGAGTTCCGGTAATTCCTCATTTTCGTAGAGCCCGATTTTTGTGCTGCATAGTTTTTTCGCGGGGCTCAAACGCTGTAGAATATTCCACGTGACATCCGAAGCGTTTGAGCGGATTTTCAAATTTCGCAACGAGATGTTTTTTGAAACCCTCGGAACATTCTCAAAAATCCTTGAGGTTTCCACGTATTCCCGATATTTTACATCGAGAATTTTCAGATTTTTAGCCTTAGAAATCAGCCAAAATAATTGAGATTTATCGGAAGTTGAGATTTTGAGCATCGCGAGTTGCGGAAAGTTTTCGATCTGATTTTGTCGCAGGTTTAGATTTGCGTGAATGATTTTTTAGATTGACTAGAGTGGTTTGGGAGATGGATAATAGATCGTCGAAAAATCCGTAGGCCATGGTTTTGAAGTTGGCGAAACCTTTCCAGAGTTGATTTTTTTGATCGATTTTGACTAGGCAATTTGAGCCCGTTTGTTGGAAGATTAGATCGTAGGAGCTGGAAAAAAAATTTTTTTGGAGATTTTTTGAGGCCTGAAAATGAGCCTAGGCCTGAATTTCAGTTTGAGCACCAAAAAATCCACGTGGAATTTTTTCGTTCCAAAAAAATTTCAAAATTTTTCTGCAACCGAAAATCCAATTTTTTTCAATTCCAAAATTCGAGTTTAAAAAAATCCTCCCCAAAAATAATACGTTTCAAATTTTTCACAAGGATTTCGGAAATTTTCTCGAAATTTGATTTCACCAAGAATATTCCACGTGGATTTTTTTGTTCCCAAAAAAATCCACGTGGCATTTTTTGCACCACTAAAAAATTGGCTTCTGAAAATTTCTGGAAAATTCATTTAGTTTTCAGAATCCACGTGGCATTTTCATTTTCATTTTCTATAAAAAAATCCACGTGGAATTTTTTTAGGTGAAAAAAAATGCCTGAAAATTATACGTTCCAAAAAAAATTATGAAAAAATTTTTGGATGTTTTCAAAATTTTTCTGGAACCGAAAATCCACGTGGCATATTTTGCACCACTAAAAATTTGGCTTCTGAAAATGTTTCTGAAAATTATTCAGAAAATTTTAGCTTTCAAAATCCACGTGGCATTTTCATGTGAAAATCAGCTCGAAAATTGAAGCTGAAAATTGAATCTGAAAATCATTTTTGAAAAATTTTGATTAAAAAATCCTAATGGAGTTTTTTCAAATTAATCGAATTTTTGAAAAATTCCAAATTTTCTTGATATAATTTTGAAACGTATAATTTTCTGCGAATTTTTTTTTGGCTATAATTTTGAAAAAAAATAATTTTTTATAGCCCAAAAAATTCTCTAAATCAAGAAAATTCGGAATTTTTCGAAAATTTTTAATCAAAATTTTTCAAAAATGATTTTCAGCTTCAATTTTTGAGCTCAAAAATTCCCTGAAAATTATACGTTTCAAAATTTAATCAAGAAAATTTGGAATTTTTCAAAAAATCCCCAAAACTCACTTGAAAATCGACACAACCTTCAGAAAAATATTCGATTTTTCTTTGATAATCTCAAGTGTCACAATATTTTTCTCATAAAAAATTGTCTCTTTCAAACATTGAAATGAGATTCCAGCAAACTTGAGGCTGTAATTTTCTAAATTTCAAAAAATTTCAGAAAAAATTTTTTCCGAAAAAAAATGTCTCACCGATCATTTTGATTCAAATATTGAATCACTTCCGATCTTAGGCGATCTGATAAATCGCTCCAATTTTTCATTTTCAAGATTTTTTTCAAAAAAAAAATCAAAGAAATGAAAAAAAAGGTGAAAATAAGTTTTTTGAGCACGCAGATTTATATAATCTTATGTTAAGTCTCCGACGTCTCCTATGCAACGCTTACTATTTCGCGTTCGAATGATTTTGTGAGCACCCGATTATGAAAAAAAAATAGAAAAAAAAACTGTGACGTCATCAACTGCCACGTGGCAATTCAGAATTTTTCAAAAATTAAAATTTTCTGCAAAAAATGTTTGCCACGTGGCATATTTGCATAAGCATATTTGCTAGAAAATTTTTGAAAAATTGAATTTAGAGCTGAAATTTGGGAAAAATGATGAATTTTACCTAAAAACCCTAATTTGGAGCATTTTGATCGAAATTTTTAGAAAAATGGAGCATTTTGAGCCTAAAATCATGAAAATCTTGAAATTTGGAGCATTTCGAGCTAAAAATCTTGAAAATCTTGAAATTTGGAGCATTTTCATCAAAATTTTGAGAAAAATGATGAACTTTACCTAAAAATTATGAAATTTGGAGCATTTTGAGCCAAAAAACTTGAAATTTGGAGCATTTTCATCAAAATTTTGAGAAAAATGATGAACTTTACCTAAAAATTTTGAAATTTGGAGCATTTTGAGCCAAAAAACTTGAAATTTGGAGCATTTTCATCAAAATTTTGAGAAAAATGATGAACTTTACCTAAAAATTATGAAATTTGGAGCATTTTGAGCCTAAAAATTGTTAAAATTGAAGAATTCTGACCTTACTGTAGCTAGAAATCATGGTAAACTTTACCTGAAAATTATAAAATTTGGAGCATTTTGAGCGCAAAATTATGAAAAATGATGAATTTTGACCTAAAATTCAAAAAAATTAATAAAATCTGACCTAAATTTTAGAAAAATGATGAACTTTACCTAAAAATTATGAAATTTGGAGCATTTTGACCTAAAAATTCAAAAAATTAATAAAATCTGACCTGAAATTCAAAAAAATTGATAAAATCAGACCTAAATTTTAGAAAACTGATGAACTTTGAGCCAAAAATCTTGAAATTTGGAGCATTCTGACCTAAAATTAAGAGATATTGTTGAAATCTTATCTGAAGTTGAAATTTGAAGCATTTTGAGCCAAAAATTTTGAAATTTTGAGCATGTTGACCAAAAATTTAGAAAAATGATGAATTTTACCTAAAAATAATGAAATTTGGAGCATTTTGAGCCTAAAAACTATGAAAATTGAAGAATTGTGGTTACTGTAACTAGAAATCATGGCAAGACCGGGAAATTCATGAAATATGGGTCCTGGCACGATTTTCCAGGTAAAAATCTTGAAATTTGGAGCATTTTCACCTGAATTTTAGAAAAATGATGCATTTTGAGCCAAAAATCATAGAAATCTCAAAATTTAAAGTCACAAATTGTAATTTTCTGAAAATTCTTTCTCCAAAATTTTTGTTTGCCACGTGGAAAATCCGATTTTTTTGTGCAAATTCAAAAATTTTTCAAAAATTTGCACAAAGAGCCATCTTGTGTGTGTTCCAAATGGAATTAATTCGCAATTTCTTCCTTTTCCACTGAATTAATTCGCAATTTCTCTAATTCTCTCCGCATTTTTGCACTCTCTCTCTCTCTCTCGTTCATATAAAATTGATAGAGAAAAAGAGCAGAGAGTGAAGAGAGTGCAGAGAGTGCAGAGAGAAGTGAGAGAAAAAGAGCCCCTGAAGGCGGAAAAGAAAAAGAGAAATTGGAGTTGTTTGTGTGTGTGTGTGTATATTTTCTCATTCTCTATACATGACACAAATATTTTTACTCTCCTTTTTTCTCCTTTTTTTCGGTGTAGTGGGCCCTTTTTCTTGGAAAATATGTAATATTTTTTGAAAATTATTGATTTTGGCTTGAAATTTACCACGTGGCGCCGATTTTTTTCGAAATTCCGAAATGTTAAAATACCAGGGAATTTTAGGTTTCAAAATTTTGCTATAAAAAAGATTTCCTATAGAAATATTCGATTATTAAAATCAGAATATTAGAAAAAAAAACTATTCCATGAGGACTGATTCACGAACGAAAAAAATGTTTAAAAATATTTTTTGACGAAGTTTTTATGGGTTTTTTCCCTGTTTTTGTTGATTTCAAATGTCATACGTGGAATTTTTTAAGAAATATTCTATACGAAGTTATATGATCTTAAAAATTTTTTGTATATCAATTTTCAGCGCTGAAAACCCTGGAACTATCAGTTTTCGTGGATTTTCAGCGTTTCCAGCGTTTTCAGCGCGAAATTTTGATCTAGAAATTAATTTTCTAGTTGATCTGGATCCTGAAATCTCCTCAGTTCCCTCTAGAAACCAATTTTCTAGATCAATTTTCAGCGCTGAAAACCATTAAACTATTAGTTTCTGTAGACTTGCAGCATTTCCAGCGTTTTCAGCGCAAAATTTTGAGCTAGAAATTAATTTTCTAGTTGATCTGGATCCTGAAGTCTCCCCAGTTCCCAAGACATCTAGAAATCAATTTTCTAAATCAATTTTCAGCGCTGAAAACCCTGAAACTATCAGTTTTTGTTGATTTTCAGCACTTCCAGCGTTTTCAGCACGAAATTTTGATCTAGATTTCGCCTCAAATTCATTCCAAATCCATTTTCGCTCCATCTTTTCCTTGTCATTTTCAAGTACCCTTCTTCTTCTTCTTCTAAATTACATCAAGTGTTTTTACACACTTGATTTGTATGCACTTTTTCTATTTTTGGGGGTACTGTAAATTTAGAATTTCAATTTTTAGAAGAAATTTTATTTTTATCATCGATTTTCCCACGAAAATCTATATTTTAAGTGTTTTTTCGAAAATATTTGGAATGTTCCATGGATTTTTCGAATTTCTAGCATTGCTCATGTTAAAAATCAATAAAATTGCTCATATTAAAAAATATTTCGAAATATTTTTCTGCGCCCTCATTTTTATTTGTTTTTCGAACAAACTACTACCTTTTTCCTTTTTCCAATATATATTTATGTAAACTCTCTGCCAAATGTCAACAATCAAAAAATTTCATTGTTCGATCGGTGCGAGAAAAAAAAAGTTAATCTACTTTATGGAATTTTTTTCGTGGTGGAAAAATGTATTTATTGATTTTTTTTTCGGAAAAAGAAGAGCTTCTAGAACAATTTTGTTGACAATTGTAAATATTCTCTAGGCTCGGCTACTTGACAGATGGGATCTCTAGGCTCGGCTCCTTGACAGACTGAATCTCTAGGCTCGGCTACTTGACAGATTGAATCTCTAGATGCGAGTGCTAGAAAATAGGGTTCTCAAGGCTCGGCTGCTTGACATAGAGTATCTCTTAAGGATTCCACGTGGATTTTGAAGCTTTAAAAAATAGAATCAGAATCCACGTGGCAAAAAATAAGGATTTTCAGAACCTTTTTCACAAGCTTCTGAAGAAATTTTGCCACGTGGGGAATCTTAGAGCTACTAGAATAATTTTTCTGAAAATTTTCCAGAACCCAAGAGATTTTTTCGAAACTTTTTTAAAACCCAATTTTGTTGCCACGTGGATTCTACGGCCCTTTTTTGATCCAAAATTTATACATAATTTAATTAAATGTTTATTTACACACTCACACATATTATTCTATTATTATTATTTTCTATTTTTCCATAGCGCGCACGGAAATTTGAATATTTATGAGTTTTATAATGTATATATATATACAATATTTATAATTTCCCATGAATACAGATTGATTTATTGACTTTTTCCGAAAAAGTTTTTGAATTTTTCTGGTTTCCTGAGTTCCAAAATCACCCAAGCGCACCTAAATCCACTAATTTCCCTTCTGCTGTTGAGTTTCTCTCATTAAAATTCTAGCACCTTTTTTCTGTGTTTTCTCTGCGTCTCTCACTCTCTCACCTCTCTCGTTTTGAAATTCTTCTACGAGAAAAAAAAGTGTTTTCCAAATTTTTTTTGCGTTTTTCTGCCAACCGGAATATGTACAACACAAACTTTCACTAGATTTTTGTTTTATTTTTTATTTTCTTCTGTGTTTTGTTTTTCACACAGTTTTATGGCTTTTTCCCTGTTTTTGTTGATTTCAAAGGAATTTTGGGGAAAAATTGGATATTTTAGATCAATTTTCAGCGCTAAAAACCGTAGAACTATCAGTTTTTGTTGATTTTCAGCATTTCCAGCGTTTTCAGCACAAAATTTTGAACTAGAAATTAATTTTCTAGTTGATCTGGATCCTGAAGTCTCCCCAGTTCCCCAGAAATCTAGAAAAATATTCTAGATCAATTTTCAGCGCTGAAAACCCTGAAACTATCAGTTTTTCATGATTTTCAGCATTTCCAGCGTTTTCAGCACGAAAATTTGATCTAGAAATTAATTTTCTAGTTGATCTGGATCCTGAAGTCTCCCAAGTTCCCCAGAAATCTAGAAAACCAATTTTCTAAATCAATTTTCAGCGCTAAAAACCGTAGAACTATCAGTTTTTGAGGATTTTCAGCACTTCCAGCGTTTTCAGCACGAAATTTTGATCTAGAAATTGATTTTCTATGTGATCTGGATCCTGAAGTCTCCCCAGTTCTCCAGACATCTAGAAATCAATTTTCTAAATCAATTTTCAGCGCTGAAAACCCTGGAACTATCAGTTTTTGTTGATTTTCAGCATTTCCAGCGTTTCTAGCGCAAAATTTCGATCTAGAAATTAATTTTCTAGTTGATCTGGATCCTGAAGTCTCCCCAGTTCCCCAGAAATCTAGAAACCAATTTTCTAAATCAATTTTCAGCGCTGAAAACCCTGGAACTATCAGTTTTTGTGGATTTTCAGCATTTCCAGCGTTTTCAGCACGAAATTTTGATCTAGATTTTTGAAACGTAATTTTTTCGGCACATTTTCTATGTAACAGAAAACCGCAAATAATTGATTTAGGCTAACTTGTCTGCGCTCTCTCATTTTTCCATTGTCCCTAATCGCATAAGCCTATTAAAAACCACTTT